TATATTAAAAAAATTTCTGACATCCTATCTAAGAAGCCCGAATCTATGGCAACATGCCTTAATAATATTTTATCTACGAAAATCTGTTAGAGGGCATGTCAGAAAACACCCCTCTCCCGCGTAGGTACCTTCTGTCCCTGGCCATACCTCCCAGGTACCTACGTAGACATTGTTGCGCCGGGTACAATGCGGGGCGCTCACCTCGTGTTGCAGCGACGCCTTCTTAATAGGTAAACAATGGCCAATATCTTATATGCACGGCCTTCGTTTTCGAGAGGACAATTACTGATCCATTGTTGATTTGAGCCTAGTAAAGTGAGTACGCACTAATACATAGGTCGCGTTGAGAGGAGCGCAACACCAGCATGGAATGCGGCCTGAATTGAGTTCACATCTTTGGCTTCGTCACGTACATCCTGCTCACCGCAACACAATCATAGCAAATGATTCAACGGATCTAAGGCAAGGCACAATATATCCCAACATAATGGAAAAGAAAACTCATAATCCATAACATATGTTTCCAATTCTCTCCCTGCCCCTATCTCAATGTCGTTTAGCAAAAGAAAATGAAAATCTTTGGTATTGTTTCCCCTGCGCCATGCATATGATGAAATATGATACAGTTGCCTCTTGCCGGAATTAGTATTATGACGGCGGAAGCCCCGGCGGCAAAAGCTCTGGGAGAAGCAGACTACTGGACCGATGATAACCATTTGCTACTGTACTTCGTCGTTTCCGAGCTCGTTCAATTGGTTCCTCGTCCTCGTCATCCGACGATAGTGTCAGATCAATGACAGCTGGGGCAGGCCGCTTCGTGCCCCCTCCAGCCTGCCGAGATGGCGTGCTAGGTGTAGGCAGTTTATCCGGCGGCCGTACCGGGGTATTAGTGATTACCGATAGCTCAATAGCATCATCGTCGTCGTCGTCGAAGTACGCTTCCGAAGGAAAGTTGTTGGCTTCTGCTTCTTCTCCCTTCGAGAGCCATCGCCCGTTAGGCTCAATGATAACTCCTTCTAAGCTCTTCGATGTATTGTCCAGAATATCTTGGACATACCTGAATCCAATGTCAGTCACAATGCAATGGCGGTGACCATTAAGAACCTACTCATCGACAGCTAGTTGCTCATACGGTGCTGGTTTGTTGCATATCGGGCAAAGCCATTGCGGACCTTGCTCTTGAAGCTGCAGATATGACGTCGCGTCAAAGCACTGAACATGTGAGCAACTCATGCCGCGACAAGGTACATCCAGTCTCGTGTAGGATAAAGGACATTTCAAAGACAGAACCGACGAAGTTGCCACGACGTCGGGATCCTGGGCCTTTTGGTTTACTGGACAGCTGTTAGAACGGAGGACACGAGGCCTTGGCAGAAACACTTACGTTCCGTAATTACGGAGTCTTTCGGGATTCGTCTCCCTGTGGATATGCCCTGTACCAATTCCGCAACAGAGTATACCTGGCAGAGGTTTGCTATCATGTAAAATTTCTGAACCAATAAGCGATAAGAGCCACAAAGAGACACCGACTGTTCTTACCTTCGTCGTTAAAGCATATGTGAAATCTATGGTGTTCAGATAATTCGGTGGCTTTATTCTCAACGCATCAGTAATGTCAACCGGTCTAGTAGACCCTGGTTTACTCTTTAATCCGCGTAGGTTTGCCTTGACCTCACTGCCGTTTACCCTGATCTCGGCTTGGTGAGGAAATTCGATGTTCTGACTGCCGATTGCTTCGCCCGCACAGAATAGTAAAACTCTATGAGACGTGTCGGCGAGGCATTGTTGCACTTCCGGATAGGTGGTTGCGGAGATGTGCAGATTGATAGTATTTCGATGCTGAGCCATGGCTAGAAATTGTCAGTCACTTCAGTATGAAAGAAGCTCTAACTATTCAGCTACCAACCTTCACATATACGAACATCGCCGAGGGTAGACTTGATTAGGTAAAATGGACTGGGCTTGAATGCGAGAGCTGGGGTCGTCATAATATTGATACGCGGGGTACCGAAGTTTTGTGACATGCCGGGAGAGCCATTTCCGTAAGGCACTGACAGCGGGAAGTGTGCATTTGGGCCGGTGGGAGCGGTAGTCCGTGACTTGAGCGACGTTGTAGTCGTGACAGGCGCAGTGCCGTTACGTTGCGCGTGGGCGTTCGAGATGCTCTGTTTCACTTGGGCAAAGCGTGAAGGGTCGGCCGATGACTCTTGGATGACTGATGGATGGTAGTATGATTAGTAGATGTAATGAAAAGACAGTGGCTGGCTGTTGGCTCGCTCTCAGGCATCAGCTGCTAGGTGGCGGGGACTCACGATTGATGATGCGTCGTTGCATCTCCGCCTTCACACCGGTGCTCTTGAGACCGTTGACTTGACAAATAGAAGATAGCTGACGATTGAAGAGCTGATTGCCCTGAATCTCGCGCATCAAGGAAAGCACCTCATGCCTAGGAACTCCGTCTGCCGACGCCATGACTGCGGGCCTGTTTACGACGAAGGGCCTGGCTAAGTGCGGTGGTTATAACACCAGAGAGGCGCAAGCCCAGCCTCAAAATGTAGTGTCTCGCAGTATGGGAGTCGTTGCGTCGCAGGTCAAGTCGAACAAGAAAGCATTCGCCGATGATGTGTGCTCTGAGCATTCGCGGTTCGAAACCAGATATGTTTGGCGAGAAAGAAAGAGCAAGATTTGGTGGGCAGCGATGCGATTCCCTCAGGGGCGATTTCCGGAGCGCGCGCGTGCTTGAAGGTGAGGAGGAAGTCAAGGGAATCTGGCGCAAGTCGCAGTAGAGAACGAGTGTACAAGGTGAAGTAGCAAGGACCTAACAACGCCGATTTTGACGATGGCAGCTTTTGAGCAGGCTCGATTAAATCATACTGGCGTGTGGAATTTGGTGCAGTAGCGCTCACTAAGAATTGATTCACCATAGCAAAGGCCAGATGTGGCTGTCGTGCATGTCCGCCCACCTCAACAGCGGCAAAGTTTATCAAGAATTAGCCCTCGCTGCACCAGCCACAATTGATTTTGACACCAGCGCCACACTCATGTTCTTATCAGCGTGGGCTGCCCCTCTGTAAAAGTAGCTATCAGGCTTTTTTTTCCCCCGACAGCCAGGTAGCTACTGGAAGCCATTGCTAGATCTACTCCGGCCTGTATCTCCTCACGCCGCCAAATCAACAATTACCGAATACAATGGCCAAGAGCGGGCGTTCAAGCACTCGCAAAGCGAACAACAGGCGCCTGGCGGCCACAGTCTTCGGCCCTGCCGAGACTGCTCGCGCCGAGCGCCTGTCGGCCAAACTGCAGGAACTGGCCAAGCAGCCCAAACCCGAGACGTCCGATGCCAACATGGAGGGTAAGTCCGACGAGATCACAAAGAAGCCTCCATCGAGTGAAACTAATTCAAGTGCGCCAACAAAAGACGCCGACGTCGAGGCAGAAGCTGCCGATGCCGGTGACGCCGTTGGTATGCTGCCAGCCAAACAACTGCATTGTACGCAAACACAGCTAATAAGACTCTCAGCCATGGATGTCGACAAGAAGCGCGCAGCATCAAAGCGCATCGGCCGAAAGCGAATCGATAAGCGAAAGCCGAAGAAGGCCTCCATCGTGTTCCCCAAGTACAGCGACAGGGTCAAGGCCAAGAAGAACAAGAAGAAGGCATAAATTAGCATACTGGAGTTTTATTGGGGTATTTGGTTTCTGATTTTGGGCTTTGTTATTATTTCTGCTATTTTCTTTCATTTGCATGAAATGTCGGACAAACGCGCATCCTTTCTTTCCATGACTACTCTTCTACGACTAGTCGCAATGTAGTTGAGCAGATACCCTCGACAAGCAGGTGTTCAATGACCAAAAATTCGTTCAAATACTCTTGTCGTGCCTTCATACGCTCTGATGGTTATGTAGACTCTTCTCTGTCTTAATAGCGGCCTGCATCCTACCTCGTCTAGCATCGGGTTATTTGCGAACCTTGGTGGAGGCGCCGCAGCTAGCGCCACGCCCATCCCTGAACGTTGGAGTCGCATTGCAAACTACCTACCTACCATGCAGCTAGCTATGTTTCCGGTTCTGCATCCCTAGACGATATAAAATCTGTCGGCTGTTACTCCTTCTAAGGAGTCAGATTCTTAAAAAGGAGATCATACTTCGCACAGTATACTGCAATGTGCGCAAATTCTTAGCCCGTCTTTGAAACACATTGCGCGCGTCTCACACTTCATCCATCACGCTCCTTACACGTCGTTCGTTTCTCTCATGGCCCCGAGAGCCGCCAACCCAGCAGGGTGGTCATTCACCGTCCTGTCGCTAGCCATCGCAAATCTTCTGATTCCAATATCAATTCTGATATTTGCCACCGGCTTCTTTCCATACAAGCCGTTTCTTCCCGGTCTGGCCGACTTTGAAGTTTTGGAGACTGGCCCACCCCCCCAGGCGCCCTTTGACAAGCTGGTTTTTGTGGTGATTGATGCACTTCGAAGGTGACGCGCGCAGGATCAGATTCTCTACAATGTACTGACACTTTGCCAGCGACTTTGTGTACTCGAAAGGCTCTGGGTTTGAATACACGCAGAGGTTAGCAACGCACGTCGCACACGAAATGACGCCTCTGCTTACATCTACACAGCCTTATTCGCCATGGCTCAGCTATCCCATTCACAGCCTACGCTCGCTCGCCAACAGTGACGATGCCGAGGCTGAAAGCAATCACTACTGGCTCTATACCCTCTTTTGTAGATCTCATACTCAATATCGACGAAGGAGACAAATCTTCGGCTCTCGCGGCGCAGGACACCTGGTTGGCTCAGCTCAAGGCCAAGGATACTGGAAAGGCACTCATGTATGGTGATGATACATGGTTGAAACTCTTTCCAGACTATTTTGATCGCCATGATGGAACATCCAGTTTCTTTGTAGCTGTAAGCTATGCTTGCGCTCTACTCCAGATGCCACGCTGACAATCAGCAGGATTTTACCGAAGTCGACAACAATGTGACTCGCCATATCAATGGAGAGTTGAAGAATGACGATTGGTCGCTCATGGTACTACACTACCTTGGACTAGATCACATTGGCCATAAATCAGGGCCCAGGAGGTAAGAATGCCTGCTTAGTACATGTGGCTGGGCTTTGGTTAATCTCACCAGTTCCAACATGGTTCCAAAGCAGCACGAGATGGACTCTATTATCCGCACCATTTATGATTCCTTGTCGTCGAGGAAGCATCTCGAATCAACTCTTTTGGTGGTTTGTGGCGATCATGGAATGAATGATGCAGGGAATCACGGCGCATCGTCGCCTGGTGAGACGTCTCCTGCGCTGCTCTTCCTGTCCCCGAAGCTCAAGGGCATCGGGCATCCATACGAAGCACCTACGCTCCCTCAAAACGAGTTTGACTTTTATTCCGAGGTGGAACAGTCGGACATTGTACCGACTCTTGCCGCCCTTCTTGGGTTTCCTGTCTCCAAGAATAACCTCGGTGCCTTCATCCCCGAGTTTCTCCCGTTCTGGCCGAGCCCCAAAGATAAGATTCAAATTCTCATCCGGAATGCTCGGCAAATTCTCAACATTGTCACTGCGGCTTTCGGACCCGAACTTTTCGACGTTGCCTCGTCGACTGACCCCTGCCAGCTGGAGCGTACTGACATCAACGAGCTCGCATGTGACTGGCGGTTCATCACCCAGCGCGCATTATCACTCAATTCTCAAAACACAATCGATCAAGAGTGGCTCACGTCCACCTCTCGATGGATCCGCAAGGCTCAGAATCTGATGAGTAGCATGGCCTCCAACTACGAGATGCCGCGCTTGTACACTGGACTGGGACTTGCCGGCATAGCTCTTATCATCACAGCGTCTACCTTCCTTACACAGCGTGTCCTAAGGTCCCAGACCGCACCCCCACTAATACTAATATCCTTTCTTTATAGCGCCATGATGTTTGCGAGCAGCTACGTTGAAGAAGAGCATCATTTCTGGTACTGGGCCGCCACCCTCTGGCTGGCCTTTCTCGGAGCCAAGGCCATTCGACGGTACGCGGCGCTTCACCCGTCCATATTCATCCTGAACTGACAAGTAAAATAGATCTAGCAAGCTCTCATCGGGCGGCTGGTACCTTGTCGCACTTCTTGCCATGCGAATCACGAGGAGCTGGAACCAGACTGGCCAAAAGTTCGCCGGCGAGCCCGACATTGTCAAACTATTCGTCCACCGGTACCCCGCGGTCTTATGGCTCGCCATCATCGTCATGTACGGAATCACCTGGTCTCAAATGCTGCCCAGTCTCGAGAGCATCCCCGTCATCGCTTCCACGTCCATCACATCGGTCCTCATCTCATCGGCGTTCACCTTTAAGCTGGCCTTTACCGCTGCCGATGCGCCCGAGCTTGTCGTCGGCTTTGCCAAGACGCTCAACGACAAGTTTGAAGGCCAGTCGCTGCTTTGGCGCGCTCGTGTCGTCTTCATCGTTCTTGGCTTGCTTTCAGTCTTTGCCATTGCCCGCGGCGTCTCTGGCGGACGACACGCAAGATCAGCGAGTATGCCTCCTTCCGATGTGCCAGCGCCAGTACACCGTCTTCTTGACTGACATTTCCAGCAGGTTTATTGCACGAACTTGTGACCCTTTTCGCAATGACGCAGTCCCGCGCCGCTAATGTGCCTATCTTCCTACTCGCTTACATTATCTACTCCACTATCGACGCCAAGCAGATGACGCTCGCCGAAATCACCACCTCCTCCATCCTCTTCCAGTACGCCAGCTTTTTCGCCGCGGGCGGTTCCAACGCCATCTCTTCCGTCGACCTCTCCAGCGCCTATAATGGTATTTCCGGCTTCAACGTCGTCGCCGTTGGCATTTTTACCTTCGCCAGCAACTGGGCCGGCCCGCTGTACTGGACCTCGGCCACCACGACTCTCCTTGTCGACAAGTATCGGGTTGGCGAGCGCGGCGTCTTCCGGCAGCACGTCGCGCTGCTGACCGTCTTTGCCACGGCGTCTGTCACGTCCGTTATGGCGGCGTGCACTGCCATGCGTACTCATCTGTTCATATGGACCGTCTTTTCACCGAAATATCTGTACGCCATGGCCTGGAATATTCTGCAGCATCTCTTGGTGAACATTGGGCTCAGCGGGACTCTATTCTGGCTCGGCACTCGATGAACCGTCGTGCATTGTATGGGATAGCAGGTGGTCAGATTCATACCTAAATGGATAACTAGACAAGGTTTCGGGGATAAGGTTTCTGCAGACTTGCCCAGAACAACTAAATAGATATGGACCGGCTCAACGTCCAGGAAATAATTATAAGATAAGAATTAGATATGCGCAGCCACCAAACCCCTTCATATATACCCGGCACCCAGGTTTCATAACGCGTCATACAGAAGTCTCGTTGCAAATTACAAATTGAAAAACACAGGGGTCGCATCTTTACTCTTCTCTGTCTCTGTCAAAGGACTCAGCATGGGGCGGCGTATCTCGGATACTCTTGGCAATGACCGTATTGTCGCTATCCTCATCCTCTTCTTTAATGACGGGCTCTTCCGAGACGGCCTTGCCCCCAGAGAGTCGCTGCTCCGATATGGCGGAGGCACTGCGGCTGTTGCGCTGGGGCTGTTGCTCGTCAAGCGCATTGACAATCTTGCCCAAGCTGACATGTATCTTGTATAGTGCATTCCTGCTAGGTGCGTCCGTCACGACAGCCTCTTCGACTGCGATGCAGACCTCTTCGTACGTTTCCCGTAATTTGTCCTCGGACGAGCCGGATGAAATGTATATCTTGCTAAGAAGGCCGGCAACAAGCTTCTTCTCTTCCTCTATTGATGTGATTAGTACTGATAGCCCCTGCCTGGTAATGTGCATCAACTTACTGGTAACGTTGCTGTGTAATCTATCCATGATGTCAAGGGCCAGCTCGAGGTGAACATCGCCGTTGATACTCTTTTTCTCTGCTTCAAGCAGACTAGTAGGGCTGTAGACCTTGCGAGGGTCTGTCCAGTCGACAAGGCATGCACCGATGGCCGGCATGCCCACCATATCTTCCTCAATGTCCGCCTCATCATCGTCCTCTAGGCCCTCACGAACGTTCAGCAGGGTGTGGAGCGCGGGAAGGGCAATGCTGCGCATCAGCTCCTGGTTCGTCACTCTGGAATAGCAGAAGACAGGTAAAAAGTAATTTAGAGCTTGACGGACCGTCTGGTTTCCAGCCGAGGACGGGTCAAAATAGGCGACGACCAGCGATTTCAGGAGCTCCTGGCATGCCTCTTCATCGCTAACCACACGGCCGAGCAGAAGCTTGGAAACTGCCATGACAGCCGCGGCTTGCACCTCTGGTGCCCTTGAACCGCTCTTCACAGCTTTGACATATACCTTTAGGAGTGCTGGTGTGGAGGAGAATAAGTGCGCTCCGTGCACGTTAAGGATATCGGTAAGAATATGCAATGAGGTGACTTGAAGCGCTGAGTGTCCCTTACTAAAGAAGTGGATGAACAGGCTCAAATTCTCCTCAGCTAGAGAGCGATCCTGCAGGGCACAGAGGCCCAGGCAGACCAGGCCACGTTCACGGACAGGTGCCTCGTGGCTTCGCACCGCCGGAACGACCAAGTTGTTAAGCATGGAGACCAGGTCAGCATTGTCCTTAAGATTGCCTGAAATGTGGCTCAGCATGCATTGAACGATGTGCAGACACTTCATGTTGATGACAATCTCCTTAACCGCCTTAGCACGTGCATCTTCCTCGCTCAGCTCCTTGCCACGGCCCTTGCTACCAGATGACATGCTCAAGCCACTGACCTCGGACCGCGCGGAATGGAAGCTATCGTCCACATCGTCGGTGGGAAGATCATCCAAAATTGTGTCGTGGACATCGGCAACTGATTCAAGAACGATACTGCAGAACTCGCGCTCGCCTGCGGTATCAGGAGAGCAAATGTGGTGTAGAATTTCGATAGTAAGTTTCGTCACCTCGTCAGGAAGCTCGGGTATAGATAAGGCTTGACGGAGCAATGTGAACATTTTACGTCGACCTACTTCGTCAGAGTAGTCAAGAGTCAGCGCAATGTGAAGTAGCTGCTCGGCAATAAACTCTTGCTCCACGGTTGCGGTTTCAACTTCCTCATCAGTAGCATCTTGCTCTGCTCGGCGCAGTGTCTCTATCAATGCGTTGAGATAGCGTTCAAGAAAGTAAGCGACCTTGGTAACTTCGGGAAGCTTCTCATCGGCCAGCGATTCGTATTTTCCATCGCCCTCCCTTCGACAAAAGTCATTGAAGCTGCGAGCAAGAAAGGCAGATTCCGCGGTGAGGGTTTCCCAGAATGTGTCGTCAAAGTTGATGGCCTCCCGATAATCGGGTCGACCTTCCCAGAAGCCGGACATTGCCTCCAGTGCAACTCCATTTTCCACTCCGGAATTGATCACATCGACTCGCTCAAGGAGCTCGAGCAGTGCATCAAAGCTGGGGGTTGGGTTCTCTTGCTGGGCGGTTCCCGCACAGTCCTCAATCCATCGGTCTCTGAAGAGCCTTCCAGCAGCTTTGCGGACGTTTTCGTCTCTATCGCGAAGACCCCAACGCAAAAGCTTTTCTCGCATGGAGAGAGACAAATGGCGAAAATCGCCGAGAGCCGGAAGTAAGCGCGAGTAGACAGCTCTACGGGTCGCAGCATCTTGATCCCTGGCACGCTCGAGAAGGTATGGAAGAGTATTTGGGAGAATGGGAAGATTGACAAGTAGTGAGCGGCGAACATCAGCACTCGGATCATTTTGCAGTACCTGGAGAAGCTTCTCCAGCAAGCCCAACTCTGTGTCTGCATCACTGTCATCTGAGTTTGTGAGGCTGTCGGATTGGTTGCCAGCGAGGCGACCAAGCCCAAGAACGGCCTGAACACGAACCATGGCCTCCTTGTCGCGAATTCTTTTTAAGAGCGCATGGCGGAGTGATTGGAATAGGTCATCATCAAGCGCATCGAGTGAGTTGACGATCTGCGATAGCAGCTGGGCTGATCTGTAGCGGACAAATTTGTCTTTTGCAATCATTAGAGGAGAGACAGCGTCCACCAGCTCCGAGATCAATCTTGCGCTTGGCGTTTCTGGCATATGGATAGCGTCGTCGGCCAGGTCGCCCAGCAGCTCATTATCTTTGTCACTGGAGTGTCGCAGGTAGAAGCTAATGAAACGAATAGACTTTTCGCCCACGCTTTCGCTTTTCTTGACTGGCATGACCTTGAGCACGGATCGAATAAACTCGGCATTGAAGGCCTTCTCGTCAAAGTCGCTATCAGAAGTTATCTTTTGGTCAGCTGTCTCATAGCAGCATGCCTCGTGGATCTTTCGGAGCGTGACGGCCAGCTTTCGGTGCGTCGCAGTGTTGCGCTGCGCATCGCGGAAGATGAGACTGATTTTTAGCCTCAAGTCGTTGTCTGGTGTGTCGACGAACTCGGCGGCGGGGTTAGGCAAGACACGGGAAATGGAGGGAATTCGCCCGCTCAACGCCGAATTCGAGCGTTTGCGGCCACCCGCAGAGGAAGGCCGGGTGGAGCGTGTTGTTGACGCTCTTGCCGGCATTCTGGTCTTTTTATAACGATGCAGAAGTCCGTATATCGGTACAGAGTGTAGCGGTGATGAACGATGTGAATAGGCACAACCATATGCGTCCCTACCTATGTTTGGATACGCGGCGCGTGTTGACGGCCAAGTCAACAATGTTCCCTTTTAGGAATAGCGGCGCATTGTCTGATGGGAATGTGCCTTTTTTGTCACGTGCGATAAGATATGCTACTTTTGGATTCTTGATGGGGCTTGGAACTTTTTTTTTGGTCGCCGCTAAGATTGAATTGCTGGCAGGCAGAGTCTTCGTTGTTGCGCCGTGTTTAACGATTTTCTTAACATGAGTGTCGCCGAAGAGAGCAAAAAGAGGCTTCGGCCCGAAATTGAGGAGGCGCTGGCAGCAATGCCAGACTCGGAGACAGTTGCTGCTCCCGCGCCAAAAAAAGCCCGGACGGAAGAGCGTAGATCTCTTTTTGTTCGATCACTACCTCCAAATGTGACGAACGAAAGCCTTGCGGAGTTTTTCTCCGAATACTTCCCCGTCAAGCATGCCACTGTGGTTATTGATCAGCAGACAAAGGAGTCTCGCGGCTTCGGTTTCGTGACTCTGGCGGACGCTGACGACGCCAAGCAGGCGCAGATTGTTTTCGACAAGAAGCGATGGGAAGACAGAACCATTCGAGTTGAAGTGGCCGAGCCGAGACAAAGAAAAGAAGCCACCGAGGGGGCCCAACCTCGTCAGAAGCCAGGAAAGCCTGAGTTTGAGCCGACGCCAAAGTTGATAGTGCGAAATCTGCCCTGGAGCATTCGCAACTCTGAGCAGCTTGGCCATCTTTTCCGTAGCTACGGCAAGGTTAAGTTCGCGGATTTGCCCAAGAACAAGGGAAAGCTCAAGGGGTTCGGATTCGTTACCCTACGCGGCAAAAAAAATGCCGAGAAGGCTCTCGAAGGTATCAACGGCAAGGAAATCGATGGCAGAACCCTTGCTGTTGACTGGGCTGTCGACAAGGACACATGGGAACAAAGGCAAGCCGGGGAAGGGAAGGAGGGCGAAAGTGGCGATGACCAAACCAGCTCTGAAGAAGACTCGGACGCTGAAGACGACGACGACGACGATGACGACGACGACGAAGACCTCAATCAAGACAAGGAAGAGGGTCAGCTGAACACTGACCTGGAGAATTTCATGAAGAACCATATGCAAAATATAGAGGATGAGGATGAGGATGAGGATGAAGACGGCGAAGAAGAAACAAAGAGAAAAGAAGAGCGTAACAACTCGTCTGACAATTCTTGCACAATCTTTGTCCGCAACCTGCCATTTACCACCAACGACGAACACCTCAAGTCATTCTTCAGCAGCTTTGGAAACGTTCGATATGCGCGTGTCGTTATGGACAAAGCTACAGATCGCCCTGCGGGAACCGCGTTTGTTTGCTTCTATCAGGAGGAGGATGCCAAGACATGTATCAAGGGAGCTCCACGGCGACAGCAGCCAGCTGCCTCGGGCAAGAAATCGATCCTGAAAGACGACAATCTTGATCCTACAGGAAAGTATACTCTTGATGGTCGTCTCCTCAGCATTGCGCAGGCTGTAAATCGTGCTGAAGCTAGCAACTTGGCAGAAAGCTCGTTGGCAAACCGGAGAGAAAAGGACAAGAGACGGCTCTATCTTCTTGCTGAGGGTTCCATCGGTACCAATTCGCCTATATACAACCTGCTGAGTCTGCCTGAAATCCGAATGCGACAGGCCAGCGCGGTTCAAAGGAAAAAGCTCGTCCAAGGTAACCCAACTCTGCATATTAGTCTCACAAGAATTGCGCTACGAAATATCCCAAAAAACATTGGCTCCAAAGAACTCAAGGAGTTGGCCCGAAAAGCTGTAGTCGGATTTGCGCAGGATGTTAAAGAAGGCATTCGCGAGCCACTGTCTAAAGAGGAGAACGCAAGAGACGGAAAGGACGCCAAGGAGAAGGAGAAGCAAAGAAAACTTAAAGGAAAGGGCATCGTGCGTCAAGCTAAAATTGTCTTTGAGAGCACTCAGGGCTCCAAGGTCAGCGAAGAATCTGGTGCTGGCAAGAGCCGTGGCTATGGCTTCATCGAATACGTGTCTCATCATTGGGCCCTGATGGGTCTGCGATACCTGAACGGCTACCAGATGGATGACACGGAAGAGGGCAAGAAGAAGCGCCTGGTTGCGGAATTTGCCATTGAGAATGCCCAAGTTGTGCAGCGCAGAAGAATAAATGAAGAAAAATCCAGGCAAACGAGGGAAGACGCTACTAAGGGGAAGCCGCGCTTCGAAAAGGATAATGACGAGGAAGAGCCTAACGGCAACAGAGTGCGCGGCGAAGGAGGCGGAAGAGGCGGCCGTGGGGGTCGTGGGGGCAATCGGGGCGGAAGAGGTGGCCCTGACAGCAGAGACCTTGGCGATGATAGAGGCCGTGACGGTGCGCGGGGTCGCGGTGGTGCTCGTGGCCGTGGTGGTGACCGAGGACGTGGTGGGGGGAGAGACCGCCGAGACAGGAAACCTCTCATGGACAAATTCAAGGGCGATGGACGCGACACCGGCGGCAAAGAGGGCATGCAGCAAAAGCTCATGGCGCGCAAGCATCAGATGCGCAAGAAGAAGGCCGAATCTAGAGGCTAAATCCAACAGGCGCGAAACGAAATTATTCCTATCATCTCTTCATATCCTCGTCATGAATTTGATGGGGACATTGCATTTGCATTGGCGCTGTACTTGGTGTCATTGATTAGTGTAAATTTGAATACTATACAATCATCAAGTTGTACGGAGTTGAGAGCTTCGATGAAGTTGTAGATGTTCAATGCTGCGCGACTGCAGACTTGCCCTTTACCAGAACCAGCCGCGTTTCCTCTTGCCAGCATCGTCTGTGTTGCCGTCGCTGTTTTCAATGACGTTTGAATTATCGTCATCTGCTGATCCAATGGTAATGGAAATAGACGAGCCAATTTCTTTGCCATTTTCGTCATAAAGTTTGCGCTTAGTGGTCGTGTGCTTATACCCCAAGGCGTCCACCCACTCAGACCTTGTCTCTTTTCCGTCGTCGTCGACAGGATTTCCAGTCAGGGCCGGAGACTTGTTCTCTCTGAAACAATCCCCCATTTGACGCTCGAGCTCAACCATCCGCCGCGGCACATCCTTGTTGATGGTTCGTTGAAGTGCATCCCAAGCGCTTCGACCGTCGGCAAAGGCTGAGTTAATTGCCGAATAGAGATCATCAAAATGATCAGGCTCCGTCTTAGTTGTATTCTTCGAATCGCTCCGTTGGGAGTTGTGGCTATTATGGCCGGGAACCCAATCGCGAATTTCTCTAAAAACCTTGCCAAACTGGGCCGCCGCTTCCTGGTTCCTGGGGTCGTCGCGGATGCTGCGCCAGAGCTCTTCCGTATCTTCCTCCAAGCATCTCTGAAGCTCATCAAAGCCGGCTTGAGACGCGCGTGCAAAATTAGACCCTCGGGCCGGACGGATGAGACCCTGGGACTCGAGACGCTTGATCCAGAGCCAGGTGGGCTCACCATGGGGATACATCTGACGCAGCATCCGGCTCTGCTGATACCGAGAGTGGATATCAGGTAGCGGATTACCCTGAGAGACGGTGATCAAATCTTCAAGAGCATCCTGGAACGTAAAGATGCTCGCGTCTAGATGTGAGGGAAGGTCGCTGGGCACGGGCTGGCGAAGATGGGTAAGCCTCGCCGGGCTGTAAGAGGACAGAAAGGTCACGCCTGCTTCGAGGGCAAGACCCTCGCTTTCGAGACCGGAATTATTCCCGGTCACGCGTGAGTCGGACATTTCCCCTAATCTGTCACAAAATTATAGCGAATGAGAGAAAGGCGATAGAGATGGGACGATGGCCTGCAACGTGGTTGAAGTCTGGATGAAGCTATTCTTGATATTTGGTGGGGCCACGTTTTGAGGCTGGCGCGCTGGTGGAGAAGTAAACTGGTGTCTACGTCACAAGTGTAGAGCGAAGAGACCAGCGTTGACTTTGTGGTTACAGCGCTAAAGAAAAACTCGTGGATGAATTGTCATTCCGACTCGTGATAGCTGAGAGTGAGTAATCCAAAAGGATGAAAGGCTGGAGGTGCTCATGGAAATAGAACAAAAACGTGATGACACACATGACCGAGAACCGTTGGCTTCGTTTAGCGTGTACTTGCCTGATATTTAGCGCCTTTCATACCCAATAATTACTACCTACCAACAACCCCTAAAAGTAAGGTAGCGCTGAAACATCCAGTGTTGAGACAGAAGCTTATATCCCGAAGTACATACTAGCAGCCGTACGCACATGCGCCACGCTCTTTTGTTAGGGGTACCATTCCCGCCGAGACATGGGGATATATCATGACGCTGCACCAAAAAGCTAGATATTTTAGCGACGTCAAATTGCATCTGGAATCAGTCAACGTTTCCTCCTTTGCCCAGTCTTCAGCAGTGTCGCTATGCTTTGTGCGGTCTTTATTATCTGATTCTTTTTTTTTTCTCTTTCTCAATTCATCCGACCTTGGCTCGGATGACGGCCCGCTGTGCTCTTTGTAGCTGAAGCGCGCGAGGCTTCCAGCCATTTCCTCACCCTCCCGCCTTGCGCATCCAGCGGCACGGCCGGCCGAGCTGTAATCGGCATAGATCATGGCTTCCGAGAGACTGGTTATGTCCACGGTCCTGGCGACGATGACGGCGACCACCAGTTCCATGTCGAGCTCGACTGCCATGTCCACGACTACGGCGATACCGGGCGACGGCAACAGCGGCGAAAACCCTGGCCATGACCAAGACACGCTACGAAAATGGTCGTCGCTCATCGGCATCGTCACCGCCATTGTCGGCAACATCCTTATTGCCCTGGCCCTCAACGTCCAGCGATATGCGCACACTAAACTCAACAAGGAGCGCGCCCGCGTCAAGCTACGCGCCCGCGCCATCCTCAAACGTGCGCAGAGCAGCAACCCGGCCGGCTCGTATGGCGCAATTTCCGACACGGGCAATGGCCATTCCAATGGCAACGAAACGACCAGTGGCAACGCAGGCGGATATTCCGGCAGCGAAAATGACCCCTTGTCGGCGTCCTTCTTGTCTAATGCCACCACCGTTCCCGATCACCCCGCCGACGCGGACAAGGCCTCATCCAACTATCTCAAGTCGCCGTACTGGTGGCTGGGCCAAATCCTCATCACGCTGGGCGAGATGGGCAACTTTCTGGCCTACGGGTTCGCCCCGGCGTCCATTGTCTCGCCGCTCGGCGTCGTTGCGCTGGTCTCCAACTGCATCATTGCACCCGCCATGTTTCACGAAAAGTTTCGCCAGCGCGACTTCTGGGGCGTCGTGATCGCCGTCGCCGGTGTTGTCACCGTTGTTCTGAGCGCCAAAACGGAGGAAACCAAACTGAAACCGGGTGATATCCTTGATGCCATTACTACTATGGAATTCGAGATATATTTCGGAGTCACGATATCTCTAATTGCCATCCTCATGTGGGCAAGCGGTAAATATGGCCGACGCACAAGTCTGATAGACCTGGGTCTAGTCGGTCTTTTCGGCAAGTGATTTTTGACGTCGTGATCGAATGAACGTACTAATACGGGTATAGGTGGCTACACTGCGCTTGCTACGAAAGGTGTATCATCTATGCTATCATCTACCCTCTGGCGAGCATTCACTGCTCCGCTGACATATCTTTTACTCTTCGTTCTCCTTGGTACGGCTGTCATGCAGATTCGTTACGTGAACAAAGCTCTTCAGCGCTTCGATTCGACGCAAGTCATTCCCATCCAATTCGTCATGTTCACGCTCTGCGTCATCATTGGTAGCGCTGTGCTCTACCGAGATTTCGAGAAGACGACTCCTGACCGAGCCGCCAAGTTTGTGGGCGGATGCTTGCTTACCTTCTTCGGCGTGTTCCTGATAACAAGTGGCCGTCAGCGCAAGGACGAGGACGAGGATCTCCTCGATGATGCCGACGGCATCGACGAGACCATAGGCTTGATTGATCAAGAAGGGAACCCAGCTGCACCATCAGAAGGTGATTCGAGGCAGAATACACCGTCTCGTCGCTCCAGCAAGGTGTCCCGTGTGAGTTTCGCGGAACCAGCGAAAATCACTTTTCAGGGTGTGTCAGAAGATCCCGCAGCCTCTCGCCCCGACATCGCTGCGGGGAGTCTGCTTTCGCGGAACTCAGAGACAGCTTGTGGAAAAGATACCGAATCTTGGCCACACGCAACCCGGACTCTCTCCACCAATTCAGTCGCATCAGCTCCAGTGCCATCGATTACAGATTACCCTCCGACACTACCAGCTCATCGAGAACCTCAACCCACACCGTCCGGCGCAGAGCGACCTGTTACGCCGCGTGCCAACACGACTACACCAAAATCGACATTTCGTGACCGAGACCGTACTTTTTACTCTCCGTCGCCGCTATATTCCACTGTCACGACGGTCGTCAAGGATGCTCTGCGGCAAAACACCAAGAATCAGTCCTCGCTGCGGCGTATACGTTCCAGTATACGCGCCAGTCTCTTCATCGACTCTGATGAAGAGGATCAGGGTGCAAACGATCACGACACGCAGCAGACCATTGCCGTTCCGCCGTCAGAGAACGATTTACTCAGAGGTCTCACTGCCGCTGAGCAAGAGAACGAGACTACGACGGCACCTGGTCGACAGCGAGCCAGGAGCCTCAGCGTATCGGTCGGAAACTTTTTCCGAACCAAGAAGAAGACTAGAAGCAACGACGTTGAAAGTGGTCGAAATGGGGACAGCGACGGTGCATCCGACGCATAAACATAAAGGCACATTGCTCGTGGACACAATGGCTTCTTGGGGGCTCCCTTGCGGGTTGACATGAAAATCTCCATTTACACATTATGATAATATTCCGCGTGGTTCATTTATTTCTCCCACCACTTCGGCCAGTGTTCACTACAAAATCTAGAACTTGGTCCCGTTTTTGTTTTGACTTGGCGACGGCGTTATATTGGAATATAAGATATTATAATGAAAGACGGCGGATTGTATACTCATCCTCGGAAGAGAATCACCAAATTAGACTGGTCATTTCTGTTTATTATGAATTCCACATTCTTGAAGAGGGAGCTCTCGTTTTCGACCAATCCGGCATCTCTGCCGACTTTAGCATTGCTCTTTGTTGACATCCGGCCATCCTAGACGCATGATGATTCTTCAAATTATTCACTCGTCATTGCCTTTAATAATAGTATAAATATTCTTATTCGATGGACCCTGTCAGAAGAAGTCGGCATTTCTGAAAAAGCCCCTGACTCACACGACCAGACCAATCGTGCCAAGGTAATTACGGCTCCCCCAAGAAGTGGCATGACCGACAGATTCAAGCCTGGTATTATTGCAAATCTGCCCAACAATGTGACAAAAATGAGAAGAGCTTGAAAGCCCATGCTGGCAGTCAACATGTCAAAGCGGCGGAAGTCAAGTGCCGGCAAATCACTACCCATGGCGATGCTCGACACAACTGCAGGATCCTGGACTAGAATCACGTTGCGTGCCAGCCGCCCCCCGGACCCTTGCCGAGGCATGAATGGTCAGATTATCAATCCATGTCATAGTTTGATGCTTGAAACTCGGCGACGTTTTTAATCGCGACGCATGAACAAATAATCTCGATTTGACACTTTTGCTTTGCTTGAATTCGAATGTGGAAAAAAAAATTGCCGTACAGCAACAAAATCGCCTTTTGTATTTATGTCCAATCATGGGCTCGTCGAAGATTTGATGATATTTCCTACGCTCACGCCCTCCTTCTACACCCTACCCTTCCCGTAGAAAACAACGCCACCAACATGAAGCGGGGAAAGGTCGAGTCCAAAAGAGAAGCTTCTTGCAGGACAAGGCCCGCGACCAGGCGTGTGTAGGTTTGCGCCCGAATTCTCGGGAGGCTTTTGTTCCTGTTGTTGCGCCATGTCATGTCCCGTCGAGGTCCAATCAAAAACATGTGCTGCGGAACTTATCTGTCTTTCTCTCTCTCTCTCTCTCTCTGTCTCTCTCTGTCTCTCTCTCTCGTGTCTTACTCTCTCGGTCTACTTCTGCATTAGTTAGGGCTCCGCGCATGCAGGAATTACCAAATGTAATCAGCTCTAATATTACTGGCAACATACATATCAGTACTACGTACATGTATGGGCGAAGGGACCTCATACGAAGAAGCTACTGTGGAACGACCACATCGTCGGGACGCGCAGCGCAACGAGTTGCCCCGTAGAACCTACATGCACCAGAAGCCATGATACCACTCGAGGTTCCGTAGGGCGGGCGAATGGCGATATTGTTTTCAGGCTGTGGAAATATATTGCTTCACTAGTACGAGGCTTGCCGTATCACAACCCCACGTCTTGTCAAACACAACGCGAAAAAAAAAAAGGTCACACTGGCAGCAAGGTGAAGTTGGCTGTTGAGCAGCGACAGGCTGTTTGCGTAACTCTCTTGGGAGACCGAAAAGCTGCAAGATTGACAAAATTTCCCTTCCAGACCACGAACATCAAGGCTGTGTTGTTAGTTATCATTATTGCAGCGACGCCACCAGACGCGAGAAAAGGTTGTGCATCCATCCCGCCGCAAAGCTGAGGGGTTTCTTGCACCACCACAAAGCAACTTGCACAAACGACATTGACGAGTAAAAAGGCCTTGTTCTTCGCCCCCCTGCTGGCATCCAGAACAGCTTCTCTCTATCCTTGTGAGGGACCACTTCTCAAAGGTCCCCCCCTGCCGCTCTTTTGCAGCGCCACCCCCCACAAACAAGCGAGCTATTCCTGTCTTGGTGCTAATAAGCCCCCTTTGTGTCTTGCAGCAATCCCGTCGTCCGCGCGAGACAGGAACATGCGCCGTTTTTTTTCTTCTTTTTTTTTTCGGGTCCCCTGGCCCGGACATGGGCTTTTGGCGAGAGAACATCCGTACTGATAATACGGAGTACTGGTAAAAAAAAAAAACACCACCAACCGCGGGGCCGGCCCACTGGTTTTGGAGGTTCCATGATGAAGCCCGGTACAAGCCTCGAGGATCACCAGTACAAGGGCCTAGCATGTGCGACGGGGGCATTGACAAGTCGGCTCCGCAAGAGGCGGACGGCCCCCGATGTCAGGAAGGGGGCAATCTAGTAATAAGTTGTGGACGGGGCTCATCAGTCATGTCATTGCCCAGCCATGATGAATCTAAAGGTACTCGGTAAGACATGAGCTCATATAATTAATAGCACGGCATTGACTGCCTAGGAATACACTGTTGAAAGCAAAACGCACCCTTTCGCACTCGTACACGCGCTTGTACCAGGTCGGTCAAGGCTGACGCGCTCTGTGGCTTGCTGAAGAGCATAAACAAAAGAGCAATTTGTGTTTGAGCAAAAGGTCCTTGTGGCGCTCTTCTCTTGTGTAGGCGGAAAAAACAGAGCTGGTATCCATGTCCACCGATCGCGCGTCTGATGCGGGTATAGTGCAAAGACCATTGAAATGCAACCTTGCAGCCGCTGCAAAGGCGGAGTAGGAAACCGAATATGCAGCGGCATCCTTTTCAGGTTGCCCTTTTCAAGTAGTGATGCGTGGCTTCATGCTGGTCGCCATGTAACCCAATCAAGCCATGAAGAAACACGGCCATGCCGCACCCGAGGCGTCATCACAAGCACCCTGGTAATCTCTCGCAGGCCGAGGCTGTGCCTTGCACTTACTGACGTATAACACGTACATGAAGACTGGGGTTCATGTACCCTCGTCGCGTGGCTTGCTGTCACCGTCCATCTCTCAAACCGTTTACTACGTAGATCTTGGCTCGAGGGAGCATGCAAGGTAACCAGACATGCGTTGAACTTGTTCAGCCTTTCCTCTGAGGGAGAAGAGGGTAAGCGAGCGCCCGCCCATGCGCTATTTCGGGCAAGTTTCGCGAGGTGGTTATCCGAGTATTACCAGTATAGTTAATTAGTTAGTAGCATCTTCTCAAAAGGAACCGTGGACGCTAATCTGTGGAGGGAAACGATGGACGCATTTCATGCAACTTTTGTCGGCGATTTCTGCGTCGCCCGTACTCCTCTTGGACTGAGAAAATCAGCGAAAGAAAAGGCCTACGATAATACGGGCCAGCCGAAAACCACGCGCTCGTTTGCCCCAAGCATTTCCGTCTACCGCGGTGCTTGCTTTTCGGTTATCCGCATTCTATCCGTACAGGCGCGTTTCAGGACCTGCTCATAGACCTCGCCGCAGTCCAGGCCTCGTCCCGAGACGGGGACCGGAGGGAATTTGTTGGCGAGACAAGGCGAGACAAGCTAGTCGACATGGAGGAAAACTTTAAAATAGAAAATTTAACTAACAATAATCTCTCGATCAAAAAGTCTTTTGTTCTATACTTCGATTAGCCAAGCTAGCTAGCACTCTACCTCACGTCTGAATTTATAAAAAAAAAAAAACGTTTGTCTGTGCAGGGCTTGGCCCGTGGACGGATGCAACAACTGCCTCGCCAGGTGCGTGTTTCAGAAGTCGGGGTCAACCGGGTTGCTGGGGCATGAGGGGTTCGCAATAGCTCTGAATGCAGCGCCAGCCTGCAACGCAAGACTGCCAGAAAGGCCAATGGGGACGCTGAATGAAAAGCTTCAAGTGGTGATCAAGTGGTAAGAGTAGAGACGACACTCTGTGCCTGCATGCCCCCTTCTTGTATAGAGTGCAGGCGGCAAAGCCATCATGTTCGGGAAATTCTAGTTTAGGCAGATTGCATCGATTGAATAATTACCACTTTTGTATTATATCTAACAAGGGTCGCAATGTAGCCTTTTTGGTCAGAGCTTTGCTTTGGGCGCAAATACATTACGCAATCGGCTCGCCCAACTAATCAACCAGAATGACACATATAACACAAGAAGTAACCAACGCGGATCTGCAACGCCATCATGGCGAACTGGTTAGGCCGAGTTTCCTGCACATTGCTGATCATGGGAAAGCCTAAAGATTTTCTCGTCCGGTCTTCTCCATAATGCAGTGGGAAAGGAGCCAACCGACTCTGCGCGTTGGCGCTAGCAAGGAGCCATGAGCCCATGTTCCGTGTCCGGCTGTATCAGAAGTTCAGAACGTCTGTTCCTTTTTGGCTTTTACTGCGGGCGCATGGACTTTGGGACCAGCAACAAGAAAGCTAAAAAGATGGGAAAATGGGGGCCGTTGGGATGCGATGGGCATACAAAGTAAGCAAGCCTGCAGGGCAAAGAATGCCCATTGAGATCTGTTCGCAGGGCGCCTCCGCAGGCGGCTGAACGGCTGAACGGCGCGAAGCGGTTTAAGTTGGCTGTGGCATTAACCTCACCTGAGAATCCGTATTCTACGACAATATCAAAGCACATTGTACATTGCTTCGTCAATGTGCTATAGTTGGGTAGTTGTGCGGCAGAACCGGAATTGCTATTCTCTGTCCCAATCTCGTATTCTTATTATTAGCGTGAGATGTATTATTGCATGTAAGCTGCCGCATCGCACCCGTTTTGTACACCGACTTTGATAATCTCGTTGACATGAAATGCATCTTCTTATCAGTTAGTGATTACATGATCGGAAACCTGAGCCGCGGGTGAATAAAACTTGAAAATTGCTGATCAACACTGGTGTCCCACCGGCAAGATTCAAAGTTGGCGGCGTAAAGGCAACTCGGACCAGAAAGGCTGCATGCCCTTTTTTCTCTGTCGCATGATGACAGACAATGCATCATTCATGCAGGCACAAGAACGTGCCGCCGATCTTTTGACACCAGAAACAAGAAATTTGTCTACGCAGACGAGTGAGGTCCGGAACGATGATGATGATGAACACGCCGGCATTGGGAGCGCACGATAAGCTTATACATTCTTGCGGTTGAGCTTTCCTTGGCCTTTGTTTATTACCCCCACACAAGTCTTTGAGACGCGCACCAACAAGTTGTATAAGCCATGTTTATATGAACCATGCACATTGTACTGTCAGCACTTGCAAGGGGGGCGGCAAGCTTTGCCAGTTACACGTTGCTTTTTTTGGCCGACAGGTGAGGCTACTGGAAAGCTTCTTCTCTTGCTTACTGGTGATGATATTACTGCGTCTCTCTGGGGCCCCTCCCTATACACACGTACTAATACGATACTGTAAGTACAGGCTGCGATGCCGTACTATTAGTAGCATCCCCCTGCAAGGCACCAAACACAATGGGACGTTGATAGTGGGAGGCACGGCATGTCGGTCGGATGCCGTGCGTCACATTGGGCTGGAAATAGACAACAGACGCGAGGGCCGTCTATTCCAAGGCGTCGACCACAATGAACAAACTATCAGTATACTGGACTGATGCATTACGCATGGGCCCGAGGGCAGTGCCAATCAGGACGGATCGATACAATTCTTTTGTGTCACGCAGCTCGAGACAAGGGCCACATGGGAAGAAGGATGGGCTCAAACACTATCCGGCGCCCGCTCGGCACCGTCGTCTTGACACGTAAATAACTAGAGAGCAACGGCCAGCAAACATGATCAATATATCCGTACATAATAATAATAGTAATAATAACAATAATGATAATAATAATAGAGAAAGACCCGAGAGTTATGCCATTCACAATTCATTTACAAAGACGAGTACAATAAAAACGTATAACTCGGTCTCTCCGTTTTATTACCCACCCTCTCTCTCCTCAGCTAATGAATGGAGCCGGCTCGCGATAACTTTAGCTATCCCGTCTTGCGCTAACCCCTGAGCTCCTCCTTTTCTTTTTTTACCTGTGGGATCCTTTTTGCTGGTGCCCGTTGCCCGTTTCACCAAAAACGCCGCCCTCCGCCTCAAAAGCTACCAGTATTATCTGTCTCTTTAGGTGTGGGCTGCGGAGACCCCTTTATTTAGTCGAGAGCGAGGCGTAAGCTGCCACTGGTGGGTAAAATTATTGTTCAAGTTCGCAGGCAGCACAGCACACGAGCTTTTGCGCCTTATTTTAGCTCAAAAAGCCCAGAGGAAAAATGCACCGCTCAACTCAAGATGCGAATTATGGGCTCCTTGCCGTGGGAGCACCGAACTGCGCTGCCTGCGCTGCCTGCGGTGCGCTGCGACAAAGGTTCGGCAATTGTAAACAGTGCTCGTGCTCATCAGAGGAGGGGGGGGGGACGGCATCAAAAGATTCCAATTGGTACAACGTCAGAAGGTCCTTGGGGAAGCACAATGAGGTTCATCAGGGCTGCTGCCTGCTTGCACACACGATGCAACACAAAAACACACACGGGTTCGGGTTGTTTCCATGGCTTCCACGCAAAGCGCATGCTGCCCGTCCATCTCGGCCGACGTTGTGCTACCAACAAAGAGTCTGTACTCCCTACTCCGTGCTACTCGGTACAACTTGACTGGTTGCTGCGATTTGTGCTGCGATTTGTGCTGTGCTTTCTCTCTACGGATCCGTAACGCAATACGAATTATGCAAATGCTCCGCCCACCACGCGACAACATCCAATTATTATCTAGCCTCCTCAGTTCCTGGGTGCCTGGCTAAAATAACTAGCCCAGGAGCGAGCTCTTGTGGGCTTCCGTTCTTGGCTCACTAACACTAGTGACTGGGTAAGTAATATGCAAGCCTCCCCCCCTCTCTCTTCCATGACGCAGCTGGCGACATGTCCACAGAGTGTCCAAAGCTGTCTAACTACGGATTAGCTGTGTGGGTGTGTGGGCTGTAGCTTGCGAAGCCCTAGCTTCCCTTCTCAAAGCTCTGCCAGAACTCTTTTGGCTGGTACTGCCGCAAGGTGGGAGCTGCCGTGGCCCGTTCAGGCAGGCACAGAAGACCACCCCTTCCTTCCTCCTTCGAAGAAAAAGCCATGGCTGTGGGACGCAGTGCATGTCTCACTGATAATGGTGTCAAACCCCCCCATGACGCCAGAAGAAAGAAAAAGAAGTAAAAAAAAAAAGATGAGAAAATTCTTTAGAAGGTTGCCGTCACCGCTTGAAAGGGTCCCAGCTTCGCGGCGCAGTTCTAACCCCAGCTGCCTTGGGGGGAAAAAAAAACCCCTGCCTGATTAGTCATTGCCAACTGTTGTCGTTCGCGTCTCAAAGCAAGTCATCAAGGCTGTCAAAACATAGCGTGCTCCGAGACATATACCGTAGTTATGCCCAAGAGACTCGAGATGCTGCATGCAACGACCTTTTCATTGTCGAGCGCGGACACGGCGCGTTGCATCTTCTAGCCTGCTGCAAGTTTACGAGTACTGCTAACTCTCATCCAACCCTCATCCAACCCTCATCCAATCGCCTTTCTTGATATTTTCAAGGATGTTGCGCTTCCTTACTTTGTACTCCCTCAACCCCTCCTCCACGTACATCCATGATCCATCCACACCCCCTTCCCCATCGAGCCGACGGCGCACCAGGTTTGCTCTTGATGGCTTTACCCTCTTTGCCTCTCTCAGCCTGCAAATTGCGCCAATCTTGCCCAGGTCTTTCTAGTTAGTCCAACGTTGGTTGCAAAATTTATATCATGCTGCCTCCTCTCCCAACTCAGAGCCCTACCAATACTCGGTACAGATCACCCCATTCATTCCTTGCCGCTTCTTCTTTTGCTCGTTTCAACCCATTCTTGATGGGCTCACTCTCCTCCACCCTCAGTGAGTATCGACAGTAACCCTCGAGGTGCCTTACGAATACAGACCCGCACCGACAGACAGACCTTGTCACCTTGCAAGCAAAAAACCTACCAGGGCCAAGGATTATCTTGTCCATCCTCCTCCACTGAGTGACAATGTGGGCCAATGGCTCCCCGGCCTACCTCACGGGGCTCTACACTGCTCCAACCGCGCCTCTGCTCAGGGACAGGCCCGCGAAAAATGTTGATAAAACTGCTACCTCCCGACGCGGCCACACCTCTGACAGCACAGGTACTCGTTCGGGCCTCGCCGATATATACCTGCCTACTGTCAACAGTCCTCCATCTACAGATAGCCTCCGTCGTTTGAATGCTGAGCAGAGATTGGATAATACCAACTTGCCTCTTGGTCAGGGCCATAAAGTCGGCTCCTCTTCCTCGTCAATAACCTCCTTTACCGGCGGCATACTCGACCAATTGGACATCATGGACCGCGCCCGTCGCTCATCCTTCACCTCGATTGAGAGCACCCACCTATCTAAAGACGCCTCCGAAGCATTCCAGCAGTTTTCCAGAAATCTTTTCCACCGGCGTGGCAGGTCCAAGCAGGAAAGCACTTCTTCTGACAGCTCTCTATATTCGGCAGATGGCCCCGTCGACTCGGGCAGCGTACTAAAGGACGCCGTCCTCCCAAAGCTCTTTGCAAGACGAAAGCCATCTCGCGATGAGACTGCAGCTCTTCAGAAGCGCCTGCAAATTTCCGGCCCCTTCAACTTTCAGCATGTCCTTCACACCAACCGCGACACAGCAGAGGATGCCATGACCCAAGAAGATGCCGCCAATGAGGTCAAGAGCAGGCCCAGGGCCACAACAGGCGCTTCAGATTTCACTTATACCAACGTTTTGGCCGAGACTGTCGCCGAGCATGGAGATATTTCTGATATCCCTCCCCCACGACCTGGGCTCATTGCCCGACACACTGGCAACTTTCAGACTATGCGCCGTTTCATCAAATCTAGCAAGATCTCAGACTTTCCCTTGCCCATCGCGCCAACATCCGCTCCAACCAACCGCCAACCACCGCAACGACCTCCCAGATCCCCCATCGAGCCCGAAGCCTCATCTCCGCCTCTCCCCCCCCCTCGAATCTCCAGCCGTCAGACATTTTATCCCGCCTCAATTGACACGCAATCCTGCTATTTCGCTGAGCGTCCCATCAAGAGCGCAGGCTTCCAGCGGCCCCAGCCATTCAGCCCGCCGAGCCCCGTCGAGCAGCTGCCCACACCAACTCGAGTAGCATTTACAGAGCTTGCTGACTCCTCAGCATTATCCCAAGAGGGACTTCTCAGTCGACCTCGAACTGCCACCCCGGAACCAGCGTGGCCCTTGGCCAGTCCCACCATTGCCAGCTTCGAGCCACCGCTCCCCGACCTCATGGAGGATGACGGTCACACGAGTTGGTCCTCCCGTGCCCACACCAGCCACAACAGCACCAACGCGTCGCTTCGTGGCAGTCGATCGGTTCCCATGTTGGCAATGCTCCCCGAGGATCAGGACGCAGGAGCGACGAAGAAGCAGCCCATCGAAACGAGCGCATGGACTGCGCAGATGAAGGCCGAGTTGGAAGAGTCCCTCTATCTCAGCCCCCCGCTGGGCCGCGCAAGCTGGGAAGAAGACATTGACTATTGCTACGAGCACGAGGCCGAGGCCGACTGCGACTACCAATGGGAGCGTCCCTCGATGGACTTTGCCCCCGGCGGCAGGGTGTTGGCCGCCGCCCAGAGCTACTCGGCCCTAGAAGAGACGCTGGCCAAGGCACCCGCCCAACGTTATCCCGGTATGCTGCCCTCCGCGTCTGGTTTCGAGGTGCCGGAGCTAAGTCCCGCCAGCCAATCTTCGGCTGTACTAGGTCACGAAGCCATCACGCCACTCTCGGCCGACGCGACCGACGCGCCACTGCAGCTCAGCTACAAGTGCACCGAGCTCGCCGTCCCGCTCCGCCTTCACGACTCGCGCGAGTACCAATTCTCGCCGTCGCTCCTCATCCCGCAGGACTACCAAGCCGAGCCCTCGACAGCGTACCATGGCCTCCAGCCCTCGTCATTGCAGCGCTCTAGCACGGCCACCATGGCCAGCAACTACACATCAAGCACCGACTCAGTCGGCGAGCGCCACGCATCGACCAACTCGAGCTGGACCACCTTTACGCGGCACACCGCGAGCACCTCGTCGCTCAACAAGCTCGGCATGTCCTGGGTTGACGAAGTCGAGCCGGTGCCCGCCATAGCGGCGGCATCTACCCCGGCCGAGACCCACGAGCCCGCCGCGGACCAAAACGAAACGTCGACGATGCCGCCTGCTTCCGAGGACGTCGTGCCCGAGCTTGTCCTTGCCGTCTCGCCCCCGAATCGGCGGACCATGCACAAGAGCCACGCGAGCGAGTCTATCCTCCGCAACAGCGTCGCGCCCATTGACGCCCAGCAGCTACCCAAGCCGCGCCGGCCCCGCGCCCGGACATCGAGTCTGGGCCAGGCGCCGCCGATTGGCCAGTATGCCTTGTTCCCGCGCAGCAATATTCGCACGCACGGTGATAAAATCTAAAGGCAAACTTGGTTCCATTACATATATACATATGAATATTTTGCACATACACAACAAGTCCCCACGGGCCAACTCTTACAAAAGCATCGCCATGTTGGCAGCACACTCGCTACGAAAGCCTCTTGTACTTTTTCACACACATCCTCTTTTGTTCTTTTTTTTTTTTCATCTTGGCGTTACAAGCAATGGGGTCTTTCTTTTCTCTTTTTCTTTTGCTTGACGGAAAATTGGGATAAAAAGCAGTTAGACATTTGCGACCTCTTGCACCACATGCGGACGCTCCTCTGCATCGATTGCAGAGCAGCCCGCCTCTTGTTTTTTCTGTTTTTTTTTTTCTATCACGTATGCATCATCACGGTCGTTACAGAGGCGTACATGATCATTATCATCATCATCATCATCATCATCATGAACTTTTTATTTATATATATATAGGCAAGGGAAGAGGAAACAGCGCAGAAAAGGACCGGGGGATATCGGGTATATATCTACTGATGTGGACGGAAACATTATCGTGTGTTTGTCTCGTACATGGAAATGATACATTTTCAAAAAAGAAAAAAATGATTCTGATTCGCAATTCTTGTGCATGTATACTCAAACCGCTCCGAGGGGGGGCTTGTCATCTTCCTAGACGTTGGCGCCACAGCAATGCTGAGTCAAGGTAATCAATCCAGTGATGCAATGCTATTTTGCAAGCCATTAAAGATAAAACTTGGTAAAAGGGTTCGTTCGACTTTTGTCAAAGCACCATACAATACAAAATGACCAAAAAAAAAAGTCCCATTTTCCCATAACGCCACGTTCCTCGCTCTCAGCACCTGCTTCTTTTTCCCATGGCGACAACAACCGCGTCTCTCGGTCCTTATGGTACAGCCGGCCGTTGTCGCACTCCATGTAAAAGTCGATGGGCACCGAATGTTTTGCACACCCTGTCCGAGTCAATGGGCAGCATCTAGCCAGTCTTCTTCTTCTTCTTCTTGGGCTGCTCATCTTCATCCTCATTATCGTCCATGTCCTCGTCATCCACGTCGCTCTCGCCCGCGTCGCTGCCCGAGCCGGCATCGCTCTCCCCGCTCGCCTCGGGATCACTAATATCGCTCTCTGTATCGGCGTGAAAGTCCTCGTCCACGCTCTCCTCGTCCTCGTCCGCGGATCCGCGGTCGGCGGCGGCACCCTTGACCACCTCGTCGTCCGAGTCGTCCAAGTCTTGGTCGCGCAGGGCGGCGGCGCGCAGGTTGGCGTCCTCTTCAATTTCGTTCTTGACGCGCAATCCCTTGAGCTTGAAAAACGTCTCGAGCGCTTTCAAGTCTTCACGGTTAATGTTGCTGAATTGCGACGAGCCCGCGCCGCCCTTCATGGCGACGGTAATGTCAAAGGTCGAGAGCGTGGAGACGGCTCCCCCCACGCGCGAAAAGGTAATGGACTGCGTCTGCTCGTAGGCAATGTACGTCGCCGGCTTGGGCACGAACATAAATGCCTTTTCTAGGCAGTACAGAAAACCTTCGCTCGCTTTGATGGAGCACTTGATGCCGTACTGGCTGCGGTGACTGCGAGGGGTTAGAATTAGCACAATGAGAAAGGGTCATTGCTACATACGTGATGAAGTCTTTGGCAGGCGATGAAATCTTCTTGTTTGCAAGACCACGGAAAATCTTGGCCACGACGTGGTGCAGAGGCTCCTCGTAATGGGCATCAAGCTTGTCCTTGTACTTGCTCTCCAGCGTGGCCTCATCGAGGCTGAGGTCGATGATGACTTCTTCGTCCTTCTTGAACTGCATAACCACAAAAGGGTATCTCGTTTGTCCCTGACGAAGAGGCGGGTCAAGACCGATACACAACATGCAGTGCATCTCGTCGGGCTTGGGGAGAACCATGAATTTCTTGATGGCGTCGTATTGAATCTTGTAGTCGTACGTTTTACCACGCAGTCGAAACGATGCTTCATACATGTCGATATCGAAACGGCCTCTGTTTCTAGTCAGACCAGCCCATTCACCAGAGAGGTAGTCTCGTCACGTACCTGGGAGTAAGATGCAGAACATCCAGAAAAGTGGCGATAGTATCGCCAGCCATTTCACCAATCTCTGCCTTTTCCATCAGCGTTTCGTAGAAGAGCGTGGCAGCATTCTTTTCGGGCTCTTGCTCCTGGTCGCTGCCCTCGCCGTTCTCGCCATCGACCTCCTTCTTGGAGGTACCGGGGACGTAGAACCGCATCTCGACGAGCTGGTCTCTACCGGCCGCGGCTTTTTTGCCCTTTCCGTTGGCCGTCGCGGTGTCGTTGCCATCCTGAGGCAGCGACATTTCCACGGCGACTTCGTTGCGACCAGCCAGGTTGGTGTTGCCAATCTCGGCATAGGGAAGCTCGAACGCAGGGCGATTCTGCACGTTGAAAATGAGTTCGGCCTTGGAAAACTCGGTCTTGCCCCAATTCCAGCCACGCAGGGCGTGCTCCTTGCTCTCGAGGGCGGTGCTATACCAGTTCTTGAAGACCTTGCTCAGGCGATCGTAGTCCTCTTGCTGAAAGCCGTCGAGCTGGATGATGCCCGAATTGCGCTGCAGAATTCGAACCTCGTAGCCCTTGGCGACCTTGCTCCATTGCGCGCTGCTAATGTTGTTATGATCGAGCGTAAAGGTATCACCACCGCCGTTTGGCTTCCAGCCAAAGCCAGTCTCTGCAAATCGGCATCGGCCGCTCTCCTTGGAGAGATCGAGATAGATATTATCGAAGCTCTCACTGTTTGTATAATAGTGTTTAGTGTCTGTGTAAAGCAAATCATCATCCGATGCCCTGCCTCACGGCGTGGAATTGTCCATGAAGCGGCGGGCGCAACGATATTGCAGAGGGCAAGACTTTGCGCAGACTCACATGGCAGTCATCTTGGGCGAATTTTTGTGATCCGGATGAATTTGGTAGTTCAAACTTCCTTCACGCCGCAATCTACTAGGTGGGAGCGCGCAATGCGAGAGAAAGAGAAGCTTGGATGCAATGTGCAAGCTTGAGCACGAAGCGAAGTGATTGACCAGCAGGGACTTGATTGGTGTGGAGCAGCCTGCACGTCGCCAGCGCGTTCTTTGGTGTGCACTTTAGATTGGCGACGCGCCACTCCATAAGTAGTCCCTACATCACTCTGGTGAAGAAATGCCAAGCCAAAACTGAATGAAAATTCAAGCTTGATAAGAATACTAAAATGATTCACAGCACTCGCGTTTGTCGTTTGGAAAAAACTTATTGAGGATCCTCCGCAGCAAATACTCAAATGGGTTCAACACTACACTCGCCACTCTATCGCTTGCAGTCCAGAGTCACAAAGTCGCTGCTGGTCCTGTCGCCCTGCTTGATATTGGTCTGGCAGATGAAATGATCAAGAGTGCCTGCTACGCCCGCATACGTAATAACTCGCACCTTGAGCGTCACGGCGCCGTCTTTGAACCAGAACAGGCCGGGCAACCTGACGTGATTCTCTCCCAGTCGCAGAGCTAAAGCGTGTTAGCAATCCAGTAGACGACAAGCACGTACTCTGCACCAGGCTCGTAAACTCACTTTTCGCGTCCGTGACGGTCAAGACCTGGCCCATCTCATTGTCCGGGCTGTCGAGGTTGTTGGGCAGCTCGCCCCAGATGTAAGCCACCTCCCCGCTGCTCATGGCGCTCTGCACATGAACGAAAGCAGCAAACGACTCGCCCTTGCGGACAGCTTTGGGCACTTTGATATCCACGAGGGATGCGTGGGTAGATGCGGCCAAGAAAGACGCCTGAAGGAGAGCTGAAAAGCGCATCGTGATGGTAGTAGACTTGGAGTATAATTCGACTTGATGCGATCAATATGGAACTGCATGTACTTTATATGTATTTAAAAGCCTTTTTGATGATGCTACTTCAAGCTGAAAGCCATGCACGGATGAAATATTGCTATATGTGGCGGCATTATGTGACGATACGAGCCGATGCATGTCACCGACATACGCTCCTTCCATGTCACTGCCATGGCCAGCGGGTTGCTCAGCGACTCTTGGCCTAAACAGGGCGAAAAGGGGCAAACTCACCCTCTGAGGGACAAATTTCGACCAGTCAATACGAATATCATGAATACCATGACGTACCGAGACCTGTGATTATCCGCGGTGTGGTGTGCTGTGGTGTGGTGTGCTGTGGTGTGGTGTGCTGTGGTGTGGTGTGCTGTGGTGTGGTGTGCATTGTGGTGCGTGGCGTATACTCGCGAGGACCAGCAAGCATGTCCGCATCCTCATGGCTCTCAAAGAGCATACACGGACCAAAATAGCCACGAAGCCGGCTGAGGCTCATACTTAGGCACAGGAATACTCTTGACTGAAGGAAAACTCAGGAGCATCAGCATATCTTCTTGAGCCTATTGTCCGTATTGAACCACGCGCAGTAAGGCTACGTCACTGTTGCAGGCGCAGGTTGCAGTGGCGTGGCCATAGCCCGTCAGACACATGTAGTGATACTTGGTGGCGACTTCTTTCGCCTCTTGCCCTTCGCATCGTCATCCCTTCACTTTGACAGCATCAGGTTCGTCGCACTCGACAGGACACATGCGGTGTTACTACAGGCCGGCTGCCGCGAGAATAGTGGCAAGCAGCACCATATTGCGAGCCGCACTCAAGCCTCTGGAACGTAATCTGAGCCTCCCAGTCGGGCTGAAGCCTCCGGGCGAGGCTGGTTGCAAAGCGCCTCCTGTGGGCTCATTCGTGGCATTGCGTGGCCCGAACAATCACTCATATGACAGAGTACAGAAGAACAGGGTGTTGAGACATCGAAACACGGGGATGAATTTCCACAACATATTTTGTATATCCTAAGCCGTGGTGTCCCAATGGAGCATTGTGCGAATATCAATCGCTGCAGCCGACAACTTAAAACGCCATATACCCCAAACAATTAAAAAATAAATGTTCTTTACACAATCATATGTACCGTCTCTTTGTAGGTTAAATATCCACCGAAACGGGCAGTGAGTTGGACAGGGCAACACTGGCCGAGCTTGCGCAGTTCTGCGTGCGATACTCTGTCATTTTCTGCTGTACCGATTCCGCTACCTCGAGCGCATTCTCCAGTCCCGTCTCATCGTAGATGGCCATTAGCCTGTTGAAAACATAGGCGCGCTTCTCAGGGGTGCAGTTGGGTGAGATGCCAATCTTGAACAGCGGCCAAACAATCGAGGTGCACGAGCCCGCAAGGGTCATGATGCGCTCCATGTCGCACCACAGCTCGCCGAGCGGCCGTTCCTTGTTCTCAAATAGAGACGGCAGCACAGCGACGACGGACTGTCCCGTCCGACCAGCCACTTCCTCGTGTGGCGTAACGATGGGCTCGGACCCCTGAGAGCTCGAGGGGCCCAAGTCCGGGCTTAAAGGCTCCGTGGGGGTGCTGATTGGAGACGTTTCCGCAGCGTCACTCGTGACATAATCTTCCCACCGGACGGTACCGAAGAACTGCGGTACACTAGCAATTATGGCGTCGCTCAGGGTGTTGTGCGTCTTGATACAACTGATGAGGAGCTCCTGGTCGGTGGTGGATAAGCAGCGCTCGTTGTCGACATTATGACAGAGCTGCTCGATGATGGCTTCCTGGAGAAGCATACGCGTAGATCTAATCCCGTTCCATGTGACAGTAGCTGTCAGACCAGGATATACATGGCAGTTGCGATGCATAGCCGTCGGTGTCACGGTTGGCAATCTGATATTGCGATACCGCCAGATTTTCGCTAAGCCCGAGGCCAGGAGAGCCCATTCGGCATCGCACTTGGCGAGCATGGAGATGATTTTATCTCTTCCGGTAATCCTGCCCGTCTTGATCTGGTGTCGTACCTCGGTCGTCGTGAACATGTGGTCGATAAGGTTTCTGTTTGTCTGATCGAGCTTGCCCATCTCCAGAGACTTGTTGCGCAACTCCTCAATGACATGCGGTACGGGAATATCGGAACGCATGCAGCTGAGAAGCACACTGTAGCACAGCATTTGGAACATCTTGCACCCTGCAGGAGTCTTGAACTGGTCGGTACCTCGAAGTGTGGCGAGAGCGGCAGCGCCATCGACGTGTTTTTGCCACGCTTCCATGGTCTGCGGTGTGCTTCCGGAGACGACTTCAAAAGAGCTCAGAAGAAGGACAGAAAGCATCGTGGTATCCTTGACGGCTTCGGCGGGATCGCTCAGCGCGGCAGTAGTCAAGCCCAGCGCAGCGCCATAGTTGCGTCGGGCCATGTCCATGATTTTTGTAGAGCGAGTTACTTTGGAAAGGCCGGCCAGTCCAATAGCAACGATGCCAGCGGCGATGCTGTCCTGATTCCCGGGACTAGGATTGCTGGGGGGTTTCCAAACATCGTAAATGAAGTCGTAGCTCTGGTATCCAATGTCGTTTCTGGCAACATGACGGGAGAAAAAAAAGGCCATACCGCGCTCGTGGAAGGAATCTTCAGAATAACACGGCAAGAAGAGGTCTGGGTTGATTTCTTGTCGAGGATTCTTTGCCCGTGCCAGCTCTCGCTGTTTTTCGCAAAGCCAGGCCTGGTCCGTGGTAGGATAAGTATTTTTGTGCCTTGCTTTGCTGGATAGAAACCTGGACACAGTCTGTGTTTGCTTCCAATTCAATGGTGTTGTTGACAGAGCAGGCGAGGCCGATTCGTCTGAACTACAGGGAGATGCGGGGCTGGGAGACTGTTTGCGGCCGTCTGATCTTTTGGCCTTTTCAATGACATGCTCGCTCTCGTCGCGAAACATGAGGTCGACGAGGTTACGGTAGCCAGGACATTGCAAGTGCCTCTTTGTGCACTGGCCGCAGTGAGGTTCTCCTTGGTCACACTAGTTGAGGGCAGTTAGAAACAGGGTCGGGCGAGAAGCTCGTAGAGGTTGCACAAAAATTCGCATACCTTGACTTTGCGTTTGCGGCAGTTGGAGCAGCCTTTAGAGGGTTTACCGCAATACACCATTGTGTGGTTTTCTGAAAATGAGACAAGATAGTCTGGCGTTGCGGAGCAATGATGGCATACGGGAAAGATGAGGAAGGAACCTGGTGTTGGCCGGGGCCGGAGGGTACCAGCAAGGGCAGGTTGACAACGGCTCCTCTGAGCAAGTGGTGAGGCGAGCCGTGGCTGCAGTGCATGTGGTGTAGGAAATAAAATATGACAGAGTACCGAAATTGTCCAGCTAAATCGCCACCACAGATTTGTCTCGGGAGGTGCAAGTCTCGAAAAGGCAAAAGGAGTCGTGGGCGAAGACTCAATTCTGATGCCCTTGAGAGGGGGGGGGGGGGTCGTGGATGTATATAAGCCCGAAAATCGGTGTTGGGTCGGGGAGCTGGGGTGAATAGGGCAGGGTTGGTGGTGTGACAGGGCGCAGAAGATAAGAGTTGAAGATGGCAAATTGATGTAGGGAAGAATCTGAAAGAAGGAATTTGCGAAGGGAACTCGCAGCTAGGAATGTAAGTCGAGTGGTGGGATCAAAAGAACGACAGCGGTAGGACAGAGAAGGCAAAGAATGAAGCGGGACAAGTGCGCTTAAGAGGATTGCGGCCGTCTGAATTTGTACAGCACAGAGTCGTCGGGTTAATTAATTCACTCCATCATATGAGGATGGCTAACTGCTTGAGGTAAAGGCTGCAGACATTGGCAGACAGCAGAGAGCTAAAGGAACTTTGTCAAGCTTGCAACGATTTGTCGAAATGTTGGCGCTAAATTAGGCGGTTTTAGAAGGGTCCTTTCCCACCACAGCGCATTAAAGCCCTGTAAGCCTCCGCGGTGCCTCGGTTCACTACACGCACCACCTATGTACGTGCCTACAGTTACCTACCTACCTCACCTAGGTACATAGGTAGATAGCATTTCTGGTTACGTTAGCGCCTTATCCTAGGTCGTGCGGTATTCCCTAAATTCTGATGAAGTCGGACATCTTTAGTCCATGTGCAGGGGCGTCTAAGGACAGAACATTTTAGGTACTTTGGGAAAAACGGAGGAGAAAGAAAAAACCTGCACCCGTCACTCATCGCTCTACGATCCCGCCTGGCAATTCGCCTGGCAATCCACCCATCGTCACCGCCCATGACGGGGCTCAACCAGCCCTGTCATCTGCTCATTGTCCAATGAAAACCAGTCAACTCTTCTCCAACCTCAGCTCGGGGTGCTGGCGAGGGCCTTCCTGCATGGTGTGTAGCCCTGCGGCTGGCCTCTGGTGCTGGGCTGACCTACCTCCTACCACACAGCGAGCACTCACCGTCAACATAGTCAACACAATGTGTTACACCATCATCATCAAAGGACCGAAATATACAAGTCGTCGGCATCAACTGGCTATTGCTACCTCGGATGCATTACACGACCTCACTGCAGTCACCTGTAGCTAGACTTCAGCCTAGCCTTAAGCGTCGCTACTAGTCAGCTGCATCGCAGTCCAACCCACAACAACAACCGATGGCAGCAGCGTCCATGTTACAGCAAACGGCACTACATGCCCCATATGTTGATAGCAACGGCCAGTATTGCTATTCACAGCTGTCCAATCGCTGGCCAGCGGACGATATCGATCCGCAGCCAAACGGCCAAAAAAAAAACCTCTGTACCCGAGCACGTGCTAGGAACTAGAGGAAACTTCCTGCATCCGAAGCACTCTAGTACCCAAGATGATCGATCAAACTCGAGCCCATTGCCGTGTGGATATCTCTTGTCTGGTTGGCCGTGCCCACAGGTCAAAGGCTATTGACGAGGCAGATAGATGCACGACATCGGCAATCCGACCACACAGCCCGCCGCTCAACCCCGTGTCCAATTCAACACGGCGCCTTGGCACCTTTCTGGTCTTCAGGCAATGAAAACGGTCGGCGCTAAAATCAGCTCGGCTGCTTGACTTTCAGGGTCAAACAGCTCGAGTTATGCCTCGCCTTCACACGCGTTCAAACTCAGTCGCAGACATACTTGGCTCCAGATATAGACGAGCCGGTTCTAATGGATCAGTGCCAGCCTAGGGCCCGTTACGCGTTATCCAGGCTCGAACCTCGTCGTTTGCCATCGAGGGTGATGGCAACAGCAGCAGCACCACCACCTAGCAAGGCCGCGGGAGGCGCGGTGGAAAGGCCCATGTCCGCGCAGGACGTGCACGGCCTTCAGCAAGGCAACGAGAACCAAAAGCTCGCCGTCTCGTAGTTATGAATGCTAAATGACGCTTCGTTATGCTTGCTGGCGCTAAGATCGGTCATGGCCTTGATGCCTGCCATCTCTAGTTAAACCGTCCTTCCATAGGCCGAATGCATGCGGGATCTTTGGCCCCGCTAACCCCCCCCCCATAGCCGGCCCGCCATATCTGTTGCCGACCGCTCACGCTCATGCCATCGGCATTCGCCCGTGTCCGCTGATAGATTCTTGATATTGCCAAGAGAAAAAAAAGGCGCCGCCAAAAATCGGTGCTAGGCCGAGCGGGCACCTTTGCCACAAGAAGAATGGCGACGAGCCCACAAGCGAAGAAAGGACTCCCCGTATTTCTATTGTAGCAAGATTCATTTCGCTCCGCACGGTGCCATTGTGTCAGCCTCGGGGTAGCCTGGCCCATTTTACGACATGGGCACAGGAGTTCCTCGCAGGCGACAGCCAGGTGACAGCCGAATTGTACTTTGATGGGTGACTTTGAAAGCTGCTGCAGCGCTTTCTTCCCGCCATCTCGCCATCTCGCCTCATCGCCCTCGTTGTCTGCTTATGCCTCACTATCAACGATCGAAAATGATTAGAGCTTGTGTACTTGTTGCGACTACAGCGAGAACAAGCGAGACAGTGATATCGAGAATACAAACATGAACAAGGACAAACTGAAGAGTCGGACATCTTACTATTCTTAGTCCCAAGACGCCCGCTTTCGAATTATGACCACGAACCACAAACAAAAAATAATTTATTTGTCCTTCTGCTATCCGCTTCCCAAATTACTTTCAACTTCCCGCCATGATATACCATGCATCATCACGCGGCGCGCCGTTGCATCCCGCTCAAGCACAGCCCAGGCACAATCTATCCCCCTGACTGGGCAATGCACAGCTTCTCTCTAACATTTTTTTTTTAATTTCAGCTCTCGATGCGTCTGCCCGAGAATGACTTCTTCTGGACTAGCCCTCGATGCAGTAACAGCCTCAGCTGGACCCGTAGCTTCGGCCGTTCTCTGTGTAACAGGTTCATGCAGTCATCACCTTGGTACTCGACCGGTGCTCACAAGGCGAGCCAGCATGGCACCTCCATGAATGATGGCACAAATTTCGGCGTTTTGCAGTTTTAATACTCCTATCGAGCTGTAACTTGTCCGGCGCAAGGACACATGTTACAGCACGGTCGATATCCTGCCCGTTGAAATGCTGATAGTCAGTCTTATGCACCGCCCACGACCGGTGCGTTGCCTGCCGTGAAGAAAGATGTATGAAAGGTAGCGTGATAATGTAAGTCTTACGTTCAGATATATACACTATGTACAAGGTGGGTATGTATACTTCTATCAATTGATAAACAAGAAAAAAAGATCGTGGGTCAAAAGAGAGGCGCAGTTGGATATTCTCGGAAACAAGCCGACCTTTCAAGAAACAATAAACGAATGAATAAGCCAAGGAAGAAAAATTGACAAAAGGAAACAACGGAGGATAATCGGGGGAACTGCAACCCGTGCCACCCGCTCGCGCCCTTCTACGGCTGACCTCGCAACGAAGCTCAGCCCCTCGGTCCGCCAGTCGATCGCTCTTCAGCCACAACATGCAGGAATAGAGACGGTCGCCCCTCATCCTCGAGGCCCATATCGATCAACAGAGGCAGAGCGCTCGTCGTATCCTCCTTCTGTCTCTCGCATCGTGGGCAACCACCTGCGGATCGTCTTTCGAGCTCCCGGCCGTCCGTCCACTTCTAGGTCAGAGGCGCGCCGACGCCAATCGTCAGTGTCTTGGGATTCGGATCGTTCAGGAACCCTGACTGATCCACGCCGTTGGAAGACCCAACATCGTCGTACGGAAACGCGTAACCGCGGCCCTCGACGGCCACGGCGTGGCAGATGCGCGCGTAGTGGTTCGTCACATCCTCCTGGTAGTACTTTGCCACATTCTCGCCTTCGGGCTGCTTATTATTAATGAGCAGCGTGGAGCGGTTGAGCGCGGCAGCAAGGCGCGCGCCCACGTTGAGCGACTCGTCGGTGGCGCCCTTGCCGTGCTCAAACGGGCCCGAGTTGCAGGAGAAGATGTCGGCGGCGGACGGCTTGCCAAACTTACCGGCGTCGCCGCCGAAGTCGAGCTCCCCGGCCTGGTTGACACGGCCCTTGACATCGCCCCATTTGAACTGCGTGTTGACCGTGAGGTCCTCGTCGGCGTACTTTTTCCACACAGCGTCGACGTGCTTATCGTAGTACCCTTTCAGCAGATCCGGCACCATGACAGCGCCCGAGTTGGGGCTGAGCGCGCGGAGCAGCTCGCCCGCGCCCGACTTGACGACGAGCTTGTCCCAGCCGGCGCTGTCCTTTTGGCCCTGCGCCGTCAGGCCGGCGCAAACCTTTTCGAGCCCGTCGCTCGGCATGCCCGCCACGTTGGTCACCTTGCCGCTGGCGTTTTCCAGGCGCAGGCTCACGGGCAAACTGACAAAGTCGACGTACGACACGTTGACGTAGAGCTGGCTGCGGTTAAAAGTAAACTCGGCAAAGCCCCAGTCGAGCTCGTAGTTGGCGTCCTTGTCGTTGAGCGCCGACGGCTCCACGAGCGCGGGTCCCGGGTTGACGAAAAAGCTGAGCGGCTTGTCCTTGGAAAACCAGACGCGGCCGCCCGACACGTACGGAATCGTCAACGTCTTGGTTTCACCCTCGCCGCCTACTTTGATGGCGCAGTCGGCTCCCAGCGGCGTCAACGTCTGCGTCGGGTTGGCCGGGTGGTGCGCCGTCTTGCCATCCGAGGACAAGAGGAAGAGGCCGTCATCCGAGGTGCCAGTAACGTGCGCGTACAAGGTCTTGGCATTGGTACTGTTGCGCAGCACAATCTCCAAGGTACCAGACATGGTGATGACGAGATGCGATGCCTTGTTGGTCGTTGACTCGGGGGATCTTTCCGTGTCTAGATTGCTATATCTTCCGTGTTGGCTAAAAGCGCAAGATCCTGCTTCGTGTCTTGGATGCGCGATAAACGGTGCTTGTTGTTTCACTCTCTCGGATTGAGCTAGTAGTTCAGATCCAATTTGATTATCTTGGCGGGGACCGATGTGGGTTTTGGCTTGAACCGATGTGCAAGTATGATGATGAGTTGAGAGAATCCAGGCCGGAGCAGAGGCCGCATCCACGCCCTTTAAATAGCCATCTCAAAGATCGTCCGAAAGCTCATCCTTTTATCGTACGGCTCACCGTGTGCACGCAGGATCGACCAGCTGAATGATTTTGTCTCCTGTGGACGATAACTCGAGAACCCCATCTTCGTCGATCGCTCCCGTGCTTGATATCCACATGCTCCGCCTCGTAGCTGTCATCCTGTTAGCTCCCTTGGCCCAAATCTCCCAAACTTTATGTCCAAGCTTTCGTTCAACTTTGCTTTTGCTTCAGTCACATTATTACTGATGCAAAGACATGACGTCGGTCCTAGAAGATAGGTCAAGTTGATTGTGCATTGCCCACGCAGTCACCTAGTGTCAGATGATCACCATGTCGCAGCCAACCCCTCCTAAGCACCTGACACACACCATCCCATCTTGAACTCGGTCTATTATCGTCACCCATTGTAGCGCATCATTACCACGGATATATAAACACTCCGAAGCTAGTTACCCTCGTGTCTACCTGCCCAGCCACACACAAGTGGCTCTTGGCCCGTCGCGGTTAAGTCTCAACCAGCACATTCAGTATTCCCACATCGCGTGCACTTAATCAGCTCCTATCAACACCAGCCCGATCAGCAGCAGTGCCATGTACCCTAGCCTGGGCGTTATGGCAGGCGCCAGACTCTTGTCACCGTTACCCTGCGTGTGATTTGGATCGAAAAACTGCCCACCATCTGTCGCGTCATCTACCGTCCCGTTGAGCACAGAACACACGTCAACCCGCTTCGAGCTGCAGCCCTTGTTCCACTTGTCCTCTCTTCTGATGTCTGATGAGTTGAAGTACGCCTTTACGTAACTGACAACAATAGTAGCGTCCTCCTGAGGCGGCCCACCCGACCACTTTGGGTTACCGTTGCTCCAGTGTTGCAGAATAAGATGCCCGGCACTGTCGGGGACCTGGTCGCCTTCCATCTCTACCAGCAATTTGCTGTCGGCGTAGAAATAAACTTTACCTGGCAGATAATCGAAGCGATATTCGTGAAAACCTGCAGACGGATCAAAGTCGAGGTTCACCGTCCTATATGTCGAAGTACCATTGGCATCGTAGCCTTTCGCAGCCGACTCCTTGGACTGTATCACGATATTGACCGGGAATATCTTCTTTTCCCAATCATATTCCATGGACAAAAATTCCATGTCGATCTCCTGTGTGTCGTTGAAATACTAGTCATCACCAGTTGTTCGTATTAGCAGGTCACCGTATCTACTACGGTCACACGAGGACTTTCCTTACCCAAAACAAGGCCGCACACGTGCCTTTCACAGGTGTCATTCTCATACCTGCTCTGTAAGAACCCCATCGAAGATCTTGACGAGCAGTATCTAACTCCGCAACAGACACAGCACCGTTGACAATAGTGGCACTGACGGACAACGCCACGCCAGCCTGCCTCCCAGAAGCATCTTTATCTGCCGCGCCCGGGCGGACAGCAACATTGTCTGGGGTAAAAGATTTGGAATATTTACCACGCCCAGCCTCTGCGGATACGTTGAACTCTTGTCGCTGCCAGTCCTTGGTTGCGGTGATAGACTTGAGCCTGGTGAAATCCGTTTCGATGGCTTCTGTGAAAAGCCAATCATCGCCGTGTGCGCCGCCAACTTGATAGCCGCACGTGCATCGCGTTGCCGATGCTATACATGCCCAGAAGAAGATGAAAACGAGAAATGGAACTTGCTGCCCGATGCTCTGGCGTTGCTGTCGCATGTCTGCTGCTCGCGCACGACGAATGCAGTCAATGTGCTGTTACTTTGATGATGCGCGGCGCGCGGCGTTAACCCTGGTATTTTGTCTTGTAGAGGCCTAGGCGAAGATGAACGTGAAGAGTTAGAAAATGTCGCGATCCTATGCCGCCAGCCCAAGTGGCCTCGCGCCTGCAGAAACAAAGCAGATTGGCTGGTACCTGCCTTTGCGTGCCATGTTACACAGACCACTCGCTTCCGCAAATGAAAACGCACCGACTGCCAGCCATTTGCGCCGACTACGCCAAGAATGAAAAGGACACCAATTTGTGACAGAGAAAGGTATTATCGATTCAAAGCAGTACTAAATATCTATACACGAGCAACGGGTCAAGTCGAGCCAGAGAGGAATCGTGCCGGAAGAGGCACAACTCAACATCGAGGTAGCTTCCCGGCTCTAGCGTTCTTCAAGCCCGTTGACACAACTAGGGTAAAAAAAAGACGATAATAAAATATCCAAAGAAGAGGAAAAGGAAAAAGGGAGTCAAGACATGCTAACAGACTCGCAAAAGGAAAGTAGTATGACAATAGTAAGCAAGAGCAACAGAAGACACAAAAATGCAGACAAGGAAATCGAGACGCAAGTAACCGCAATTTGGCACGGAACAGGCTGCTGGAAAGAGAAACAGAAAAGATGAAAAATCAAAGATAACAGGTAGTAGAACAGGAGAGGAAATGACTCGGCATTCCCATCATGGACCAGCCAATCAGTCTGCTGCCTGGGCAGAAATTAGTAGTCAGGATGCCATTTTCCTCTGCTTGCTCCGGTATATCATTTCAAACCCTTCCCCATTCGTATGCCAGTGTACCTGTAGTCCCACAGTATTACGTGCCCCGAAAAAGCATCAGAACTTAATGACAAAAAGGAAATGGCCAATTAAAGCAAGCGACATGTTGCCTGCTCTGTCTCAGGCGTCGCGGACAATAAAACTGGAAATGGGAATGATACCGATGAGATCTCCAATGGAAAGCAGATTGAGGCAGTGAAGAAGCGACAGACATAGGCAGGCCGACTCCATTCCCATTCAAGATTTCAAAAATGGACGCCGAAACCGAGATGATTAGCCTGATGACAAAGGCAAAAGAAGAAAAAGCCAAATCTGGAGGTATATGCAAAAGGAAACGGGGTGAAACCCTCAATGAAAACAGTAAGAAAAGATCGTTCAATCGTCGCAATTTTAGTACACGCTATCCTCGTCTGCTCCTTGAGAAATCATCGAAGGAGTGGAGACGTTTGAGGAAGCTTCACGATCGTCGACATAGCCGACGAGCGCTTGGGAGTGTAGCTTGAAAGATTCTCCCATGAGACGAGTTATCCCCCAAACTACGACTTCGTCGAGCATAGAGCCCCAAAGACGAGCGACAATTGAGCTGAGTCGAGACATGTAGGTCTCATCGAGGTCTTTGACAAAAAGCTGTCTTACTTTGTTGTACATGGCCAATTCTTCCTGCGTCGCCGGCTCCTCGTCATGTTCCAGACGGTATAGCCATAGCGAAAGAATGATCATGAGATCAAGCCCACACAAAGGATGCTCTACGCTCCAGTTTGTGGGTGAGGTGCGGGCAACCCATCGAACGCCCTGCAAAACGGCCGTTTCGATACAGCTATAGCATTCCTCGATGACCTTGATCATCTCGCTCGATCGCTTCACGCGATCGCGAGCGTGAGACATGGCAGCACCAACTTCGTAAGGGTCATGATAACGGAGAGCTTCTTGAACAGCCTTCAGGTCGACCTCGAGGCGAGAACGAGCGTTTCGGTACATGGCCTTGGCATTAAATATCAGCGGATGACCCTTGTGAGGGGCGCTAAGCGGAACGCTGACGGCCTCGGGTTCACAGCGTTCGAGAGACCTGTCCCAAGTTTCAAGCGCTAGACGCAGCTTGTACTCGGTGACGACGTCCTGCAGTGCTTCAGGGCTTCTTTTGTGATACCAGACCTCCAAAAACAGGGCGTTGATCATGACACGGGTGGCAAACGCGCTGTATTGCAGAGTCTCGCCCTGAAAGAGATTGTCGTGGGCCTCAAGGAACGTAAGAGCGGGTGAAGCAGTGAGATGTTCTTGCCATGCATAGTCATCGTTGACTTGCGCGTTCCAGAGACCCTCGGTAGACGGAAGCTGAAGATCCTCGAATTCATTGAAGCTGATTGCAGGAGTGTGATTGTAAGTTAGTGTCAGCAGACCAAAGAAGATGTAGACTGCGTAGTAGGTACGACGGCAACCTTCATCCTCGACCCATTCAGCGCGTGTGGGCGTAGAATTGCCGCGAGCTTCCTGGCGTAACTTGAGCTCATAACGATTTCCGGCTACCATGTTGGCGAGCAGACTCTTGATCGAGCACGCCCATTCGAGTCCCTTGGGGTCACCGCTCCAGCTAGCAAAGATCATGTTCAACAACGAGCTCTGCATGGTCCAAAGTGGGCACTTGCGAGAGCTGAAGTTTTCCTTGTTCTGCAGGAATTGATTGACGAGCACCTTGGAGCCAATGTGGAGCATGTAGGCTTGGTCTTGGTCAAAAGCGTAGAGAGCTCCGATACTCAATACAGCGAGAAGTAAAGGAGGTGAAACCTGAGCTGGGCTAAAGGAAGCTGGGTGCAAGAAAGGCAGGTGGTGATGGAACAGGCCAAAGTAAGTCGACAGGTAGCGGTTCAACGAGCCAAGACCAGGTAGACGGAAGCCCTCCGGTATGGCATTCTCGCGATCATGAGTGTGAATGATATCAAGCAACGCGTTGCGCTCATCATCGCCGGAGAACAGGGGAGCTCTAAAGCCAGCCTGAGCTGAGTCGAAAGTGGGACTCATGGGCGTAGCAGCATCAGAATGTGAAGCAGATCTCAGCATAGACTGAACGGCTGGGACGAAGCTGTGAGGATTCTGAACACTAATGGGAGGCAGATGATTAGGATGAGGCTGAAGGGTAGCGGCACTGGCGAAAGAACGTTGAGAATCAAAGGAGCCGGCCACACTGGGAGTAATAGGATGGGCCTTGGACTCCGCACCGGGCTGTGACAAGAAGCTTTCCCACTGAACCTGGGGCAAGGCAATGGCGCCAGAGGGGTAGGTGACTGCGGGCTCCATAGCAGCGGAGGGACGCGGCGAGTATGGCATGGACTGACTGTCATCATAAACAGATTCATCACTGCGCATGGCGGCGGTGGCCTTGTGGTGCAAGTCGGCAACAAGCATGGCGGCGGCTTCAACATCAAAGATGCCATCAGGACCATCCATCTGCTCCAGAGTGGAGGCATCAAGGGTTGCGAGTGTTGACTTGGGTGTACCATCAATACCTCGGGTCTTGGGACCTGCGCGTCGCTTTCCATCACTGTGCAGGGGAACACCGCCGTCTTTGGCGTGTACAGTACGGTCATGGCGAAGTAGCAAGTCGCGGCGAACGAATGTACTCCTACATTTCATGCATTTAAAAGGGCGTTCTTTGGTATCTGGAGAACAAAGTCAGTATTATGCACGGACCAAGGGACTGAATGCGTATAATGGGGTTGCTAGGAAATCGAGAGTCCGGCGGCTTCCTTGGGCAGGAACAATTCTTCGCCCTTTGAGAAAGCAGTATTGTATGGGTACAAGGGGATGAAATCAACGTACGTGACCGTTCGTGTCGGCTTCTGTGTTCACTTCTGCTAAAGGCTCGGTTGCAAAACTGGCATTTGTATTTGCGTTCAGGTGCGAGAGAAGTCTTTCGGGACGACGTCGATGCCGCCTGTGGCGGCAAGACAGCAACGCTTGCTCCGGGCATGGTAGGCGAAGTGTCAGGAATCGGTGTACCGTCGGGATTGGTATTGGAGGATAAGATCAGCAGCGTGAGAGGTTGTCGAAAAACACTGTCTGCAAGGGCTGGTAAGGGTTTCGAGGACCTGCAGAACGATGGTTGAATATCGTCTGGATGCGGGTTGGGCTATCAACTCCTAGCCTCGCTCGCGCGCGCGCTCCCGTGGGGTTTAAAGTGTGACAACGGTGGTCTTAATCGTAGAACTGGTCATTTGGGAGAAAGGTATTCTGGTCATGGAAGTGCTATGTGATTTGGGTATATTCGGGGTCTGGAGTGTGAGGCGACAGTAAGGCCTCTGGGATGATGAAGGCGAAAGCCTGATCGGAGTGGTCAACGCGGAGGAGGCGGAAGACCGTTGTGGGAGCTTGATAAGTTGGGTTGGTGATGTACGTAGAAGGAAGGAGATGGAGGAAATAGAGGAGTAGCGGAGAGAAGTAGTAGAAAGTTTGAGGGGGGAGGGGGGAGACAAACGGGGGGACGCCAGCGACCAGGCGGGGGCCAAGAGACTTGGGAAAAAAAGCGAGAGCAGGCCGGTGGAGGGGGGGATCGCGGCGGCGCGCAGCAACACAAGGAAAAAAGGCAGAGAGGGAGGAAGAGGGGGCAACGGAGGAATCGAGGGGCGGGGCCAGCACAGCACAGCACAGCACAGCACAGAGGGAAAAGGCCACTAATAATGGAAATGAGAGGTGCGCTGACTGGGCTGAGCTGGGTCAGTCATTCAGTCATTGGTTGGTGGTTATGGTCAGTCTCGTGGGTGGCACAGGTACCGTAGCTCTCATCTCGAGGTACCTACCCCTCAATAAGGGGGGGGCAGTCTTGGGGCATCGTAGGTATTAATGTCGTCTATCCGTATAGTCTACCTGTTTACCAGAGGGTTGTCAGGCTATGAGTACCTCGCGAGCGGTACGTCTTACGGCGAATAAATCAGCAAAAAGCAACGGCGATGCATGTACTTGTGGCCTGAGGCGGCAACGGAGCAACACATCAGGGGCTGTACTTGACCAGGTACATGTATCTGGTGTTGCAGCAGCAAAGCAACCTCCCTAACGAATCGAATTACAGTGGACTGCCGACCACCGTAGCTCACTGACCGCGGGCGGGGCAGGCAGCGGGCGAGAGCGAGGGGGCGGCGCCGGCCCGTCCTGTGCCAATAAAAGCAAGCAAGGCAAGCAGGTAGGAGGTATGTAGGTAGTTACGAAGTATTACAGCACAATCAGCGCCAGTCTGTCAAACAGTGGACTCTGGTACGGAACAGACACTGGTTACGGGGGTATCAGTACCAAAGAGAATGATGGGCTCCGCACTCCACCCACACTTGTCGGCCTGCGCTTTCCTCACTCGGCTGCCCCTCCCCCTCGTCCCCTCTTGGCTTCTCTGTCTTTGACTCTTTCCCAATTGACCCGCCGCCCATGACAAACTTGGCGAGACGTGATTGCTGGCGCCACCAACCAAGTCGGGAAGGATCACTAGCTCGCCGCCCTAGTAGGCAACCGACTACAGTTGCAGCTACTCGATTGGCAAGTTGTCAATTTATCTCTCCAGTGGTACGAGAACGTCGCGTCTCCCCACTGATGCGTGTAGGCTGTCAATATTAGCTTACACCCACACTGAGTTAGGAGCTCTCTCTACTAACTAATAAAGCGGCGGTGGAATTCACTGGAAGAGGGGTAGTCTGAATGGGGGGACGAGGAGGGGGAAGGGGGGGCGAGGTGGCTGGTGTTGCTGCCTCTGACTCTCTGTTTTGGCTAAACCACAGCACTATCACAGCGAGCGCCATTGTCAGCTGGTTCCTATTCACTATTACTTAATCCGTACTTAATCCGTATATTTACCAGTATTTATTATTCAAGGGGGAACACGGGACACTTCCAAGACTTTCTGTTCCCAGAACCTTTCCTGTCGAATCATGTCGCACCCGATCCTGTCCTACCGCATACGCACATGCACCCCCAGCATCACGATCCTCACCCATGGTCAAGCCGTCTCTGCAAAGAACACGGTTGCCCAAAAACTACCTCTTCGTCCTGTCCATGCAACTTGCATCTCGCTGAAGGGCCATTTTGCCAGTCGTACGGAATGCAATATCAATAAGCTTTCTTCTTCTTCGTCACCGATATGTAGGCGTTGTCGAATTTGCTACGATCTTGCTGCGGGCCGCAGCAGGCACGATAAGTAGCACAGTAGGCCAAGTTGGCAAGCACCCCTGGAACAAGTGGCTCTACACAGCTCGTCATGGAGCCAATCCGCCCCAAGTCATGTACGGGTACGCTGGTCCGTATTACAGACTACGAAGGTAAAAGTAGGAGTACGGCTACAGCAGCATTTTCCAGAGCCGTTTGGCTCACCATTTTGGTGGTTCCAATTGCTGCCGACGCGGCCGCTGTGCATTAGACCCACCGCTGGCGGCGGGGCATATTATAGTGGCCTCTCAGCACCGCGCCCTCTGGAGCTTGCTCAGCTGTCCGCCCAGAGAAGCACGGAAGCTTTTTCTTAGGTATTGAATACAGCACTACCGGACGGTCGGCTTTAAAAATGGCGTTGACCGCTTCAAATCTTCCATCAAAAGCAAAATAAAGGATGCGGTCAAGGAAGGAGACCAGAAGGCGGGCTTGCCATCGCTCTGCTAGGCTCTCGCAGAAGCCGGTTCCATAACGGACTGGGCGGGATCTACAAACTAAGTACGAACATGTTGTCAGTTCATGGCCATGATGTTGGTGCACCTTTACTTCGTACAGTCAGAAACCACTAACAACACCAAGGAGGAGTGTCCAATCTCCCGAGAATATTGACGATTCAGCGAGGCTCCTCATTTACTTCTCGCCGCAAAACACTGCGCTGGGAGTCCGTGTCTGAACTTGTTTCACACGGCTCGCTACTTGGTATCAATACGACTAGCCACTGTAACACGGCCTCGCCGTACCTATGTAAATAGTGTAAATAGAGCTGTGGCACCACTGGGAGCCACCATAATAATGCCCTTGAAGCACAGGCTAATTAGAGGCGAACAGTCAAGTGGGAGTCCTGTGGGACGCCACCAGCTTCCTTTTTTTCGGACTCCTAGTCCATATTATCACACCCCTGGGTTGCCAGTCATATTTTAGCTTTTTTTTTTTTTTTCTTTTTTTTTCCTTTTTCGTCAAGAAGAACAGCAAGCGAGCCTCCTCCTTATTGTCAGAGCCGAGATGCTCGGACCGTCCCTTGGACCATGAGCTTGGGTGGCCCGTCCCGTTTCCACGCGAGTCATCTCGGTGCTCTCCCTTGCAAAACGCTATTCTTCTTCTCAAGACTTGGACGCCGCTAATTATAATACCGGTCGTACGTTTTGTCCCTAGTTAGATCTATTTATAATGAAAGAAGGAAAAAAAAGAGATATCTTCGAAAGTAAGAAAATCGCACGTCAGAAAACGCGTCATGGCTGCTTCTCCTACTAATAAGCAATTGAGACATGCAATATCAGTCCTGCAAAATAAAAAACTGGAGAGCTCTGCGAACGAGCGTTGGCAACATTCCTGGAGAATGCGAGCCCAGTGAGGACCACTCCTCCAAAGCCCGATCGGGGGCATTGTCGCGGCTCCGCCAGGCGCGTCTCGCTTTGTTTCTCCTGGACGCGTTTCGAGCGCGGGCTGGTTCCTAATTTCATGTCCATTTTTATCCTTCTGTGACTGGCATGATGACTATCAGGTCATTATACAGGCCCTGATGACTCCGGGTCCGCGGCAATAGAATCAAGTAACAATCGCGAGATTCATCAGCAGAGGATCGGGACGTACTGGGTAACGACGACGAAGGACGCCTTCTTTCCCCCTCCGATTCGGTCTCGGTGGCCCAATTATTCCCCTCTGCCGAGACACTCGTTGCGGACACGCCGCAAAAGGGTGAAAATCGTGAGGGCCTTTCACACGCGACAACACGTACATGCATACACAACGACGCATAGGTAGTCGCCGACCGATGCACCACGAGACCTCGAGCTGCCAACGCATGCATCACTCTATATCCAACAGGCCCAAGGTTACCAAGTACTTACGGTGAGGTACCTCTGTCAAGTACATAGTATTGTTACTTCGTACATGCGCCTCCACACAGCCTGACGATGGATTCAGCCCAGGGTTTGCCATGGCTTTGGGGGGCGCGGGGTGGGGACGGAGACTGGTGATTCTCGCGGCATCAAGGCCTTTGCGTGGCACTCTTACTCCGTACGGATTACACTGCAATGAAATCGATTGTCGTGGACCCTTTTCAAGTGCTCGATGTCAACTCCGTCCATAATAAAGAAGCAAAGGACACAAGGCATCTTCCCCACTGGCGAGCAGAGAGTGGGCTCCCCTGAACGGTAATAAGGATAGGTTGGCGTTGATAGTATTAGTTCCAGCTATTATCGGCTATTCTGTACTCCGTACGGATATGCAGGCTTGCATTGGCAAGAAGGACAACCTTTTTTTGAGTCTGGAGGCGGTCTGGACAGGACGACAAGATGATGCTTCTTGGGACCGTGACGATCGGCTGGGTATTGGAGCGCCCTGGAGATGAAGAGCCTCTCCCGTGACATTTGCGCCAGCGCTACTCCGTAATGTGGCTAAAGCTCGTCGGACCATGAGGCGCGGCCAAGGGAGGGAGCAAAGGTCAACACTGCATACGAATATCATTTCGTTTAGCGCCACAGTCGATCGGTAATCACCGTGTGCTTCCCTTATGTGACCTTTCCCTGAGGAGAAGAAGGAAATCAGGGCCAGGACAGCCGAGCTGTCAGCCCATCGCAGGTCTGTTTGAGGGCAGAGCTAGCTTGTTTAATTTAGAACCTCGAATTCTTAAGTACATATTGAGGTCTAGTGGGACCGCGGGAGCCTTCCGAGTGACTAGAGTCAGGTTCATGGATGCACCACTGCCCCACGGGTGTCGCTTTTTGGAGTTCTGTTGTGGTCTCGTTCCCTTTCTCGCAATGGGCTCTCGCAAATTCGCTCAGGAACCAGACTGGCGGTCTCGAAAAAAAAAAAAAGAAGAAAAAAAAAGAAAAGGGGGGACAATCGAGTAGCGAAACGGTTGCCAAGATCTCCGTCAGCCAGAGGAACCGAGTTCTTTGTAATCATCCGGTAGTTTGGCTCGTCATTGTTCTTTTTTTCCGTGGAGAACGTAGCCTGGGAAATCGGCGACCTTGAGGTGAGGGTAATTGCCTGGTCGACGAGAAGCCGGATCCTGCCTAGTCGTTCTTTCAAGAAAAAAGACGCCGCTTTTTGTCCTACTATGTACTGTGTTAAAAAGAAACAGTCTCGTTCGAGTTGCCCCTTTGTACTGATTGAGAAAAAGACTCCTCTTTTTTTCCCCGAAAACGTCGTGTGCTTTCTTCTCTGGAGGTACAGGCTAGGCGACATCTACGCATGGCCAACATGTCTTTCTCATTGGCCAGCCAAATACTCCGTACAATGTGCGATTTGAGGAATGTAAGACATGTGCAGACTAGACAGAGTTCGGGACGGGAGAAGAAAGAGAGACGTAAGAGAGGAAAGAGAAGTGACGATCAAGAAGGGGCAGAGGCGGTAAAGAACATCATCAGTGGTTGCATGAAACGTTGGCTACGGCCCGATGCCGAAGCCATTTTGAAACAATGATGAAGGGCTGTATGCCGAAATTGGCTAAAAGAATGACGAAGAGTTTGTACGTCGGATTCGGCGGATGTCTATCAAAGGCATCTCTTTGTTCAAGCGCTGGAGTGTGACCTGTTTTCGTTTGTTCTTCTTCGAGTCGATTGCTTGCATGATGGCCGTCAGAGCGCATCGCCGACTCACTACCACTGGTGACCAAAGTTCTTGGTCTTCGCTCCCTGATAGCTGTGCATTCATCAAGTCTCACAGAAGGATCAAAGATCAAGCAATAACCCACCGTACCCGTAACCACATCTCGGGTGGTTTGGGGCTTGTGGGAGCAGACCGCCTCGGTTGGTCGTTGGTGACGCGAGCGGACCGCAATGCAAGAGAACCACGTGCTGCGAGGAGTCAGCATTGACTACTAAACTACTTTCATCCGTAGGTAGGGTAGCAAAGGTAGCAACGGTACACATATACATGTGTCACTGGAGGCACACTATTTAAATAGCATGGTAGATGTAGGACTGGTTAGGTACCTAGGTACCTAACTAGGTGCAGAACATGCTCCGAGGGGCCTGTGCTGCTGGTAATGATACTGGTACTGGTACTGGTACGCCGAATTCGCCGGCAGGAGCGCCAGGCCGTGACCGTCGCAATGCACGAGCCCCGTTCCTAAGTAAATAGAGTCACCCATGCCTACCTTACATACTGGTAGAGTATTGCCTAGGTACGGAGTAGATGCTATTAGATGGTGGTCAATAGCTTTGTCTGCATCCGCAGCAACTCCACCAACGTCCTGTTATAGCTACTTTAAGATCCAGCACAGGACACATGAGATCAAGAGTGGCCTGAATGAAATGTGCCGAGTGCAAGATGTGGTAATGCACCGACTAAATAGAGATTCTTACATGCACACATATCTGATGCATTGCACAAGCTTATTGAGGATGCGGGACGGGGAACAACGTTTGTTATGCCGGGGCCGCTGCCACCATGCAGGAGACGGCAGAAAGGGTATACATTTACATTGGTAAAAGTCAGTCTATTACATATCATGTGGCTTGTACAAGACTAGTAGCAACGTTGCAGATTTGCCTAGATGGAAAAACGGATGAGAGCGAGTCGATGCAAGTTGTTGTATCGGGGGTCACGGCACCAACAGCTATCCTTTGGGTATTTTCCATGTCCTGCCGATGCCGTCCGACCACCCTCGTCTCTCTGCGGCGACGCTGTCCTGATTAATACTTAGACCACTCTACATTGCTGGGCAACCTCTCCAATGCCTGAGTACCTCCAAAAGCCACCCTTCATTCGCGCTGCAATCCTTCCTTCTCAACCCAAGCACTCCTAATTTACACAACAATAAAAACCGTTCCACGACCGGCAAAAAAAAGAGTACCACTAGTGAAGCCCCCTCCCCACATCACACCGCCAACACTCGCGCCGACCGTTGTCAACCGTACTACCATGGAAGGTACCTACCGACCTAGCTACTGATTGCCGCTGATACGTGCGCAAAGTCGTTCCGTCAGGAGTCAGTCAACCTTGTGGCACGGCCATCACCCCTCCCTCTCTCGACTCGAAATCCCTTTTGCCGCCTCGACCTCTCAAGACTCAACCCCCCCCCCTCCGCGCCATCCTTTACCAACGCAAATACTCACCATTTCATCGCATTCACCATTTCTCGAATTCTGGCGTCCACCTCTCCTGTCGTGCCCGCCCAAGCCACGCCTGCGCGAAAATCCCCAACCAAATCTTGTCGGAGAGGGGCAACCTCCTCCACCCCTGTCGCTCGCTATACTCTCGCCGCAACCACACATACGGACGGCCCTTGAACAACCGACACTCGCCTGCGTGCCCTCGCGACAATGACATGGGCATCTTCTCTGCAACTTGCACCTCAATAAAATCTGCAGCTGGCACGAGAGCTGCTGAGCGGCTCCATCTGCGATAATCTCTTCTCCCACATCCTCTACCCAGTTCCCAGCCTTCTTCAGCCGCCATCACGACAGTGGACGCGCTGCTACTCTCTACGCCAGACGGACACATCACTTCAATACGTTTACCACCGACTTTCCACTCCTTATAACTATGGATGGTACACTTGGCAGCACGCCATCTGGTATCATGTACGTTCGCGCCCTGTACGACTACGAGGCCGACGACAGAACCAGCTTGAGTTTCCATGAGGGCGACGTCATCCAAGTCATCACACAACTCGAAAGCGGTTGGTGGGACGGCGTAATCAACGGTGTTCGCGGCTGGTTTCCCAGCAATTACTGCCAAATCATTACTGGCCCTGAAGACCTGGTCGACCAGAACCAGAACGCCCATCTTGATCATGGCGACGAACAACACGAAGAGGCTGACGTCTACGACGAGAGCTTCGAACAGCAGGAATATGAATCTGAAAACGACGCGCCCGGTGCCTTACCGCTTGAGGGAACAGACGTCGGCGACAAGTCTAGAGCCGACTTTTGGATACCCCAAGCTACCCCCGACGGCCGACTCTTTTATTACAACATGATGACTGGCGATCGGAGCATGGAGTTGCCGCTAGAGTCTCCAGGCTCAATAAACGAAACCGGGCCCAGAGATCGCATGAATGCGTCCATGCCCGACAAGACGCGCCCCCCTGCTGAGATGATGGCCAGGGGCCTCAACCAAGACGAAGACGACGACTCGGCAACTTCAGCTTCAGAAGCAGAGGGTGATGGCGTCTTTGCAGGTCGCCGACTGGTACGTCCCTCCTCCATCTGTCTTTGCGCCTGCTAATCATACTAGACCCGTCAACGTATCCCGCTTAGCGGAGCCCTTTCACCATCCACCTCCATGGACTCCATCAACGGTGGCTCACCGCATCGGATAAGAAGGAATGACAGTACAGCCAATGGCTTCTCGAATGGTTCCAATCAACCGCCAAATATCGCTTCTGCCACCTCCTTTACCAGCACTACCTACAACCTCCCTACTACGACAACAGTTCCACGATCATTCTTCGATGACGGATCGACGCCACCGCTCAGCTGGACTCTACTAGTTTCTAATATGAAGGGTGCCATTGACCGGTACCGAGACGCCATTGCCGCGAACAATCGTCCAGATTATGTCGCTCGCGCCGAAGATATTTCAGATCATCTGCGATTGCTGCTTGCCGCGGGCTCTGGCACTACCGACAATCACTCTGGTCAGCCGTCCATCATATCCACCAACAAAGCGCTCTACCCACACTTCCGCGACATGATGTCCAAGTTTTCCAAGCTAGTCATCTCGTCGCACATTGCCGCGGCAGACTGGCCCAATGCCGAATCAGTCCAGAAGTGTATACAGGAAGCGGACGGTGTTCTTCTGGGTGTGTACAGCTATGTCGAGGTCGCGCGACAGCAGCGCGGTGAAGAGATACCAAGACTATTCCCTGGCTTTGCGCTTGGTAGCACTGCGGGTGGCAGTTGGCAAAATAACGGCCTTGGGCCTCGCGACCCCATAACTGCAAACTTCCTCGAGGATGACGAGGGTGCTGTCGAGCCGACAGCCGTCCTGGATGGCAAATTTCTTGAGCGTCTGGACGAGATGAAGCGCATGCTGACAGCAAGTCTGCGTGACCTCGACAAAACGCTCGCCAAGCCAGAGAATATCGTCTCCGCTTATCGACATGAGGTCATTAGCAACAATATTTGCTTGGCCGGCGGCAAGGTCATTGAATTGTTTCGACCTTGGATTGCTACCGTTGAGTCTGCCAACCTTTCCTCCCTGACCGAGAACTCCCAGTCCGCCCAGCTCGCAGAGTTGAGCAAATCCAAGCAGAGCTTGTATGATACTATTGCCGACCTACTGTTAGCCTGTCAGGCCGTTGCTGGCCCTTTGGCTGATGAGTGGTCAGAGATCCGGGGAGAAGCCCTGGAGAATAGACTCGATATGGTGCAAACATGTGGCAGAGTGCTTGATACCAACACATCACACGTTGCCCACTTATTACAGCAGCTGTCGGAGCAGATGCAAACGAATACGCGACTGCAACCGCTCAAGAAGCAAGAATCGCGGTCGCGGGACCTAGTCCCTCCGGCACCGCTGCAGCGTGGTGAGTCGATGCCGTACGAGCGCCCTCACCAACGATCTGAGTCGAAAACGGCCCCTGTCCGACCTCCTCTCACCACCACGCAATCCTTCACCGAGGGCGAACCGCCGCCTGGCACTTTGCGAAAGGGAGACTATTCCAAAGTCAAAAAGATTTTCGGCGAAGACCCGTCACCACAGGGTATGCAGGCAGACGATACCCCTGCCTTTTTGCGTCTTGATCACGAAAACGATGTTTCATGGGATACAAAGTCTGCTCAACCCGCTGTCAGGGGCGGCTCTCTGCTGGCGCTTGTCGAACAGCTCACACGTCACGATAAGCTTGATTCGTCCTTTAATAACACCTTTCTCCTCACATACAAGTCTTTTACGACGGCACGAGAGTTGTTCGAGCTGCTAGTAAAGCGTTTTGCCATTCAACCTCCTGAAGGGCTTTCGCAAGCGGATTTTGAGACGTGGCGTGATAGAAAGCAAAAACTTATTCGGTTTCGTGTGGTCAACATACTTAAGAACTGGTTTGATAGTTTCTGGATGGAAGAGTACAACGACGAGTCTAAGCAGTTGATCCGAGACGTGTATGACTTTGCTAGAGACACGGTCGGCTCTACCGAAACGCCAGGCGCAAAGCCGCTGATGACCATGCTCAATCAAAGACTCAGCGGCACAGACGCAAACCCCAGGCGTATGATTCAGACTCTCAATCAGAGCACGCCGTCACCGATCATGCCCAAGAACATGAAGAAGCTAAAGTTTGGAGACATTGACGTGACCGAATTCGCTCGTCAGCTCACTATCATCGAGTCGAGACTTTACGGCAAAATTAAAGCGACTGAGTGTCTGAACAAGACCTGGCAGAAGAAGATTGGCGAGGGCGAGGCCGAGCCTGCGCCCAACGTCAAGGCACTGATTCTGCACTCTAATCAAATGACCAACTGGGTGGCAGAAATGATTTTGGCGCAACAGGACGTCAAGAAGCGAGTCGTGGTGGTGAAGCATTTTGTCGCAGTCGCCGACGTAAGTACGCGCACTCGAGTGTATGCAAGCAGACTAACAAGTCCACAGAAATGCCGGACACTGAACAACTTTTCTACGCTGACGTCCATCATCTCGGCGCTCGGCACGGCGCCGATTGCGCGTCTCAAGCGAACATGGGACCAAGTACCGCAGCGGACGCATGCGGTGCTGGAAACGATGCGCAAGCTGATGGCGAGCACGAAAAACTTTGGCGAGTATCGCGAGGCTCTACATGCGGCGAACCCGCCTTGCATTCCGTTTTTCGGCGTCTACTTGACCGACTTGACCTTTATCGAGGATGGCATCCCGTCGATCATCAAGAAGACCAATTTGATCAATTTTGCGAAGCGGGCAAAGACGGCCGAGGTGATTCGCGACATTCAGCAGTATCAGAACGTGGGATACTCGCTGCAGCCGGTGCCGGAGCTGCATGACTACATCCTCAGTAATATGCAAGCGGCGGGCGACGTGCACGAAATGTACGACAAGAGTTTGCAGATTGAGCCACGCGAGCGCGAGGAAGAAAAAATCGTGAGGTTCGTAAGATTGATTACCCAGGATGCGTAAACGAAGAAGGAGAATCGGGGGAAACTAGCGGGGAATTGTCAAGGAGTTTTGTTCTTTTGCTGACTTTTGCCTCTTTGGCGTGGATAGAGTGCTGGCTGAGTCTGGATTCCTGTGAGAACCACGATCCGCACTGTTGTTTTGGGAAGGATAGATTTATTATACGTACGCGCGTTTTTTTACGACCCGAAACGAACCGAGCGACGTTTTTACTACGACGTTTCTTATCACGACTTTTGTTTGAACATGTCTTTTTTGGGACAGAGAGCTGTGTTGTGTACAAATGCCCTAGGGCTATTGACCAAACGATGAAGAAGGAACCAATTATAGTTGCGACCGGCAGCAAACTTGAAGACGGAAGCGGAAAACAAGGTTTGATGGAGAGCTGGCCGCACGACTCTCATTGGTATAACGATGCATGCAACCCGTGTGATGTGGACTTGTGGAGGATGGAAGAATTACGCGAGCTTATGTGGGGAGACGGGGACGGAGGTTCTGCACGAGCATGTTGGAACATTCGAGGATCATGTAAGAAACATGGGGAAAGCCCAAATTTGAGATTTATTTGTTCTTACCCCCCAAGGAGCCTTTGTCATCGTCTCTCTCTCCTTCTTGCGAGCGCGCATAATGGTGTGTGCCTATGGCATTGACATGTGACAGTGGCACTGGTACTTCAACGCCTTGTGCCTTGCCGTCTCCTGCAGTGGGTATGAGGTAGTTCAGAGCAAATACTACCAAAGGGCACTGTAGGTAGTTACTTCGGTACTTTGGACTGGGTACCGGTCTTGTCAAGAGGGGGGCTTTCTTCATCTCCGCTTGGTTTCCAATCCATCTCATGTCGGGATCTTTCGAGCGGCGGCGTCGAGAACTTCTATGTACCAGGATCTGGTCTATTATGAACAGCGTCAAGAAAATGGAAATGTTTCAAAATTCGTATTGCTCAAAAGTCGTAAACATGATGCTCATTAGAGCCTTCATTCTGAAATGGCTCTTCCACCTCATTACTAGAAATCCTAATATATACATCGTTTCATCTCGTTCCCCATCTTAGTGCTTGTGCAGCTTCTCCTTAATCTTGTCCACGAGGCCATGCTTCTCCTTGCTGTCCCCGCTGCCGCTGTTACCGCGCGCCTTGTGCTCCGCGCCATCCTTACCCTTTGCTACCGCTGCACCACCGCTCGCCCCCGCCCCCGCAGCCGTGGTGATGCCCTTTTGCTCCATTAGCCGGTCCGCCTCGCGGCCCGCCCCGGGCCTGGTGGCGTCAAAATCGCCGCCGTCTGCCTGCAGCCCGCTCGACTTGACGTACTCTTCGCCCGTGCCTTTTTCCTGGCTCCTGTCCGCGGGCAGGTTACCGCCGGCGCCGGCGCCGCTGTCGGACTGCTTATTACCGCTGCTGGTGGAGGTGGTTTCGGAGCCTCGGTGGCTGCCGGCGTCGCCACCATGCTCGCGCGCGACGGTGGAGAGATCACGCGGGCCGGGGCCGGACACGTCGACGGAGGAAGGCTCGTCGTTGGCGTCGGCTGAGGGCGACTTGGAGGGCTTGCTCTTGCTGTCAATGTTGGAGGTAGAGACATCGCGCGAGCTGTCGAGGTTCTGGTCGGTGAGGTTTTGGCCGGTGGTATTTAAGTTCTGGGTAGATGTACTCTGCTTGTTGGTGCTGCTGCTGCTGCTGCTGTTGTTGTCAAAGCCAGAAGTGCTGCGGGTGCTGTCTAGGCCAGAAACACTGCGGATGTTGTCCAAGCCAGAGGGGCTGTGACTGCTTTCCAAACCAGACGTGCTGCGGGCACTGCCACCCATGTCCTGCCCCGGCGTGGTAAAGCCGCTGTCGGTGGTGCGGTTCGTCGCGGTGGTGACGCCGCCGGCAAATCCCTGCCCGGGGCTGCTCCGGCCGGGGGCAGACATATCGTGCTGAGGGTGGGTGAAGCCAGCGTCGTCGGCGGCGTTTGTGGCTGTGGTAATGGGGCCGGTGTTTTCGGTCTTGGAAACGCCGCCAAAGGCGGAGGAGGAGGTGATTTTGGTGTCAACGGGCTTGTCGGAGGATGATGTGGTGGCCGTGGTGTTGGACGAGTTTACGTCGCGGAACTCAGCACCGCTAAGGCCTTGACGGAGACGTTCCTGGTCACTGGGGTCTGAGAGTCCTTGTTAATGTCTTGTTATCGTTTTGGGATGCGGAGGAATATGGAATAAAGAACAACAAAGGACAAGAAACGTGTTTTGGACGTACCCAGGTTGCCGGCATCGTAGGGTTCGCCTTTGCTTACGTCGCCTTGAGTGCCGGAGAGAGGTTCCTGGTTGGCAGAGTCGCCAAAGACATACTTGGCCGCAGTGGTGGCCATCTGGGAAACGGTATCCATGATTAGTACTATCTCGGTTGAGGAGCAGTACGTGTGTTAGAATATGAGCAACAATGCAGTAGTGCGATGAGACAAAGTAATGAATGAGCTGGCTTGCCTTGAGAAAGAGACGGGATGCGTTTTGGTCTTGTGGTTCGGGCGAGGAGAGAAGTTTACGGGGTATCCAACAATGAATTGAATTGTTTCAAGTTGCAATTCTAGAGGGCAGGAACGCAAATGGAATAGGTCGAGTATGGTTGTCTATTAATACTAGCTATTACGGAGGGAGCGGGATCGGGGCACGAGGTTTGCGCTCTCTGACGTAGTGGCGTAGGACACTGGATGAGGCGAAATGGGAAGCGAAACGGGTAGACTAGAAGGCTGCGTGCGTCAGCGGTAATACAGTCGGCTGGTTGGTCGAGACAAGGGCGATAATGGGATACGGTTTTGCTGGCGTGGAGGAAACCGGTTTTCTTGGGCGTCTGATCAGACTACGGGTGCAGGCAGAGGAAGAGGAAGTCGTTTCAGCTGATGGGATGTTGTGCGGGCGGAGGGGGAGAAGGTTCACGTCATGATGGCGTAGTAAGATGCGGGTAATGCAGGTGCGCTGGAGCGAGTAAAGTTTGCGACTCTGTCATGATTTGCCAAACACTTACGGATAATCAACTTGTTGTCTACTTAGTAAATTGGCACATTGGAACGGAGGTGCACAAGCAACACAAGCTGCGGGCGTCGTCAGGCTTGTTCTCTCCGTCAAGCTTGGTCAAACAAGTGACACGGCACACAGTGAAAAGGAGAAAGCAAGGCAACATCGGCGATGAGGTGCATAATCAGGTAAAAAAAGGGCCTCTCTATTCGTGGTGTTGGCATCCCCCGTCAAAGAAAGGTTTGGCAACGGCGCCGACGTCATACACTTTGAAGGTGGGGGAGGGGCTGGATGAGGCTCTGGCTCCCAAGTGCCAGGCTAGTTGGCGAATTTGGAGCCATGGATGTGACCTTGTTCACTATGTGGAGAAATGACGAGATGGGCTAAGATGCACAAGCATGAATGAAATGAGAAAAAAAGGGCGGGTAACAAGAGGGACGTTGAAGCTGAGATTTGGCCATGCAACGGGACGATGGCGATGACAGTTGGCGATGAGACTTGGCGATAAGAACAAGGTAAGGTAGGTGGAGAAAAGTGTGGATTGAGTAGGCATTCTGGAAATAGGTATCCGTAATTGCTCATCAATAAAACAGAGACCCCCCCCATTTGTCTGTGAACGAATGAACCATTATTGTAGAGATAGACGTCCAGATAGGCATCTAAATCCGCCAAGGGAGCTGCTGAATGCAAGGACCGGAGCAACTCTTCGGCTGGCAAACCCATAACCTCTGTACCATCATAGCAGAAATTTCAATCTTTGAATATTTGATTCTGTTTACTGCTGATCCGTCACGCTAGACCGTGAGCATAGTCAATCATCCTATAACGCTTTCCATCAATCTAAATCTCCCATCATGCAAGAACAAAGCGCGGGAATACATGCACAATTCTCTTCACAATCTCATCCTTTACTCCTCACCAGCCATCGAAATTACCAAACCCCCCCGTCCCACGCATCTTCTTCCTCGCCGGCTCCGGCTCTGTCCACTCATCACCAACCTCCGCCTCGTCCCCTGCCGCCGGCATCGTCGTCGTCGTCTTGAGGTACTTGCCCACCGTCTCCTTGCTGTCTGCCGGCGCAACCGTCCCATCGGCACGTATCCGCTTCCCCGTCCACGTCGTCCTGTCTGCGTCCTCGCCGCCCTGCCGCTCCACCTCTTTCCGACGCGCCTCGTCGCGCTCCTGCTGCTGGTGCTGCGCCTGGAACTCGGCAAACGGATCGACAAAGACGGCGACGTCACGGATGACAATCTTGTGCAGGGGTCGGCTGGAGCCGTCTGTTGGTACGTCCTCCATCTTGGCCAGCACGTCGAGCCCCGAGACAACGGTGCCAAAGATGGTGTGCTTGCGGTCGAGGTGCGGCACGGCCTTGTAGGCAATGAAGAATTGGCTCGAGTTCGTATTTTTGCCCTTGTTGGCCATGGATACTGCAAATGTCTCCTTGTTAAATTTGGGCTGAGCCCTTAGAGGAGAAGTGCTGAGTAAATCATACCTGTGCCGCGGGCATTGTGCGTCAGCGGACCGTCAAACTCATCGTCAAAGTACTTTCCCCAGATACTCGCGCCGCCGCGCCCTGTCCCCGTGGGATCGCCGCCCTGGATCATAAAATTGGGAATGTTCCTGTGAAATGCCACGTCCCTGTAGTAACCCTTTTGCGCAAGCTTGACAAAGTTCCACACCGCCTTGGGCGCTGTGTCCGTGTGCAGCTCCAAGGTCAGGTCGCCCAGGTTCGTCTCCAGCCGCGCGTAGCCCTTGTTCTTGACGCGCTTTGGTTTGAGCATAAACTCCTCGTCCGTCAGTAGAGCGCGCTCGCCGCTCGTCTCCGGTGTCAGGCCAGTGCTCGTGAAGCTCGCCGCCGCCCTTCCCGTCGTGTACGCCGCCGCCTTGGCCGCCAGCTTCTTCTCCTTAATCATGCTCTCTCGCGTCGCCGCCGACACCGTCCCCGCACCCGTCTTGGCCAGCGCGCCGGCGCTGCGGTTGACGTCGCCGCCGGCCTCGCGAGCCTTGCGCGCCTTCTCGACGGCCGCCTTCGCCTTGAGCACCTTGTCGCCCATGCTGCCGAGCGCGCGAGCGTTGATGCCGCTCTCGCCGCGCTCCTCCTCCTGGCTCCTGCTCAGCTGCGCGCCCTCGCCGTCTTGGAGGTACTTGAACTGGTCGAGGTTGCGGCGCGCGGCATTATGCGGGTCTTGCAGCGTGATGATGTCGGCGCGGGTAAATGGCTCATCGTCGACGAGGTCCTGCCACACCTTGGCCTTTATGTTCATGCGGTCGACCGTGTCCCAGGCAAATACGTTTGCGTAGGTGCCATGGCGGAGCGCCACAATGTGCGTGTTGTCGGTAAACACCTTGTACGTGACGGGGTCGACGAGGTCGCCTTTGTCGTCGCTTAGGCCGGCGCCGCGCGCATCGCTCTCCGCGTTGCGCGCAAAGTTGAGCTTGATGAGGTCGCGCTTCTGCAGCGGCGCGCCATCGACTGGGTTCTGATTCGGGTGCTTCTCGAGCCACGCGGATATCACCTCGACGTCGAAGATTGTGCCGTCGGGCGTGCACACGGGGTTCTTAAAGGGCTGCAGACTCGCGGCGCAAAAGTTGAAGGGCAGTTTGCGAAAAGGCACGCCATCTTTGCCATTGCGCGACGAGGCACCGGCGCCAACGCTGGCAGAGTAGGCGTCCGAGGACGACCACTCGGAGTGGGTGATCTGCAAAGAGTGTCAGCGATGTGGAAGATTCAATTATTAAGCATGCAGCACAGCCTTACGTAGAGCTTATCCGTGCCTTTGCCCATGTCGACAGTTGGTTCGCGGTGGTGTAAAATTGAAGGCGGGTAATTATGTCACCGTCATGAGAAGCGGCAATCTTTGGCGGCATCAAAGGTTATCGATAGACGGCATTCAGCTCAGCTACTGGTACAGCAACCTCGCTACGGAGTAGCTGTTTAATCTTTCCCTACCTAGCTTGCTGCTAGAGTCAAGACCCAATCCATGTAGCATCCATCTGTCCACCATGCGCTGGTGCACTTAGTCTGACCCACTATACCTCCAACAACGTGCTGCCCACTGTCGGTTTGTCAAGCTGCCACATCTCTTTCTTCCAGCTGCAGCATGCAATCCGACTCCAATTCTTTTTCCATCGCATTAGGTGCAGCATTTCAACGACAACAATCCAGCCGCACTAACCTCACTCTCGATCTGAACTTCGCCGACATCGCGGCATGACCTGCCGAGCTTAGCGGCGCGAGCTACCACGGCCCATCATTCGCGCTACGCCACCAGCGACAGCTTCCCGACAGCGCATACCCCCCCACGCCTGCAACAAAGCTTCACAACCTGCCCAGCACCGAGGCACCGTCCGAGGCGATAATCGGCCATAGAAATGCGGTCGATACTAGGCCTTCTTGCCCTGGGCATGTCCCTCTGGACAATGACCCAGGCGCTGGAAGTCGGCATAGTAATAACATCGGCCCAACACAGCTAGGGGCTTTCGCGCTGACGTGTCGAACAGGACCAGTCAAGGGACGGCCAACAATTCTGCGCTGGTACATGCCACTTCTGTATCAATACTACTGTACTTGACGCTAACATATGAAATAGGAATGTATAGCAAAAAGTCGTGGGGCGGTCCCGTCGACCCATTCATCCTCGTCAAGTTCCTAAATAATACCCTTCCCCAAGGCGACGATCCTACAGTCAGTCTTGTGATATTCGAGTGGAAGGATAAAAGTTTTGTGGGCGTTCCCTCCGAAAATGGCGAAAATGTAGGAATCGCGATAACACTCAGCTTTTACGTCAACGCTATCTAACACGCATCTTGCTAGAATCTTGTTCCCTGCAACCAGGACTATATAAACAGCGGCACTTGTAACTCGACTGATCTGGGCGAATTTATATTGGCAGAAAACGCCACTGAAAAGTCGAGAGCCTTCATTCTCTCCAAGGCTATCCACCTCAAATCCTCCGGCCCCATTCGATACAGCATCAAAGAGACTGGTTACTACTGCCTCTTTACTCAGGGCTTCAACGTCGATGAATACTCCGCAGTCGCAGAATTCCGCAACGCCTTTGGAGAGATATCGGCCACGCAAATTCCCAAGCTCCCATTCTACGGCGGCATGAGCATCCTTTACGCCCTAATGGCAGTATATTGGGGCTTCCTCTACTATCAGCATCGCCACGACATCCGTAAGCTTCCTCTGCCTGCCCTGCAGAGCGACCTTCTAACAGTATTTAGTTGCTGTGCAAAATTACATCACAGCGATCCTGGTTTTCTTGGTCGTTGAAATGCTCATGACTTGGGGCTTCTATGGTATGAACCTGTGCTCGGCCAGCATTGCAAACAAGCTAACTGCTTAGACTTCCAAAACACACACGGCTCCAATGCTGGCGCCAAGGCTTTCCTCATCGTTGTCGCCATTCTGAATGCAGCGAGAAATTCTTTTTCTTTTTTCCTTTTGCTCATCGTCTGCATGGGATATGGTGTGGTCAAGCCCACGCTTGGTCGCACCATGATATACGTCCGCTATCTTGCTGCCGCTCACTTTGTGTTCGGGCTCATTTACGCCATTACTAGCCTGCTCTCCTCCCCGGAGAGTGTTGGTAGGAATTCTCTTTCATCCTTGATAGATGTGACGTACTTACATTGCAATAGGACCGTTTGTGCTACTTATTGTTCTCCCCTTGGCAGGCACACTCACTGCATTCTACGTATGGACACTCAACTCACTCAACTTCACGCTCAAGGATCTTCGCGAACGCAAGCAGCATGCCAAGGCGTCCATGTATAAGAAGCTATGGTGGTGCATTCTCATTACCGTCTTGGTCACCTTTGCCTTTTTCTTCATCAATAGCTTCACCTTTGCCTCCGTTCACGACATTGACTTTGTTCCGTCCCACTGGAAGACGCGCTGGTTCGTTCTCGATGGCTGGCTTAACATTGTCTACCTCGCCGACGTTGCCTGGGTCGCCTACGTCTGGCGCCCCACGGCCAACAACCGCCGTTTCGCCATGAGCGATGAAATTGCCCAGGACGATGATGGCAACTTTGAAATTGGCGAGATAGGCATGCCGGGCGACTCGGAAGACGAAGACGAAGAGGCACATATTGGCGGTACGAAACCCGTTGGTGCCGGTCCCAGTACGGGCGGCGCCCCCTCTGGCCAGACAAGCGGCATCACATCCGCCGGTGCCGCCGGTGCCTCGATTCAAAAGCCTTCCCGCAGCGTACCTCGTGATTCGATCGAGGGCGAGACCATCTTCGCCGTTGGGGAGGATGGTGACAGGTTTTCCATTGATGACAGCGACGAGGATGTCAAGCTTGTAAACAGAAAATAGTTTTTGTCTCCTTAATGGACTTTTTCATTACTGTGTTATAACTAGACGGTTTGGATCACAGATGACAAAAAGACGGCATTAGTAGAAATAGTCATGTTCCCCTTTGCGAATTGGTTTTATGATAGGCATATAGTTCTACTCCTAAAACAGGGGTTGCTTTGTTCATGTATCATTTTATGCTTTTATTTTACAGTGTGATGAGCATTCGACATAATTATTTACTAGTAGACACGCAACCAGACAGGTTTGGCAGCCTGCCCCCATCGTCCTCTTAGCTGCTCACGTCGCCACCAAATCCCACCGGCCGACGCTGGCCGTCATTCTCGGGCAGGATCGCCAGTGCTTTGTACACCTTGCCCATGCCGCTCGGCCCACGGTCCACCAGCCGCTTGCACGCCTTGTCAATGGCCTCGGCGGCTTCCGGGCTCGCACCCTTGGCCAGCGCGGCGGCGCGCTCCCTGATGCCCATGAGTTCCAAAAAGTCGGCCTGGGCGACGGGCCCGTGGACCTCGACGGCGTCACTCGCGAGGGTGGCGGCCTCGGCGAGCGCGGTAAAGTCGACGTCGGCGCTGAGGTCGACGAGGCCGGGCGCGGCAAAGGGGCTGACCGTCTTGTGGTGGCGGATGCCGCGGAGCGAGTTGACGGGGATAGTGTCGGCGGGGCCGTAGTCGAGGATGAGGGCGGCGCCGCTCGCGGTGCCATCGGCCCTGGGGTGCTTGGCGGTGCCGCCGATGCGGGCGGCAAAGTCCGCGGCGTAGAGCGCGGCGTCGGGGCACACCTCGACGACGGCGCCCTCGGTCGGCTTGAGCCTGCGATAGCGCGGCGACGACTCGGGCAGGTATCGCGAGTGGCGCGTCGTGCCCGGCGAGAGCGTGAGCTCAAACTCGGCGGGCGGGCCGTTGGGGTCGAAGCGGAAGCTGGACGAGGAGGAGGCGGCGCTGCTGGTGCCCGGCGCCGTGGGCGAGACCATCATCTCGCGCCATTCCATGTTGGGAGCGGCGGCTGTGCTGGCTTCTGGTTGGGCGGGAGCTGGTGGTGAAGAGCTGCCGGAATTCTTGGGCGGCGGCGGCTTGGCGGCGACTTTGGCGGACTGGAAGATGTGTATAGGCAGCGCGTCAAAGAATTCGTGCGCGATGATGAAGGGCGTCTTGTTCGATTCTGTGCCGTGTCAGTACAGTTTGGTGGCCTGGGTTCTGATCTTGCGCGTACCCATAGGAACGGACTTGATAGTCTGCGTCCAGACAATGGGAAGATTATTGTGTTTTCCTGTGCTATGGTAACCAGCTTTGGATTCCGTCGTCGGTGTTCCAGGGCCACAGAGTAAGTCTTTCTGGGCTGACCTCAACTCGGGACTAGCTTCAACCATGTAGACGGCTTCTATGCTGTTAGCCATGGCTGAGAAGCGAGATATGGTCTGGGGACAAATGTCAGTCTTCGATTCCATTTTGACTGCTCGCCACTGGTCTTACACGGAGCATGTCGTCCATCAAAGTTCCTCTTCCAGGTCCGACTTCAATTATCTGGACTCCATCCTTGGGCCGACCTTGGCTCATCCACTCGGCAATGAACCAGATACCAATCAATTCACCGAAAACTTGCGAGATTTCAGGCGATGTCACAAAATCGCCCTTGAGACCAAACTGGTCCCTGCCCGCTCCAATCGCGCCAGTGTAGTACCCTCCCACATCGCCGGTAAGGCACATGCGCATGAAGCTTGCCAACGGGACTGTTCCTGTTGTCTGTTGCAGTGTCAGCGGTAACTTTCGAAAGAGAGAAGCGATGCTACTGTTGTTTTTACCGAGATTGCTTCAGAAAGCTGTTTAGCTAATGGTGTCGACCAATTCCTTTCTTCTTGCCTGTGCGGAGCAGATGAGGAGAAGCACTGTGCAGCAAAGCTTGGTCTTGGGCGCGCAACAGTCGGGGGCCGCTGGGTAAGAAGCCGTGGAACGGCGGCCACAGCGCGGCGCATCGCGTTCCAGTGCCCGAACTTTGTGGGTAAGTAGTTCAGCAGCAACTATTTGAACTGAGCCGATTAAGCAAAAATATGACTGTAACGTGCAAGTTCTGGAAAGACGGCGGCTCTCTTGTAGGTTGAGAGCTTGAGAGCTTACCTCAGGGCGCTTTTCTGGGGACATGCGCGCCACGATAAGATAACAGGCAGCGTAACGAAACTCCACCAGCTTGCTTCGATCTTGGACTTTACATCGACCGGCGAACGTATACGGAATGAATCGACGACTGAAAGGCGACAGAGTTGTTCTTTGCGGGGTAATTGAGCTATCTACACAACGATTCAATTCCGGCAAATCGCGAGACAACACGACAAGTGCACGTATAGCCTAGGAAGCTCAACCCAGCGCCTCGCGCGCCGACGTGCAGCAACATGTCTACGGCCGGTAAATCTCGATGGGCGGACACGGAAGAAGACGCTGAGCTGGAATCCAGAATTCGGCAAGAAAAGGAAGAAAAGCGACGCAGAAAGGCAGAAAAGGCAGAGAAGGCGCGCAGACTTGAGGGGGAACGGCAGGCCGCCGCTGCGGCTTCGCGCGACAACGACGAGCAGCACCCTTCCAAGCGCCGTAAGCTGACACCAGAGCAGACCGCGAAAGATGGTCAAGGGACTTTGGCTGGCGACCAAAGCCCGCCTGCAAAGTTGCTGCGCTTCGAGACGGGCTCGTGGGGCCGCAGCAGCAGCGTTGAAGACTACGACAAGCTCAACGACATTGAGGAGGGCACATATGGCTGGGTTGCGCGTGCAACGCGACGGGCCACTGGCAAAGTGGTGGCGCTGAAGCGTCTAAAGCTGGATCCCGCGGACCGCAGCGGGCTGCCGGTAACTGGGTTGCGAGAGATACAGATTCTGCATGATTGCAAGCATCGCAATGTCGTCACCCTCGAGGAAGTCGTTGTTGGCAGCGACGTGAACAGAATGGATAAGTACGTACTATTATGTCTTGTTCTTACATTTTCTGATACTTTGTAGTTCGATCTTTCTGGTTCTCGAATTTGTCGAGCATGATATCAAGAGCATTCTGGACGACATGCCGGAACCGTTTCTAGCTTCGGAAATCAAGTGTCTCTTGCAACAGCTCACTGTAGGTGTGGCCTACTTGCACGAGAATTGGATACTGCACCGCGACCTCAAGACATCCAACCTGCTGCTCAACAATCGCGGCCAGCTCAAGATTGCCGACTTCGGCATGGCTCGCTACGTGGGCGATCCCGCACCCAAACTCACTCAGCTCGTAGTGACACTCTGGTACCGCGCGCCCGAGCTGCTCCTGGGTGCCAAGGCATACGACACCGCCGTCGACATGTGGAGCGTGGGCTGCATCTTTGGCGAGCTGATTGCCCGCGAGCCTCTCCTACAGGGCGCTAATGAAGCGGACCAAGTGACCAAGATCTTTGAGCTGTGCGGTGTGCCGACTGAAGAATCGTGGCCCGGCTTCCGCAAACTCCCCAACGCGCGGTCACTGCGGTTCCCCAAGACGGCGGCCGTCACGGGCTCCCTGATACGCGCTAAGTTTCCCAGCATGACGTCCGCCGGTGCTGCGCTGCTTACGGAGCTTCTGGCGCTTGACCCAGACGCTCGTCCATCCGCCAAGCAAATGCTGCAGCACGAGTACTTTCGCCAGGACCCAAAGCCCAAGCCGGAAAGCATGTTTCCGACATTCCCTAGCAAGGCTGGCCAGGAGCGACGGCGGCGGCATGAGCCGAATGCTCCTGTGCGGGGGCAGCAAGCGGCGTCGCTGGGTGATGTGGACTTGAGTGGCATTTTGCAAGGCAGAGACCAGGAAGAGCGCGGTGGAGGATTCAGCTTGCGCATGGTTTGATACCAGGCGGGCAGTGATATTTCACATAGAATAGCCAGGTGGAACAGTATATACCCAATGATAAGATGGAACCTTGAGCAATCAATCAATCTAAACATGCGAAATATGATTGGAATTGAAAACCTTCTAATCGAGAAACAGCCATTATTAAAGCATCTCATCGAACGTCTTGTAGAGACCGCCGATTGTGCCCCACCAGTATTTTGTCTGTCCCATATCCCCACCACCGCCCGCCAAACCTCTGAACCTCGCATACACACCTACCCCAGCTTCGCCGCCTCTCGAGCTCGCTCTCACCGTATCAGCGCCCGTGGCCGCCCATACAGCTTCCTCGACGACTAAAAGTGAGAAACTTGAAAATTCTATTGGCATTGTGTCGGAACTCCGACTGAGCGAGGGCCAGCGACGTGCCCACGATACCACGAGACCACAAACACGAAAATACAGCCCACTACCCCACGAAGAGAACCAAATCCAAATATCACACACAATCATGCCATATTTCAAGACCGGACAGGAATGGCTGGACCAGTCCACGTTACTGATTCAGGCCAGCCCTACCACCGTAAGTCACCCCCCGCCCCCCTCAATCTCTTCTCCACGAACAGCATTGCTTACTTGGACCGTAGACCAAAATCACAACGCGATACTCGATAAAGGCCGTCAAGCGCCGCAAACCATCCACCGCCAATGTCGCCCCCGCCACCGGCCCCGCCACCGCCGAGAAGCCGCCGCGCGCCGAGCTCGTCCTCAAGACATTTGACCCCCGCAGCGGCGTCACGCTCAAGTATCGCACGACCAAGGCGGCCGAGGTGTCGCGTCTGATGGGCGCCGCCATGGGCCAGCTGGGCCGGAGCATGGCCGCGCTGCCCGAGGCGCCACCGGAGGAATCCATGCCGGATGCCGCTGCCGCCGCTGAGGAGGAGCAGCAGAAGCAGCCCCAGCAGACACAGCAGCCGCAGGCGCAGAGTACGCCGGCGCCGGCGGGAGGTGGCGGTGGAGGCAAGAAGAAGAAGAAGGGCAAGAAATAGACGCGGTGGGGAGGGGGATCACTGGAGGGGGTGGAATGTAGCTACGCATTATACAATAAGACAAGACGACAGGTTCATGACATGCGAGTCAATGCAGGGGTACATATTGCTCACTAGATTCAATGCGATAATGATAGCGAGGCAATGGGGTTCATTAAGAGCTGTCGCTGGCAGCCGAATAGCAAGCCTCATATTGGGCAGATCAAGCGAATTCGACACCGCTGCCGCCCTACATGACGACATTTCACGTCTCAAAAGCAGAACCATTTCACACAATGTATTATTCGTGGTAGAAAACTGCTAAAATACTCAAATCATGAACCCATTAGCACCCGTGATGCTCCCGTTTCCCATAACAATCAAAATGTATCCTCAGAACGCCGTGTTAATCCAACCTCCCAAGCAGAGTCTCTTTTTTTCGGCAGTCGCCGAGTTTCTTCATGCATCCAACCCGTGGACGACCATCTTTACAATATACATGACATAGAAAATGAGGGGGTATATGGTGGTGTAAGTAGAAGCGACTCTTTCAGAAGTCATCATCGAAGGAAAAGTCGCCACCAGCCTTGTTCTCGTCAGGGGATGTACCGTCATCGGCCTTTTTGCTGGCACTGGCCATAACACCGGCCTTCTGGTACTCGCCGACACGCTTCTCGAAGAAGTTGGTCTTGCCACCGAGGGAGATGTTCTCCATAAAGTCAAAGGGGTTGGTAGACTTGTAGATCTTTTCGTTGCCAAGAGCGACCAGAAGACGATCAGCAACAAACTCAATGTACTGCTGCATCAGGGTAGCGTTCATGCCGAGCAGACCGCAGGGCAGAGCCTCTGTGAGGAACTCCTTTTCAATTGTAACGGCATCGGTGATGATGGTCTTGATAATCTCCTTGCTGGCGCGGTTGTTGAGGTGAGAGTGCAGCAGGCAGGCAAAGTCGGTGTGAAGGCCCTCGTCACGAGAGATGAGCTCGTTGGAAAAGGTCAGACCGGGCATCAGACCACGCTTCTTGAGCCAGAAGATGGAGGCAAAGGCGCCAGAGAAAAAGATGCCCTCGACGGCAGCAAAGGCAACAAGACGCTGAGCAAAGGTGGACTCTTTATCGGAGATCCAGCGAAGGGCCCAGTCGGCCTTCTTGCGGATGCAGGGGATGGTGTCAATGGCGTTGAAGAGATACGTGCGCTGAGCCTGCTCCTTGATGTAGGTGTCAATGAGCAGGGAGTAGGTCTCGGAGTGGATGTTCTCCATCATAATCTGGAAGCCATAGAAGCAGCGAGCCTCGGGGATCTGGACCTCACCGCTGAAGCGCTCGACGAGGTTCTCGTTGACAATGCCATCAGAAGCAGCGAAGAAAGCGAGAATGTGAGAGATGAAGTACTGCTCGTCAGCGGTGAGGCGGTTGTTCCAGTCGTGAAGATCCTTGGATAGGTCGATTTCTTCGGCAGTCCAGAATGAGGCCTCGGCCTTTTTGTACATTTGCCAGATCTATGGAGCAGGATTGTTAGTGTCAATGCATTGTGCGGCCACTTTACGCGTAAAAACGCGTGTAGACATACCTCGTGGTATTTGATGGGGAAGAGAACGAAGCGCTGAGGGTTCTCTTGGAGAAGAGGCTCGTCAACCTCTTCAGGCTTGATGCCAGGTGCGACAGCGGGTGTGTCGTCCTTGGCGTCCTTCTTAGCCGCAATGGCAATGGGCTTCTGATCGATGATGTCGGTGCTGGTGGTCTCCAGGGAGGCATCGGCGGGGAGGTTCTCCTTGTTGCCGGACGAGAAATCGAGCTTCTTGACGGGAGATTCCATCTTGAAGGACTCAATGGCAGAAGCAGCCTGTGTAGCATGACGTGTTAGTCGCATTGCTGTCGGCGGTCATGGTTCACACGACGGTGAAGGGTCGACGGCGAACTTACCTGCTTCGAGGGAGTTGTTTGGGCAGCCATTCCGAAGTGTTATGTGTGAGTTGAAAAACAGGAGGCAAGCAAAGACTTAAAGACGAAAAGGCGTTAGGATTTAAGTGCCTGACGTGAATTGAAGACGCGTAGAGAATAACGTTCAACTTCAACTGGCTGGTGGCGTCAGAGGTTTTTGTACAAGCAGTAGAACGCCATCACGTGCAGCCCAACGCGTCGAGCGTGTTTTGACATGGGTCTTCCGTAAGTGCTTTCCATTCGTTTAGCGGGCCATTTTGGCTAAAAAATGGCTGGCTGCCCTGGTAGTGGAGCTGCTGCAAGGTACCTGCGCGGTACCAACAACAGCCGATAGCCCCAGATGCTCCCGCAACGCTCCAGCCACCTCAATTAAGGATGCTTGCATGCGCGACGCGTGAAGCTCACCCAGCGCGTCGAGGTATCTGCGCCGTACCAGCCCCCCTTTGCCCCCCTGAAAGGAGCTCGAGCTTTGTCTGGGCATGCCAAACAGCAAGCTTTGTCCGGGCGACGACTCGACGAGACACGGCTCCCTGCAAGCCTCGTGTATCCTTGGTCAGGCTAGCGTCATCAAATGCAGTTATCAATCAGCAAACAATGCGATTCTCACGCGCCAGTGGTGGGCCGTATCCAGCCCGATGGCCTATGAGACCCTGGACCGAGCAGTTTTGCGTGAGCTCGGAGAGCACGTCGGAAATGGGCCGTGAGTCGAAATGTTGTCACAAGATCCATCGTGAATACGCAGCCAAACAAGGGCGGAGACACGAGTACGGATATATCAAGATGCTCTGTACCGTACACAGTGTGTGTCTGCGTGAGGTTGTACTGAGTCGAAGCATTTTCTCGAAAGACTTGAAATTTATGGTGTATTAAAATCCTATCTAATTCTGCATATGATTCGTGATGCCGTGCAATTTCGTTACGCCCAACGGGTATCTCTAGTATTTTGTTGCCTCCTTTCGATAATCGATGTGTTCCACCCTGTTCGACCCTGACCCCGCCTCGCACAATTATCCCCGACGGTTGTGCTTGCTGCTCTTTGAGTTGCCAACTTCAACATCGTCTGGTCGCTTCTTGCTGCGTCCCAGCCAGCCTCGGCTCTCACGAACACGAGCCTCCTGCGGCGCAGTCACAGGTGCGGTGCCAGCACGCGAAGGTCCAGTGACACCAGCTTCCTGAGAAGTGGTCGCGCCTTGTGTACGATACGCAGGCGGCTCGTCGCGGCGGTCGTGCCGGTCTTGTCGGTCTTCCACACGGTTGCGGTCAAACTCGTTGGGATCGCTCGGATCGACAGCGGGAATGGGCAGGTTGCCCTTTTTGAGATTCTTTTGCCCCTGCTCACGGAGATATGCCTCAAGCAGTACAGCGTTGCGCGTATTCGCCTTGAACATGGCATCGACCAAGTCACCGACAAACGGCACCAGACCAATGGCAAAGTCAAAAGCAATGTTGAGGATCATTTGAAATTTCAAGAAGAATGGCAGACCACCCTCGATGTGGTCAGCTGTGCGCATGACCATGAGCGCCAAAAGGCAATCCGCCACATCACCAGCACTAGGACTGTCAGTAGGTTATCAATCCATCACGTGTATCAAGACTTACAATGGAATCAAGCCAATGGCACTACCCCAGCCAAACTTGATGCCCAAAAATGTAAATAGAGCACAGTCTAAGCGGTACGCACGACGCTTGACTTTTGTGAGGACCTTGCCATCATGCTCAGAGAGCCCTGGCGGCAAGGCCTTTCTAACTTTTTTGAACTTTGTCGTGCTCGGCTTTCCGTTGAGTCTGGTCGCGGGAACTTGTTCGAAATACGGATCCTATAGCGTGGTTAGTTTCTGCCGTTGCCGATGCAGGGAGAACCCTACCTCCGTGCCGAACTTATTCTGCAGCGTCTCCCCCAGGATCTTTTTTCCCACCATCTTTGCCACCATGGACGTCATTTTGAGGGTATTTGTGAAGTATATAGCAAGGTTGTGTTCGAGTGAAAGAAGTGCGCTGGCGCGGACTAGCCTGCGTACTTGTACTGGGAGGGAGCTTGGGCGGCCTCGTGCGGGTGAGACGACTGGAGGAGCGGCGCAGGTTTCAGGCGCTTAGGTAGAGCCAAAAAGACTCAACACTGCAAAAGCCGATGGTGAATGAGCAGAGTCGGGATGTTGCGATGATCCGCAACGGAATTCGGGGCGGTTAATATATTTTTTTGCCCATTCGCAGTTTTGGAGGCCTCGATTCCCGGTTTTGCAGTTGATGAGCTGCAGCTGTTCCCTGGTGTTGACACGAGTGATGATGTAATTTGGCGATCACTGTGCACCAGCCACACCCAGACCCAGCCACGCATTGCTGTTGCTAGGACCAGTCCCAGTCCAGACTTTTGCCCTGATTATGACCTAGTGTTGGGGGGGCCAAGTGGCTCTAGTTAGTAGCTTACTGCTTGTTCATTGCTATGAGGCCTGTGATGTTCTGCGAGTTTTTGTCTGCATGGGCTGCCTCTTGGGCTCTAGCGCCAATTGTTGCATCCCATAACGCTTGCAGAATTGCTTTACGGCAATAATCTAGCATAATAATAATCATATGCAGTTTTTTTTTTCTTTCTTCTTTTCGGTTGAGCTGAATATTTCTTCACCGGATTGTGAGCGCCGTTGTCAGATCCATCACGTGGGGTCTCGTGTTCGCGTAGATGCGTTCCAGCTACGCGCCATGATGAGCAGACGCCTTGCGACATGCGCAATAGCAGGAAGCCGGCAACACTACACGCCGACTGGTGCAACGCGGCAAAATCATGAATGCGATCCTGGCTAGCATATTTTCGCCCCTCAAGGAGTCGGCCAATTCGCGCAATGGTCAAGCCCTCGACCGCCTAGAAGGCATCTCGACGCCGACAAAGAATCGCGTAGCTCCTAGGCGCGTGACGCGCAAGTCGGTGGCGTTTGACATGACTGTACGTAAGCATGGCCTCGATTGAAGAGACAGGGGTATTGACAGAAGTAGCCCAGAGCGCAAGTCAAGCACACCCCGCCTAGGCTAGGAGACACGCTGGCCGCGCGGAAGCTGTCCAACTCGCCGAGGCGCAAAATGTGGGACAAGATACTCGAAAGCGAGAGTGTTGTAGGCGGTTCATTAGAGCATGTATCTGGGCCGACTTCGAGATCAATGGACTCTTCGATGCCCACGAACGTAACCTCGGAACCGGCTGGGCCTTCCGATGAAGGTATCGACACTACAGCCGCCGGCACGCCCAGCGCAGACAAGGAGTTTGCATTCAAACGCTTTCTCGATCACCGCTGGGATGGCGACTCTATACAAATCCGGGTCGAGTGGGAGAACGGACAGCGCACGTGGGAGCCCGAGACCATGCTGCACGACGACACGCCTCAGGCGCTGCTCGACTACTGGCGAGGGCAGCCGGGCGGACGACCCGACAACCCACGACAGCCTGGTCTTTACGAGATTCACGCTATACGCAAGCACAGCCGTGACCGCAAGCGCCTCTTTGTCGAATGGGTCGGCTTCGGGCCAGAGGAGAATACATGGGAGCCACGAGGCACCGTAGAGGATGCGGCACCCGAAATATTGAGCGATTATTGGGACAGTCTTCCGCGACCGAAGCGGCGTCGCGCACAGTGAATGCGCTCGAAGTTTTCTGTTGGAACATGTATCACGACGGAATGATAATGACATGGACCGGTGTTGCGAATGAAGGATACGGCGTTGATAAGGCGTTGCTGTGATTTGTTGCGTCACTGGTGGTGAATGCACTCTATGTCTATCATGATCTTTTGTGATTGCTAATTTCTTTCCGTCTTTGCTCTTTTACCTCGATTTTATTGTATCATTAGCATTGTAGCCGCACGGATACTTGATTCTAATCAAACAGATCATCAGCACATCAATTTAAACCCCTTGATTGAGCGCTGCACGGATACATTGCTCTTATTAACTTTGTATAGGTGAGTCAGTTACCCTTTGGTGCACGTCTCTTGGTTCTTGACGTTCTCAAGTCACCACTGGGCTGAACATGGATGTCACGCATTCATGCAAAAGACGGCAACAGCAACGCGCACCATGCAGTATGGCTTGCGTGCGTGGGTTGAAGAGCGCCGAGACTACGGCCGGCTTTCCTCTCCTTCTCCGTCCGGAAATTGGTCGTCTCGGAGCTTCTAGACCTAATCCGCATAATGGTTGGCTAACTGTCAACCATCAACAATTCGCTATCACTGATGAACAACAGCATTCGTCAGCTGCACTCACGGTTCCTTCACAGCCGTCACCAGCTCCACCTCCCCTCCAAAAAGCATCACCTCCTCGTAGATGATACACACTGAATATCCGTAGCCACACCCAAACCTCGCAGATACTGCACCGTACAGCTTCGCCTCCCGAATAACAGCTCTAGGGTACCTCTCACGCCTGGCAGCCCTGCAAAATGGTGAGTCCCATCAATCAGCCATTCAGAGACGTGGCCCATAAAAGCCAACCAAGAAAATCGAAGCATATTAGATCCACAGCCCCGCCCACACGAGAAAAATCAGTATACCACCGATATAATCTAAAATAAGTAACGGCTCCTCAACAATAACAACAGCCTCGATACACCATCATAGGCACGGTCTGGTGGTCTAGTGGTATGATTCTCGCTTAGGGTCCACCCTGAGTTTAATAACTTGCGAGAGGTCCCGGGTTCAATCCCCGGCCAGACCCTTTGTTTTTGTTTATTGGGCTTATGAGAGGTAAACTCTTATTTTTTTTCTCGAATTGGGACGGAGGACAAGGAGAATACTGCACAGGGTGTAGACATCTTTCCTGGGGGCGGAAAGCGATGCCGCGTTGCATCTGTTGAGTGGGTGCTGTTGTGTGGAAAAGGCTAACTAATTGGTGATGAATGTTTATTTATGGCGGCCAGCATGGGTGCAGAGGCAACGGGCTCTCTTGTTTTTGACTCGAAGGCCACCTAGTTCGCAAACGCACAATGAGGGTACAGTGCAACTGAAAACATATGGCCCGCAGAGATGTTTGGCGTGTGTGAACCCGAAAGACCTTGAATTGAACATGGAGAGGCGGAAGAGAACAAATAATGCGAAGGCGATAGAAATGTGTACCATGGGAGACATGTCGCGCAACCAGAAAAGATGTTGGAGACCTGATCCATGTCATGCTTTTCTACATGACGGTACTGTTGTGGGTGTTGTCCTCAACTGAATATGGCGGCTTAGGCTGGAGTTGGGATAAGAGAAGGTGATCAGGTCGCTTATTGTTCGATTGGTAATTCAAATCGATAGAGATATATTTAAGGACGATTGAACTTCCGGTAGTTTCCTCATCTTCATGCCGTTAGGTAACGTCGCGGACCGTTGGCCTGGCGCTGAGACGGATAATGGGGAATCAAGCTGATTCGTAGCCGTCCACGCAGTTATATAAGCACACAAGCTTGGCGCAGATTCAAACTTTGCAGTTGATGATACGATGAAACATTTGCGAAGAGACTGAGCGATCGCATGTGTCCAACATGGTCCTGGCTGGCCGGCCGGGCTTGGATGGCAAAGGTGGGTTCCGGTGTGGACCGATGAACACGGTCGGTTTCTTCCCGACCAGCCGGAGGGGCACTTACCGGAACCGGCCTTGGCGAGTCAATGCCTCAATAACCTAGTTAGCGGTACTACCTAATCTTATCATTCCGGAAAACAGCTGATGCGGGAGCCGAACGGGGTCTTGCCAGACAGTTGGCTGAGAAGGTGGTGATGTGGATCGATGAACACCGGTCGGATTCTTTCCGCAGCGCATCTATTTGCGGAACAGCGGATCTTACTAAAACAGCCATACCGCTAATAATTACCGCCTAGTCTTTGCTCCTGCCCAATGCTTGAAGGATCACTTGACATGGAAGGGTCCTTTGCTTGGCTTTGCGAACCTTTGCCGACAGCAAAATAAATTTTATCATGGGAGAAGGATGGCAACTTTTGCTGCGCAATTGGGATTAAGCACTATGATAATGGCATAGGGCTGGCATGAGAGTAATCCAAGTGCACTCAATGTGGTAGTAACACTGAAATTTTCAAAACCAATACAGCTGAGCCTGATATTACTTTGACAAGCGTAATAACGTCCATCGCAATGAACTAATCAGCCTCAGTAAGCGACTCGGCGCGCATGAATTGGTGGCCTAGTGCTGTGCAAGAGATTGTCGGGTCATCGCAGGTTACTCGGGTGCTTCGTGAATCTATCGCGCTAGTGACATCATGTCGAGTAGCCGAATCAATCCAGTAACCGAGCAACATCCGCGCCGCCAGGCACAAAATACACCAATTGAGCCAAAAGTCGCACTACTGACCCAGACACTCTCAATAATCTCGTAGTCCTCTTTGCATCTTCAATTGACATGTTTGGCGGCGCGGCAAGACACGGGCGCGTGCGGGGAGCTCTGCGACAGGTACCGAGCTCGAGACGGCATTCAAGCCAGTACGAGAAGACAGTCGGAAATCTGCGCATTAACCAGGAAAGCAGAGTCATTTTCCAAGGTAAGAGACCCTGAATGTAAAGTTAGATATCAAACTGACTCTTCAGGATTCACCGGAAGAGCGGTAGGTCGATCGAGTGTAACCAAATGCACGGGCTAATAGCGCAGGCAACGGCAAATGCACAAGATACGATAGCATACGGCACGCGGATAGTCGGCGGTGTGTCTCCTGGTAAAGGCGGGCAGACACATCTCAACTTGCCCGTTTTCAACACCGTCCGCGAGGTAGGTATTCCCGGTCTCTGCACGAGCCAAAGCGCTAACCGCCGCAGGCGGTGCAGCAGGTCCGGCCCCAGGTCACCGCCGTCTTCGTGCCCGCGCAGGGCGCGGCTGCGGCCATTATCGAGTCTATCGAGGCCGAGGTACCGCTCATCGTCAGCGTCGCCGAGCACATCCCAGTGCACGACATGCTGCGCGTGCACGAGGTGCTGCAGACGCAGAGCCGCACGCGCCTGGTCGGGCCCAACTGCCCAGGCATCATCGCGCCCGAGCAGTGCCGCGTGGGCATTATGCCTTACAAACAGTACCGCAAGGGCTGCGTTGGCATCGTCTCCAAGTCGGGCACGCTGAGCTACGAGGCCGTCGGCGCCACCAGCAACGCGGGCCTGGGACAAAGCATCGTTATGGGCATGGGCGGTGATTTGCTGCCAGGTACGTTCTATCGCGAATGGGCGACGACGCTTGCGCCTCGGATCAATTGGGGGCGGGCTGACATTATCAGGCACCACGCTTGTCGACGGGCTGCGGCTGTTTTTCGAAGACGACGAGACAAGAGGCATCATTGTCATTGGGGAGATTGGCGGCGAGGCGGAGCTGCGCGCCGCCGAAGTCATTCAGGAGTACCGCGCGCGCACGGAGAAGCCCAAGCCCATCATTGCCATGGTGGCTGGTAAGACCGCGCCCGAGGGCAGAGTCATGGGCCATGCCGGCGCCGTCCTGATGCCGCGCGACGTTTCGGCCGCGGAAAAGGCAGACGCCCTGAGCAAGGCGGGCGCCATTGTGGTTCCGCATCCTGGCGTAATGGGCGACACGATGAAAGACCTTCTGGGTATGTAAACGGGTAGCAACGGTATTCAATGCATTACTCAGCATCACTAGAATCGTATTACCAATACAGAATTATTATTGTTATAAGAACTGGTAAAACAGCCCAACTCCCTGAGCAATGGGGATTAAGCTGTGGACTGCCCCGGACTGCCTAAAGGGGACATACCGCCACCACGCTCATCGCTGCTTGTCTCCTAGTAATAGCGCCCAGCAAAGTCTAAAATAGACAAGGCAAGCGCTTCCTTTGTTCATGGAAAGACGGGCCTTGTTTCCGACAACGCTTGGCAACCAAAGCGGACGCCGCTCCTTTTGACTCATGCCGATCAATTTTCATCCTTACAAATTGCTGAAAAGGTGGTGTGCTTCGCCGTGATATTCGGGCTCGGCTTATATAGAACCCACTGTCCCATTGCTATGCCATTGTCTTGGCGTACGGGACCATACTGAATCAACAGACTGCACCACAAATCGCAACACATGACGACTTCTAACTGTGCGGTCGAGCTGCAACCGCTGCAGATTCCTGCACCGACAAAGCAGGTAGACTACGACCACAAGGCAGGCCGTCCGGAATCCTTTGCCGGCAACGGCCAGAGACTGGTAGACGAGTGCGCAACGCCAGACGATGCTCCGCCAGGTGCCGTCTCGGCGCTGCAACGATGGAACCATCCTCGCGGCAACGTATCTCGTGTTGCTGCGTGTTTCTGGTGCTTTCTGGTCATGGGAGCCAACGACGCTGCCTATGGAGTGAGGATCAATACAGCGAAACCATTACAGACTTGATTACTGACGTGTGCAGCCTCTTCTCCAATCTGTAGGTCTTTCACGATGTCGGCACGAACCACACTAACCCCCCATAGCTCATCAGCTACTACGATCTGACTTATACTGTCGTCTCGCTCGTCTTCCTCTCCCCGGTTGTAGGCTATATTAGTTCGGCGCTGCTCAACAATCACCTGCATCTCAAGATTGGCCAGCGCGGTATCGCCATCTTGGGCGGTTTGAGCCACATTCTCGCGTACATCGTCATTGCGACGCACCCGCCCTTTGTCGCGCTCGTGTTTGCCTTTATGCTGGCGGGCTTCGGCAACGGCATCTACGACGCAGCGTGGAACGCATGGGTGGGAAATCTCGACAAGTCCAGCGAGCTGCTGGGCTTCTTGCACGCCTTTTATGGAATTGGCGGTGTGATAAGCCCTTTCATCTCGACGGCCATGATAACCAAGGGTGGCCTCTCTTGGTATGCGTTCTACTATATAATGGTATGTAATAATTTCAACCGATCTAGGACTGGGCTAATTGATCAGATCGGCATCGCCGGAGTTGAATTAGTCTCTCTAACAGCAGCATTCTGGAAATCCACTGGGCCTGTTTACCAAGCCGCCTATAAAGAGTCTCAACAAACACAGATCAGACATGAGACTGGCCTTGGCGAAGCTCTGTTTAAGAAGCCAGCGGCACGTGTATCTTGGGTCTCTGCGCTCTTCCTGCTGTTGTATGTTGGTGTAGAAGTTGCTCTTGGAGGTTGGATCGTGACTTTTATGAGCAAAGTTCGCAAGCAAGACGACTTTTCCAGTGGAATGTCGGCAGCTGGCTTCTGGCTTGGCATTACGTTTGGCCGTGCGATACTGGGCTTTGTGACCCCCAAGATTGGTGTCAAGCTGGCCATGTCGGTATGTATGCCATACTCGCACCGACTTCAACATGCTGACCTCGCCAGATATACATTGGCTGCGCCGCTGCACTTGAGCTCATTTTCTGGCTTGTGCCCCAATTCATCGTTTCTGCCGTTGCCGTTTCGCTACAGGGCTTCTTCCTTGGCCCCATGTTTCCCGGTGTTGTTTTGGTTGCCAGTAAGCTGCTCCCTAAGCACCTGCATGTAGTCGTTATTGGTTTTGCCGCAGCCTTCGGCGGATGCGGTGCAGCCATTTTGCCATTCGTGACAGGTCTGCTGGTGCAGGGATCCGGCCCGACCGTACTGCAACCGATCATTCTTGCCCTGTTGGTGGTGATGCTCGTTGTTTGGCTGCTTCTGCCGCGAATCGACAAGAAGCGCGACTAAGTCTTGCAATGTATTTCTATACTGTGCATCAACGGGATTAGCAGGCAATTATCATCAAGAAAAGCTTATAATTGATTTATTCGACAGCGCCTCTCGTCTACATGTCCGGCACGGGGTCGACCTTTTTGATGACACGAGCGGGTGTTCCAAGGGCGACGGAAAAGTCGGGAATCGACTTTGTCACGATGCTGCCCGCACCAACCGTGCAACCCTTTCCTATGGTGACACCGGGCATGATTGTCGTGTTGCCACCGATCCAGCAATCATCACCGATGACAACGGGTGTGGCATACTCGACGCCGTCGCGACGGGACTGCACACCAGTCTCGTGGGTGGCGGCGAAAATGGACACAAAAGGTCCAAACTGAACACGATTGCCAATTTGTACAATGGCACAGTCCAAGATGACGAGACTACACCATCAGCTGTGTTTCCCTCAGAGTAAAAGTTCAGCTTACTTGAAGTTGGAGTAGAAATTGTCGCCAATGACAATATTGCAGCCGTAGTCGACGTTGAGAGGAGGCTCAATATAAGCGCCTTTACCAATCTTGCCAAAGATGTCGCCGAGCGCCTTTGTGCGATCCTTTTCAAGCGACTCTACAGTGGCGTCGTCGGGAAAGGTAGTATTGTATCTGAATGTATTTAGCGACGTCTTTTGCCTTGATGGTGCCGGCGTAACGTACTTGTGCATTAGACGCCTCGCACGGAAGCGACCTTGGACCAGCTCAGGAGCTTGGGCATCATAACTTTTGCAAACAGTTAGTTTGCTTCGTAGTATGGAGAGGGAGGGAGTGCACCAACAGGACACCAGAAATCATCTTTTCATAGTCGTCGCACCAGGGAATGTGCTCGAGCGTCTTGGCCAGCTCAAGGGCGGCTTGGTTTCTTTCCGTGGCAGCCATGGGTCAATGATCCGTTGTCGATTATTCTGGTCATGACCAGAGATGCACAGTTGGAAACGGGAAATGGCCAGTTTAAATAACGGCGGCACACCGTGAGGGTCAAATGAGGAAGTTCCGAAGTCGAACCGTCGGACCGACAACACGGCTTGGCTAGCTTGGTCGGGCGTTGAAGTTTGTGGGGGGTTCAGATTCCCCAGTCTGGGCCTGCCTGAGCAGTTGTTGGATTGGGGTTGCACGATTTTTGTGATTGTCGTGGCCAGAGGCGGCGTAGGCCGGGCTGAGAAAATATAAAGACAGGGCTAATTCGGCGGCGCAGATGCCATTTGTAACCCCCCCGAGTAAGAGCGACTCAAAATGAGGCTACATGTCCTTGCCTTTGCAGTGTCGGCCGCCGCGGCTGCCGCCAACTACTACAACGACGCCATCTGCCGCAGCAGCCTCGACTGTCTCAGAATCTGCAAGCACGGCGACTTCAAAGTCTACCAAGACTCGGCCGGCCAGCCGCAGCTCGAGTGCGCCGAGGGCATCATCGAGTACAGCCGCAAGACGTGCCTGTCGCGCAACGGCAGGGGCGACGAGAACATTAAACTGCTCGGCGGCGCGTGCGTTGGGGCTCGCGGCCTGATTTGCGAAAATTACTGCGTGGTGCCGACGACAATGACGATGCTGGAGGGCCGCCGCTTTGAAGACGAGTGCCGCGCTCTGCAGGGCATACCGTCGACTATTGTGGGCGGGCTGACGGAGGATCAGGCCAAGGGGCAGGAATCTTGCTCGTGGTCGATTGAGACGAGATGAAAAAGCTTCTAATAGTAGCAACGGAACGAACGGGTCTGGGTGCTTGTTGATTAGATGATTCGTGGTTGCATATGCTGGGGAATTGGGGTGCCGAGTTGGAGAGTAGCCGAGGCCGGGCTTTGACATAGCCGTCAGGCGCTGAAATGACCTGTTGATAGGTAGAGGATTTGGTGGATAGGTAGTACCTAGAGACGCTAGCAAGATGTAGACGAATACATGTCTATGTACGGTATCGTGCTCTGTATTTAATGATGCTTTAGGAATTGAATTATCGGAGCATGTACGCAAGGTGGTATGCAGCGTAAATTAACACGATGATTATGTATTATAATTTACATGCCCATCCAGGACCTACATCTTGGACGGCACCCACTTTGGCTTCTCTTTACTCGCAAATGCCATCAAACCCAACTTGATATTCTCGCCATTAAGCAGCTGTCGCATATAGCGCTCGTCCATGATTTGCGCGGCCCTCTCGACGCTGGCCGTCTCCCAAGCTTCTCGCAGGCCCGCGCGGCTTATGATGATGGCGTCTGGTGACGATTCGGTAATCTGCTCCGCCAGGGCCACGGCCTCGGGCACAACGCTGTCCTGCGAGGCGGCGATGCGGGCGAATCCGTGGTGCCTGACCTCCTCGGCCGTGAGTGTGCGCGCTGCAAGCACAATTTCGGAAGCTAGCTGCATGCCAAAAATGCGCACGACGCGGGGGATGCCACCAGCGCCCGCCCATACGCCTCTCTTCACCTCGGGCAGACCAAATGTTGCCGTGGGTGACGCGACAACCATGTCGCTATTTCCAGAAAAAGAAAATTAGCAGGAAAGTTCTCATGTGAGCTCACAATTGGGTAAAAGTCTCGACTTACCAGTTCAAAGCCAGCTCAAAGCCGCCCCCTAGAGCTAATCCATTGACGGCCGCAATCACCGGCTTCTTGCCGAGGCGTCTGCTGAGACCGCCGAAACCTGTCGGCGGCAGAGTAGCCACGTTGGACTGTTCCCCCGAGAGTTGCCTCTCCATCAACATTTTCAGATCCTGGCCTGCGCAGAATGCCTTTTTCCCCTTGCCCGTAATCACAGCCACTCGCAGCGAGGGCTCGTCATCAAACCATTGAAACAGCCTCTCGCCCTCATAGTGGCCATCGGTATGGATGGCATTCATTGACTTTTCGCGATTAATGGTGACGAGGAGCACATATGGCGCCGGGTAACTGAGCTCGTAAACGGTGACCTCTGGAGGTTGAGTCTCTAGCTTGTCCGCCATGGTGTTGGTTTTCTATGTTTTCCGGATATAGGACGGACTTTCTATGTTTTCGAGATATGGGATGAGATTTCTTCGTAGATTGTAGAAGAAAACGTTCAAATAGAATGAAAAGATGTGTTTATGGATATGCTGGGGTTGTCTGGGGAAAACTAGCCTTTCCCGTGTGGGAACCTCGGGCCAGAAAAGTAGTTAACAATCTAAACTAGCTCCCCGCAGCACATAGCCGATTATGATCAACTGTGCGTTGGCAGCTTTTTCTTGTCAAGAATAAAACTTCTCTTTGTAAAGCATCAACATAACCACAGTGTTGATAGCAAGCAAAATAAACACCCAATTAGAGAATCATTCCATTTGCCAAAGAAAGCCGTCTGCAATTGACTGCAGGCTAGCCGCGCATCAGCAAACATGTCGCCAAGTCGAGCCACTCCCATTATCATTGGTGTTGGCGATGTTAGAAACAAATCTAGCAAGCCAGAGGACGCCATCGAGCCCTCAAAAATGATGGTCGGCGCCATCCAAAACGCCATCAAAGACACAGGTCTCGATGCCGGTGCACAGAAACAGCTTCTCGGCGATGCAGATAGCTTGCGCATCATTCCCACGTGGACGTGGGCTTACAATGACTTGCTGAGCACTGTAGCCAATGATCTGGGAATTAGGCCGGCAACGAAAGAGATGCCGACGCACGGCGGCAACCAACCTGCATTGCAATGCGACGAAGCAGCCAGAGCCATCGCCAACGGCCAGAGCAAGGTGGCCATTCTGACTGGCGGCGAGGCCATGGCTTCACGTACGTAGCGCATCCCTTTTATCGGGGTAATATTAACAGAGTCAGTTGCGGGTTGCCAGAAAGCAGGCCAAATGCCACCGCCGGGCTGGGTCGAGCCTGATCCGGACGGCAAGACATTGTCGATGGATTTATCCATTTTGGGAGATGGTAATTCCACCTTTGCCCGCTGATGAACATTCACTGACTAGATAGGTGCTGGTGCACGTCACTCCGTCGGTCTTCCCATCCATGTCTACCCTTTGTATGAGATTGCGCGCCGCGCACATCTTCACCACACTGCACAGCAAAATAACCAGGAATCGGCCACCATGTACGCTTCATTCGACGAGATTGGCTCCAAGAACAAATACTCGTGGAATTATGGCGAGAAGCCGAAATCAGCTGAATTCATCGGCTCCATCTCGAAGCGAAACCGCATCATCTGCGACCCTTGTAAGTTCTTTGGCCAGAAGGAGCAATGTATGATGAGCTAACAGAATGTACCAGACCCCCTACTGATGAATGCCTTTAACGGTGTCAATCTGTCGGCTGCCTGCATCTTGACGTCGACGGAGCATGCTGAGAAACTCGGTATTCCTAAAGACAAGTGGGTGTATATTCTTGGCGGAGCCGGTACTCACGAAAAGGACAACTGTGAGTGATTCTATCGTAATCTCAAGAGTCGAACTAATAAAGTAGTCTGGGAACGACCTGGGTTCGCTAGCAGTCCAGCGATTACAAACTCGCTCAATTCTGCACTGCAAGTCTGTGGCCTGAAAAAAGAGCAGATTGACGTTTTCGATTTTTACTCGTAAGTCAACCTGAGACAATGCCAAGTGCTACGCTGAGACATCTCAGATGCTTCCCGATTGTCCCCAAGCTTGCATGCGATCATTTCGAACTCTCGCCCACCACTCCGGAAAAGCCAATTTCACTCTTGGGCGGACTAACATCATTCGGAGGCGCCGGAAACAACTACTCCATGCACGCAAGTACAGTCTCACTTTTGAGAAAGCAAACATACTGACAGCCTCAGGCGCTCACGGCCATGACGCGAGAGCTGCGCAGCCGCAAATACAACAACGGCCTGATTCTTGCCAACGGCGGTATGCTCACGCATCAGTACGTTGTCTGCCTCTCAGCACAACCTCGCAAGGACGGAAAGGACTACCCGTTGGAGAACCCGTTGCCTCTTGTCGTGCAGGACCCGGCGCCACCATTTGCCGAAGACGCCACCGGCCCCGCCACCATTGAAGTCAGTTGCCGATGCAGGTTCTGGGCCTGATCACCTCATGCTGACACAAGCCCACAGACTTATACAATCGAGTATGATCGCTCTGGAGTACCCAATCTCGGCCTCATTGTCGGGAAGCTCAAGACTGGCGAGCGGTTCCTCGCGAATCACGGCGACGATGCGACGCTGCAAAGACTGGCCCAACGTTCCGTGGAGCACATTGGTGAGGCGGGCGTTGTACGAAAGGAAGACGAGAGGAATCTCTTTTACTTTGACGCCAAACCGAACCTGTAAAATACAAGATGCAATTGCTAGAGACAATTATAGAGTTTTAAAGCTCGGAGCAGGCATCAATGACAAACTGCACGTGACGTATTTCGTGACGTATTTCAATGCGACGGTGAGATCCTTCTAGTGTGCGTCAGCTCCAGCCTCGGTTGATGAACCTGTTAGTTAGCGTGCGTGCTCTTGTGACATTCAACGTCTCATTCCGCGACGAGATATCAATCAGCCTTTAGATACCATCCTTTGAAAATGGCTTGCGCAGACTGTTTCCGCGGCAACATCCACGAGGGCCAGCCCAAGGGCGAGGTTGGCAATGTCCACGGCCTCGACACGTATATTTCGCGCCCGCCCAAGGGCACCCAGTCGCGCGGCATCATCGTCATCATCCCCGATGCCTTTGGATGGAAATTTGGTAATAATCGCCTGCTTGCGGATAACTATGCCGAAAAGGGCGACTTTACCGTCTACCTCCCCGATTTTATGAATGGTAGGCTGCAATCAATGGCTTGCCAGTGCACCCAAGTGCTGATTCTCGCCAAGGCCATGCCGCTCCCTTGAGAATGTTTGATCATGGCCGCGCATTTTCGACTTCATCCAACATCCTCACCAAAATGTCGGTGAGATTGTGTGTTGACAGTACCTACTTTGAAGCATACTGAACTTTTTTTTGGGCAGCTACCACGTCTTTTGGGCCGTGCTGGACATCATCCCGTTCTTCTACTACTGCAACCCCGGCAAGACCTTTCCCGTCGTCAAGGGCTTCTTTGAGCAACTGCGCAAGGACGAGGGTGCCACGCAGCCAATCGGCGCTGCTGGCTTCTGCTGGGGCGGCAAGCACGTCGTTTTGCTGAGCCACGGCTACGAGATTGACGGCAAGCCGCTCCTCGACGCGGGCTTCACGGCCCATCCCAGCATACTGAGTATTCCCTCCGACATTCAAAAGATTCAGCGCCCCGTCTCGTTTGCTTTGGCGGCCAAGGATGACCAAATCTCACCTGCCAAGGCTGAGAAAGTCAAGGCCATTGTGGAAGCTCTCCCGAGCCCCGCGACGGGCGAAGCATATGTGATTCCGGGGACTGGCCATGGCTTTGCTGTGCGTGCCGACTTGACCAAAGATGATGTGGCTGCGCAGGCGGCCAGGGCCGAGGACCAGAGTGTTGACTGGTTCAAGAAGCACTTTTAACGGGACGCTATGAAGAAAGAATATGATTTTATGTAATGCTTTGCACTGTGTTCTAGTCTAGGGGACCACTTGTATGAATGGTTTACAGTGTATTCTATATGAACCACCAAGATGAAGGCTCATGTTTTGGCGAGCTCAACGGCCTTTTGTGCCGCCTTTCCGAAATCAGCCTCCACGTACAGCCCTAGATCCGCATCCGCGAGCTTTGACCAGTCAGCACTTTGCAAGTGCGTCGCAGTAGTAATACTTACAAGTTGTAATCCCGCTTCCGAGTTTGTGCCCTGAAGACGAACCACCATTGGGACGTGGATATTCATCTCGCTGGCTGCGCCAATGATGGACTCGGCAATCATGTCACATCGTGTGATGCCTACAACGGGTTAGACAACGGATGGTATTTTCTTGCCGTGAGAAGTAACGTACCGCCGTAGATGTTGACGAGGATGGCCTTGACGCGCTCATCTCTGAGGATAATGCTAAATGCCTGCATCATCGTCTGCGTCGTCGCCTGGCCGCCGGCATCGAGAAAGTTTGCGCTCTTGCCGCCTGCCAGGTCAATGGCATCATTCGTCGCCATGGCAAGCCCTGCGCCGTTGACGACGTTGCCAATGTTGCCGTCCATGCGCACGTACACGAGGCCGTACCGTTCCGCCTCGACCTCGTCGCGCACCTCTTGCTCCTTGTCGCGCAAGGCAAAGAGGTCGGCCTGTCTCTTGTGCGCATCATCATCAAAGATAAACCTCGAATCCAGGCAAACAAAGGCATGGTTGGAACGGGCCAGTGAGCAGACTTCGAGCAGCATGCCTTCCTTTTCGACAAAGATCTTGTGCAGGGCCCTGAGTGTCTTGCCGAGGCTGGCAATCTCAGTGACGTGGGATACACCAATGTCCAAAGCGATGCGCTGGACGAGAGACTCGGGCACACCCTCGGTCAGTGTAAAGTTGTACGAGCGGATGCTAGCTGGGTGCTGCTCGGAGATGGAGCGAATGTCCTGGCCGCCGTGCTTGGAAAAGACAATGGCGGGCTGGTAGTTTTCGCGGTCAACAGTCATGGCCAAGTACCATACTTCATCGTGTGATGCTGGCTGTGAAATGTACAGCTCCTTGGCGACCATGGCGCCGTCGGATGGCCGTAGAAGCTCAGCGGCGAGCTTGACTGCCTGCTCGGGGCTGCGAGCCACCAGACCGGCGGCTTCCTGCTCTGCCAAAGATGTTTTTCGCTTAAGAAGCTGCGCACTTAGCCGGCTATTATTTCCTAGAAGCATCCGTTAAATCGTTGACTCGGAGCATTGGAGATGGTCCAACGTACCGAGCTCTTCCACCGCTGCTCGAGCTTCCTCGGCGCTGCGCGCAACGAGGCCCCTTGGCACGGCAGCACCGGCCTAGTTTTGTAAGCTGCAAGTAAAGGACCAAAAAAAAAAGAAATAAAAAAAAATAAAAAAAATATAAAAGCAGCAATCTCACCTCTTTCAATAGTTCTTGCGATTGATATTGGTGAAGTGTGAGCCTCCGCACGTGCTGTCTAACGACAAGCTACTCATATCAGCCTACACTCAGACTTGGCTGTTGTTGGTATGAGGCCTACCTGAGAGCTCGACCTCCAAAGACGCAGAGCTGATCTTTGCAAAGCCATTGAGTCTGATGAATCAAAAAATACACCGAAGTTCTCTTGGAGATGTTTCTTACGTCCAAGTTGATGTTTCGAAACCTCAATGCAATTTGTGTGTTTAGTTGCCGGCCACTAGCCGGCTTTATGATGGCTTCTCGCGGGGTATCAACGTCGTCATGGGAATACAGTTAGCGCCCGGTTATATGACATTGCGAGCTTGGTCCGGTACATAGTTTGAGCCAGCTGCGAACACGTCGTTGCGAAAACCTCAGTAATTAAATTTTGCCTTTACTGCAAATCACAAAAAAATGAAAAGTTTACATTTTCGGGCGAGCGTACAATGGGCGCGGAAGTTTGAGACCTCGGCTCGTCACCAGCAAAGCACGGCGCAAGACGCCGCAGCGCGCCTCCTCGACACCTTTGCGGGCAAGACTGTCAGCCGCCGGCAGCTCATTGACGGCAACCAGCTGCAGAAGCTATCGCTGACTCTAGGCCGAACATGCATCGGGACTCACAACGTCACAGAGCGCCCGCCAGCTGTCGGTACGCCGGTGCCACCGGGACACCATCTGGTGTACTTTACGCCGTCTGGCGTAGAGGATGAGCTGGGGCCCGACGGCTCCGACAGAACTTACAACGCGGCGGCGCCGTTTTCGAGGCGAATGTGGGCGGGCGGCACGATGCAGTGGTCGGCCGAGAGCGCGTCCATCCGCGTGGGCGACGAGGTGGAGGAGCGCACCACGCTGCTGAGCGCTACGGCCAAGAAGAGCCGCTCGGCTGGTGAAATGGTCCTTGTCGAGGTGGTCAAGGAATTGCAAGGCCCTCGCGGCGTGGCGCTTGTGGACAGGCGATCCTGGGTATTCCGGCCAGAAGTCGACCCGAGCAGTGCAGCAGCAGCAGCAGCAGCAGCACCGAAGCCACCGAGGCAGACGAAGCAGGGACCTACAGTAATTAAAGACGTAACGAGTGCTTCAAGTTGTAAGTGCAGGTGACCAAGCAAAAAAAAAAAAGACTGTACGTGCAATTCTGACAGACGGCCAGTTCCTGCACGAAACTTTTGCTGGTCGCCCGTAGGGTTATTTCGCTTCTCGGCCTTGACGTTCAACGGCCACAAGATTCACTACAACGAGGGCTGGACGACCGCCGTCGAAGGCCATCCCGGGGTTGTCGTGCATGGGCCGTTGAATCTCATCAATATACTTGATTATTGGAGAGATGTACATGGAAATGGCCAGGCACCAAAGGAGATTGTATACCGCGCCATGTCGCCATTATACGCCGGCGACCAATATCAAGTGCACACGGCTAATGTAGAGGCTGAAGCAGAGGGTAACAAGTATCAGATATTGGCAGACAAGGATGGGGTGGTGTGCATGAAAGCTGTTGTGCTATAAGTCGTCGCCATGCTATCAATGTACATGTATATCAAGTGCATGCAATCGCTATCAATGTAAATATAGACAAGGTGCATGCAATCAGTCGCTAGTATCATCATTCATATATTCATTCGAGTCCTCTTCATCCATATTAATCGGCTTTGGTCAGAGGCGCGAGTCGCTGCATGATGCTGCTAGCGTACTCGCTCAAAGGCGCATCATAGTCGACCGTGTAAATGGAGATGGAGATTCCACCGTTCTCGACCACGTACGTCTCACCTGGCAGAGAGCAGTCGCCATGGACGCACGCATTCACACCCGCGGCGTAGGGTTTCAGATTGGCCCATGTAAAGATGCCCTTTTTGGGGTCCCACACGGCTTCGTTGACCTGCGCGTTGCCCGTCATGCGTGTGCGCACAATCTCCGGCTCGGTGCCGTTGGCTTTGAGCTCCGGTATGTTGACGCTGAGGCCGTATCCGAGAGGTAGTAAGGGGCCGCCCTTGAGGCTGCTCCTGATGACCTGGTCGACGACCTTGACGGCCACTTTGGCGACGAGTGTGGCTGGGTCGCTGCCGTTCTTCACGTCAAAGTAGGGCACCTCCCGGTTGCTACCGGAGAGCGCAATGGCAGGGATGCTGCGGTGAGTGGCGGCATAGCTGGTAGATTTGTCAGTGATTGGCGGGGTTTTCAGCATCTTTGGATCCAACAGGAACGTACGCGGCACCGGCAGTGCCCGAAAGAGTCCAGACAAAGGGTCCTAGGTTGGTTCCAAAGTTGGGCCCAGTTAGAACGAGGTCGGGAACCTTGAAATCGGCAAAGCGAGGCAGCACATAGTCGAGGGCGACAAATGTGCAAGCCGCAGGAGTGCCATTGTAGTACCAAATGTGGCTGTCGTGGGGATCACTGCCAATCTACAATTGTCAACTTTTGCGCATAGCGTCTTAAGGATGATTCTTACAGATGGGGCGCCCTTGGGAATCAAGTCGTACTGTGACGCGGCTGTAAGGTTGCCTTCTCTGCTAAAGTCGCTTTTACCGCCCATGCCGCTCTGCATAGTGGCTGGTGCAACGATCCAAGCTAAGAACGTTAAATTTGTCCATGAAACCATCGAAAACAAGCGTTGGAGAAGCGCACCATTGTGGCCAGCCTCGTTTAATAGGCGATATACTTCTCGCAGGTTACCCGAAGCAAAGCCGTCGTCATTGTTTAGCAGGATGTTGAGAGCCTGGGCAGAGCCGGCGAGGACTAGCGGTAAAAGACTAGAGACGAGCATGTTGGGGGGGGGGGGGGGACCTGGAATCTTTCAACACAATGGGATGGGGAAGGGGAACGAGGTCAATTGAGAGCTGGCAGACGGGTCCTGCAGGCTATTTGTACGGAAACCTTGGCAAGCAAAGAAACCTGCATACATGCCTAGAGAGCAAAAGTTCCCATGAAGATAACTGCTCGCCTGCCGGACCAGGCATGGTCCGTAGTCGCCAGAAAGAGCAGGGCTGAGATGACTTGTCTGGGGTGAGATGGTGGTGGATTAGCGTGTGTAGGCGGCGGAGGTGGCCGAGGCTGCTGATAAGAGGGCGTGCTGCACCAAGATTCCAGAATGACAATGGATCTGGCATCGCCAGCGCGATCCTCAAATCATTACATTTTCCTCATATACGGATAATTTACGTTATGTTCAATTTCGATTGCTGACGCAGGTTTTGCCCAATGGTAGGGTCCCAGGGTCCCACAGAGCGACCTGTACTTTACCACCACATTTTTCAATTGATATAGTTCATTTTGACCGTAAAAAGTTGTGTATCGCTTGTCGGTTCAAGGGCTCAGTCATTGCATGTCAATTGGCGTGAACTCTGCTTTGAATGTTGTTACTTGATGGATTGAAGCTATCTTGGCTAAATCACTCGGTTCTATCAATATCAGCCTCAAGGACTAGGTAGACAGTGCGTGACTGGGATTGGGCTAATAACACTGTGTGATGCAAACTGTACACTGTATCCCCCTTACGCCTTCTCTTCCCATCGGAACAATGGGATACCAAATCTTTACCAACACAAAGCCTGTTACTTGCTGGCCATGGATTTTGATCATTTGGCTAAAACTAGGGCGAACATCCTGTTCGGCGCTTGGCTGAAGTCACTCCTCAGAAATAACCCCGAACGAACTGCAGCCATACAGGCGATAAGACATTGCCAATTACCCTAAAAAACAGCCAAGCTTCTCGCCAATGGGGCTGCAATATTTGCTATCGAGTCACCTTTGAGAACGGCGACCGTGTAGTTGTTCGGTTGACCGCCATTGGACGAGTCCTTGCGCGCCATGCGAAACTTGAAGACGAGGTCGTAGTCTTGCATTACCTGCGACCTGGTGTAGAGACTCGTCTTGATACACAAGAAGTGCTGGGACGCGATTCGAATTTCACTATAAAACCTTGGTGCTAGAATCGTTGATCACGAGCGATCTCGGATCCGTGAAGCCTTGTTACTGGCTCAAGTCTCCACTGTCAGCCGTCATAGTTGACCCGAAGAGGCATCTCACAGGGCCTTGTTGACTAATTGACCTTTCCGTATAGGATGAAGAGGAGAAGTTCTTCTGGAGCATCCAACAACTTCATTCTTGCACCGACCAAACTCGTTCAACTGCATTGAGCGCGTTGCACATCATGCCGCAATCTGATTTCCACGAGCACGAGCATCGCCGCTCAATCGAGACTTTGCAAATACTAGATGGAAATGCCACCACCAGCGGCACAAGTCTCCCGCCAACGGACCGCGGCCGCGATGCGTACTTGGCTCTCATCTGCTGCACCGTCGCGCAGGCGCCAATCTGGGGCAAGCCAACCCTTTTGCTGAAAACTCTTTCCCTTTTCCGCGTGGATCCTCTCGCCGTTTTCCTGACCAGCAGCATTTAGGCTATTCCGTGGCGTTTGGCATCTTCCAAGAGTACTACACCAGCGACGAGAGCCCCATCAAGGCGCCGCCTGGCTCATTCGCCACCGTCGGGGCCCTGCAGATGGGCGTCATGTATCTCATGATGCCGCTTGCGTTCATGGTGCTGAGCTGGTTCCCGCGGCTGCGTCCCTGGTGCGGTCCTCTCGGACTGGCCATTACTGTCGCGAGCATCTGCGCGTCGGCATACGTGACGACCGTCGGCGGCCTCATTGCCACCCAGGGCGCGCTGTACTCGATGGGATGCGGGCTGCTGTTCAGCCCCATCTCCAAGTACATGGATGAGTGGTTCTCGGCCAAAAAGGGGCTCGCCTACGGCATAATGTGGGCGGGCAAGTCCATTGTCGGCATGGTGATGCCGTTTGTCTTTAGCGGGCTGCTCAATCGGTTCGGTCTCCGGGCCACGCTGCTGTCGTGGGCTGCCGCGTCGGCCATCATGACGCTGCCGACGCTCCTCTTCCTCAAGCCCCGCGTGCCGCTGCACCTGCAAGCCCAGAACCGCCGCGTGTCGCTCGGCTTCCTCCGTCAAACGTCCTTTTGGATGATGCAGGTCGGCATCATCATCCAGGCGCTTGGCTATATCATGCCCAGCACGTACATGGCCAGCTATGCGACCGACGTCGGCTACTCGTCCATCACCAAGCCGATCCTCATTGCCATGTTCTCGCTGTCTAGTACCTTTGGCGCGCTCTTTCTTGGCATGCTAAGCGACCGCCTCAATGCGACCAAGGTGGTTCTCATCTCTGCCATTGGCAGCGCTGCGCCCGTGTTTCTGCTCTGGGGCCTTAGTCGGCACCTGGCCAACGTCATCATGTTTGCGCTCGTGTACGGATTCTTTGCCGGCGGCTTCAGCTCGACCTGGACAAGCATGATGCGTGAGATTCAGCGGGACGATCTGGCAGCTGATCCGTCGTTGCTGTTTGGGCTGCTCATGGGTGGGCGCGGCGTTGGCTTTGTTGCGGGAGGACCACTCAGTGGTGCTCTCATTGCTGTGCCAGGGCTTTTGACAGACGAGGCTATTGGATATGCCACGAGATATGGTCCGATGATTCTATGCACGGGGCTTACTGCGATTTTGTCGGCATGGGCACCGTTCTGGAACATGTCCAAGACCTTCAAATCGAGCATTAGGGCGGCTTCTAGAGTCAGGACAGCATGAAGACACCGACCGGCATACTCGACACAAATACGAAGACGCAATAGATTTACAAGCACTCGGTAGATTGCAAGAATCACTCAACCACCAAAAGTCACTCCAAAATCTGAAATCTCCCAACAGACGGCTTGCTGTAACAAAAGAAAACATGTCCACATCCTCTTTCTTTTGATGCTAAGTAGAGCGCTAGTGTAGGCCATGCCGTTAGCGCTGGAAAATCCCATTGCTAGTTGGCAACTAGTTGGACGTCCACGGAAGCGATGACAGCCGAATGGGAGGCACGGAGGGTACAGACGAGATGAAAGATCCGCCCAAGTACTGCTGTCTCTTGATACAGACTCTTTACTTGCGTCGAAATCTGGGAGACCGCTCCATGACATCGATTGACAGGGCCGAAGCCGACAATTGGTGCATGAGAAGCCGTAAACTATCGCGTCAAGGATGCTTTAGGTTCAGGAGAACCTTGGGTGCCAGAAACCACATGGGTTAGTCTCGTTCTAACCGTTTTGAAGTTGCCGCAATAACTTGATTTCTACACAAGGCGGCCCGAAATTCTACGGGAAATACGGTTCTGGGAGATTTTGGGACGAACCGCACAAGAGGTTCGAGCCACGTAGCTGGAGACTGCGGAACCGACTACCAGATATTGGCCCCATCATGTAAGGTATTGTAGAGCTAAAGGCGACATGCGATGGGTAGCCGACCCTGATTGCACGTCAGTAGTGCTGTGGCGATCCGTTGGGCCTTGTCAATCCCACGCACACGGCCGAGATCTGCCACCTTGCGCTTTGACCTTTTTTACCTTTGTCATGGTTCAGGAATCAGAACATGTCTAAAATCCTTCGACCGCGAAAATCTCTCTTGACGGCTCCGATCGACACGCCATGCAGCGGCAAGACATGGGAGGAGTTCCCCCACCTCATGGGAAAAGCAAGTTCGTCGTCTAGTTCACACAGGTGTTAGTACCGAGGCGAAAACGCTGTCTCTTTTATTCTTTCTTTTTTATGTACCAATGTACCAACAGAAAAGAAAGAGGAGAGAAACAGACCTGCATCAACTTTTCTTTTGGACTTAGAAAAGGAAGTCTTAGCGTGTTCTGCCCCTACTACACGACAGTTATATCTGGTTTTCCAACGACTCCTTCACCGTCATACATTAGTTCATCTTGACACAAGCTCAGTCATTTGCAACGGCAACAAATTTCCAATCACGAGGAACTTGAACCTTTTTCATTACTGCTCTGATATTTGCAACATGGGATCTGAACTGGGTGTCACGCCCGACAGCAAGCCTAGACCCAATGTCGACGCCGTCGGCATCTGGTGGGCTTGCTGGGCTGGCATCTGGACAGCCATTGTCGTGTGTGGCATGGCATTCCTCATCAGAAAACGCCATCTGCCCATGATACGCATGCGTGGCCTGGGACTTTCCCTGACGGCCATTACCTTGCTGCATCTATACTGGATCAGCGGACAACTCGGATACATTATCGGTGCCATGGCGCCTCCCGACGCCGAGTACTGGATCATGGGCACGTACTTTCCTTTTGGCATCGCGTTGTTCCACGCGTCAAACACGCGCTTCCTGCACGTTGCCAAGAGACAGGAGAAGTTTGCGACCAACGGTAACAGCAGAAGCAGCAGCGGCGGCGGCGGCATGAAGCAAAAGGCAGGTCCTGGGCTTATCAACAAGTTGAGGCGGCTCGACTACACGTCAAAGATGCTTATTCTCGTGAGTATCGGAATGCTCTTTCAGCTTTTTCTCACCATCTTCATGTATTTGATTTCTCGAAAATTCCACCCTTCTTTCGGTATTCCCGGCACAGAAGTCGGCGGCACGGAAATGGAGCGCAAGGCGGCCATGGGCCGCGGATGGGAATGGTGGCCGACGTGCTTCTGGCAGCTCACCTGGGCCTGGGTCATTGCTCCTATTATCCTATGGAAGTCTCGCCATATCAAAGATACACACGGCTGGCGACTCCAAACGATTGGCTGCACAATTGCAAAGTAAGTATTACCTGGGGATTTCGATGGCGAGTCACCACTAATAACATGTGGCAGCTTGCCCGCCACGCCAATGTGGATTATTGCCATGTACGTTCCTGCAATGGAGGCCGTAAACAAGTACTTTGTTCCGCCTCAATGGATCTGCTTGGCCATAATCTTCATGGAGATTTTCACCATTTTTGTGCCTTGTTGGGAGATTTTGCGTTGCCAGCGCCTGCAAAAGGAGACACTCAATCACATTGCGCAATGGGAGTCCAAGAATCGCGGCAAAGCTGTCAAGGGCGTCAGATCGCTCGCGTCTTCCGGAGACAGTACCATTGTCGAATCCATTCTCACCGGCCGCAAGTCTGCTGCTGGATCATACAGCTCCAGCTCCGACGAGAGTATCCTGACAATGAGCGCTCTGGAGTATGTCCTGGAGCGCAATCCCATTCCTCTGCAGCAGTATTCTGCGCTGCGCGAATTCTCGGGCGAGAACATTGCTTTTCTCACCAGTGTTTCCGAGTGGAAGTCTTCGTTTCCCAGCTCCATCCGCACCTCGCAGTACCCCAGCAGCGACACCAACATGCGCGAGCTTGTCCGCGAACGTTTTAATCGAGCTCTGCGCATCTACGCGCAGTTTGTCAGCCGCCAAGATGCAGAATTCCCAATCAACATCTCGTCCATGCAGCAAAAGAAGCTGGCAGCCGTTTTTGAGGCACCGACCCGGCTTCTGTACGGAGAGAAGCGTACCCTTGACTCTGCCACACCGTTTGGTGTTGACTGGGAGAAAGCCACACAGCCAGAGACGGCGCTGGAGTCATTGTCTTTGGAGACTGTGTGCGTCGAGGACCGTGTGCAGTACTGGGGCGAGGTTCCTGACGCATTCAATGAGACAATCTTTGATGATGCGGAGCAAAGCATCAAGTATCTCGTCCTGACAAACACATGGCCAAAATTTGTTCGACACCGTCAGGCATCTACAATCTCCGAGGATGATGTGGGCACTCGCCATGATACCGCACGGCTGGACCGAGAAAACCGAGGTAGATAGTGTTGGTGGCGTTTGGCTTGGGTAGACCAAGTGGGCGTCTTGTGCTAAAAAGGACGTCATTTGAATATAGCAAAACAACCAGCCTTTTACACTGAGTGATGGAGAAAAAGTATTATATGACTACTCGGTATCGAATCTTTAATAATCGACCAACTCCAGCCCATTGCGTGAACAAGTTTGTGTCGCCACCTTATATAGTTGTACTAGTGGCGTGGGCCGAAGGGCGTGGCCCGTCAAAACCTCGTGGACATGAGTCAAAGCTTGACCGATATGGAGACGGGCCGTGCTGAGATAAAGAAACTAGAATCTTCCTATATAAGATGATTTATCTCTCCAAAGATGTCACGTTGGCGCATGCTGTCGCAACGAAACACTCATCATTTCTAATAGAATCCAACAATTTCAAAAAAAAAAAAAAAAAAAAAGGAGCGCAATCTAGGACGACCTCGCATCGGCAAACTAGCTCCTTTGAACCCTCCTTATAGAAAAAAAAACCCCAAACCAAAACCCGCCGAAATGACGATCCCGTCACTCTCCCTTCGCAAGGTCACGCCAGAAACCCTCCCCGCCATCCACGCCCTCGTCGAAAGCTCCTTTCGCGGCCGCCACGCGGAAAAGGGCTGGTGCAGCGAGGCCGAATACTTTACCAGCGCGCGCATCACGCCCGAGGACATGCTCGCCAAGCTCAACAGCCCCGGCACAACGCTCCTCGCCGGCTACGACGACTCGACCGGCGCCCTCGTCACCTGCTGCGAGATTGCGCAAAAGCAGGACATCGACATCGACAACGACGGCAAGACAACGACGAGGACGTGCTACTTTGGTCTCTTTGCGGTGGACCCGGAGAAGCAAGGGGGCGGCATCGGCAGCTTTGTGCTCGGCGAGGCCGAAAAGTACGCCCGTGATGAGCTGGGCTGCACGAGGATGGAAATGCAAGTCATTGACAGGCGCGACACCTTGATTGCGTACTATGTTCGACGGGGGTATGTGCAGACAAAGGAGACGAGGCCGTTTCCGTATGAGCTGTTTGGCGAGGGCACTGTTCTTCGGGACGATTTGCGATTTACGGTACTGGTCAAGGAGTTGGCGGCATAACTAGAAACTGCATTTGCATCATGATTAGCTAGACTGTTAGGTGTTCAAGATATCATTTTTTTTAAAAAAGGGTTGCAAATACGAGGAAGAATCCAGATGCATAATGCTAGATGGTGATTTCGCGAGAAGGACATAAGCTGAACATGACATATGAATAATGGAAAAAGGCCAGACTTTGCGATTCAACATGACACCAAGTCAAAGAAAAACCGATGGCGACTTTGGCCGCAAGGAATGTGCTATGCATCGCAACTGTTTATATGCTCGCTTATTCCACTCAGCACTCAATTGCTGACCGCTACCCAGAGTGAGGTATTGCGGGCGGCTTAGACATCTTTGACTGCCACTGGGTGAGGTCTCGGCAAGTCGGGCTGAACATGGCCCAAGTATCCAAATTGGTGATTCATCCTTATTCAACTGTTCTCCATGTTTCATGTTCAGCACGTGGTTTTTCAAAGAATGCTGTAGTCTGTGTCCACCCGGCTGGTGCAGTTATGAGCCTGCTAGTGTAATTACTTGCTGGTGCGTACGAACTCTATAGACAGGTGTTTCTTATGTTGTTACTCTTGATGAGGAGGGTGTTAGCTAGCGATAGCGAGTAGCGATTAGGTTGACATTGTGTGTGTGGTTTGGTGCCGAATGGCTCGACGGGCTGGTGCTGAATGACTCGATAGCCGAATTTTTCTTAATGTCTTTGATGGAGATCGCGATCTTTTTGATGCAATTGCTACCAATTGTGGAAGAGTGTGTGATCTACAGAATACATCATCACTTATCCCTGGCACCTAGGTAGGCACACCGCTAAAAGCCCCCTAAAGAGCCCTAAATCCAGCGAACAAAGCACCCAACTCCGCCAACGCGGCGCCCCACTAACACGATCTTGTTCACTTTATACTCAGTACGTATTCATTTTGTTTGGAGCCTTAGGCACTGTAGCCTCTGATTGGCCAAGTTGGCCTCACTTTCCCTCAAACCCTTTATTGGTACGCCACGCAGCCTCTGCCTGGCCTAGAAGAACAAACAATCAACAACACGAATCAAGACCAATAACCTCACGATAATCATCGTTGATAACCAACATTTTTATTTTCATCGATAAAGCTTGCTTGATTCATCACCGTAATCGCATCAGATTCTTCATCTCTGTTACCTTTCTAGGCTAAGATTCTCTGAAGCCAGTCGTTCAAAGTTCTACGCGTCGTCACCTCAGCACGTGCCGACTCGTAACACGATGGCCCGTGCGATTGTGATAGACAGTGACGATAGTCACGACGAATCTGAGGACTCCGAAGCTCGCAATAATAATGTCTTCTTCGACGAGGAGGCACTGGAGTCCGCAGAATCTACAGAGGATGGATCTGGTTCTGATGAGGAGGAATCTGATGAGGCAGTCGACCCCTTTCCATTTACCCGTCTACCGCCAGAGCTTCGTTTACGCGTTTGGGCCCTGTTTTGCCCAGAACTTCTAGGCACCGCGCGTGTTCTGGACTTTAATATTCAGGACAGCGTCTCGCCTACTAGGACATCGCCTTGTAAGGTGATAGGCCCTGGGTTGTGCCTCGAGGACCAGACTCGCGCGCTACGCTGCGTTTTGGCTACTAATCAGCAATCGCGAGCCTTTGCCAAGGAAAAGTTCCCTGACGAGCTGCGCCTGGAGTCAGATGACGGCGATGAACTCACGCTATGCGTGAATTTAAAGACCGATATCGCCATGCTGGACCAGGCTCCGGACTTTTCCTATCAAGATGCTGCTACCCCCGCCAAAGTCAACTTTGATGGCTTCTCAGAGTCTCTCATCAACTTGGCCTTGCCACTCCACGACTACAGTCTTTACGAGAGGGAGACAGATGTATCTTCCTGGTTGTGCAAATTCGGATCTCTTCAGCGTCTCTTTTTATATACGGAAGACGATACTCTCGGCGGTCGCCGATTAAAGGACGACGCTCTGCGTTGGTGTGCCGCACCCGAAGCTCACCAGTATTACATGGAGACTTTTGAGAAAGAGCCGGGTTATGGCGAAAATTATACTTGTGTTGTCTGTTTTCCTGATCCTGTCCGATGTCCTCTCTTTACAAGACTTTACGTGCCCAAATGGCACACAAAGTTTCTGTTCCCATCACAAGAAAATGCCTTTGAAGAGGCTGGAGTAAGCCTCTTTCCGATGGTGCATTTCAATACAGAACAGGCTCTCGAGCGGTACGCAAACTTTGTCACTATAGTCCATCTGCCGCTTAAAGTATACGGCGCAGATGAAGAGGGCTCGAATGCCGACAGCTACGAGGAAGAAAGTGACGAAGACGAAGAGTACCAGCTCAACAATTTGCCTAATGCTTACGAAAGCGACGGCATCGATGACGATGAACCGGAGATTTTTTACGATTCTGATGATGTGCATTTCGATGATGCAGACAGCGATGATGCAAACAGCGATGATTCAGGCAGGGGTGATGCGCCGCGAAACCCATTTTCAAGCCCAGAACTGTCGGAAGCCGAAGAAAACCCACCAGTACGAGGCCACAAGCGCCATGTTATAATTGACTCGGATGATGAAGATGAACAAGAGCCTAGCAATAAACCTGCGAAGCGAAAGCGTCTTCACGTCGTTGAAGATTCAGACGCAGAGCAAAGCGTGGCCGAGGCAGAGCCGCAAGTTATCTCTTCAGATTCAGGCGAAGGCCCTACAAAGCGTCGTAGAGTGGAAATAATTGACAGTGACGACGAAAGCGACGTGGAAGGACATGATGACCAGCCGCAGCGTATTAGTCTCGAAGTTCGCCTCCAATTTAGCAGCCGAAATCGACGCGGTCCATCTGATGAAGAAGTTGGCGCAGACGACGATGAGGAGGACGATGAAGAAGACGAAGACGACGACGATGATGAGGACGACGGCGAAGACGGCTTAATTGATACCATGGCGGTTGAATCTGGCGAAGACGATGATGAGGACGACGGCGAAGACGGCGTAATTGATACCATGGCGGTTGAATCTGGCGAAGACGATGGGGAAGAGGACGAAGAGGACAAAGAGGACGAAGAGGACAAAGAGGACGAAGAGGACGGATAGACGACGCCTTTTCGAGTTTTTGGACCTGCGTTGTGTCCTAGCTTTGCCTTATACTTTGTTTGCTTGAATCACTATGGCGCAGCAAGTGTCTTTTGGTGGCTTTGTGACTTTTGGCTTTTGGCTTCTGGCTTCTTTTTTTTTGTAGCAAGTGATGATGTATTCTGTAGGTTCTGTGGGCTAGCTAGGCAGGCGTTGGCCACACCCTACAATAGGTGTTGGGCCCTGTGGAGGCCCAGAGAATACAACATCATTACCTCCAGTCTGTCTAGGCCATTTCATCATTAATTATCATCATTTTATCAAGTCTAACAGACACCAGATACCAGTCATCAAGACACTAGCCAGAAGGCACTAGCCCATTAGCAACCAGCCACAGAGCACTAAGACGTCCACCAGCTTTGACACACCAGGGCCTTACCCACTAAGACTATCAAGATCATCAGCCAAAGAGCACCAGTCATATAGATTTAAGTTCTTAAGAAAGGCACACAGGGAATTTAAGGCACACAGGAATTTAAATATAAGGACGTTGTTTTTTTGTCAGGCGGCACCTGTTGGGCCCTGTGGAGGCCCCCACAGAACCTAGGGAATATAACATCATTACCTCCTCTCTCTTCCCTGACACTACCTAGGTGCCTACCTGGCCTGGCGCGCTAAATCGCAACAATATCGCAATCTTTACAGGTTCTAGGCGCTGAAGCCCACTACCTAAGGTACCTAGGTAGGTGCGTAAGAGGTGTATTGAAGCCAACACTGTATCTCGCCTTAAGGTTTGAGTTGACGAGGGTCAATAACACGTCCTTTCAAGGTCTCTCTAAATTTTCTGCTCTGATTTATTTCTCATTGTGCCTTGTTCTTTGCTATGAAACTTGCTTCTTTTCCGACTCGAGTTGCTCAATAATCTTACGAATATGTCTTGTGTCTAGACCACATCTCAGTCACATAGCATCTTCTCGTAACGAGGAAAAATTGCTCATTTGACATTCAAATGCAAAGAAGCAAAAAAGAAAATGCGTGACTCGAAACTGATAGCCATGTTTCGTTTGGCAACCCCATACGAGTGACAACACCCCGTCTGCGTTTGTCTAGCTCACCATGCATGGACCATAACTAGTCGATAAGCTTGATCAAAAGCTGCATTCTACAGACTTTCGAACCATACGTTATACAAGTAGTACATGTAAAAGCAAATCCATCGTTCTACCGCTAATTCATTACATTATATTTCCATTCAGACATATGCGCCATCTCATACAAGGACTCAAGTCCGATATCTTACCAACCCGGCTTTTGGTTGTCAAATGTAATGTGCACCGTCTCAACATTCTTGCGGCGCGTCAACACCAACTCCGGGTCGTGACTCGGTTCTGGTACACCAGCCACCATGCTCCTCTTTGGTTTGCAAGCACCCTGCCCGTCGTTCAGCGTCTCGCCCGGCGCAGGCGCAATGTCAAACGTCAGCAGCGTCTTGATGACGTTGAGCATCACGACATTGTGCACAATGTAGCGTCCGGGGCACATGAGCACTGTAGGCAGCCCAAAGGCCATGAGCTGCTTGACCCGGCTCACGTCCACATTGCCCTCGTCGTCTAGAAAGCGATCCGCGCGCACAGTGTCGGCATCCTCGCCCCAGATGCTGTGGCTATGCTGGTGCGGCAGCATCGGAGCCACAATCAGCGCCTTGCGGCGAAGCGAAAACAGGCCCGCAAAGACGGAGTCTTGCGTGACCAGACGGGTAATGTTCGAGTTGGCCGCGTACAGTCGAAGCAGCTCGTACCAAAAGGACATGAGAAGCGGGCACGAGTCGCGCACCCGACTCATGTCGACAACAAGTCTCTGGCTTCCGGAAGAGGATGCATCAGTCGGCTCGACAAGGTTGTATACCTCGGCGCGAATGGCCTCCATGAGCTTGTCGTCGGCAACGAGATGCCATAGCGCCCAGGTGGTGATGTTGATGAGGTTGGGAAAGACGCCCATGATGAGGGAAAAGGAAAAGTCGTTCCAGCCCGCTTGCGGAATGCTGTGCTTCTGCAAAAGAACTTTGACCTTGCCGATAAAGGACAAGTCTTGGTAGTCCAGCTTCTTCTCGTCAATGCTCCGCGGCGCATCCAGCGTGCTCAGTCCAGCGCGTACGTCATCTCGAGCACGGCTAAAAGAGCGTGGTAGGAAAATGGTAAAAGGGTGATACAAATTGCGCAGACCGGAAAGCATAATTCTGATTTTATTAACGCGCGTTCATCAAAGTTTGGACGAGCCAACATACCGTAGACTTTGTCTGAATTTGATGTCATTATATGGTCCCTCTTCTCCCCATATGACCGAGCCCAACGACATGGCAATGTTATTTGACACCCAATCTGCAAGCTTCACTGTATTTGAAGCATCTGGAACAGTTTGTTGCCATGCCTCGTTGATTTTGTCCTGCACGCGGGCAAGGTGTGCTTGCACCTTGCCAATGGTCGAGAGCTCATCACGAAGAAGACGAGACAGCTCCTTCTTGAACGGGTGCTTGTCTGGCGTCATCATCCCCTGGTGACTAGCCTTGTTAAAGCGCAAATAACCGCCGAAGCCGACCCAGAAAGCGGCCGTGAGGCTCAAGCCTGGCGCTTTGGCAAAGAGCTTGGTCATTTCCGTATCGGAAGCGTCCATGACGTAGATTCTCTGCGTGGCAAGCCAAGCCGTGGAAATTGGCGTCGCCTGGCTGATTCTGCAACAGGCAAAGAGACGAGTCAGCCACTAGGCCATTTGATGACGAATGGGAAAAGATTGAAATCATACGAGAGGCGGCCAAAGTACTCTTGGAAATCACTCTTGATCATTTCAAATACATGACCAAAGTATGGTATCTGTGACGATATTGTGGGCGGCTCGCTCGCCTTTTTAGCATCCTTTAACGGCGGCCATTTCGGCAAACGCGCGTTATATATGGACGCAGATAGAGCATAGGCTCCAAGCAGGAGAACTGTGACCTTGATGAAGCCCAAGGTCAAATCCAGGTCCATGATGTGTCTTTAGTAGTATGACAACTGCCAAATCTGCAGAAGGTGGATATGGTTTTGTATTGTCTTGAGATTCAACGGCCATCATCTTTATTATCGCAATCTTCAGCTACGAAGGGAACCACTATATATGAATCAAGCAGCCATGACTATTGGGCAGTGATTGGAGGGCCCTACGGAGCAATGGATCTTTGTCAATGCGTTTGGCACGCCATGCCACTTGCTAGTTGCCGGATTACGCCGTGGGATTGATAATAAAAGGGTGCCCCAGAAATAAAAACACCCCGAGACTCTAGAATTGGCTCAGCTCCGCGTATTGCTAAACGGCATGCAAACTGGACTCGAGCAATCTGTGGGGGGTTACGTTACGACCCGCCACTATTTGCTGACACCCTCGGTCGAGGAGGTCATGGCTTGCGTTGCAAAAAAAAGAAAAAGCATAACACACTAACACACAGAGAAGTTTCGAGCAGGCAAACAAGCCAGCCCTTGTTATCTCACCTGCACGTGGGCGCTGCCGACAGGCGTAGCGTAAACATCAGGCGAGGGTGACAAACCGATCCGGCGGTCATGTACCGGCCGGCGGAGATGAAGGTTCACCATGTTTATCCCTGCAGGCTTGCTAGATTAAACTTGCATGGCTTCTTACCGCTTTTGTAGGTGTTGGCTGTCAAGATCGATGGTACTTGATAGCTCTCTCTCCTCACAACCGGTGACAGCCGAGCTTCACAGATTATTATAGTGTTCATGTCTCGGCATTCGCTTGCAAATCGGTGCCTGCCTATCTGTACGAACACTGCAGGAGCAAGTTTGTGGCGCCAGGCTTTATTAGCGTCGGAACCCTTCCAGGATCGACGCAGCGACCGACAGGGTGTACGGAGCGGCTGAGAGCTCGTGCCCTCACAAAGAGCAAAGCGTGCGCCAAATTTAGTTACCTAGTAGATAACATACAACTTGGGCTCTTGGGCAAAGTAGCTGAGCTGCACTGTACTATCAGTATCGAGCCTCATCTTGAAGAATAAATTAGCTCCAGCATCGGGCGCCGCGTCATCTCATCTTGGAGGAGACACGTCGGGTAATTTCTTTCTACAGCGGGCCGTGATGTGACCCTGAGGTCTTTCAACTGAGACATTACAAACAACAGTACGGAGTAGTGGACTTGGATCAAGATAAATATGGCTACCGAGTCTGCAGACAATGCTGGAACCAACACAGACCCAATGTCAACACACCAACGCCATCCAGTGTACCCAAAACACAAAAATAATAAACGCCGACCAAATTAGCGTCAGACCCGACTTGCCTGTCAGCCCATGAAGCCCATCCAGAAAAATGTGCATACGGCTCCGAAAACCAGCGTCAACGTCAGGATGCCAGCGCCAGCCTTGTCGGCTGTGGTTATAGGCCTTGGTGGTCTCTGTCCATTATCGCCACCTGCAAATCCGCCGTTGGGGCTGCCCTTGGATGTGCCGCCCGTATCGTTGGTTGTAGGAGGGTTCGCATCTTTGATTAGGAGGCTGGAAACGGCGGCCAGGGCACTCATATACTCTCCAGCGCCAGTCGTCTTGTCGACCCCAGGGTCAACAAATTTGCCCCCGGTCCAGTAAAAGCCACAGGTGCGACCTGTCTCGCGGCCCGTACATTGCTTCGCGGCGGCTTGAGCAGACTTTTCCAGGACGGGCAGTATCTTGTCGGCAGTATGTGGTACAATCTGCGCAACCACAGATAGCCAACGATGCACGTAGCCTTTGAAAGTAAGCATATCAGCTGTGCATGTGCCTGGTGTACTCTCGCATGGCACCTCGTATGCGGCGCCATCCTTGAAAAAGTTTTTGATCATGGAATCTACAAGATTGTCGACGCGGTCGCCCCATTTCTTGTCACCATTCGTCTAATACAGTATGTCAGTGTAGAACTTGAGGGTTGGGAAAAAAAAAGAGAAAAAAAAAATAGAAAAAAAAGGGGAAAAAAGGAAGAAAAAGGGAAAAAAAAAAAACTCACATAATTATACATAAATGCCGCACCCTGAGTCAAAATGGCGGCATTGTAGGAAAAGGTGGCCTTGTTGATATCGGTGCAATTGTGCTGCACGCGGCCACCGTCGTAGACAAGCCAACTCTTGTGATCAATGTATCCAACGCCCCAGAGCCAATCCCAAGTTTCATCTGCAAACTTTGCATATGTTTCATTCTTTGTGTATCGAGCAAGGCGAGATCCAATGTTGAAAAAGCAGCCATTGGCAATGGCTAACGCCAACTATTAGCGCTTCGGCGAATGAGATGGGCAAAAGCACCAAACTTACTATTTTTATAATCATATCCAGCATTGGAAAAGGGAATCTGCCATCGCATACCACCGTTGCAGTAAGAATCATGTCTGCTCGAGTCTGCTTGCGTGGCCCAGACGGCCTGCGCCAAAGCGAGCCATTGCGGCTTGTCTCGTGGAGGGTCGGGAAACTTGTTTTCGGCAGCAAGCATTGCTGTCATGCCCCAGAATCCTTGGTCATCGTTTCCGAGTGAAGCTGTATGGTTTCGAGGCATAAAGTCTCGGTTTTCGCCAACTTGGTGCAGAATCCCCTGCATCACCACATCGTTGTAGCTTGTGTCGCCAGTCAGGTGCCAGTAGTCGATGTATGTGCCCATCATGGCACCGCCCTGCCACCAGTAATAATTTCCCTTGTTCTCAGCTGGTGGTCCTGGTAGAATTCCGGGTATTTTTCCAGTCCTGTTGCCTTCGTATAAAAGCATCAGATCGTATGCGATGGTACTGGCCGTTGTTTTGATCGCATCTGCAAAGTGTAAGCGACTGTTCGCCTCTGCTCTCAAGGGGACTACAACCTTTAGTATCAACCTTGTAGTATTGAGCTTGCACAGCCGTGAGTAATCCTGTTATTACCAGGCTTGCAGCTAGAGATGTTCGCAGATGAAGCATTTTGAATGTAGGACGAAGCCAATTTGAGCATGGAAAGTCCGCCGGATGGTCGGACAAGACTGGCGATATCGGCCGAGAGAGAGAGAGAGAGAGCGCCAAATCGAGATGACTGGAAGCTGTGTGCGTAGCTGCAATAAATATATGATAGAAATCTTGAATCTGCTAGAAAGAAAAAATTGGGCAGATATGACTGCGAGTTCAAGTGACGCGGTGAGGACCCCAACAGGCAGGTGCCATCCACAACCTTTTTAGCAACAACGAACGAAATGAATGGTCAAACGAGTGACGAGAAGGAATATCGTTATGGAAGATGGCGTTGGAAGAAATCGATGGTGATGCAAAGGCAGAGAAAGCAAAGGAAAACGCATTCACTGAATGAAAAGAATGCGGGATTGAAGCTGACATTGGATTCGGAGAGGGGCCCGACACGCGGGTAAGGCAACGAAAACATAATCTTGTCTGCATTCCCCCCTTTCTTGTTGATATCCCGCGCAACAAACTCTTGGCAAAGCATCGCATTTCGGTTTCAAGTCTGCCAAAGACAACGCTTTGGGGGTGGAGCAGCAAAGCCACTCCAAGCGCCAGCCTGCGATCACAAAGGAGGGCTGTATAACAATAGCGTACACTTGGCTTATTGACTGTGATGAGCCAAGGTAAAGCCAATTGGCCGGGCGCACCATCAGCTGGGCCGCAGGTGGCGGCCAAAGGTGGCGGAGCACGTCAGTTGTGGTGGATGTCATGCTTGGCAAAAGATGGTTCAAAGGACAATTCTCCAGGTTGAAACGAGCCTAATATTGTCCAGTCTGATCTCGCTTCACAGCTGTATTCGAGCCTGCTCTGTTGCTGCATCTACTGCCAGCCATGCAAAGCAAGTAGCCAGCCCACAGCCGAGTCCATTATGCCTCGTGAACCGTGATTCCAAAAATGCTGTACTCCGTAGTTAAGCGCCGATGTCCCGGGGGCCCGGTAGCCCTGCGCCAAGCAAAAACCCCCCTGAAGCCAAGATCTAGCCAATTCCTCTAAAGTTGGTGTCTCGCAAGCCAAGCATCGCACCTTGGCGCGACCTTTGAAAGCGTCAGCGCTGTCAGTATCAAAAGAAGAAAAAAAAAAAACATAGCCCAGGCGAGTGAAAGAGACCAATCTTGCAGGAAGTTGCTACTTCAGTAGTAGCTTGACAGCCATGATCTCACGGATCCGGGGTTATTAGACGAAGAGGTTGACGGGTGGCGGGGAGGCTCGGCGGATAAACTTTAATTTTAAGGTTCCTTGGCCCCTGTAAACTAGCCGGAGAAGGGGGCTCAGCAGCTAAGTGACGGCCTGCTTGTTATTAGTATTCGTATTGTTCGCGCTGTAAATAGCAATTTTAGGCTGCTCTACCAGTACATCGCCCGAGGCTTGTTTCTCCATGCTATCGCAGCTGCTGCCTTTCTGAAATGTCACTCGCGCCTTTTTTCTCTCATGCGAAACTGCCCAACAGTGACAAGTCAGCACTCTTTGTCACTGTAAGATTGAAAATTTTCTACCTTTGCGACTGAAGACTTGATGTGCATCATACAGCATAATTAGCTCTCGCAGCTCAGAGCCCTAGACCGTTGAGAATGGAGAGTAAGAGCAATTGGACCAAGATTTCAAGATTTTGGATGCTAGTTAGCCAATACTGCCTTTGTTTTCAATAGTCTATCTTTTTCTCTTTTGAGACTTTTTTTTTATTTGTATAACACAGTGTAAAGATGACGAAGCGACGGATTGTCCCCGCCCTCCCCGAAACGAGTAGTAAGCGTACGACCTGATTTAGGTTAAAACTGTCGTAAGCCCGAAAAGTAGACGCGAGTGGTTCAAATCTTGTGTCGAAGTCTAGTGCTTCAAGTAACTATACAAGGCACTCTAATTCCGGGAACTTTTTTTGCCGACCCGACGAACCCGGATTCGGCGTCAATTCGACGGTGTCGGGGAGGCCGGGGAAGAGCCGGACCAGGCCTCGGTGGCACTGGAGTTGTTCAAACGACCATCAAGTTTCTCACTGCCGTGAAAAGATCAATAGTTGCTTTTCAATATATAAACAAGAATTCAAAGAGCATAGAGAACATATGACTGTAAACAATCACAAGTTTATACATCTATGATTCACCATGGCTTCTTCTAGCAACCTCTGTGTCTGTGTGACTTGCGGAACGCAGTTTGACTTTCCCTATGAAGAACGACCTCTGACCTGTCGCATGTGCAATGTACGTTTGACACATCATCATCTTCTTCTTCTTCTTCTTCTTCTTCTCATGACATATTGACAGTTCTTCAGGATCCACGCCAGTTCGTGCCGCCCTCTGGACAGTCATGGACTACCGTTGCGCGGATGCAGACAAGCCACCGCAACGAAATCAAGCAAGACGAGGTAGACGGCCGCATCTGGTCCATCTTCTCCAGCCCGCAGTTTGCCATTGGACAGCGCGCCCTACTCCTAGAGACGGAGGCGGGCAATGTGCTGTGGGACTGCATCAGCCTGCTAGACGCCGACACGATTGCCTTTATCAAGTCGAGGGGCGGGCTCAAGGCGATTGCCATTTCGCACCCGCATTTTTACAGCACACATCTGGAGTGGGCGCGCGAATTCGACTGTCCAGTCTATCTCGCAGAGGAAGATCAAGAATGGATCAATCGTGAAGATGAACATGGCCATCGGCGATTGGTCAGTGGCTTGACGCTGGAGATACACCCTCGAGTCAACATTGTGAAGCTCGGTGGCCATTTTCCAGGCAGTTGCGCTCTTCACTGGAACAAGAATCTTGCAAGTCACAAACAAGGCGTCTTGTATCAAAACTTGCATCAGGAAACTAATACCATGCTCTCTAGTTTGTCGGCGACTCCATTGGAATTTCTCAGGTAAGCCATTGCAACCTAACCTGCTGACCAAGGCTCATTATTAATGAATGAATCCTGTAGTCCGGTCTGGTTCGCTCCCACCACAGCAATGACCACCAAGTTTTCTTCTTTCACTATGCGTTCCCAAACTTTATTCCGCTAGGTCCGACTGCGATGCTCGAAATGTGGCAGCGACTAAAGGGCTGGGAGTTTACGAGTCTATTTTCTTTATTTTACCAGACGACGGTTCGCGATCCCAATGTCAAGTCCATGGTGTTGGACAGCATGCAGCGTCAGGCTCTTTACCAAGAGAACAACAGTCATCCGCTGCTCGCGGAAATTCGGGAAAGTAAAATATGATTTCTGCTCGTAATCCATCCTATTTAGATTAATGTACAGCATAATGTCAATTGACACATCTCTTACAATGGCAACGTCAGTGAATCGATTGTGGAAGCGTCAAAGAGCTCGGCAGCTAAATACGGGCCGAGGCCACTGTCATCGTCCAACAAGTCCACCATGCCCATGAAATCGACGCCGTCCATATGCTGAAAAGCGTCAAATACCTCAGACGGAGCATTAGAGCTGCCAGAATCAGCTATTATAGGTGAGCAAAACACCATCGACGAGGGTATACAATAGTATTCCACTCACATCGGTAATCTTGCAGTTTGGACAAATATCGTATATACTTGACGCATCTCTCGACAAGTGGATTACTATTGTCTAAATTTTCGAGTGCATCTGCCGCTTTGACGAGATTCAGGCGGCCTTGGGCAAGAACTGTTTGTGCATTAATGCGGTGACTGTGTCGGGCGCAAAGCATACCACCGCATACCACGAGCGCTGCGGTAAAGACTGCAAATGCAACACTTTTAGCGCAATGGCCTCATTACAGCAGATGCATATATATATAGCTTACCGTAGTAAAGCGTGAAAAACCGCACACCAAGGTTGCCATCTTCAACTGGACCGTCGCCAAAGACCGAGGCTGCCATTCCAATCGTCTCTTCCGCAGAAGAAATACACTCGAATGCCTCGGCCATGGCCAGCTGTGTCGTGTACGGCAGCTCCGTGTCGTGCCTCCCGTTGATCTTGGACAGATACTTGAGAGTAGCGTAGAGTAATGGTCGGTGAATCAAGATGGACACACTATGGTACCTGACCGTCGTGATTGCTCGCAATTTATTCATCCTAGAGCTGTGCTTCAACTCGGGCGAGCTACTTGGCAGTAGCGAAAATGCAGACGGTAGAGTTTCTGCCCATCTTCGAAGCTTCTTCCTCAGTCTGCTAGCAGTTTGGAGCATAGAAACTTCGTCCTCGCTTTGATCAGTCCCGAGATTGCCATTGTACTGGGCTTCGATAGAGAGACCCATGATCTGGTACAACTGAACGGAGAGCGACAAAAAATCGGTTGCCGTTTGCGCCACTTCGGTTTCATTACAAGGCTGAAAGTTCTCTGGTACAGGCCACGGCTTCGGTAAACGAATTGTCATGTGCGCTGGGCGTATTGCGCAAGGACGGCCAAACGTTGCGCTCAAGACAGTATCCAGACAGTATATAGTGTGCCAGGTTCGGTTCCTCATCTCCTGTACAATTTCGTTTAGCTGTCGTCCAACCTTGTCGCTATGCAAACCAAGTGCGATTGCACTCCTGACCAGTAACCCATGCACGCTCCAGGCCTCTCCCGCTTGAGGTGTACCTTGAAGGTAAAGCGCTTGCAGAAGAAGGAACTGAACAATGTCGAGGCTGACAGTTCGCAACGACGAGGCACCACACAGTGACATTGCTCTTTTATAGTAGACCAGTGATTCTTGAAAGCACTGTTTCGAGGTTTTGCCCTGTTTTCTGTTGATGTTGCTTGCAATGGCAAACATCAGGTTCAGCTCCCCAAGCCAAGTTTGTCGGACCTTGTTGAAGCCACTCGCTTTGAAGGCGCTGTACGTCTGTCGAAAAGTAGCCTCATGTAAGAAGGGGAATAAAAGCCCCATGGTGTTGAAATATCGATTCATCATGACTTCCATGTCACCTACTGCTGGCAAGCGCGAACATGTTGCCAGAGACTGCGGGGTTGTTGGCAAGGCCCCAAGGGGAGAGTGCTCTGACGATAGCATCGCACCGCGTCTTCCATCTCCATCAACTTTTTTACTGAGCTGGGGTCCTTCTGGTGTTTTTACCCCCCAAATTGCGGAAATCGAGGCAACAAGGTAGCGAACGAAGCCAATATTTGACGACTCGCCAAAGTACGCTGCGGCGCGCTCATCGACAAAGGTTATGGCTAGTCCGTCAGTCCTAGCGTCCGTTTCGGTCCCTGAATCTTCGGATTCAATGACAGAAGCGTCAATCTCCATGCCGTCGTCACTCGCGTGCGCGTCTCTCAATGGCAACGGACCACCTGGCAGGTCTTGACAATACTCTCGAGTTGGGACACAGGAGGACAAATGTCCTGTCAGCAGGTCATCGTGTCTTTGGATGAGATGCTCGACATGTTGCATTCGTTTCTCGAGCCCTGAAACATAGTCCTTTTGTATAATAATGTTTGTCGTGGAGTCTGGCGCATCATATTGGCATTCGAACCCCAGCTGATGGCACGTTGAACACGTGGGTCGTCGCCCATCGCACCTACGGAGAGGAAGTAGGGTAAGCGGACGTGCTTCAGTTGCTGGGACGGCTCACTTTACCTAGACTTTCTGGTCCGACAAGAAGTACATGCGAGGGCAATACGACGGCGCTTAGAGCCGGTTGCGGGGGCCTCCGAATCTGCCATGGCGAGCGGGGAGTTTGGGGAAAGGACGGAAGTAGCTGTCGCAGTGGGAGGCTGCGGACAATTAAGTACAAGCTTGTCTATACAAGTCTAGCTTTAGTGCTGACGATCAGAACAAGCCCAGGAGACGTCTGACGTCTAGTGCAGCGGAATTTTTCAGCTTGAGTTTGTGATTTAGCTTTCTTATTCATTCGCACACCTCCACTGTGAATCGAAATACACATGTGCCTCTGTTCCTGACTCTGACTGGCTTTTCCAATCAGACACAAAGCTCATGCAGCAAGGGTTTGGTTTGGAATGGAAAAGGTCACTTGTTGGAGGGCCAAGATGGGCACGACAACACCCTGTGTGCCTCGATCAGAAGTTTATTTCTCACGTCTCACGTATTAGATGCACGCTAGAAACTGATACTTGGTGAATAGCTTCCTGCCGGAATTAGCGTCTGTCCGCAACATGATAGAAAGTCTAGCAAGGCCAATGATACGCATCTAAATTTTTTGAATCGAGACATCATTTGACAACTAGCCAACTAGCGAAAAGACGCTTCTCAGCCTCCGGACCTTCTCCCCTCAATGCCAGATAGACACAATCCTTTGATTCAGTGTCCTTCAACACCTTGCACTCGCGCCACATTACCAAACAATGACTGGTTTGATTGCCTTGCCGCTGCCCATGGCTTTCAGAGCTTGGGCATAGTCTGTGAGCTCGAAAAAGGTAATGAGCTTCTCGAGGGGAAACTGTCCGTTGCGCCACCACTTTATCATTTCAGGAATATACTCGCTCGTGTTGGCGTGTCCTTGCACAGCACCAAAGTACTGCTTGCCGCTCACCATGAAACTTTGCATGTGGAGTGAGAGATTGGAATTTGGCAGTCCTGTTCCCACTTGGATAACCTTTCCCATGTATCGCGTCGCCTCAATCTGCGCAGAGACGAGAGCAGGGAATGCAGTCGTGTCGATGCTGATTGTCGAGCCAAGCCCTTCACTCGCTTCCTTGACCTTTTCGACCACGTCTTTCATGTCAAGGCCACTTGTGTTGATGACATGCGTTGCACCCAGTGATTGAGCTAGGTCAAGCCGACTCTCGACTCGATCAATGCCAATGATGGCCTTGCATCCCCTGTTCTTGGCTGCGATGACTGCTGCGAGTCCAACACCCCCCATACCGGCGACTGTAACATAATCTCCAGGGCCAGCTTTGGCAACATTGACTATTGTGCCACTCCCGGTCTGTAGACCACAACCGAGCGGTGCAAGAAGCTTCAGGTCGTCTTTGCTAAGACCCAGCCCACTGACATTGACAACACACTTGTCACTTACAACTGAATGCCGGGCAAGGCTTGATTGACCAAAAAACCGGCCCCCAATGCCACCTTCAAAGACAGGCTCACCCATGAAATTGATGTCAAAAAATTTGACACAGTGCGAGGGCGGCCCAGAAGTACAAACATGGCACTCTCCGCAGTACGAAAAGGAGAGAAGAACGGGATCACCGGCTTGAACTTTTTTAACTGCACTTCCGGTCTGTACCACATAGCCAGAGCCTAGAAGCGCAATTCGAAATCAATAACCGTAGCCAAAGTAGTATTAAATGTGTACATCACCTTCATGGCCAAGCACACGCGGGTAATAAACTCCTGGCACCCCAGCATCGGCTGCTGTATCTCCGCAATGAAGGTCTGTATGGCAGATTCCAGACGCAACCATGTGAACCAAGACTTCGTCATCCCGCAGTTCACGTAGCTTGACTGGTTCTAGCGCCCATTTTCCTTCCGAAAAGGGCCCTCTTGCCACGAGAGCTTCCGATTCAAAAGCCATCACGAAAGACGTCGCGGCGTGAAGTGGAACTGCAGTAAAAGCTGATAGATACCAAAGTTGAAGAGGTTTGCATGAGCTCAATGCTACAAATCGACGGAGTCAATTAGAATCTCCCTAATTTGATGATGATGCTATATTGATCTCGGGGGCGGGGTTGAAGGTGGGGGAATGCGAACTTCTGCGTGCAACCTCGACTAAAAATCGGAATTCATTCGGAACACTTACGCCACCAAACGCCACCGCATCCCATGTGCAGCACTATCTAGTTAGCTTCTTTATTGTGGTTTTTTCTCCCAGCCGTGTGTAGGTTTCCAAATCAACGATAGCTTTCAAATGCAGCTCACCAAATATCTAGAGGTATGCTGACAATCTGGCGAATTTGAACAGCGCGCATGGCGGACAAGGCCAACTTTGGCTATCCATTCATCAATGCGATACAGATTGCCTCTGGGGCTTTGTGACCATGCTGGGACACGCTACTTTTCTCATTCTCCCAGTCACTGACGCGGAGGATTCTGCCGTTTCTGTCTGTCCTAGTCGTCGACGTTATTTCCCCCGGGGGGGGTCATGAGAACGAACGCAACTCTGGGTTGCCGATTGGGATAACTCGACGGATGCAGGAGTTGAGCTTCTTTCCCAACAAAGTTGAAAAGAGTCTCCGACACTATTGACAGCATATCCAGCTCACGGCTTGATAAAGTCTCAGACTTTGGTGTCTGGGCGCTGAAAAGAAGTGCCAGTGATCCTAACACCTTGTTGACTTTCACGAGCGCTTGAGCACAACAGTGTTAGGTAATGTTGTCGGTGCGCTAGTTAACAAAGAAAATTGCAGCATCACAGCATAAAGACAAGTTTTCATTCCATAAATTCTTCCCATCGCTGAAATATGTCTCGTGTCTGTTGCTAATTGAAAGAGTCTTCACCGCCATGATCACCGGGTAGGCCGTGAGTCTGATACAGGCAACGCTCAAAAATTTAGGCGTGCTCAGCTAACTGTGTAGCTCCTGAAAATCACATGCTTCAAAAAGCGAGAACAGATGACATCACAATACTTAACCTCATCCTCTGCGGAGCAAGAAACATTACTGACTGTCAACGTGAAGAGCACATGTTGGCTTGCCCGTCAAAGGTGACGGCGCTATGGACAACACAGCGACCCATCCAAGGCCACTAACAAGAACATGAAGATTTGACCATTCACGAAAACATGTCATTAGCAACATAATCTTTGTTTCGCCTGGCAGTAGGTTCTCTGGCGAAGCATGGTGAGGGATCAAAGCCACGGTAGAGGTGAATACAAGAGCACGCCGAGAGCTACGAGGAACGCAACTTAGCCGAGGACCAAGACATGGCAGGTATTTCACATGTAATTGGGTGTATTATCAAGCAGAAAGTTTCTTGAGGGTAATTATGGCTGACACTTGAGGCAGTTTACGCGAGGTCCGCCAATGCGCACGCGCTGCTGAACTATCGCATGTGCCAGCCGTGATCACCCCAACAGTGGCAGCCCTTTCACATGCAAAATACCCAACACGGGCTCACATAATCAATCCCTAATTGCCTGACGGGGAAAATATGCGGTTCTGTAGCGCCGGCCATTCGCCAGCGAAATCGATGAAACCCCCCCCTCTCTCTCTACTGCTGATGGTTGGTTGATGTAATTCACCAAGGGAAAATGCGCCCCAACGTAACGGAATCAAAACCTGATAATAATAACTAGTATTGGATCAGTACTCACAAGAAATAGAATGAGTCTTTTCCAGCCAGCAAAGCACCTCATTAGCAAAGCTGGCTTCGTTTACTGAGCTCCAATGCATACCAGCCGTGCCATTCCCTCTTACTGAGTGATCCGGTCTATTTTAACTGCGAGAATATGGATTATTGCTTGAGGCAATTTGCTCATGATGCATGTTCTGCATACGTCTAGAGGACTACTGGATCTTTGACTTGGCTAGGCATTTAGTCAAAGGGCCGCCACGGGTGCCGAAGCGAACGCAGCCATTCACTTCACTGACATTAAGCATACGAGCTCTGAAATCATTGATTTGATGACGGGATCTACGACACTCTGATACAAGGGGAGTAGTGTTATCTCTGTCGGGGACACTGTGCATTTTGGAGGAGTAATGACGTCTTGTAGAGGCAGAAGCAAGTTTCCATATCCATTGCAAAACAGCCGAGAAGATGCGGACTTGTGAAACTCTAGGTTTATTAGCTACCTGACCATCTAAAATAGTCGGAGATTCCTTCTTTTGTTTACTTTCTAATTTTTTGCCTCTCTTCCATCCTTGTCATGATTTCCTTCTAAAATAATACTTGGTCATTCTACTCGGACAGATCTTCTAATTCTTAATTCGAGGCGCGAATATGCAGGGTATATAAGAACTCGTTGCTTCATATCTTTTTCTTTTTTCTTTGGCAAAATTTTTTACCACAGAGGAATATGGGCTTGGTTGTCATAGTCGACATTGTCCTGCCTCAGCTCGATGCGCTCGTGGCAAGTGCCGAAAATCCTGTCCCACAGACGAGTCTGTTTTCCATAATTGTGGCTCTTTCTCCAACCCTTGCGGTGGTGCAAATCGTGATCTTCAATGACGAGCTCTGCGTTGAAGTAGCTGAGAATAAAGGAGAATGGAGATGCAGCCTGGAGATGCATTCGCAGGCCGCTGTGGCCACCAGCTTCGGTAAAGGCAATGTACTGGTGGCAGATGAACCAGTCGTAGAATCCGAGCGGGATGCCAAGAGCCTTGAATGACAGGTAGGTCATGAATGGGATGCCCACCATGTCGAAGAATTCTTGTACGTCGTCGGCGTAGGCAGACAGCATGGCATTCGGACGCTTGGTCAAATGATGCGTTCGGTGGAACTGCCAGAGCCCGTTGACATCGTGCATGGCTCTGTGATACCAGTAGAACCAAAAGTCGAGAATGACGCCGTAGAATCCAATCTGGAGGGGCAGCCACACCCACCAAGCTCTGGAGCTCATGTCTTGGAGGGGCGATGATGCCGGATCGTAGGTGAGGTAGGCCGACATGAGCATGCGTCCACCTGCCGTCTTCCAGCCAGCACCGAGAACCTTGGCGACGCCATAATCGGGAATGCCGTCGCGCTCATGCTCTCCATCCAGGTGGCCATAGATGTGTCCTAGCCTCCGAATAATGTGCAGCTGGTGAACCACGACAAAGAGAAATCCTGTGGTGTAGTAGGCGACCGCGGCAAAGAAGGGCAGCTGGATGCCAGTCAAGGAGAGCCAGAGCTGGTGAACTGCGAGAACAATGGCCGCATGGAGTAAGATCCAGATATGTTGATCGGTTGTGCTGACATGAGGGACCTTGTCCGTCTTTGGGTGGACAGGCACCTCTCGGTCAAGGTCGCGATGGAAGGGGTTGATGGCGTATAGAATCCAGTGGTTATAATTCCAGTGTTTCCGATCCCAGGTGCGCCAAGTCGACTTCATCGAGTCTTTGGCGCTTGGCGGTGGTGCTGTCATGACTGGCAAGGCTTTGATAACAAATTCTGCGTATGTAATGTAGGATGTAATGGAAAAAGTCAGCAAGGCAAGAAAGCAAATATCTCAGAGGGCTGGCACCGGCTATATACACGTGTTGCCGCCGTGCACGGAACCGCCCTTGCCACCATTACAGAATGCGGGGGAGAAACCATGACACCTGATCCTCCCCAACAAGGCCGCACAGATGTGCGTTCCTGGGGAAGGTTATTGCTATCAAAGTAACTTATGATGGTTGGGGCGGCAGCGCGGCCACTTGACTCGTTGTCCCGAGAGCCCGCTCAACCCCGCGTCAAAAGAAACCGCCGAGGCAGAAATGGGGGAAACTGGGTTGTAGTTTACGACCAATAGCGCCTATAATTAGCCCATTACTTGAATGCTTTGACCAACCAGAAAATAGGGTTTGGTTGGTTACGGATAGAAGAGGTCTCCCTCCCCATTCGATTCGCATGTGAAGATGGATGCTCTCCCGCCGTGCAATGTCAAAGCGTCTTGGTCGAGACCAATCAGCATTGGCAACTGCGTAAATTTTGCCCGATCGGGTACACTCCAGAAATGTTGGCTCATCGAGAGACATATGAGTTAGACTGCGTTTTTCTTTTTCTTTTCTTTTTTTTTTGGCACGTGCCAGTACATTATGAAACATGGCTTGTCGGCCTGTCCCGATGCTCTGACAAGACTGATACTGCTCACTCGCTAGGGGATTCTATGCTTATTAGACGCCGACATCTACACTCGACCAGGCCGCAAATGCCACAAAACCGATGGCGTTGGGCTGCATTGTCCCAGTTTACCTCGCCATGATCGAATAGGTTATGACGGTCAAAGAGGACAAGCCAGAGCAATGGTGACACCATTTGCGTGATTGCCCGCCAAATCCATTTGAGCCCCTTGCCTCTTCACTGTCGCAACACCGAACACAAACGGTCGCAAGACCTGAAGCCGGTTCATGCACTAATGAAGAATACAGCGAGCAAGTGTATTGAATGCGAATGCGCTCATGTTGCGCTTCTTGTGTCTATTACTCTATATGCAGCGCTGAAAAGCAAAATGCACCATGACTGCGCGTCCTAGGACGACCTTTTTGTTTTTTTTTTTGTCTTTTCTTTCTCACAGTTCATTTCTCCGTCCAAAATAACCAGCTGATTGCCAGAACCAGCTTGATACCAGCCACAGTCCAGAGGGACGGCTGCACGGCACCCGATGCCTTGGAGATCCAGCCACCGCAGATGGCACCCACGAGCGTAAGGACAAAAGCCACGAAGCGCCTGTTGCGCTTGTCGTTCTTGGCCCAGGCGAGCAGAGCCGGGTCCGACATGAGGTCGCACAGCATGCTAGTGACGACGACGGTCGGGATCTCGCCCACCGACAGCGTGCGGCTCGAAACAATCTGCCCGGCTGCCTGGAAACTCAGCAGAGCAATAACGGCAATCTCCTTGAAGTCGACGGATCCGGGGGCACGATGCGAAGGGTACGATCCGTCAATGACGCCCCCTTGAATCAAGGCGGCGGCCAGCATGACCAAGACGGATTGGGAAAAGAATGAGAGGCCCAAGACTCCGCGGCGCTTGCCTCCGAGGAGCATTGCGAGGCGCGCAAAGCAAAACGAGCCGATTATAAAGAATCCGATCGAGCATAGCGAGCGCGCCCAACCGTAGGGCTTGTTGTTGAAACCAGAGGTACCGAGCGCAACGAAAATCGTGTTTCCTAAGGGAAAAAAATTGTGTCAGCATGTGCGCAGGCGTCGCCGAGCAGCGCGACGGGTGACTCACCTGTTTGCATGGAAACGAAAGTTCCGTAGGCTAAAATATCGTGTCAATGGCGGTCCAATTCCACAATCATGGCATGAATTGCAAGCGCAAGTCGTCCAGACGTACCATTGTAGATTGTGCCATCTGTCAGACCCGACACGAAGCAGCACACGAGCATAGGTATGTACGCGCGCTTGTTGTCCACCTCCTTCAGGCACCTGGTGTAGAAGCTCTGTTTCTCGACGATGCGGCCCGACTCGGGATCGTGCTTTGACTCTTCAGACGACGACATGGCTGCGTGCGAGGACTGGACCGATGTTTTGGTGTTCATGGTGGGATTGGCAATGGTGGCGGCGAGGGGGGGGCGAGGTTCGTCTGTTATACAATGCAATGCAATGGCGGCATCACTCCAGATAAGGGACCGGCGAAGAGAAGAAAAAAACGGGACATGTCGGGGGAAAGGATAATAATTTAGAACCAGGGTGTGTTTAGGTGGAAATAGCGCAGGAGCCCAGGATAATAGCGGGAGGCGCATCTTACACAAAGCGGGATCGGATCCGCCGCGAGACAGTGGGTAATTTAGGGCCATGTACGGATTATTATGTACTGGTACACTTTAACAAATGGCATTGCGTATTGGCATGTCAAGCCTTTTTGCCGAAGCCTATGCTTTTTGGGGCCACAGTTGCGTCGCGATAGGGATAGTCCTTGTCTTGTCGACAGCATCGTAAGTTGCGTGGCCCCTTGTCTCGTCGACAGTCAACGGGCTCTTACAACCCATCTTTGTTTGACGTTTTTCCAGTGGCCGCAGATGCGGGCTGCAGCGCCATTGACCTCCTATTGGCCCTTGGCTGGCTGGGCTTAGCAGGCCATGATACTAGCTCTTAGTCTGCCAAGTGACGAGCCCCAATGTTGCAACTCACCACCTTACTAAAGTTTCCACTTTATTATAAGATGTGATGCGACGTTGAACGTCAAGTTCTTGTAAGACGCAACCACTAAACCCCCCCAAACCTTGCATGATGAGTCGCCTGGCGGGGAACTCAAAACGGCAGCCACGAAAATGCTATATTGTTTCCTGAAGGAACGATAACGCTTTCGGAAATCGGAAGAGCGGTACGGCCAAAAGCTGAAGACAGGGTTGTTTGACTGGTCATTTCCGATCCCAAGACATTTTTCCAGCTTCTGTTTTTTTTTTCCAAAATGCTCCATTGCTTGCCTATTACAGCGTATCCTTCCCCCGGTCACAGCTGCGCCGTCACCGACTACCGGGGAACAACGGCTGTCGAGCCTTGGCGAGACCTTTGGGCTGCGAATCCCTGGGCCGGGGCTGTAGATTCGGTGAAAAGAGGGAAGAGGCGTTCAGTTTTCTCCTTCTAATGGTCTCAACACAGATCAGACTGACCCATAACTCTGGGATTTTGAACCGGTCTGCCGGATGTTGGGGGGGGATTGGCGCAAGGGGGGGACGGACGCTCTCGCAAGGCCCTGGCAGGCTATCCAGACGCTCTCAATCTGCGGAACCGAGTTCCCAAAAGTGTCATGATCCTCCAAGACGCCAAGTTACGTGAGGAGAATAAGCGTACTTCTCAGTAGTGTCATCTCAATGACCCACAAAGTTCCAATCGCCTGAGCCTTCACCCATCGTTGGTTCACAACGCCTGGTAATCAACACCGCCCAGCCGCAGGGATCCAACCAGTGTTTTACCCCAACAAAGAGATGACTTGCGCGTCCGAGATAAGCAGTATTACTGGTAAAAGTCAAATCCGTTGTCCGGTCTAGATGTGATTTGCAGTCCTGACATGCTCGATGCGCCTCAGCTGTGGATCTCATGGCTTGACGACAAGCTGACGGAAAGCAATGTCCAAAAGACTATAAAGAAGGCAGATAGACCCTCCACTCTAGAGTTGTTCTGATATTCTCAATCGCATTCATTATACCTTGCTTCTAGCACCTGCTCGAGTGATCTCCCTTCTCCCGCAGCCCCTTCTATCATAACGCTCTTATAATAACTTACTTTATACACACCCAAAATGTCACCCGCCGTTGTTGACCTCGTTGAGACCCCGGTCGTCGAGACCCCCATTGAGACTCCTATCGAGACTGTGCCCGCCGCCGAGGAGTCTCTCATTGAGTCCAAGGGCAGCTCTGTCGAGTACTTGCCCCTAAACGGCGTCGATGCCGTCGACCTGCCGGCCATTGGCGCCACCAAGCTGCGCAAGATGATCTTTGAGACCAAAGAGCTCATTGTCTGCCCCGGCGTATACGACGGCCTGTCTGCCCGCACCGCCATCGAGACCGGCTTCAGCGCCATGTACATGGTAAGGCTTGCTCCATACCCGCGCCAGCATCGACCCCCAAAACTAACAGCCCAAACAACAGACTGGTGCCGGTACCACGGCTTCCCGTCTTGGCCAGCCCGATCTGGCCATTGCTCAGCTTCACGAGATGAGAGAAAACGCTGAGATGATTGCCAACCTCGATCCCTTTGGCCCCCCTCTCATTGCCGACATGGACACTGGCTACGGTGGTACGTACAAGGCATCTTTTTTGTCTCGGATCTTTGTTTTTTTTTTTTTTTTTTTTCGTTTTGCTTTAAACTTTTCCAAGACACTAACCGGGATAATCTGCAGGTCCCATCATGGCTGCCCGGACCGTTGAGCAGTACATCCGCGCCGGTGTCGCTGGTGCCCATCTCGAGGACCAGGTCCTGACCAAGCGCTGCGGCCATCTCTCGGGCAAGAAGGTCGTCCCTCGCGAGGAGTACTACTCGCGCATCCGCGCCGCCCACGCCGCCCGCGTCCGCATGCGCTCCGACTTTGTCCTGATTGCCCGCACCGACGCCCTCCAGTCCCTCGGCTACGACGAGTGCATCGAGCGTCTCCGCACCGCTCGCGACCTCGGCGCTGACGTCGGCCTGCTCGAGGGCTTCAAGAGCAAGGAGCAGGCGGCGCAGGCCGTCAAGGACCTCGCTCCCTGGCCCCTGCTGCTCAACAGCGTCGAAAACGGCGCCAGCCCGACCATTACCGTCGACGAGGCCCGCGAGATGGGCTTCAGAATCATGATCTTCTCCTTTGCGTGCATTGTGCCTGCCTACAGAGCCATCAAGGACACCCTGACGCTTCTCAAGACCAAGGGAATCGTCGGCACACCCAAGGATCTCACCCCCGTCAAGCTGTTTGAGGTTTGCGGTCTGAAGCACTCAATGGAAGTCGACCAATCTGCTGGTGGTCTATCCTTTGCCGATGGCGTCTCCAACGCGTAAAAACAAAGAAAACTTGCATTTCAGGATATCACGTATTTTTCCTTGTTCGTTTTTTTTTTCTTTTTTCCGCTTTCTTCGTCTCGTTGTATTAGAATAGCTTGCAAGTAACGACTCAGCTTGCCCAAACATAATAGCGCGATTTATGCATTGTTCTTCCTCGTCAATAGTCTTATTATCAATCTTACTAAATGCTCTTTACATATAAAGTGTTCTTCTTGGCAGTGTTTGTTGTCAAGCCCTCCTACGGGCACGCAAGGATTAGTGGCAAATCGCCAAACTTTGTCTCTGAGCGGCCGCATCTCACTCAGTAAGCGGCGGGGTTAAGTCCAAGCCACGCGGGCAAAGTTGATGGAGGGGTGGCACATCCATCTTCAAATTCGGTATTACACAGAAAGCAATCTGCAAATCTGCGACAGATAAAGCTGCGCCCTGCAATTGGCTTGGCGAGGATGGATGACTATTATCAACTGTCAAAGTAAGACTCGCTTGCCTCGCCTGGCTCTCATTACACAGCTCGACTAGGGCCGACTAAGGGACTAAAAGTACAGATGAGTTGTCTGAGGTAATATCTGAGTGACCTTTATCCATATAACATGTAATCGTGCAGCGGCCGCCCGTCCCATATTTACACAAGATTGTCTCAACTAGCAGTCTGCGAGGTTGATCAGGCCAAAGAAGGGGCCTACCTCGGGGAGCACGCTGCCAGCGGTTCCTATTTTCTGAAAGAGTTCGCAGAGACCGTCCTCGTCGTCCACCGTGACCGTCATTGTGAGGTGGCCCTTTTCGTTGCCGTCGCCGAACCGGTTGAGTATCATCTTGCTGGGGATGGTGAACTTGGTCTCAATCGCCGTGGGGGTAATGGCCTTTTGGTTCTCGTGCGTGAGCATCTTGCCGATAATGTTGCCCATTTGCGTGTCAAACTCGCCCTTGGCCTCGGGCGGGAAAACGGCCTCGACGGTGACCTGGAAGCGGTATTGCTCAAAGGAGCCGGAGCACGAGGCCTCCTTGCACGTGTCCATGACCTTTTTGTGAAGCTCGTCGCGGACATCGTTGTAAAAGTCGTCGCAGTTCTCAGGGTGCTCGTCGCCGGGATGCCCGCACACCTGGGTGTGAACCTGCTTGGGGCCGTACCAGTCCAGGTTGGAGTGGGCGTCGTCGGCGGCGACGATGCTGGCGAGGCCGACGACTGAAGCCAGAGTGAGGAAAGAGTGGAAGCGCATGTTTAAGAAATGGGTGTGAGTATTTTTCTTTCTTTAGTTTCTCTCTTCGTCAGCGGGTAGGAGGCTATCTATGTAGATTCTTCGCTAATTAGATTGCCAGGCAAATAATTACTTTATTCTCAACCATGGCCTGTCTGTCTACCCGACAGACCGAAATGGCAGTGCCGGTAATAAAACTTTTCAACGCCATGTTCCCATAGTAAATCTCTAGAGCTTACTTGTGGGGAATTAATGTCTGTTCAACATCGTCATGAAGCTTTCTTCTGCTCACAGAAATGCGCAGCCCAGACCTATGTTCAAGCAAGAAAGCGCCGGTAGTTGGCCTGTTAGTGCAGCCAGCCTGGCGTCAGCACGGTACTAATGACGTCGGATAACTGGAATGCACCAGCCACGATCCACCATCTGCGGAGCGCCAAGATCCAAGCCCCGAGGCATCGAGGATTCATCTTGTCCCCTCACATGGCCGAAATCCCACAGTCTGTGAACCTGCCATCGCGGCGACAAAGATTTTAGCGTTACGCTCAGGTGATACGACAGCATTTCAACAACAGCATGCCAATCCAGTTTCTTACTGCTCAGATAAATGGTTCGTGAGTGAGACAATCACGCACAGGAGAGTTTCTAGGCAAGACTAGCTCACAAAGGTAGCATCAAGAGCAAGTTGACTGGTCATCGGGACGAAACAAGCATCCGCTCCATCCGCGAATGTCTGGCCACATATCTGAGGACCAAAAGCTATTGACGCAGCCAAGACGAGAGCTTTGGCCTTGACAATATCAGTCACTCCTCCCACCAATTCTCGCCAAGCCTCGAAGCTCTTTCAAAACCAACACGCCCGCGAAAACCCCCTCGCTACCTACGGACCAAGTTGTGTCGACGAGCACGTCCGAGGGGAAATAAATAGCTACGGACAAAGTTTGTCGGACGAATGGACTTCAAGCCAGCCATGTCTCACGCCCGAAAAAAATTGTCCGCTGCCATGCAACCCATGTTCGCGCAGGGCTACGACCCGACTCTCTGGGGAATGGGTCCTTTGAAACCCGTCACTTTTTTTGCCCTCGCCCATGAGACAGATCTTGTGGCTCATCTAGGAAAAAATAAAGAGAAATGTTTGGTTTCGTCCTGTTTGCTCCTTAATCTAGATCTTCCCCAGGGATGAGCGTCTCTGATTGGGCCCCCGGCGGCCGCTTCCCCAAGACACGGGCTGGGGCGCCATATCCAAAGTGAGACACAAACGACCAAATCGGGTAGTCGAGAAGCATCACTGGAATGTCGAAGCATTTTTTCACGCTTGGATGGGGGAGGGGGGACTCCGAAAGGCAAGGGGCGCAAGAAGGTCCATGACTTTTTGGTCATGGGGAGTCGGAGCGGCAAGATGCTTAAAAGGTGCTGGCAAGGCCTCTTCTTTTCGGGGAGTTGGGTCTCAGTGAGAGGTCTCATAGCTTTCCTGGGGATATTGAAGCTGTACTCCGTACGTAGTCTTCTTACAAGACGACCGTCTCGATGGGCTCCACGATGACGACGACGACGGCGGCGGCGGCGACGAAGGCAACGACGACCACGGCGAGCCGGAAGCCGTCGACGACGACATTGTCCGCCAGCGAGCTCGAAGACGCCACAACATTGCGCTCGTTGGATCTTCCGCCGCCCTCACAGCTCACGCAAGCCGACATTGAGCGTCTTGGCCGTGAGCGGCCCCCCATCTTTGCCAGCACCTTTATCGAAGTCGTCTTTGTCATTGCCATTGTCATGTCGCTCATGATGAGCGAGTACTTTACCTCTGGCTTCAACGTCATCCTGCCGACGCTCAGCAACGCCATCCACATCCCCGAGTCGGCGCGGACCTGGCCGACCGCCGTGCCCAACCTCGCCGCGGGGGTCGTCCTGCTCCCCTTTTCCCGCCTCTGCAACCAGTGGAGCGCGCGCGTCGTCTTCCTCGGCGGCCACGTCTGGCTGATGGCGTGGGCCGCCGCCGCGGGCTTCTGCACGGCGCCCACGCCCATGATTCTGTGCCGCGCGATGCAAGGCATCGGCTTCGGCGCCTTCTTGCCCGCGGGTATGTCGATCCTCGGCCAAATCTACCGGCCCGGCCCGCGCAAGAACCGCGTCTACTGCGTCTATGGCGCCTTTGCCGCCGTCGGCTTCTACGCTGGCATCATGACGGCCGCGCTCACCACCCAGTACGCCGACTGGCGCTGGTACTTTTTCCTCGGCGCCACGCTGCAGTTTGTCGTCATCTCCATCAGCTACGCCACGATCCCGCGCGAGCTCGCCGACGTGGACCCGGCGGCGCGCATGGACTGGCTGGGGTTGGTCACGTCGGTGCCGGCGCTGACGCTCATCAACTTTGCCTTTTCGAGCGCCACTCACGCGCCGCAAGGCTGGGCCACGCCGTACATTATTGTTTGCTTGATCTTGGGCGTCATATGCCTGGGCCTCACCGTGTATGTGCAGGGCTGGGTCTCGACGCAGCCCCTCATACCGCGCAAGATATTCAAGCCCAAGTACATGATCAGGTTGTTCATTGCGTTGTTTTGCTTCTATGGCGTGAACTCCATTTTCCTCTTTTACAGCAGTCTTTAGTAAGTTGTTCAGCTGCCGCGTCATGGCATAAAGGTGTGCGATTCGGTTGCTAACAAGTCAAACTCAGCATCGGCAACGTTCTTCGTGCGAGTCCCATTCTCACTGCTGCCTGGTACTTGCCACTTTTATTTGGTGGCATCTCACTCGCTATCCTTGGCGCCCTGGTGCTGCATCTCTTATCCAACCAGATCCTGCTCATCCTTGCCAGCCTCGGTTTTCTCTGCTGCGCCTTGCTCTTCGCCATTTTGCCCTTTGACTCTGGCAAGCCCATCAACATCCTCTACTGGATGTACCTCTTCCCCGCCATATTCTGCGCGACGCTCGGCATCGACCTCTCCTTCAACGTGACCAACGTCTTCCTAACGACGGCGCTGCCGAAGCGCGACCAAGCCATCGTGGGCGGCATCATCAACTGTCTCATGTACATTGGCAGCTCCTTTTGTCTAGGGTTCAGCGACCTGCTCATCGCATCCGTGCAAAAGGCGCGGGGCGTGCACCTCGGCTTGGCGGAGCAGTACCGCCTCGGCTTTTGGCTGGGTGTCGGGCTGTCGGGCGTGGCGCTGCTGTTAACGTTGACGATGCGGCTGGGTTCGGCGTCGGCAGAGCTGACTGCAGATGAAAAGGAGGAGCTGCGGCAGATTGCGGAGAAGGAAAAAGTTTAACAGGCGAAAACGGAACTGAGCGCTTACAAAGAGGCGGCGCTGGTGGACAATGTCAAGCAGGCTCGATAAAGGAAGTTCTGTTGAGGAGGTGGCTAAAAGAACCCAAAGAGTAGATGAACCTGGAAAACGATACGGGAGGTGGGGAAATTAATTCATGCTTAAACAGACATGAGAAGCACCGGCGTTTAGGCGGCTGGAATCGTCATACCATTCTTGGGAAGCACGTTGACTTTTTTTTCACAGCAGGGCCACTGGGTATGCACTTTTACCATGTTGACTGATTTATCTATAATTTCTTATTGTCTTATTTTTCTCGCTTGTTATATATTATATTGGAGTATGTTTGACAATGTTGTCATCTAGTGATGCTCCTGGTTTCCCATTGAATTCAGGCCGTGTCGTCTGATCCTAGATTGATTGTGACCGGCCCTGGCCTCGGCACGCGATGGACGTCGCGTAGAAGCTGCAGATTCCTCTGTGTCGCGGCGTGGTTTTGCTTCTTCACCTGGCCTTGCGTCCTTGGAAGCACTTCGCTGTCGACTGCACAATGAGGCGCAGCTGTTTGTGTAGTTGGCTGGCTCTGTCTCACTCGACTATACCGCCTCGATAGCTTCGATAACTTCGACAGCAGGGCCCTCAATCTTTTTAACCTTGCGGCCTTCCCACCAGGACATGAGACCGGCGAGCATTGCGACACCGCAACCGAGGCCGATGAATGTGCCAGTTGCCCAGCCCTATAATTCGGGGGTTAGATACAGCGGAGCAGCGTTGGTTGGTCGTGTGCCATGACTTACAGGGCGATCTATGCGATTGTAATGCCACATGAAGAAGCACAGAACCGCCTGGAGGATCGTGTTCAACACCATCATCCAAATCGTGAAACCAAGCTTCCAGATGGGTGTGGGGGGCGCGACGCGGCCGGTAAACGTGGGCGGCTTCACTTGATCAGACGCTGCGGCCGCCGTCTCCTCGGCCTGTGTATACCAGATTGGCGGGCGGAACCAGCCGCGATTCTGCTTGGCGAGCTTGGTCATGGCGACCGTGTCGTGCATGTGTGCGCCGCGTATAAAGAGGTAGAGGTCGCGGAAGCGCCAGGGCGCGAGACCAAAGCCTGTGACGCAAAAGAGGGCGTTGAGGATCTGGGAGTCAATCTCGAGCCAGATCTTGCGGGGAGAGGAGTCATCGTCGGCAGAAGGGTGGTTCATGGCAGGGGCGGCTTTGAGGAGGAGAAAGAAGAGCATGGCCTGGAGGGTTAGCGGTTTGTGAGCTTTAGAAAGAAAAGTTTACGTACACCCCATGCCTTGAGATTGTTAGCAGTGAAACTGTGAGTTTGAGTCGGTGCATACATACGACGATATTCAAGCAGTAGATGGTGATGAGGAAGCCGGCCGGTGTGATGAAGAATTTCCAGAAAGCAGCCAGTCCATGCATAATTGTTGGCCCAATGTCTGCCTTTTTGCCATGACCTTCACCGTGACTGTGATGCCAGAGATGATGCCTGTGATGATGGTGCTCCTTGGTCTCGGTTGCCGGTTCGTCTTGCGCAGCGTCTGTATTCGTCTCTTCAACGCGTACGGGGGTGGTCTTTTCCTGCTCGGATTCCTGGCCGACGACGCCGCGCGTGTTGCTGCGGACCAAGGCGACACGGCCAGTGTCTTCGTAGACGGCGGCCAGACGAGCAGAGTGGCCCTGGGAGTTGAAGGCGATGTTGCCGGCGCCCATGTCCATGTCACGGAGTTCCGTCAGGTTGGGGGCCTGGGCAATGGCGGTGCCGGCGGCCTGCCAGATGCCGAGCTGGGGATTGGCATTCATAACGGAAAGGGAGGCGCGGCGAGCACGGCCGGCGATAGTCGAATCGGCGACATCGGCGTCTGAGGACCGACGCAATGAGGAAGCCATTGCGTGTGGTGTTTGTTTCCCGATGATAAGTGATGAATGCTTTTGATCGACCAAATCCTGATGCTGGCGGCCTTCACCGGCGGATGGCGGAATACAGGCTAGTTTAGGTATTTGGCGGGCTTGTCAGGCGCTACAAGCGCTAAAAGCTATGACCAAGTGCAGCAGGCGAGCTAACGTAGGCTTCACAAGGTGATGATAGACGTCAGAACAGGGTCAGGTAGCTGTATTGCCGAATCCAGGGTGCCATAACATTGAGAAGAAAAGGTTCCGAGTGCATATCACTTTTCAGTGCTATATCAGAGTCTGGAGGCACGGCAGATGCTCACAAAGGGAATGGGAGCTAATCATTGGTGGGATCTACAGCAAAATTTAGCGCCAAACTGAAAATTCATAACGAACTTTTTAAGTTCCTACCAACAGGGCCATCAGACCTCGACGACACCCAGTGAGGATGCACGTTTGGATTCTTAACTAGCAGGGGGCCGAGGTTGGCCGGGTGGCGTGAGAGGTGGCGCTGGCAAATGAAACGCCTTGTTGGTGAATCGATCTTGCAGCCTTGAAGCTTGTTTTTTTTTTTCGCTTCTCCTCTTTTGTTCCAATGTGACGAAATTTTTCGACTTACTCGCGCTACTAAAAAGAACGACCAGGGTTGCGCTTGGGACCCTGTACCAACCCATCTAAATATCATGCTTCTACCAGTATGGCAGAGTGCGAGGCTGCTCGGATGACATCGGAGAGCGCGAGAAGACACGGAAGCAAAGGAAAGATTGTGAATGCCGGGGCTGCTTTCGATTATGCATGATCGGAAAGTAAAAGCATAAACGCCGTTGGAGAGTGGAAGTCAGCCGTAATGGCCTCCAGCTTAACCAAGGTACCTACCTACCTACCTACCAAACTAACGTTGCTAACTTGGTGCAAACGCTGGAAGCATACCGGACTTGGGCAACTGTATAGCTTGCGTTTGACCCGTTGTGTCTGGACAAAAGACATGGATAAAAAGGATTATCACGGCACTGACTAAATCTAAATTTCAACTCTTGCCCCTCTTGCACGGGTCTCGTCCTCCCCCGGTCTTAACCTCAACACAATGGCATCGTGGCGGTTGGCAGCTCATTACAGCGCCTACATCCACTAGCCGCACCGCTGGTAATCGGGCCTTACGGAAGCTCCACAGGCCATCGCCAGGGCCCGGAAAATCCCCCAAATCACCGTCGACGCCATCACAGGACTGGCACAGAATAATCCCTGCACCTTGCTTGTCAATATTACCAAGTCCAATGTTATAACTAATTGTTGACCTATGGGTACAGTCCGCCTCCGCTCACTCAAATTTTCCCGTTGCCGACCAAGCGGGTATAAACAACCTGGCCACCTTTTGATATTAGAGTAATGGAGTGTGCCGTGTTATTAGCCTGTGAAAGAAACGGCCATGTAAAATATCTTGACACCTACTTGCCGGCCTAGGTAGTCAGCTCTCAAGTCCCGCAAACTTTATAATTGCTGGTCCAAGTGGGTGATCCTTTTCCCATCCAGGATCAACGCCCCGCTAGTACCGACCGAGGCTCCATCTTTGCTTCGACTGGTTCTATCTCATAGCACTTGCTTCCGCCAGCTTCGTTTGTCTCGACAACTTCCACCGCCATCTTGAATCAAGGCATTGCCCACCCCAGCTATCATCAGAGCTGTAGTCAATCAGCTGCTTCTTCGCAGGGTCAATATTTCCGCCGCCCATTCCGACCCTCTGGACACGGATTCAAGCCATGTTTCGCAGCAAGTCGAGAGAGCCTGGCCAGCTCATCCTCGAGCAGGGTCCCTCGGGCTCTGTTGGCGACGATGGCCGCTTCAAGATTCGTTTTCACAGCGAGGCCCATTCCCTCACTTCCTGGTATCACGATCTTCAGATCAAGCGGTCCTGCAAGCGACCGGCCAGCCGTCCCACCTCTCCCGAAGTTCCCAAGACTGATCCCGCCAGCATTCCCCGCCTCAACATCGCCATACACATTGTTGGCTCTCGAGGCGATGTCCAGCCCTTTATTCCCATTGCTCAGATCCTCGGCAAGGCTCCCTACAACCACAGAGTGCGCATCTGTACGCACCCAGTCTTTAAAGATTTTGTCGAAGCCCAGGGTGTCGAGTTCTTTAGCATCGGTGGTGATCCAGAGGCGCTCATGTCTTATATGGTCAGAAATCCTGGGCTGTTACCTAATCGAGAGAGTGTCAAGGCTGGTGATATTGGCAAGCGCCGCGAGGAAATGTCGGAAATTATGAATGGCTGCTGGCGGAGCTGCATCGAGGCTGGTGATGGCATGGGAAACCCCATCACTGCCGCCAGCGTCAAGGACCCCAAGGACCTCTTCATCGCCGACGTCATCATCGCCAACCCGCCCTCCATGGCTCATATTCACTGCGCTGAGAAGCTTGGCATTCCTCTTCACATGGTCTTTACCATGCCCTGGTCCCCGACAGACGCTTTCCCCCACCCTCTGGCAGCCATGAACTATGGCGGCGCCGACAAGAAAATGGCCAATTATATTTCCTTCATAATGATGGAGCTCCTCACATGGCAAGGGTTAGTCTTTGATTTGTACCTGCGTCTGCACTCACATCGCAATAATTTCTGACACTGCGTTATAGCCTCGGTGACTTGATCTCCAAATTCCGCCACGAGAAGCTTGGCCTCGACCAAATTAGCCCTCTTTGGGGCTTCCATCTGCTCACACGCCTACGCGTACCCTTTAGCTACCTCTGGTCAAAGTCATTGATCCCCAAGCCCAAGGACTGGGGATCCTACATCAACATTACTGGCTTCTCGTTTCTGCCCCTTGCCAGCTCATATACTCCTCCCGACGATCTAACTGCTTTCCTTGCCGCCGGGCCAGCCCCAATCTATATTGGATTTGGTTCAATTGTGGTTGAGAAGCCTGTAGAGCTCACCAATCTACTCTTTGCGGCAGTCAAACAGGCCGGCGTGCGGGCCATCATTTCCGAGGGTTGGAGCAAGGTTGGCGGTGACCAAGTTCCTGACAACATCTATCTCATCGGAAACTGCCCTCATGATTGGCTGTTTCAACACGTTTCTGCCGTCGTACATCACGGCGGCGCCGGCACTACCGCCGCTGGTATCGCCGCCGGCAAGCCCACAGTTGTCGTTCCCTTTTTTGGAGATCAGGCTTTCTGGGGCCAAATGGTAGCACGTGCGGGTGCTGGTCCTCAGCCCATTCCGTACACCGAAATGACGGCTGACAGCCTGGCTGAGAGCATCACCACCGCCTTGAAGGAAGATGTTCAAGAAGGTGCCCAGGAGATGGCCAAGACGATTGCTGCGGAGAACGGAGCAGAGGATACCGTCACCGACTTCCTCGAGCGCCTTGTCTGCGAGGATCGACTGCAGTGCGACTTGTGCCCGGATCGGCTCGCCACTTGGCTGCACAAGAAGACGGGTGCTCGACTAAGTGGGTTTGCCGCTGCTTGTATAACCGACAAGGGCTTGATTACACCTGATCAAGTCAAGCTGATCCATCACAAGAGCTGGTATGTTGACGAGGGCGCCGAGCACCCCTTTGTTGGCATGCTCGCTTCTGCCACGGGCTTCGTCACCACTGTCGCTACCGTCTCTTCCGACTACGCAAAAGCTTGGAAATACCGCCCTAGCAGAACGGCCGACAAGAAAAATACGGAAACCTCGAGCGAGTCCTCTGTCGAGCGAAAGAAAGCCGTGTCCGAAGACTATAAGCCCAATTCGGCTGTCCACCCGGGCGGCCGTCCTAAAAATCCGATGCAAGAAGCTTCCGAAATGACCCCTTCGCAGATGGAAAAGGCTGCCATCAAAATGGCGAAAAAGTCTCTTCGCACAGTGGTCCCCGAACCCGGGGTTCAGCGCGCACCTACTTTCCATGACAAGCGCAAGGCGGAGTGGGAAGAGCATGAGCATGGCCGACACGGCCGCGGTTTTTTCTTGGCTCGCAAGACGGGCAGATATAGTGCGGAGCTCGCCAAGGCGGGCCTAAAAGCTCCCGTTGCCTTCTTCTGGAACACAGCCAACGGCTTCCACAATTTCCCTTCGTACGGCTATGCCGGTATCGAGGTCCGCCGCCGAGACCAAATTACGGGGTTCGGTAGCGGTGTCAAGGTGGCAGGCAAGGAGTTTGTTTTGGGCTTTTGGGAAGCCTTTTCGGGCATCGTCGTCCTGCCTTATAAAGGCACACGAGACGAAGGCTTCAAAGGTTTGGGCAAGGGTATCTGGCGTGGTGGCAAGGGCTTCTTCTGTGGCCTAGGGGCCGCCGTTTTCGGCCTCCCCGGCTACACTCTCAAGGGCTTTGAGAGGACACTCTCCAAGCGCCACCTTACCAAACTCAAGGCCGAGATCCTGCTCGTCAGACTGCGAAAGGCGCTCATGGACTTTCGTGAGGCCACGGAGGAAGAGCGCGAGGCTGTCGTCGAGGCCTGGATGGCCAAGTTTTGAGAAAAGGTCAGCAATCAAGGTTGGTGTTTTGGCGTTTTTCTTTCAGTCACATTCACTTCATTTTCCTTATCAAGTCACATTTCGTTTCTTTTTTGTGCTTGACGATCTTGAGACATATTCCTGGGTTGCATTTCAGTCACATTCGCTTCATTTTCCTCTTCATGTCATAATTCGTTTGTTTCATGTGCTTGGCGAACTTGAGACACATTTCTGGGTAGAATATCCGGCGCACATTGCGCATTGCAATTATTTTTGTATACTGTTGATACTGTTTGATATCTTATATACCATAATTATATTTACTATTTACATGGGTAGTTTTCTTCGTCAACTATCTAGCATGGCAAGCGTCCTCTATCGGGACGTTTTCGGCATTATCGGTATCATCGCGGTCTTCCCACGTAGGGTATTTGGCCTCGAGCTCATATGCCGTGTCAGCCTCCTGTAAACGGGGAGTGATGGGCGACTCTTCCGTGTCGACGCTGGTCATGCGGAGCTTTGCTTTGCGTGCAGACGCGTTTGTGGCGTGCGACACGGCGGACCTCTCGGACGCAGAGCGCAGCGTGCTACCAAACACGCGGGGCCATATCCGCACCAGGATGAGCCTCAATGTCGGCAAGCAGGCGCACATGAGACCGACATTGATTTCAATAGTGGACCATAGCGCCAAGGGCAATTCATCCCAGGTCGGGTTGATGGAGTTGGCAAAGTAAATGAGCGATCGTAGCCGCAGCGCTGAAACGACGGTGACACTTTGTTCTGTTAGCCTTTTGCGCGTGCCCTTTGCAGATGAAAAGACCTAGATCAAACTTACAAACTGCCGGTGAGGAACATGATGGTCGCACCGACCTTTTTCTTCCAGTGCAGCTCCAGCTTGCGAATCTGAAACAGCGGGATGCCAATCATCCACACGTCAATGGCGGTGCTGACGCCGCCGTGTATCCACCCCAGCAGGTTGATTCTCGTGCAGTGGCCCTCGATGGGCTGGACGTAGCGCATCCAGTAAAAGGCGACGGGCATGCACTGAAACACGGACAGCAGCATAAAGGTCAGCCCAAAGAGGCCCGTGACGGCCATGGTCAGCCAGAGCACGGCGCGGACGCCGGTGCCGGGAAAGATGCTCAGGTAGAAGAAGAGCAGGCTGAGCTTGATGGTGGTGACGAGGAAGAGGTAGAGGATCTGCTGGGCGTAAAAGTAGCGGCCAAACGTCTCGATGACGTCGGGCGTCAGGGTCCAGACGTCCTTGCCGAGGCCGTGGCGGGTGAGGCCGACGCTGTTGATGATTGTGCAGGGCAGGCCGACGCAGATGGAGATGATGATGAAGCAGTCGTCGCGGCCGAGCTTGCCGGTGTAGCTGTAAAAGACTTTGAAGATGAGCCTCGCAAAGACCATGACGCCAGTGATGGCGCAGAGCGTAATGGACGTGACGTCGAATGAGGTGGCGCGGTCGCGCGGCGGGAGGTCGCACGTGGCCTGGGTTTGATTCATGGTGGTGATGCCCTCAGCCATGGTGCACGCGGCCTGGACGCACGACTCGACCGTATTTCTCGTCGTGGTGTTGCTGCAGAGACAGGTTGCGTCGGCGCAGGCCTCTTTGGTTGTGACATGTTCAATGCATGGTTTCTTTCAAAAGTTTGAGCGAGGTTAGACTTTGGCGTTTCCTCTCTCCCGCCCCCCCTTTGATAACAGAGCAACTTACTGCGCACGAGGGTATCTGATCCAAGACTGTCGAGAGATTACGCCTTTGCATTGCCACCTCATCGAAGGCGACGCCATGTTGTAATGATGAGACGAATTGGCTGGCTAATGTCGTGTCTCGGCCCTGGCAAACTCCTGCAAGCCACGCTGCGGCAAGGCCCAGAGACAGCCCTGCGGAATACATATTGATCATTGTTTCTGTTTCTGTATGGTATGGTATAGGCTAGAGGCGATGGAATCACACGCAGGCGGCGGTTTTGGGCGGGAAACCGCTTCTTTTCTTTACATGACCGCCGCGACGATGCGGGTTTGATCGAATCGTAACGGCCGATTGGGAGAATGGGTAAATTGTTGGGATGAACAGGACGAAAGGAGGGAAGGAATTTAAAAAGGGTCTGCGAACTTCGTTGGACAAAAAGCTCGCAGAAGGAGCCCCGACAAAAATACAAAAAAGTCTATTTGCCGCTTCGTTGCGTGAGCTGGGTGGCACAGACTTTCTTATTATACACTACGCAGCGCCTCTCGTCCAATTCACCCTCCACCTCGAACAGACGCCTGCCCCAGAACGGGTTTTTTTTTTGGCGCTCCACACTGAAGAAAATAGGACAATAAAGAGGGCAAACAACAGGGACGACATCAGTCCCGAGAGCCCAGGTCGGCAACTGCGGCCCGGCTATTACCAGCAAAGTTGATGTTGCATGCCATCAAAAGTCAGGGGGGGGAAGAGGGCCGGAAGGGGTTGTCCCCGTCCTAGGTAGGAGTGGAAAGATCCGGCGGACCAGAGGCCTGACTGCCTGCCATCCTGCCTGCCGTCTCTTCTCCACCCCCGCAAACGTCCTGGCAGGTCGGATGGGCCGAGAAAGGCCAGAAAAAAAAGTGGTGATGTGGTGTTTACAACCAACCATGAGCAAAGGCTGCCCACCATCACCACCAAAGCCCTTACCCAAAGAGATGGGCTGTCTGTTCAGTTTTTCCCCACATGGCGTTCTTATACCAGTAGAGAAGTAGTAGACAAGACACGCAGAATTCCGTTTTCTTCCTTTGCGCCGAGGCAAGAACCGGCGGCCATGTGTCATGACGGAGAGTACCGCTTACTCGGTACGTTGTCATGGTTTTACATGCAAAGTGGTTGTTGTTTTGCCTGTGTCGAGTTTGTAAAGCTGAAGTTGGTCTTGTCCCATGTGAAAGAAGGAGGGGGGAAGGGGGGAGGAAAGAAACCGCCGAACCGAGCCCAAGCTGTCATAAATCAGCCTTGGCCGTTTGTCACAATTTCGTTTACTGTATATTGTTTTTTCTTCTTTTTTTTTCTTTTTTTATCGTCTCTTTTAGGAATAGAAGAGCCAGGATCAGGGATGAAAATGTACTGCGGAAAGAATTAGATTTTAATGCGCCGTTGGGGCTAGCACGGACGTCTATGGCGCGCACTGATGCTGATGAACTGGATAGGATGAAAGCTAAAAAATTGGAAAAAAAAAATCAAAATAGAAAAAAGAGAGATGAGATTTTCCACTGTGGAGCCAATGAAGAAGAAACAAAAGCAGACAGTCTGGCAAAAAGTCTGATGTTTACAACAATACTGAAATTGGGAGGTGCGGGAAGGGAAAGCGGGTAATTCCTTTTTGCCCCCCCCCCGCTCTCGGAAATGTCAACCCTCTCGGCAACGTCTTTGTTGGGGCTCGTCGACATCGCGATGCGCCCGCACAAACACACGAGTGACAAAATTTTACTTGACGTGTCGTGTCGTGTGCTGCTGTGAAATGCAGCGCAGCAAGTCATTCTTATTGATTCGCTTACAAGTCAAGGACAATGGCCCCCAATCTAAAACAAAAGCTCTTTTCGAGTCAAAAAGTCTCACTTTTTTTCTTTTTTTAACCCCTTTCGACCGAGACAGCTTAGACGGGACCACAGTCTACAATGTAACAATACTATTGAAAGCAAAAGTCTCTTTTCCTCTCTCTCTCCAAAAAAAAAAAAAAAAAAGTATCTGGTTGGCATCTCTAGTCCTAGCCAATGTCTCAGTTGACCGCGGGGGACAATTGCCGGGGCCGCTGCCGCATAACTAGCCAGTACTAGTAAATAGTCGTGTGTTGCAGCCTCCGGTCAGATAAGTTCCACTACCTCTAATTAGTTTAGGAACAGTTTTTCTCTTTTTTTTGACTACCATTTTTCCTTGCCGAAAGAATATAAACAAAAATGTCACGTAATAAGATTCCGTCTTCTTTTTTAGCAGAGTGCAACATGATGCCAAGGTTTCGGCCAGGTTCACTCCGATTTCCCGTCTTGACCGTTGGCGTTGCAAGCATCTCACCTTGTCTCAGCGCATTGACGTTCATCACAAGCAAACGACCCAAAAAGGTAGATTCTTTCCATCTGCGTCTGAAAAGCTGACCCGGGGAGGCAATGGGGGTATATACTGCGGTTGACTGCCAACGTTTTTCCCCCAAAGATGCCAAGCCTGCCGTGTGCTTGTCAACCCGCTACTCCGCTACTAAAAAGGGGCGGCCTGTCCCAGCCGTTATATCTGCTCGGCCATCCCTCCCTCCCCTGTGGTACTGAAGAGGGGGAGCCTTTCCCCGGGATCGACATGCGGCCGCCCGCACATCAAAGCATGTGTATCGCAACGGCAACGGGCTATGCAACATCGCCTACGCGTCGGCTGTTGCATTTTGCTGGGTTTTGAAACCGAGCATGGCCGCAAATCCCTTCCACTGAGCTGACTAGTAAGAACTGGAGAACGTCTGGACGCCCTCTTCGGTTACGTTGATGTCCAGAGTTCTGGGCTCGCCTTTCGCTGTCCGTGCCCGACCATCATGACAATCCATTTATAAAGGCGCAGACATGTAACCGCGACTGCCCGAGAATCCTCCGGCTCTCGTTATTTGTCTGTTTTGGCCGCAACGTAATCGTCCATTGAGTTCGCTGATCTTTTTTTTCCCCTTGTCCAATTTCTTTCCAACGCGCCACCCATCGACGCGTTATCCTGTGTCCTCGGGCGACGACTTGCCCTCGGCCGCCTTCCAACGGTACTCGCGCTCCACGCCCATTCTGCGCTGCGCCGTGTCGCACAGCCTCTCGTCGCCGCACTCGCACACGCCGCCCTCGCGCAGCCAGCGATACGTGATGCTCCAGCGATCCCTCCGCGGGCGCACCACCACCGCCGACGTCTTCTTCTGCTCCTCCCCGTCGTCGTCGAAAGCCTCCTCCACCAGCGTATCCGTCTTGCGCGCGCGGATCCCGTGCGTCCAGTGCAGCCGCGCGTCGCCAGACATGCGCATCATGCTCCGCGGCGCCAGATCAACGTCGACCTTGATGGCCTCCCCCCGCGCGGCGCTGCCATCACCACCGCCGCCACCGCCGCCACCGACGCCGCCGGGGCGGCAAAACTGCATCAGCACCGGCGACCCGAGCGATAACGAGTACAGCTGGTCAAACGCGCTGTGCGTGTCGGCGTGCGGCGGGATGCCCGTCCCGGGCGGGTAGTGCTGCACGCAGACCTGGTCCGGCGGACGGCCCTCGTCGGCCGGGAGCAGCGGCAGCAGCCAGTCCGGAAACGGCGCGTGCGGCACGTCCGTGTCAATGGCAAACGTCTTGTAGCTAAATGTGTAGCCGTAGTGTAGCGAGCGACGGCCCTTGCGGTCCGGCCAGTCGAGCTGGTCGCAAAGGATTTGCAGGATGGTCTCTTCGTGTTCTTTGGATATAAAGTCTTTGTGCACGAAAAGACCGGCCGGCTCGGTGTCGAGCGGCTCCATTGGAAGTTGGTGCAACGCTTCAAGGTCCGGCCCTGACTCTCGTCGATTGTGAACTTGTGTGCGAGAAATGTTGCCAGCCTTTTTGAGGTAAATCACGTGATCTACTCTGCACGCATGCAGTTTCGATATTGCATCTATTCACAGAGATAGTTCCCAAAGGAGAAAGTGATGCATTTTTTTCTTTTTTGAGTATATTTCGAGGTCATTTGCACTCATTTAGCCGCACCATCTCGCTTGTGTGCTGAATACGCGACGAGTTGTCTTGGTCGCTCCTAGCTCGCTCGACTTACACCGCAACCAACATATGCAGACATGACCATTTCACCAGCCATGTAGACTACATCTCACATTCACCTAGCCGGAATCAACATCCATCATGCCCAACACAAGTAACTCCCGTGTCCTCTTCACCAAGCTGGCGGCATCTCGCCTCCGACACCGCATCTTGGCGTGATCAATGGCGCCACCGAAAGTGGATTTATCGAGGGCCGGAACCTGTGGCCGGAACGCTTGCCGCGAGCTAAACTGAAATAGAGATGCGGCTTGAAAAGAAAAAGGCGCGAAGAAACTACCTCTTTAGGCTCGCTACTCCGAGTAATGCCGGCCCAAAAACATTGGAGACCTCATTCGTCCATTCGAGCAAACCTTTCTTCAATATGGAGTCATGACCAGTGGGCCTTGTTGAAGAGGGGGAAGAATAGGTAGTTTGTCAGTGTCCGCCTCGTAGTTCTGCATGTAAGACGGTGAATACAATCCACTTCTTCTTCTTCTGCTGTTGCCAGCTTTGCAAGACGTTGAATACAATCCATTCCTCTTTTCGCTGTTGTCAGCATTGCAAAGACTGACTGTAAACTACAATCTCGCTTTTCCCTGTTGCTGTTTTCCCAGCTTTTGCGAGAACAGTTGCCCATTGCATACACACATTTTGGCCTTTTCCCTTTCGTTAAACGATGGCAACCAAAGCAATGACAACGACGTCGACAACCAGCACGGCCTTGGAGCTGGGCAACAACCATCGTAATGAGCAACAGCAACGGACAACCACCACCAACACAATCCAGCTCCGCGGCGCATTGGCAGCCCCGGACTCGTCCGACAGCGACCTGGACCCCATCCTCGAAGCCTCCCGCATCGCCGACAGCACCGTCCCCGACGGCGGCCACGGCTGGGTCGTCATCTGCGCCTGCGCCGTCGTCTCTTTTTGGCTGACGGGCGTCAACTACAGCTGGGGCGTGATGCAGTCCGCCCTCGTCGACGACGCGGGGCTCGGCTCCCCCTCCGCGCTCTCCTTTGCCGGCTCCATCCCCGCGACGCTCATCAGCGTCATGGCCATGCCCAACGCGCGCATCGTGCGCCGCCTCGGCGCGCGCTGGACCGCCGTCGCGGGCATCTCCGTCATTGGCCTCGCCCAGATCCTCAGCGGCTTCTGCGTCACCGCCGCCAGCCTGCCGGGCCTGTACGTGACGGCCGGCGTCATGCTCGGCGTCGGCATGAGCCTTTGCTTCACCGTGTGCTCCGTCACGCCCGCGCAGTGGTTCAAGCGCCGCAGGGGGCTCGCCAACGGGCTCGTCTTTGCGGGCGGCGGGCTCGGCGGCGCCATCATCACCATTGTCGAGGGCCTCTTGATTCAGCGCTTCGGCGCCGCCTGGGCCTACCGCGTCATGGGGCTCGCGACGCTGGCGACGGGACTGCCGGCCGCGGTTTTCATAAAGGAGCGCAGCGCCGTCGCCGTGGTCGGCACGATTGAGTGGCGGCTCTTTAGAGATGTCCGCTTCAGCCTCATGTTTGTCGCCGGCGCCATCGCCACGTTTCCGCTGCTCGTGCCGGCCTTTTTCCTGCCGCTTTACAGCAGCTCGCTGGGCCTGTCTGCCGGCACCGGCGCTGCTCTTCTTGCCGGCTTTAATTTTTCCTCTGCGGTCGGACGCATTCTGTGCGGCCTTCTCTCCGACAAAGCCGGGCCCATCAACACCATGTTTGGCTGTCTGCTGGTCAGCTCCCTAGGCATGTTGGTCTTGTGGCCAACCTCGACTACCGTGGGGCCGCTGGCCGTGTTTGCCGTTTTGAACGGCGCTGCCAATGGTGGCTTCTTTTCCACCATACCGACGGTAGTGGGCAACGTCTTTGGCTCTGCGCGAGTGGTTGTCGCCTTGGGCATGATAGTCACCGGATGGGCTGGAGGTTATCTCATGGTAAAGTTTTTTGCATACTTTTGTTCGTAAAATCGTCTCGCGTGGTTCTAACGGTTGCCTACACAGGGTGCTCCAATCGCTGGTTATATTCTGGATGCGTATGGCGGCCAGGAGGGCGGCTTACACGCATATCGTCCAGCCATGTTTTATGCCGGCTCCCTTGCATTTGCGGCTGCCGTCTTGGTAGCTGCCATGCGACTCCGAATGAACGTGCCTCTGCTAGGCAAAGTTTAAAAGTGGTGCTGGGCCAAGTCTTTGAGCGTATTAAACTCAGTAGCGATCCCTCTTTTCGGATGGGCGTGACGTTGGACGAAATGCAATAGACGATGAAATGAATTGACGAAAACATGGACAATTGATGGAAGGACTAGACTGAAGATAAAAGTAAGCTAATGAAAACATGGTAGCGAATGTTTAAATCCTGTACAAAGAAGAAACATTTTGCCGAGCCCCGTGCCAACTCCAGAAAATAATAATAATACATGTATGTGTGTATGTGCTTGCAGCTAGACGCCGAAGCCGGGCGTGACACTATACCCGTTTCCGAGAGAATATACTTGTGACATCGACATTGGCCACCTTGACCAAGGCGCTAATCTCTCTCATGTGCAATAGACCTCGAGGTAGGACAATGTACAGTCCCGACTCTTGCTCTTCGTCTGGCCGCAGCTTGTCGTTGTGTGTTTGCTTCCCTGACGCCTTGATTGATCCCATCACGCGACGATAGCCATCACGTGTCAGCTTTGCGAGCAAGCCCTCGCCACCAGTGACGTCCTTGAGCTCCCCATATGGTTCGAACCCGAGGCTGAGATATGAGACGCCGCTGCTGCGCAGCAGCTGCATGGCGGAGATGACGAGAAGATCGGTGATGCCGCGAGGGGCGTCTTCGGAAGCAACGCAAGGATCCAACTGGAATCCATTGTTGGCGCCTAGATATCGTAGACCAGCAATGCCGTTGGCATGACCGTCACGGTCGCATGTGTAGAGAAACATTGTAATGTCTGGTCGGGAGAATAGGTCGTACTGTGTAATAAAAGCTTGTGCATTGGGTGGCCGGGAGGTGTCGCGCTGCGCGCGCCAACCATCGTAGACTGCTTGCAACTCTGTTTCGAGGGCTACGTCATATCCATCAACACTGGGCGCGTAGATTCCAACCGAGACGCCGCCGCGATCAGGGTCCAAGAGCTGGCGGCACTGGCTGATTGTGCGCTTTCCTGCCTTGTTCTTGAGCAGCGGGTTTGTAAGAGGATTCAAGACGCGTTCGCGCCCGAAATGCATCGTCACACAGCCCTTTTTCTGTGACTGCTCTGCAAAGGCGGCGCTAGCTCCTATATAAACGATTCGGAGACGTCGACTGCCGCGAAACTGTTGAAACTCGTCGAGAAGAGGCTGGATCTGGGCGGGTGAGCAGAGAGGGTCACCTGCAATGACGGCCACACCACTCTTGACCTTGTACACCAACGATCCATGGCCTTGCTGGCTGACAAAGAGTTTGTAGCTGGGATCGAGGATGCCCATGTGCGCGGTGCGGCTAAACTGATGATAGGAGCTGTCAAAGTCGTCGCTGCCGCAGGATGAGCTGCGGCTTTCGGACGTTTGGGTGCTCGAAGCGTAGCCATCGATGCTGCTACCGGTGGTACGCGTATCCATGGACGTGCGAGGGCCTGCTGTCTTGGGCTTGCAGCGAAAAGACAAGTTGGGCAGCCCAGAGACTCGCGGACCAGTATTGTTCGAGGCCGCGGCACAGACTGTGTCGATGAGTGCGCATGGACGAGTCGACATGCCCGAAATCGAGCTCGAGGCGGTACTGGCGCTCTCTGGGTATAGATAGTTTCTCAGCATCATGTCTGGATTATGAAAACAAGAGTTGAGTATTGGTGTATGAAGATGCGGGCAAATGGGAGGAACGTTTCTACTGAATGGACAAGGCGGAGGAAGGGGTGTGCCATATATGACAACCTGCCAGTCAAGAAATCAAGCCCTTTTTTTTCTTTTCCTTTTATTTATTAGGCTTGTGCCTTGGGCTTGTCTGACCGGTACAAAGACTCCTTGTGCTCCGCCTCTGCCTGCATGCCACCAGCGTGGGCGCAGCTGTGGCGGTAGGACGGCCGTCGCTACATACATGCTGGGCTCGATGCGGAAGGCAGATGAAGCCCTCGCACTCCTCGCTGCGGCCAGCCGGGGGCCCGAAACGAATTAGTTGATCGGCTAGGGAGGGTGGAGGCGGCGCTGTAATTTGTTCAGAGTAGGGCTGAGGCCACGCAGTCAGACTGTTTCGCTTCCCGGCTTGGCCGCTCGGGGGGGGGGGGGGGCGCTCCCGAGTCGACGAACCAGAGAACATGTACAAGTAATGCTCGTTTGGGCGGCGGCGATACATACAAGGGACCCGGGCTTATTCTATCCCCCGAAGAAAAAAGCTTGGCCTGCAGTGCATCCAAACTAACTAGCCATAGGAGGAAAACAGGTGATGAGATGGGGCGGCGCCGGCAAAAGTTTGCGTCGGTGACGTTGACGTCTTGTCATACGAAGACCAGTACGCCGACGCAGCAAATCACAGCGCCTTCAAGTCAGTGATGATGGTCATTCTAGCGCTGCATGGCTGCCCGGTCCGATCGTATTGCTTGCGTGGCGTAGCAGCCTTGTCATCGGCGAATCGCCCAGACTTTGGTAGCGACAGCCTTGTGTGTGTGTGTGTATTTTTTTTTATTCTACGATTGACGAAGGATTTTAGCTTTGGCGTGAACGGCTTCAACCCCAAACGAGTGTTGCGAGTCGTTCATGGCGCAGCTTCACAAGCGTCTACCCTATTGTAGCTCAGCCAGGTTCTGTCCGAGTCCAGGTCTTGTTCTAGTGGCCGTGCATCATCTCTCTGCGGATCTCTTGGTGTAGTAATAATGTCAGCGACAAGCTTGCGTCTGAAACTTGTTTTTTTGCATGTCTTTGAATGACAAAGTGGGAATTTTGCCAAAATGATGCAACCACCATCAGGGCATGGAGTAATAATCAAAAGTTCCTCCAGTCATCTTGTCTCAAGACTGAATTACGCGCAGCCACGATGCGACGCGCAAACGCCACAGCACAGCCGCTAAAACAATTTCCTTTAAATTTTCAACGCTGTTTCAAACCCCCCCTTCCCCGGTGTGAAGAAAAACGGGTTAGTGGTAACAGTTGCGTCGTTGAAATTTACCATGACAATGATGGCTGGGCCAATCCCTCTGCATAGGAGCAGAATATGCTAGACAAGACACATGCATACACACAGTAGAAAAAAAATCATGAATACCAGTCGTCTCAAGACTGACCACGTCGACCTGCAGCTAACGTTTAGTGAAATGCCTACAAGTTGGTGGGCTGACAGCCTGCAAGTTGGCGCGCGCAATCTGAGTAAATGCATACGTATGCCTTGGCCCACACACGCCAAATCCGAGCAAATCGCCGCCTACATTTTCGAGCCTGAACTGAGACAAGTGCGTTCTGCCTTGAGGAACGCCTCGGGAGATGCCCCCGATTTCGATTTACGCTCAGTCCTGACAACATTGCGAAAACGTTGATACACAGCAACTTGGACAAAGAACGCGAATCAGTTCTAATGATTTTTTTTTTTTTTTAGGGCAGCAGCAAAACATGGTGGCAGTGCCCGCCCAAAGTTTGATTACGAGCGGTGGGTCCAACTATAGGTAGTTGGTGAATGGAAAAGGCTTCTGGAAGGCGAGAACAGGGTTTCCTCGTGCGCCGAGGAGCCCTCGGACCCAAGCACCCCAAGCACCGGATCCCTAGGCGCCCGATGTCTGATGCAACCGTGACAGTCGGCGAGACACCAGACGGATCGGAAGATCATGTTTGCAAGATATTTACTGTATTTAACTATTTCTCGGGCGCTGTTTTCGACACGACTCTGAGTTTGTGCTTTTTCAAAACCAGAAATATCCCCCCCTCCCTCCCTTGGTCATTGCTCAGTGCCCCGTGAATAGGTGGTGCTTGACCGGGGGGGCCCCTGAGTGCTTTCTTTTAGGTGCCTCAAATGTGCTATATGCTTCAGCTAGGGCTGAGTCCCAGCTGACCTTGTGCTACCGTTGGCCCGTTTTTGATTCTGTTGAAGCGATTTGCACAACTACCATCTCGAGTTTTTTTTTTTTCCTTTGTTGTCAGTTTCTATCCATGAAGAAAACAGCTAAAGCGATCGGTCAGCCAAGCATGGCGCCCATCGCCGCTACTGCATGGTGGCTTCGAATCCCGTGCTGAGCCAAGAAAAGTGTGGTAGCGCCACGGTATGACGTATGGTGTTTTTTTGATCGTGTTGAGCCTCAAGTCGGGGACAGCCAAGGCTGATAATATCCAAGAGTCAGGTTGCAGGGCGTAATTATAATACGACACCTGTTGCCCACTGCCAGGGCAGTGTCAAGAGTCAAGACTCAACGGATAAGGGATATACAAATGATTGTTTTGATTCCACTTGGGCGTGTCCACCATTCCTGTCGGAGATGCAATCCCCAGGGGGCACACCGACGGTAGATGGTCACGGTCGCATCTTGACTACGCTTTCAACCAAGCAGTACTAACTAGTTATCCCAGTCTTGCAGAGAGCCTTGTGCCGAGTATATCCGCACAATTCTATAATCAAGAGTTGGAGTCAATTGAGCTGGTCCCGGTGAGCTTCCGTCCTATTACGGTCACCTCCGGTCCCTCGGCGACATCGGTCATAGTTGGGGTATGGGGAAAAAAGTGGCAGCATAACTGCATAATCAAATTTGGGGTTTCCCCTTGTTTGATAATGAAAAACTAGCCACTGACTCGCGGGGGCCCAGGCTGGCAGGAAAAAAAAAAACCACGCAACCTTTATCAGTACCCTCAATCCTCATCACGCGACGCCTAGTAAATGACCAATGCGAAATTTCTCCAGTGGGGTTCGTCGTGTGAGCGAGCCCGTTTGCTGGGATATAGCCTCCTCATAACTCCGCTATTTTGCCTGCAGGGTCGTCTGATTTGGGAAGGGGGAGAGGGCGTATGCTGTCGGGCCTGTTGGATTGCCAATAATTATTAACGGCGACTCTCTTGGGTGGTCAATTGGCGCAAAGAACCAACAGCTCGTTGACGTCGGTGGTTGTTCTCGTTCAACACGGGTTTTTGTACGGGATTATCGTGAGACAAAATCTGCACAAGTCAGTCGGTTCTCGGAACACGGAAACCCCCAAAAAACTAACCCCTGGCAAGCCACCACGTTAAAAATTTTCGACTTTTTCCCTCTCTGGGTTGTTGAGGCGGACGCCACGCGCGCCTTGCCAAGTACAGAATGCCGGTTCTAGACGCTAGCTGCCGTCAGGAGCACTCTGATAGGCGGTAACCAAGCAACTACCTAGTAACGTTGGAAGGGTCATTTGTTCGTGTTAGTTGAGGAGTTGTGTGTGGGTCATGACCGCGCCGCTTGGCCCTTGGGGATCCCAAAAAGTTTTCTATTTCATCTTTTTTTCTCCAGGTCGCATTTTCCCCGGACCAGGTTCCTCCTTGTCATCTGTCTCGTTCATTTCTTTTGTTTGCGGGGAAACAAAGTTGGTTATACGGTATAGAAAAGAGCCGCAGTCGCCCGCCTTGACGAGTCCCTCCTAAACAACCCCAACTTTGTCCATCTACCACATCTTCACCACATCTTTACCATCTTAACACATCCTTGCCACATTCACCACATCCTCTCACATCTACCTTTGCCGCGACAACTAGACTTTTTCCATAATACTGGGCAACTTTCTCTCAGCAAGCCTTCTTCTTCAAAAACCGTCCGCTTCGTTTGTGCTACGAATCCGGACCCGACAATCTCAACATGTCGGCGGCACAACCCCATGAGGCTCCGACGCCTTCGTCCATTGACGACTATGGCAGCAAGAGCAGCACGCCCACCAAGCAGGCTACTGGAAACCGGCAAGGCGCCCTCATGCCCATGTCGATGCAGCAGCAAGACGCCGAGCTCGGCTTTGAGCAGAGCGACGAGCTCGACAATGACCAGATGAAGCAGCTCGCCGCCTCTGGCAACGCCCACTTTCACCGTCTCGGCTGGAAGCGCCTCGCCGTCGTCACCATTGTCGAGGCCGTCGCCCTCGGCGCCCTCAGCCTGCCCAAGGCCTACGACACGCTCGGCATGTTTCCCGGCGTCTTCCTCACAATCACGCTCGGCCTCATCGCCATCTTCACCAGCTGGATCGTCGGCCAGGTCAAGCTAAAGTACCCCGAAGCCGCCAGCTACGCCGACGCTGGGCGTCTGCTGCTCGGTCGCTTCGGCTACGAGCTCTTTGGCGCGGCCATGGTCCTCGAGCTTGTCATGGTTGTCGGCTCCCACGCGCTGACGGGCAGCATCGCCCTGGGAGATCTCAACAATGGCCGCGTCTGCTCCGTTGCCTTTTCGGCCATTTCCGCCATCATCCTGCTGATACTTGCCATTCCTCCCTCCTTCACCGAGGTTGCCATCCTCGGCTACATTGACTTCGTGTCCATTATTGTCGCCATTGGCATCACCATTATTGCCACGGGTGTCCAGGCTACAAACAGCGACCACGGTCTCAAGGGAGTCGATTGGCGGACCATGCCCAAAGAGGGCCTCGGCTTCGCTGAAGGTTTCGTCGCCGTCAGCAACATCATCTTTGCCTTTAGCTTCGCCATTGGCCAATTCTCCTTCATGGACGAGATGCATACCCCGACCGACTACATGAAGTCCATCTGGGCGTCGGGCATCATCCAAATCGCCATTTATACGCTGACTGGTGCCTTGTGCTATGCCTTCATCGGAAGCAGTGTACTTGCGCCAGCTCTGCTCTCCGCCGGTCCCACCATCTCCAAGGTGGCATTTGGCGTTGCCTTGCCCGTCATTTTCATCTCTGGTTCCATCAACTCTACCGTGGCTCTGCGATATATCCACGGCCGCATCTGGAAAAAGTCCATTGTGCGATATGTCAATACACCCAGGGGCTGGTTCTGGTGGATCTCCCTCGTCACCGTCTTTACCATTATTGCTTGGATCATTGCTGAAGCTATCCCCATCTTCTCCGACTTGCTGTCGCTTGCCTCTGCTCTCTTCGTGTCGGGATTTTCCTTTTGGATTCCCGCCGTCATGTGGTTCTATCTCCTCTGCGAAGGGCCCTGGTACTCGCGCAAGAATATCCTCATCAGTCTTGGGAGCGTTGTCGCCTTCATCATTGGCATCATCACTCTCGGTGCTGGCACTTATGCTACAATTAAAGACATTGTAAGTGTTTTTTTTCTTCTTTTCTTGTTCACCATTTCTCCCCATTTTCACGGCTAATAATGGCATACAAATAGATTGACCAAACTACACACGGCGACACTCATCGCCCATTTACTTGCCGCCCGCTCCCCAACGTGGGCAATCCCGCCGCTGGCCACTAAAGAAATTGAGGAATTTGATGGAAACCATACGATACCCGTACAGTGTATTATAAAGTTAAACAGCCATTTTTCTAGTATGACTATTTTTTATTTTGCGATAGACTTTGATGCATCCTTGAATGCAAAATTCATCTTTTCATAACAAGCTGCCCTTCTGTGCGACGGTGGGTAAAGCCTGTATACAAGCTTTAGAAAAACATGACATAAAAATGCATTTAAAATGCATAATTCAAACAATAAAAATTCTTGCTATCATCTATCTGTCTAGTCATCGTCTTGCTCAATAATCATACTTATTATATAATATTACGCTCTTACGCCTCAGCGCTAGGAGAGGCATCCACGCCAGTGCTGCGACCCTCCTTGTGGTAAGCGCCGCTTTCCCACTTGGCAGAAGTGATTGGATTAACGTGCTGAATGTACATGAGGTCGACTTCCTCCAGAGTGCGGTCCTTGGACTCAATGACGAAGAAGAAGACAATGACGACCAAGGCAGCACAGCAGCCGGCAAAGACGAGGCCATAGAGGTAGTCAATCTTGTCAGTAATGAAGCGGGTGAAGAATGACAGCATAAAGTTCCAGAACCAATTCGCGGCAGTAGCCAGACCCATGCAGACACTGCGGTAGCGGAGAGGGTACAGCTCCGAGTTGACGGCCCAGACGACCGGGCCCCAGGAGACGGCAAAAGCGACAATGGAAAGACAAGAGAAGACGATCAAGACGCTACCGGTTGTCGAGTTATTCGAAGGGTCACCAAAGTGTCCGACGAATGCGTAGATCAAGAAGCACATGGACATCCAGCCCGCACCCATCATGAGGATAGGACGTCTTCCGTATCTGCTAACAATCCAGAGGGACACGATAGTGGCAACCACGTTCACAGATCCCAGGATAAGCTGGGTGACGTAACTGTTGCTAAGACCGGTAGATGCGAAGACGGTTGTTCCAAAATAGAAAAAATAGTTGACGCCGACGAGCTGCTGTCCAGCTCCTAGGGTAATACCCAGTATGGTTCGGTAGAACATTCGTGGTCCAGTAAAGATTTCGAAAAAGCTGAATTCCTTTGATAGTTCACTCTCCTCGTTGATTTTGTTCTGAAGGTCGTTGATCTGGTGTTCGACGGTGACTGAGTTTTCTGGCAGACCAGCGAGTTTGGCAATCGTCGTGCGAGCCTCTTGAGTGCGACCGCGGCCGTATGCGTATCGTGGGGACTCGGGGAAGAAGAGAATAAGTGTTCCAAGAACCAAGGCCCAGGCAAAAGAAAGGCCGTTGGGAATGCGCCACGATGCACTATTGGCCATCTTTTCGGTGCCAAAGTTGACAATCTCGGCGAGCCAGATACCAAAAGTAATGAGGAGCTGATATGAAGAAACAACCACGCCGCGGATGGGGGCAGGTGAGCATTCGGACTGGTACATGGGCACGACGACCGACAGAGAACCAATGCTCAGACCAGTGATGAGTCGGCCAATGGCGAACTGGACCCAGTGCGTGCTGGAAGAAATCTCAATGACGGTGCCGATGCAGGTGAAGAAGGCAGTAAGAGAAATGGCCATTCTGCGACCGAGCATGTCGGCCATCTTGCCGGCAATCAGGGCACCAATGAGGGCGCCAATGCTGACGAGACCGACAATCGTGCCCTGTCGCGCCGCGCTGAATTCGTAAAGACCGTTGGCGCCGAGCTGGCCAAATCGACGCGAGTAATCCTTCATGGGGAAGAAACCAGAGATTTCACCACTAAACAAAAGAGATAAAAGTTAGACACTGGAATCAAGAAGAAAATGTTGCGGACAGCGCATCACTGTACCTGACGTAGCCAAAGATGAGGCCGCCGAGACTGGCCGTGAAGCCGGCAGCCACGGCCAAGGCTGTGACCTTTTGCTCATCCGGGCTGACGCTCTGGTTCTGCGCCAGCTCAACCTGGGGTCGCTCATCCTCGGGGAGGTGAGCATTGCTGAGCTTGCGTTTGGTAAAGGCACCCATCGTAGTGTGTTGGGAGTTGTGCCCTATTGTTGTTTGTTGTTGTTGTGTCAATTGTAACTCTTGTAGGTAATGATGCCAAAACAAGGGAGAGAACAGAGAGCACGGCCCTCGGTGAGCAGAGCAACTCTAATCGTATAAATAGAAGAAGGAGGAAAAAAAAAAAAAACAAGCCTGAGCAACAGTCCACTATTTTCCGGCGCAATTATTGTCAAGTGCAGTTCATCCATACGGAGAGTCATGCTGCGTCGGGGCAGGTGTGGTCCACATTCCCAGAAGAGTTGTTGCTAGTTTCGGTACTTTGCAGCCAGGTAATCGGTAAGCCGTGCCGGAGCACCGCCGGACATATTCCCTTGGCAGCATTCGAGTTGGCGGTTGCAGTGGGCCGATCCCGAGAGGAAGCTTTTTTTTTTCTTCTCTTGTGGCGACCGAGTCACCCGCAAGCCGTCTCTGGCTTCTCAAAGTGCCGTTTCCTCCGAGCTCGTGTGTGTGTGTGTGCCCTGAAGCTGTTTTCTTCTGACGGGCAAAGAAAGAGCAAGACGCTCGTTTCAACTTGTTTGACTACTCCCTGTAATTATCAGCCTGTGCTTGTACGCATACCTGACTAGTCACTAGATGCACGCACAGCGGATCCAATCGAGGCACTATCGCGTTAGTTTGGGGGCTGGCGTACTTGTTGACATCATCCAGTTGAAAAGCCCAGTGCCTGTCACTCATTTCCCTTTTCCTCTTCCCCCGCCAATGCTTGTCACTGGAGCACCTTCTGCGAGTTGTCCTGCACAATGCGCTCAGGCGCGCGCTGCGAAGCAGGCAAATAGCCAGCCCCATGTACCCTGTTTTCCCCTTTGACGATGCAGCGCCAAACTCGTTGAGGCTTTTTTTAAGTGAGGAACCACACAATGCGCCAGGGCGATCCACTGTCTCGGGCCGATGAGCAGCAACAAGCCACTAAAGATTGGATGCTTACTGGGTGCTGTAAGGCTTTTCGAGCCCCTTGTTGCGCGTTTTGTCAAGACGTTTCGAAAAGAACGGCCGAGTCGGCAGCGCCGGTAGTGCCGAACGTCACGAGATGAGTTTGTATAATAAGCAACAAATCTAGAAGGAAGAAAAAAAAAAGGTTAAACATGGCTCTGAAAGGGACGTTGGTCGGCGCCATCTAAAGGTGTGATGTAGTCTCGATTGAGAGATGCTATATCCGTACTCGGTAATCCGTACACTGTCGTAATAAGTTAGTAAACATGCTGCCTGGTCCAATCATATTTTGCATGTATTTATCAGTCGTGATCCACATCTCTCAAGCAAGACGCTGCAAGAGTGAGAATAGGGGGTAACAAGACTAACAGTAGACTAATTACACAAAAAGTTTCCACGAGCCCCCTGGGGATTTTGCCTGACAATACCATGTGCTGTCTATAGCACTCCATGGGGCTCCGGAGTCTCTAAACTAATTAGACCGAGCTCACACGGCCCTATTTTGCGAAAACGGTGGGAACCAACGAGGATAACTCCGGCCCATAACGGCAGAGCCGCACTCAATAGGTAATTTATAACGTGAGCCAGGGCCCAGCAGTGCCCAGCAACCACTAAAATTAAGTCACGGGACATGTACGATCGGGGCGGCAACGAACTGACTAGTTACGCCACTGTAAAAGTGGGCGCTCTACTGGACTGTATTTCTGGCGCGCAAGACTACCTAGAGACTCGGCGAATTTGTTGCTACTACCTTAATAGTGCAAGTCATGTCATCTTTGGAATTGCTGGTGTCGATTTCACGTCATCCCACGGCAAAAAGCCCGCGATTTCCAAGCCACAACATTGCTGTCCTTTTCAGACCATAGAAGCAAAGTTTCGCTGAGTTGTACGGATGGAGAGCGCCCGTGCCATGCGACCGAGCGAAGCGATGCAGTCTGGCAGGTAAGCTAAACTCATGATGCTCTGCAAAATCCAAATAATAATAGTTCAAGGCAGATATTGATGTCGTGCTTCTCTGGCTATCGAAAACATGCAAGATGGTGGCCAATTATTAGTAACGAATCGCAAGACGCCGACTTGCTAGCCCCTTTCCCCCGCATAACCCCGCGTTATGTCTACAATGTCATCGCAGCAGCTCTCAGGTATCTATTACCTTGCGAAGCCTAACCGAGACATCTTTCTGCTTTGCCCATTATTCATCGAAAATTCGAAATGTCATCAGCTACCGATTTGCCATTTGCCCTCAAGGACGCATCTCTTCTCAAGGACCGGTCCTATGTGAATGCCAAATGGGTAGAGGCCAAGTCGGGCAAACGCTTCAACGTCATTGACCCAGGCTCTGACAGGACCTGGGCATCGTGCCCGGACAATGGGCCCGAGGACGTGGAAGCAGCAGTCGAGGCGGCGTACGCAGCATTTCAAACATATCGCAAAGTCACCCCCCGCAAACGCGCACAGCTGCTCATTGCCTGGCACAAGCTGATTGACGAGCACAAGGATGACCTGGCTACCATCATGACCTGGGAGAGCGGCAAGCCTCTTGCGGAAGCTCAAGCCGAGGTTGCCTACGCACAGGGCTTCACTTGGTGGTTTGCCGGGGAGGCTGAGCGCATCCAGGGCTCAGTCAGCGTCCCGGCGGCGCCGAACCGCCGGGTCATGATTGTGAAGCAGCCCATTGGCGTTGCTGTTGCGCTGGTGCCTTGGAACTTTCCCATGGCCATGATTCTCCGCAAAGCAGGCGCCGCGTTTGCCGCCGGCTGCACCATGATTGTCAAGCCTTCGCCAGAGACGCCGCTGACCTGCCTGGCCCTGGCCGAGCTTGCCAGCCGCGCCGGATACGGCCCCGGGGTGTTCAACGTCTTGACGACTTCGCTCGCCAATACTCCTCCCTTGTCCGAAGCGCTTTGCCTGCACCCGAATGTGCGCAAAGTCACCTTTACCGGCAGTACGCGCGTCGGCAAGATTGTGGCTGGCCTTTGCGCGCGCAACCTGAAGAAGTGCACCCTAGAGCTCGGTGGAAACTGCCCATTCATCGTATTCGATGATGCCAACTTGGACCAGGCCCTGGAACAGTTGATGGCTCTCAAGTGGCGGCATGCAGGCCAGGCATGCATCACCGCCAACCGTCTCTACGTGCAGTCCAGCATTTACGAAAAGTTTACAAAGATGCTGGTGGACAAGACAAAGGGCCTCGTGGTTGGCCATGGATCCAAGGACGGCACGACCATGGGCCCGGTGACTATTCCCAATGGCATCAAAAAGGCAGAAGCGCAGGTATCCGATGCGCTCAATCTCGGAGCGAGCCTCGTTCTTGGAAGTGGTAAAGGCAGCCTCAAGGACGGCACAGGCAATGGCAAAGGCGTGGGCGGCTACTTTATGGAGCCCACGATTCTCACGGGAATGACAAAGGACATGCTGATGACGCGCGAAGAGACGTTTGCGCCAGTCTGCGGACTCTATTCGTTTGATACGGAAGAAGAGGTTACACAGTGGGCCAATGACACAAGCATGGGTTTGGCAAGTTATGCCTTTACCAAAAACATGGATCGGGTGTTTCGCCTGTCCGAGAATCTCGAAGCTGGCATGATTGGTGTGGTAAGTGACAACTTGCAGAATTCAAGACTACGTTCAGCATCGCTAACGAAAAAGACAGAATACTGGCAACAGCTCTGCCGCAGAAAGCCCTTTTGGTGGAATCAAGGAATCTGGCTATGGAAAGGAGAGCGGTAAAGATGTCGCCGTCAACGAGTACCTTGTTGCAAAGACGGTGACCATTACACTCGAGGGTCATTTTTAAAGTAGAGTTCTGCGAGACTTTGCTCAATCTATACCTTTGTAACCGGGTGTTCCTGCCTCATGTAAGCAGTTTTTGAAAGATTCCAATATGAAGCTTTAGCCTCGAACGGATTAGTCTACGCCCTGTCGTCTTAGTGGCGCGCGCCCTTGAGCGACGACGCTGACGACAAACATGTTGGCAATAAATACAGCCAGCCAGCTGTCGAACAGGCTGAGAGAAAAAAAAAAGAAGAGAAGGGAATCGACATATGAAGAAGAAGACCCTTGATTCATTCCGTCAACATGGCGACATCTATTCCCGAGTCATTCAAAGCCATCGCAGATACTTGGGCACCTCACCTGGTCGCCAATGTGAACGGACAGCACATCAAGATTGCCAAGATTGACGGTTCATTCGTCTTTCACTCGCACCCCGACTCTGACGAACTCTTTTACGTCTTATCAGGCCGCCTCACCATCAAGTTTGAGGAGGGCTGTGAAGCCATCACCATGGAGGCTGGCGACATGTATGTTGTGCGCAAGGGCGTTCGCCACTGCCCAGTCGCAGATGATGCGCAAATTATGCTCATCGAGGCTGCCAATACGGTCAATACTGGCGATGCGCCAGTATCTGAGCGTACCAGGGATGTCAGCACGAGATGTTTAAGAATAGACTGATATTTCTGCGGGGAAAAAGCAAAGTTTTACTGTTGATTCGAGGCAGTTGAGTTGAAGAGGGGAGTCTGCATATCTTGTTGCGTTATATCCAAAGTCACAAACATTGTCATTCCTATATCTGCGTCACTCGCACGAACTACTGGTTCAATAGATGAGGTTTTTACAAAGCGTCCAGGCACGCCGTTTCTCCCAACCATGCTTCTTGCAATGTATTTTGTGACAAGGCTCCTCGACACATACCACCTCGTCAAGGCTGTTTCCACCGTCGTCAAGGCTGTTTCCACCGTCGTCAAGGCTGTTTCCACCAACCCAGGCGCGACGGCATGACAGAGCACGCAGCGCAACGACCAGACGTCGGTCTGAGGGCGTTGGTCCTGACAGCGCAAGTCGGGAAGACACCGTACACACTGCTTGCTGCCACAAAAAACGCGCGAATGGACTGCTGACTAGCAAACGTTGACAAAGTGAGCCGCTCCTCTGGGCAGAAATGGCCAGCCTGACCCATCTGGGAACGCGGCGGTGAGGTTGACGATCATGGTTCTCACTCATCCCAGCGGCTGTCCAGCGTCAAGGTCGTTCATATGAACCCTTGGGATATTGACACGGCATTGACCAGGATGGTTCCGGAAGGGCCTTGTGTGCCGACAAAGACGGCCGAATTCTTAAGATCGAGTCGGCACTTTCCACGTCATGGGTTCAAGCCGACGGTAATACGGTACAACTAGGACGTTTTTTTCCCCTGCTCGCGAAAAAAATGGTTGAATGGCGGCGTGGAGAGCCTCGGGGCGGCGCGCGAACGAGAACCACTTTTGCCCCCCCCTCACGGCCAAAGCTCAGGAAGTAATGGCCCGACCAATTGGAGCTGGCTGGCCCCTGTCACAACGGCGAGACGGCTGCTCAGCCCGAAAATCAGCTCGAGATATTGTGCACACTTGGTGGTGGTGTCGATGTGCAAGGTTCGCACTGAGGCATGCGCCGTTTTCATCTCAAGTATGCCATGTTGTGGCGGTGGTAGGGCTGATGTGAGTCGAGCGAAATCGGCGCTGGAGTACGGATACTAATGATTAGTGTGAGTAAGCCCATTGGCATTTTAATTGACAAGCCACTCGGAGCCTTGAATATCAGATATCAGTTATCCCAACAAACTTCTCGAACCATGGAGAGAGGTAGCCACACGCAGATCAGTGCGCGCTGAATAGGTTCACCGAACCCATTACTGAGGTTTGATATAAGCAACCTTGTAGATATCAACTGATCAGCAGGTCACTTTGAACATGGGAAGGTGGATAGCCGAATCCGAAATTCCCCCCAGTTACCCCCAGTAGGCGTCGACGCCACGCCGGATATAGTGGTCCTCTCTATTTAGCAAAACTGAGATGAGAGTCGTGGCTGAGAAATCTTGCAGCTGCAAATCTCGCAGCAACCCTTTGTAATGTAGTTACAAAAACTGCCACGGATTCAAATGCACGGGCAGCATGAAAGAAAGTGCAAAGTACCCAATCAGTCGAGGGAGACACGGCCGAAAGTAGGCCAAGCAAGGGCCGGCGGTTGCCGGCTCATGTCTCTCTCTCTCCCCTTTCTCTTCCCCCCCCATTTCTCCCCCGCAAAGCATGTTACCCTTTTCGAGCTGGGCAGGAATAAGCTGCAGCATCAAATGATCACGCTCCGCACGCCACGGGTACCCGGGTCTGTGGGGGAGACTACTACTTTGAACGTCAAATTCTCCCCGCTGGAATTACGCTCTCCTTTGCCATGGCTAGTTAGCAAAGTTGAGTCCTCGTATGGACATCATGGGGAAGAGGGGCAGGTATTACCTCGAAATATTGAGTCCTCTTTCAAAGAACACACATACATGGTTTGCGTTGCGACGGTGCCGGCCGACAGCCGATAGCCGTTGACACCCACCAAAACCCATCGACAAGGGCTTCGGTAAAGTCGTTTTCGGGCTACTTCATGTAAAGTGGTAAATATGCTTGCCAAGATATGTTACCTGAACTATTGCCAAGGGGAGTAGCACAAGCGGCGTTGGCCGAGGAGACAATTACTCGGCCTTCGTCTTGTGTCTATATAAACCCGCGACAAAAGTCTCGTCACTTATCATGGTGGTATTCATCTTCTCGACTCGGTAGCAAGACCTCTTGTTTTTACATCATCATCATCATCATCCTCTTCTTCTTCTTCTTCTTCTCAAAATCATGAAGCTGGCCTACTTTTCTTCTCTTCTCCCCCTTGCCCTGGCGGCTCCGGCCAGCGTTGTTGACCCGCGCGAACCCAAGGAGGACATCACGGACCGCTACCTGTTTTCCACGCCCCTCCCCACGTTCCTCGAGTATCGGGAAAAGGAGAACCCAGACTCGCTTGACTGGACCTCTGATGGCTGCACGCATGCCTCCAACAACCCCTTTGGCTTTCCCTTTGAGCCCGCCTGCCAGCGCCATGACTTTGGCTATCGCAACTACCAGGCTCAGACCCGATTTGAGTCTGACAGCCGGTATCGTATCGATCTAAACTTTTATAATGAGTAAGAAAATATAATCTCCCTTTCCTCTCCGAGAAGTGTTTTCCTCTCCGAGAAGTGTTTTGACAACAATGTTTTTGCGTGGGCGGGGCTAACGTTGATTCAGTATGATATTCCAGTGCACTGATGTTTCGGCCCTGCGCTCATGCCATGGCCTTGCCGACGTCTACTATGCTGGCGTGCGCATGTTTGGTGGTTTCGCTAAACGCGACGAGATGGGTGCCGTCGTGGCCTCTGCTACAGATCCCAAAGAGTCTGCAGAGGATCTCATTGCTGTATACTACACTGCTCTCCAGGAATACCACCAGGCTGTCAAGGCGGACCAAGCCGACGGCCTCCTGCCTCGGCTATAAGCCATATCTGGTTCAGCACGGATACGAGATTGTGGATCAAAGAGATATATGAATATACGAATATATATATATATAACTGTTTATACTGTACTATAGCTTCTACTGCCGTTCTTGTTCGTCTAAAATATCCAGAGTCAATTCGTTATACCGCGAAACCACCAGAGTTCTTCTGCCTTGGCTCCCCTCCCGCTTCAAAGGTTCCATTCGCTAGAAGCTTGAGAGCCTGTGCCGTACTCTGACCCGGGGCTACCCAAGTGACGTTGTGACCGAGCGACTTCATAAACGCCGTTGTCGAATTATCATATGCGTACTCAAACGTCACTTGATTTGGCTGGAGCTGGTCGTGGAGGCGCGGCTGCTTCAGCGACTCCGCGGCGCCCATGCCCTGATCGAGCATGTGCACGACGAGCTGAATCGTTGCAGTCGTGATGCGGCTGCCACCTGCAGATCCGCAAGCAAAATACAGCTTGCCCTCGGGTGTCTCGGCAATGACGGGAGAAATAGACGACAGGGGCCTCTTGCCCGGGCGGACATAGTTTTGGGGGCTCGGCCTGTACCCAAAAGCATTGCTGGAGCCCGGGATACTGAAATCATTCATTTCGTTATTCATCAGCACGCCAGTCTCGGGCACCAAGACGCGCGAGCCAAAGAGCGTGTTGATTGTCGTGGTCAAGGACACTGCCATGCCGCTGGCGTCGGCCGCTACAATGTGCGATGTGCCAGGTGTATCGAGAGACTCGATGCCTTGTGGGTTATAGTATGCAACCTCTTCCGTTTTGGTGTCGGAGATTCTTGCGCGAATCTCGGCGCCGGTACGCGAAGCCACCATGGCAGCCGTGTAGTTGGACAGTCCATCGATAAAGGACGGATCGCCCAGCTTTGTGCGCTGGCCATATGCAAAGCGAATCGCCTCGTCGAGACGGTGCGTAGAAATGTTGACCGTCTCTGGTTGGAAAAATTCGTCATAGCCACTCACGGTGTTCAGCGCGCTCAGTGCAACCGGGCCGCTGGACGGCGCATTTGTGCTCGTCAGCTTGTGCCCGCGATACATGATGTGAAGCGGTTGGCGATGCGCAATCGTGTAATCTTCGAGGTCTTTTAGCGTCATTGTCCCATTTTGAGCGCCAAGCGCCCTGATTGTTGCACGGGCAATCGCGCCAGTGTAAAAAGCATCCGCGCCCTCACTGGCAATCGTCTCGAGAGTGTCGGCATAGCGCTTGCGAGTGATTGTCTCTCCAAGCCCTAGTAGCTTGCCGTTGGGAGCGAAATCAACGGCCCAGTTTGGATCCTCGACGAGGAATTGATTTCTAGGAGTCTGTTTGATATAACTCACGAGATCTTGGTCAACTGGGAAGCCACATCTCGCAATCCTGATCGCTGGCGCCATGACTGTGGCCCAGTCCAGTACGCCATACTTTTTGTGCACGTATTCAAGACCTCGTAGCTCTCCCGGAATTCCGCTATTACAGTCAGTACCACGTTTTCACCTGACAGGCAAACTATGTACCTTGCCAAGCCGCCATACAGACTGGCATCTGTATTGTTCTTGTACATTTCCTGAAACGCTGCTGCTGGCGCCGTCTCTCGAAAATCGACGAATTCGTAATGGCCATTCTTGTCTCTCAGGAGCATAAAGCCACCGCCACCAATCCCGCTGTGGTACATGGCCACGGTGCCCACGCAGAATACGGTGCCGACGAGGGCGTCGACGGCGTTGCCGCCCTCTTTGATGAGCTGCGTGCCAATGCCGCTGCAAATGGCATTTTCAGACGAGACGGCGCCACGATTCGCGGCGTCGGGCTGTGGCGGTGGCGCTGGGCAAGAAGAACCCGGGGCCGCAAACGACACAGTCGATAGCCAGCCACAAATCAGGGCGGCATGAGTTGAAACGAACTTCATGGCAGACAGAGGTTGTGGTGGTGTAAGTTGCTGGGGGGGGGGGGGGGGGGGGACTGCAGCGAAAGAACGGTTGACCAGTGGGCGCCCAACAGAAAGAATGAAGAGGGGAAGATGGGCTGCCTCTTTTTTTTTAAGACATCTGACGGCCCTCAGCTTATCATTTATTATGCCCTAGTTAGCACGACTAGCTATTCTCAAAAAGCGAGCGCCCGCACTGGCCAGCACTTGATCGTGGTCATCATCGCTATCTACCTACCTTGCTACCCCGCCAACGCACGGCATAGCGCCGAGCTAGATTAAGCCTCTAACTCGTTACCAAGTAGTTTAGGCGAAAGATCCTGGTAGCTTAATGCGGGGGTTGCATCTGGGGAAGAATAATAGCAAGCGAGGTCCCGTTGATATTGTACGAATTAGTCGGCTGCAAAAGGTCCGGGGTCGGATCGTGAGGCACGCTATTCCTCTGAGGGAAATTGCTAGCATGAGCAGTTACTTGAATATCCAAGACATGATAGCCCTTGGTCTCATCAGCGCACAATTTGACATTGAGAGCACTGGCGAACATTAGCCAGCGGCAAACAACCCCATCAGTAAATTCCATTCTCCTGCGGCCGCCCATAGCGCATCGGCGCCTCCCGCACCTCCAGACTATAGCAATCGCAATACATGGCATTTTGTTTCTCCGACAGCTCGCGCATATCAAAAGCCCTGCCCTGCATCGATGCTGTGTGCATTTACGCTCAAAGAATGCCCCATCTGCGGATGCCCGCCGCCGAGTCTCGGCCGCCACGCCTAGACTTTTCCCCTCCTTTTCCTCCCCGAAACAGACGCAGCAGCACCACACATCTCATCCAAGTCGACGTCGATCAGCTCTCCATCCCCAGCGAATACAAAGCACCGCACCGCGCGCAGATTGTGCAGTAGAAAAAGTGCAGGTTCCCCGCGCCCGTGACGTAGTCGCCCAGCTCTGCGAATGGTTCGAAGGGGAGAGAGGAGTAGAAAGTCGTGGGTTGGCGACGCGGGCCGCACGTGCATGTAGCCCCAATCTTGTGGCAGAAGGAGTGCAGTTGCATCGGTAGTTAGATGTGCTGCACGCCGCGGGGGTGCCGGCATCTGTTTGCTCCGGATGTGCGGCTGGTTCAGGTGCAGAATGTATGGTGGATTGCGCCGCAGTGGCAGGACCCTGCCATGCCTGTGTAGAGGGTGCGCGTCTGTTCAAGTTGCGGCATTGTATGTCCAACAATGCGAGACAAGGTTTGAGATTGTTTTGAGCCTGGTGCGGTATTGTAGATAGTTATGCTATACATACGGCCAAGGGTTGGCACTGGTGTAGTATTAACCACGAGTGAGTGTATAGATGCGGGGTAATCGCGGCTGACTAGATGGAGGCAACTCACGGTCAACGAGGCATTTCGCCTGACAAAATTCTACTAGACTTTTTATATTCATATTATATATAACGCGGATTACTGGCGTCCGTCCATCGTGCTTGTTAGACAGGCGTAACTCGCCGTCCACCTGCGGCCTTGGTAGGCGGAGGAGAACCAGGTAGTAATTCGACTAGACTCAGAATCATGATAAAAAAAAAAAAAAAAAAAATAAGATGGCGACTGTTTCCGCCTTTTATTCTCTCATAATAAGAAGCCTGACTTTTAGCTAGTCCCAGTCTCGGCTATGGATGCAATAATGTCCCTTGTTGCATGGCGTGGCGGCATTATTGGCTCCAAAACTGCAGTTGTCCCCCAGCCCTTGATAACTATGATTTGATGCATGTGCAAACTCACAGCTCGTTCACAAGGTGGATATATTATTACGCGCAGCCCAGGTAGTCAAACGAGCCCATCTCCTTTGCTCACTCTTTCTGTATCTATTTTAAAAACCCCCCTTTCCCAGGCGCTCATACATTATAACATCATCACAAACAAGAAAAAGATGCCATTCTCCGACGCCACTGTCCAAAGCCTAAAGAAGATTCTGGGCAACGCCGTCAACTTGGAAAATGGCGGCGTCCCTGGCATCAGCGCCGTCGTCTTTGACAAGGCCGGCAACGAGCTTCTCGTCCACTCCGCCGGCACTGTCGGAGCGTCCTCCACCGAGCCTCTGACGCCCGAGCATGTCTTTTGGATAGCTTCGTGCACCAAGATTGTTACGGCCCTCAGCGTCATGCAGCTCGTCGAGCGCGGCAGCCTGTCGATCGACGACAGCGAGCAGCTCGAGACTCTCTGCCCGGAGCTCAAGGACGTGCAGGTCTTGCGCGACGACGGCACGCTGGAGCCGAAGCGGAAGAGCATCACAATGCGGATGCTCTTGACGCACACGTCGGGGTTCGGGTACTCGTTCTTTAGCGAGAAGCTGCGCAACTATCATTACCCCGCAGGCATTGATGAGTTTTCTGGCCGAGTCGAGGACGTCAAGATGCCTCTCCTCTTTCAGCCTGGAGAGGGCTGGCAATATGGGGCAAGTCATTACGAGGAGGCAGTATGTCAACGAAAAATCTAACAGTCACCCATAGGTTGGCGTCGACTGGGCAGGCATTGCCCTGGAACGTTTCACTGGCGTCTCCCTGGACGAGTACATCCAGACTCATATTTGCAAGCCACTGGGCCTAGGGAGCGTAAAGTTTGTCTTGACGCCGGAAATGAAGGCCAAAGTTGTGCACATGCATTATCGTGACCCTAGTGGCGTAGTTCACCCACGCGACCACCTGTACCGCCAAGCACTCGTGGTGGAAACCAAAGAAGAACAAGCCAAGCTCTTCAACAGCGGAGGTGCCGGCCTATTCGCCAAGCCGCAAGAGTACTGCCGTGCGTCCTCCCAACTCCCTCTTTCCCCCCTCATTCCATTCTAACTCGCAATTACTCCTGCTGACCCTTGTACGCAGGCATCCTCGCCGCGCTCCTCAACGACGGCACATGCCCCACCACCGGCGTCCAGCTCGTGTCAACAAGCACCGTAGCCGACATGTTTACGAACCAGATTCCGCAGTTTCCGCAGTTTGGCCAGCAGGGCATCGTGGCGTCCAAGCCCGAGCTCACCAACTCTCTGCCTGCCCTCTACCCGACCGCGGCCGACGACGACGCGACGCAGGGCTGGGGGCTCTCGCTCATGCTCAACGGCGGCGCTACGGGTCGCTCCCCGGCGACGGGGTGGTGGGCGGGCATTGCGAACCTCTTTTGGTGGGTTGATCGGGAGCGCGGCGTCGGCGGCATGGTGTGCGCGCAGGTGCTCCCGTTTGGCGACGCCAAGGTCATGGAGACGTGGTTCGCGCTGGAGACGGCAGTCTATGCGGCGCTGCAAGAGGCCAAGTAAATGATGAATGTATGGTATGGACTGATGTCAGACGCATAAAACTACTGTGATCGAGTAGATATATCATGTCGATGTGTGTTGAAAATAATTCTCGCTGACGAGTTTGGCCGTTGCCGGTGTTTCTATGACTATAATTTCTATCCACTCCAGTTATTCTATCGCTTTTTAGACTTACTTTATGCATCTATTATACGCGGGGCGGTTCAGAGGCAGATGCCGGTTCTGCCGTCCCTGTGCTTGAATTTGCCGAGGAACCCTCAAGATCATCAATGAAGGAAAAGCGTAATTCGCCAACCACTTCCCTTACCAACCTGCCGCTGGTCAGTGTCATATTCTTCGCACAAAACGTCTTCCTTTGATGGCACACATACTCAGTTAAGCGATTCACGTCGTGAATGAAATACCAATGGACATTGTGGATTAATGCCGCAATCGCAAACTCGTCGTCCTTTGAGGGCTTACTCCTCGGAAGTTGGAACAAGCTCGATACTTTGAGCTGGTGTAAGCCAGGAGGCAATGGATGGCCCTCGCCCAGTGCAGAGTGCAAAATGATGACTCTTGACGCGATTCCATGAGGAGTCACATCAATATGTGGTATCCCGGTTGCGCTTTCGGCCCAGCACGCCGCAATCACATCAGGAGACTTGGATTCCTTAGACAGGTAGCTCGTGAGCGCCATGTAGCTTCCCGAACGATCCAGAATGGAGAGAATTTCGCCATATGCTTTCTTTGGGAACCGACCGCCAAGCGAGAATTCCCAGTTGAGAAACTCGAATGATCTCTTCGCACTGGTACTCAACCCTCGATACTTGAGAAACAGCCGACGAAGTGCGGACTGTAGTCGCGAACTCGGACTCGACGCATCATCGGCATCACCAAGATCGCGGTGAAGACGTGCAAAGACAGTTTGCTGGATGCACATGTAATAGCGTGACAGCTCGTACAAAACTTGGGCTGTGCTATCTCGCAGCTCAGCATGTTCGGAAATGGGGTAAGGGAAAATTGTCCAGATGTAGCCGGTAATGACGCCGAGTGCAACAATGGCTAATCGATAAGGAAAGATTACGTAGGGAGGATAGACAGCCTGGCCAGACTGCTCCACGACCTTTTCACCAATTTGCTGCGTTTGCAGCTCAATACCAATCATGACAATTGCTGCAATGAGAGCCACAAACCAAATGCTGAAAAGGGCAGGAAATCGCACGACTAGAGCAGATGCGTAAGCTACGTTTTTTTTTTCTTTTTTTTTTCTGAAATGTGGAAATAGGCACTTACTGAGAAAGCTGATTACCATGAACCATAGCCACATAAAGACCAAAACGCCTGGTGTGCGTTGGTCAACAATGTACCAGATTATGTAGCTCGCCACCATGGACGCCATGGTTCCAAGCAGGCGCCCCATGAGAAGAAAAGTCGAGGACCCCGACGTGCGGCCCATGGACAGCAAAATGGCAAAGAGTGCCCACAACAGGCGCTGGGCAAAGTAGAAATCTTGCGAGTTGCGGAGAAACCCAACAATAGCAATCGTCATGACGGCGCAAACACCACGTAGCCCATACGCAGCATGGTCAGTACGCAGCACAGAGTTGATTCTTCGAACGTAATCGCCCGCGGCCTCCATAGCATTGGTGGGCGGCAGGTGATCCGGATTCCGCGGCTTGTGAAACACGGGATCCAGCTCAACCTTGGTGCCACCATCCCGTGGTCGGGTATCCTTGGGAAGAAATTTCGTCAAAGTGAAAAATCCGGCCCAATAACGCAAAGAGAAAAAGTTGGGAGCCACCAGTCGCTTCGGGCGTGCGTTGCACTCGTCGAGATAGATGAGGAGGCGGAGAAGATTGCGCCCCAGAGCAGCCAGGATAGTTTGTGACTATTTCCATCAGTGTCTGCAACCCGTTTTTTAAAAAGTATAGTCAACATACATGCAGGAGCGCGAAATACCGTAGTGTGTCTGCATGTCTGTTGGTAGGCACGCGTCCCATCTTTCCAATCTGTGGACGATGCTGCACATAGCGATGAAGAACTTGCTGACGACTCAAGTTTTTGTCGCCATCCTCTTTGAACATGTCACGATAGTATTCGATAAATTCTGATCCGCCAGGACTGGTTGCGCTGTTTCTCTCTTCGTCAGCCGACTTTTCGTTTGCTGTGCCCATCCAACTGCGTTTTTGGCCTCGTTGAAGTCGCAACTTGGCATGCTCTGCGCCAGTCGAGATCATCTCCGTCATCTTGCGCAGCTGTTCTTGCATTTCCAGTTCTGTACCTGGCCAGTCATCTTGAGGCTGTCCCATCTGGTCATCAGGATCCTCGCGGCCAACACTTGTCTGTTCTGGGTGGCCAATGACGCCGAACACATCCGTTTCCCGCTGCATCATGTCTGCCACCAAGCTCAGCCCCGAAACAGGCGGCACGAGCTGTACCAACAGCGCACACACAGTGTCAAGCTCTGATTGATGATATGCGCCCCACGAAATCTCTCGCGCCGCGTGCTCAACATGGCCGTTCGCCTTGGTGACCTCGTTGCCGAGATGATCAAGAGCGCGCTCCAGCTGCTCAACTGACTCGCTGCCGGTGGCTTCCGAGGAAGAACAAGGTACCGTGCCTGCCACAACATCTTCGATGCATGCATCATGCGCCTGCATGATTGCGCACAACGCATCGAGGCACGAAATGGCGTCTCTCTTGAAGAGACCCCTGCACGTCTGCGGGAAAATCAGCAGAGCATTGACGAGTCCTACGGCCTGGCCGGTGAGAAACACCACAAACGCATTTGTTGCCGATTCGATAATGGCATGCATCGTGGGCAACCGCGCAATGGCGGGAATAACGGCAATGGCCAGGATGGCGGCAACAGACACCTGAATGTTCCAGGAAGGGAATGCCGACTTAACCGTAAACGCAACCCACATACCAAATGCCAGCAGAACGGCTACGACAGCCTCGGCCGACGAGTTATACGCCGTCAGGTCCTCGGACGCACCCGTGGTGTGCTTTCGCGCCTGCAGGCCGCACCAGCCGGCGAGCAGCGCCCAGCAGTACGCGACGGCGTACATGGTTGTCTGCTTGGCGTTGAACTCGATCATCATGCCCTGCGGGAAGCCGGCCATGACGCTGGCGGCGGCAATAGGCGCGAGGTAGGCGTTCTGGCCAAAATAGGCGATCCACGCGTCGGACTGGATGGCGCAGACGAGGACGGCGGGTGGAATAGACGTCTTTACGGTCAGCTTCGCCGTGTGCCAGTCGAGCTTCAGCCATGATGGCAGCGCTTTCAGCCGTTGCTTCATCATTCCTGTTCACCGAATATGATGCGCGACGCTTGGAGGGAGAGGCATGTCAGGCGGTGCCCAGTCTGGTGGGTAGTCGGCCTGTTGAACGACCTGCTGAACTGCAATAAAAATGAGACAAAGTACTTGTGATTTTATGCTGACCAGCATGAATTGGTGCTGAATAAGTTGCAAATTAAAGTATTCGAGGGCGTTGGACATGAGTAACCATGCACAAATGATTTACAGCGGTTCGTGTCCGGTGAGGCCGGCTCGCCGCCAATCTCCGAAAGACCCGCTGTAAATCCGCCCAAGGCAGCGCTGTAATGGACCGGCTGGAGCCGTCGATAACTTGCCGTAATGCCGCGAATACAGCGCCTCTTTCAGTGGGATTGGGCCTGCAACTGTAATAGCGGGGTGCCGACGTACACCTCGACAAAACTGCAGTTATGACTCAACTCGTGCCTCTTCTATCTACTGTCGTCTGCACACTGAATATTGGCAATGTAAGAGCGTTGAAGCTGTCAGATATGCCGTACGTGATCTCGCTCATATCTGTCGTCATAAGCAAAACATGCCCTTTTTGAAATCAAGAGAGGTGATGTATTCATAATCCATTTCTGCCTGATTCCTAATCTCCTTGCGCCTAACGACTGACAAGGAAACATTGTCCTGTAATATCAAAATATTTCCCTCTGATAGTAACACAAGTATTTTTTAAGAATGATTTGTCCTGTTTTGAGACTCTGATGCCGTGAACTGTCGGCCACAGGCGAGAGAGCATAGCTTGCTCGCTCTCATGATTTCAACGCCCCCTCGTCCCCTGTTGACTTGGAAAAAAGAAGAAAAAAAAGACAAAAGCAAATCGTTCGCAGCGGAAAAAGTCTCTGTCGGTCCGTGCCTCGCAATAAACCCAATGTTTCGCCATCATCTTGTCGGTGCTTTTTTGTGCGTGAAATGAGAATGAAGCCGCAGCACAGCGTTAAGCGACAAGATGCGATTATATACTGTTTTTTTTTGTTGTTTTTTGTTTGGTATCCTTTCAAGTAGTCGATATGCTGGTAGCTCGATTACGCCGGAGTGGCCTCAGCAGTGGCGCCAATAGGCATCTTCATCTCAGTACCGCTCAGATTGGTGGTCTGGATCTTGGGGTTCTTGCTGTAGTAGTCAGAGATGGCAGACTTGATGGCATCCTCGGCGAGCATAGAGCAGTGGACTATAGATCAGTTAGCCTCATTTTCCAACAAAAGAGTTGCAAGGTTTGGCAAAATCGACTTACGCTTGACAGGAGGTAGGCACAGCTCCTTGGCAATCTCAGTGTTCTTGACCTTGCCAGCATCATCAAGGCTCATACCACGCACGAGCTCCGTGAGGTAGCTGCTCGAGGCAATGGCGGAGCCGCAGCCAAACGTCTTGAACTTGACGTCTGAGATGGTGTTGGTCTCGGGGTCCACGCGAATCTGCAGTTTCATCACGTCGCCACATGCCGGGGCGCCGACCAGGCCGGTGCCGACATCTACGTCCTTCTTGTCCATGGAGCCGACATTACGCGGGCGCGAATAGTGGTCGAGCACCTTTTCGTGGTAAGAGCGCTTGGCCGAGACGGAAAAGACAGCAGGAGCAGCAACGGCAGGGCGGACGAGGGCGCCCGAGATTGTGCCTCGGGCAACGGAGGAGCTGGCGGCGGCGAGGGCGCGCCCCGAGGCGAAACGAGCAGTCCTGGACAGCATGGTTGCTGGCGAAGATGTGTGTTTGTGAAGTAGAGAAAGAGACAATCGGGGGTGTTCAAAAGAAATGAACGTAATATCTCGCGCTGGTGTTGGAGAGCGGCGAGAAGCGAAAGACGACCGGAATATGCTGGGTCGAGGTTTCAGCTGGTTGCGCAGCTCAAGGGGTTGAACAAATTAGCGCACGTCGATCCGAGTATGCGCTGTCTGTGGTGTATTGTGGTTTCTTTGATGATATTCGACGTTGCGGGAAGCGAAGACAATGGATTCGATGGTGATGACGGAGGAGAGAATGAGATATCTCAGGCTTGGTGGCGGACCAACTTTGTGCCAGCATGCCGACGCCTAGTAAATCTTGTCGCCTCTCCGCCCAGCATGCCAGCGCAAATCAAAGCCAAAAAAAAAATCCCACATACAGTGCCCCTATCCGGCCAATCAACGCCCTCTTGTTCTCGGCCATTACGCAAAAGTGGGTCTCGGTTTTCCGAGCTGATTGGGTCACACTGCTAAGTCATCAAGCCGTGCCCCGCAATTCACCGGCTATGTCGTCAACCATACGTCCGTCCTTGGGCAGCGTCTGCGGAGCTATGAGAAACGGGCTCCGAGGTGGCCTTTCTTTCTTTTTGCCCAGCCGTGCCAGCCTATCCAATTTACGTTCCCACTGTTGCCCAGAACTTTTTTGCTTCCCCGGCCGCCTAGCTCGGTCTCCCGAAATCGCTGAGCTGGCTCTGATTTCAAATACTCCCCCTGCCCACACCATTCTCCGGCTTGTCGGAGCGCCACCGCTTGATCCTCTTCCCCAGCCAAACAGAATCAATCTGATAAGATTTTAAGCGGGGCTTTACGTCCGATCACGTGCCGACGCGTTCGGGATTTCTGCTTGCTCCGAGGTCAAGCCCGCGTAAGTAAACCAGTTTACCGTTGAAGCCGGGTGCCGGGCTGCAAGCACGAGCCAGCAGTGAGCACCATAATTAATTGCTGGCATCAGCGCCCGCAATATTACTCTCATTTATCCACATCCTGACAGCCTGCAAGCATCTTCTATCATCGCTCTTCGAACCACTGTGCCTTTTAATGCACTCTTGCCGTCGGCCAATAGCTCATATGACGGTCTATACCCTACTAGTTCGCCCGTTCTAAATCCCCTCCAGGTAGCGGTTTTGTAACAGTCGCTAGCTTCCTAAAAATTCACTGTAGCTTCATCAGGGTGAAGTTGGTAGCTCTAGTTTAAACCCCACTTATGAGATTAGGACGAGTAATCTCCATCGTGAGCTTCTGATGGTTGAACTTGAACTAGGTCTATCCTAGACTAGAATAGATCATTTAGTCTTTTATTTGTATAAGAGTAGTGTTTTTTTTTTTTTGGGCACATAAAAGGAACGTTATTCAGTACTTCTTCAAGCAGATCTGTTGGGTTCGCTGCACGAATGGCGATAAAGGCAGTAATAGCTGATAGGAAAAACGTTGCGTACAATTTCGACTTCATCTACAGGATCAATGACCCTTCATTTGAACGATTTCCACTAATTCAATTCTTCCAAATCATCAGTATGCCCAAGTGCGGATTTTGCTCCCTGACCGCCCACTCCTCATCGCTCAGTCGCCATTTCGCTCTCCAGTTCTCATCGTCGAGCAGAGTCTCGCGCCGCCACTCAATCTTGCCCTTCAAGCCCGCCGCGCGCGCCGCATGTTGATACACGGAAGAACGTAGATGGTACGTCATGAAGTTTATGCTCGGATCGTCAAGGTGCACGCGCAGCCCCCATCCGTCACCACTTTCCAGCTCGCCCGTATACTCGTTGCGCGGGTAAAGCCGATTCAGCGGAGCCGTTGCGAATGCTTTTGCCCGGGTCTCGAGGTCCTCCGTGGGATGCGGAACGACGCCAATGAACACGCCGGTTGGCTTCAGGTTGATTGCCACGCTAGTAAACATAGCAGTCAGCTCGGCCGCTGTCGCGCTATAATTCAGGAACCATGCACCAAACGCAATGTCGTATGCCTCCAACTCGCCGCCGGCGCTGAATGAGCGCGGAACTGTTCCATCAGAGACAACGAAACGCGCTAGGTTGTCATATGGAGTTGACTCGAGTCGCAGTCGAGCGAGTTCAATCATGCGTTTGGATATGTCCATCCCAGTCACAGAGCCTGCGCCCCATGACAGCAGCTTGTCCGTGTAAAAGCCCGCGCCACATGCAAATTCGATGATGTGGAGGTCATGGCGGAGAATGGGCTTGAAAGCAGCGCGAACGTTGGCGACTTCCATCTCTCGGTAGCCAAGAGCGTCGAAGACCTCGTTGTACTCCTTGCTTATAGAGTCGTATTGTGTCATTTCAAAGATGAATTCGCCTTTCTTTATTTGATGTAGAATCAGAAAGGTAGTGAGGGGTAGGGAAAGACTTTGAAGAAACCACACTATATGTGCCCGCACCCACTGTGCCGTGGGTGCTGTGCATGCTCACCATCGCTTCAACACGACCACCATATATACCGTTCGGCTGTGCGACGCTATGTCTATCATTCGGTGGTGCGACGCCACGTCAAACCGTCAGCGGTGCGACGCTACCTCGACCCTTCAGCGGCGCGAGGTCACGATGGCTTCGCTCCTTTGGGCTCGCTTGCGAGCAGTGGCGAAAGTTGGCTGTGAGGCTGTAGTAGCTGCGTAACCCTATAGCACCTAATAGCGGGCGATGTGTTGCCATTCTTTTCCTAGCCAGTCTCGCGAAAGCCGGACTGCGCTTCTCGGCCACATCTCTACTCTTTCAAAACGGTTAGGACTTATATCTACCGTGGACCCAACAGGCCCTATATAAGAGCGCCTATTATTCACTCATGAGCTAAAGGATTTTTCCTCACCAAATCACATTAGTGTTAAATAAAGCATCTTCATATTTTATCTATCACTCAGTCTATCGTGGGCCTACCTCTCAAGGCTTCGAACCACTTACATCACTGATCAATGTAATCATAGACGCCAGTCTTGAGCCTCCACATACAAGACTAATTCGATAACGACTTTCTGGGACACTCTGGAATCTGAGTTTAACAATTCGTGAGCCTCTCGAGTTGTATCGTATCGTGTAAGAGCTTCAAAATGGCACAATACGACGCCATTGCTACGAAGTACGATATCATCAAAACCACCGCATTCAATGCCGTGGAGCGCCACTCCTTCCGCACTTGCGTTACACCCTTCCTGAAACCTGCTTGTACAAAAAATGTGCTTGACCTAGCCTGCGGCACGGGATTTTACTCACTCTTTTTGCTTGAATGGGGTGCTCGATCGTTGACGGGCGTGGATGTGTCCCAGGCTATGATCGACGGTGCGGCGGCGCGGCTGCAGGGATCGGAGCATGTCACACGCGTGAAATATGTACAAGGCGACGCGCTAGCTCCGAAGTTGTTCCCTGTTGGTAATGGAGAGGGAGAGGGGAATTTCGATGTGGTAACTGGAGCTTGGCTTCTCAACTATGCTGGTAACGCGGACCAACTGCAAGCTATGTTTGACACCATCGCCTTGAACCTCAAACCCAGCGGTGTCTTCGTTGGCATTTGCATGTATCCGACCAATGACGTCTTATCCTTTGCTAACGGCGTTAACGCCAGCGCATGGCCCAGCTCAGATGTTCGCTTTGCCTACGACACGAAGCCACTTGCTTCTGGTCAGGGGCATATTTTCGATGTCGTCGTCACGCCGGGGGCCGATGACAAGCCGGGCATGGAAGGTGTACGTTTCTCGTCGTTTCATTTACGGAAGGCACTATACGAGAAAACGGCACGGGCAGCCGGACTAAAGGGGAAAATGGAGTGGAGAGACGGTGTGTTTCCAGAGGGATGGAGGGAGAGAATTGGGTTGGGAACAGATGAAAAACGATGGCGTACATTGAAGGACTTTCCGCTTATCTGTACCTTGGTAATATATAAAGCGTAAAATTGCAAGATCTTGCCAGGCGAGAAGCAGATCAACTTCGCTCGAGACAGTCGTCTAGATTGCCTTTCTTTCGGACTTTGCCATTGATATGCTGGCAAATGTGATACGATACAGGTGTAAGGTCATGTTCGAGGTGGCGTACGCCTCTCGTCACCTCGGGATAGTTTCGAGAGAGGAAAGAAGTCAGGACGAGTTCAAGGAGTGGGGAGAAGAATCTGTTAATAGCACCCAATGCTTAGATTAGCAAAACTTCAAGTGAAGACGCACAGTTGAAAGCGCCGTCGTTTTCCCCTTCTCGCGGCGCATACCACTACCGTCTGCGCCTCTCCAGCAATGAAGCCCGAGTAGAAGGCTGTTCTAGTGATACAACAGTCAGTCAAGCACATCTTGAAATTGACGAGACAACAACCACAATACTTCGTTGTTTCAATCGCTGATCTCGTTTGAAAGTAGGAAATGACAGGCAGGTCTTCTCTGCCTGATACCCCTGGTGTGATGAGGAGCAATGCTGTCCCGTAAAGATGCTGACGTAGGGCCCGCAACGATGCCAGTAGCTGCTGAAAGGCTCATATGAAGCCATAGCTTCGGGCAATGGTTCACGAGTACCTACCTACATGGGTAAGGGCTGTTTTCTGACATGGCTATCCGTATCTTATGGCATGACTAGTAAGTAGGTAGGTATGATTAAAGAAGTAGTGCTAAATACGTGAACGACCCTTTTTTTGCGACGTAGACGATCCTAGTACTTCTAGGTTAGTGGAGTGGCCTGCAAAAGATAAGTACCCTCGGGTGGGACCATAGGTACTCTAAGTACCTAGGTAGGTAGGTACCTAAGGTATTATTATTATTATTCATTTACCCTATAGGTAGGTAGATAGCACCGTAGGTAAGGAAGGTAAGCCATGTAAGGTAGTTTGGGTAGGTAGGTAGTACCTAGCGACGCGCCACCATCACCCCAGGCACCAGCTCCCCGCCTCCGTCATAGCGGGGCTACACCTACAGCTAGCAAACTAACTGCGTAAAAGTGAACGTCCAAACAACATTGCGAGCTGACAAGGGCCAATCTCATCGTCGTCTACCAGGATTTTGCTTTCTTCAAAAAGTCAACACAACCATCTCTGAATTCGAGCTTCTGGTCGCCTTGAACACATAACCATGGCCTGCCCTCATTTGGAGGCAGCCAGTATGCCGCCTCACCCTTCACGCTGTCCTCGTTGCTAATTTGGTCGTTCAGATCTTAGCCCTCCGAACCCATCCCAGTCGGTATATCGCGAAGACTGCACGCAGTGCTTTGACTCTCTTGTAGGCCGAGTCTGATTTTGTGTCTTGGCTTACAGCTAATCTGGCCAGGACGATGTCGACGGCCTTGACGTGTGTCTCCAGTGCTTCAACGGCGGTTGCGCGGGTGATCGCGCACATAACCGCCTCCACAGCGTCCTTCGTTCCCATCCTCTTACTCTCAACATTCGCCGGACCCGAAAGAAAGTCGTGCGCGATGAGCCACCCATGAAAATGTCGAAACTGGCCATCGCCGCCGAGACGGACGAAGACCGATTCGACATGACTCTCAAGGCGCGATGCCTCGAGTGCAATATCGATCTCGACGCGGCGAATTCCAAATTGGCCCCTGTTATCTCCGGCGTACTCAAGGCGAACACATTCTCTCGCAGCGAAGAGGTGAAGGCTTGGGAACAAGAGCTTACCAGCTGCGAGCATATTCTTTTGATGCAACAAGCCGAATCTCGAAAAATTGAGCAAGGAGCTCTTGGTCACTGCTATGCTTGTGATCTTAGGGAAAATCTCTGGCTCTGCTTGGAATGCGGCAATCTTGGCTGCGGCAGGAAGCAGCTGGGTGGTGTCGACGGCAACTCTCACGCGCTGGCACATTCCGATGAATCCTCCCATGGCGTCGCTGTCAAATTGGGCTCAATTACTCCCGAGGGAACTGCTGATATCTACTGTTACAAATGTGACGATGAGCGCCTCGACCAAGATCTTGGCCAGCACCTTGCGCACTGGGGCATCATACTGGCCGACAGAGAAAAGACAGAAAAGAGCTTAACTGAGATGCAGATAGAACAAAATCTGCGCTGGGATTTCAGTATGACCACCGAGGATGGCAAGGAACTCAAGCCACTATTTGGGCCTGGTCTCACCGGCCTGAAGAATCTCGGCAACAGCTGCTATATGGCCAGCATTATGCAGTGTCTCATGGATATGCCCGCTTTACGCGATCGCTACTACCGCCCAAATGACGACCTCCCCATTGTCGATGATCCAGCCGGTGATCTCGAAACTCAGTTGCGAAAATTTGCCGACGGTCTCTGGTCGGGTCGTTACTCTAAGCCTGATCCTGCGCTGACAAACGAGAACGGCGTCGCACACCAAAAGGGTCTTGTACCAGCCATGCTCAAACATTTGATTGGACGAGGTCATGAAGAATTTTCGACTATGCGTCAACAAGATGCCTTTGAGTTCCTTCAGCATATCTTCAAACTCATCACGAGATCCAAGCACGATGGTGGTCGTGTAGACCCCACAAAGTCGTTCCGGTTCATCTTGGAACAAAGACTGCAGTGTCTGTCGTGCAACAAGGTCAAGTATAGCATCAATGAGCAGGACAGTATCTTCATCGACGTCCCTCTCGAGAAGCTACCAGCTGTGGAGGGAGAGGACGCTCAGCCTACTGCGTATAAGCCCGCAACCCTGGTGGAGTGCCTTGATACTTTTACGGGTGCCGAAAAGGTCGAACTGACTTGTGCCGCCTGTGGAAGTAAGGATGGCTTTACGAAGCAGTCTCTTTTCAAGACGTTTCCTGAAACACTTGTTGTCAATGCCAGGAAGATGACAGTTATCAACTGGGTTCCGGTCAAGGTCGACGTCCCTGTCATCGTACCCGACGAACCTTTCCTTCTCGATAACTACTTGAGCAAAGGACAACAGCCTGGTGAAGAAATCTTGCCAGACGAGCCCGAGACACAAGCTCCTTCATTTGTGCCGGATGAGGCTGCCCTCGCACAGCTTGAAGCCATGGGTTTTCCTCGCAACCGTTGCGAAAAGGCACTTCACGCCACAGGCAATTCTGACGCCAACTCTGCTATGGAATGGCTATTTGGTCATATGGAAGATCCAGACATTGATGCGCCTCTCGTTATCGAGGAGCAGTCCAGTGGCGGTGGGTCAACAGCTGACCCCGAGAAGATTGAGATGTTGGGTGCTATGGGGTTCGCTGCCCCTCAAGCCAAGAAAGCTCTCAAAGAAACGGGAGGGGATATGGAGCGCGCTGTTGAGTGGTTGTTCAGCCACCCCGATGATCAAGGTGAATATGACGAAGGTACGAGTGCAGAACTCGCTACCTCTCAGGACCCTCCAGGAACAGCAACTTTGCCCGCACGCTTCCAGCTTCAGTCCATTGCCTGTCACAAGGGCACTAGTATTCATGCCGGGTCAGTTTCAATCTATTGTCACGAGATACTCGCTGTGTTGCTAACCTGACTATAGTCATTACGTCGCATTCCTCCGCAAACCCAATCCCGAGGATAGCAGCGGTTCTACTTGGGTTTTGTTCAACGACGAAAAGGTGGTTGAGGCATACGATGTAGAGGAAATGCGCAAGTTTGCATACGTATACTTTTTTTCAAGGTGCTAGACGGTGCTTGAGACGCTTGAAAGAAATGGGGAATAAACAAAAATCAGATTCATATAGGCGGAGTTGATGAGGAATGAGGAGTTGCATTACGAGGCGCGTTTGAGCTGGTGCTCCGGAGTAGATGAAAATAGACTGATGAAATACAGCGCATACATTTGCCTTCTCAACTCCCTATTCGCACCTAGAAGTCTCTCAATTCATCATTCGTCGATATGTCCTTTATTAGCTGTCAAAGATAGCGGAAACCCAACGCCGAACCCATGTAACCCAAAAGCTTCGTGATGAAACTCGCGCCGGCTAGCTATCCTAGTCGCCCAACCGATAGCTGACCAGCGTGTCCACGCGGTGATTTGCCGTGCTGAATCCACGCAGCTGCACGCGCTCGCCATTCTCAATCTCCTTGGCATCCGAGTCCCCCCACTCGACAGGCACGTCGCTGTCGGCGTCGGCATACACGAGCACGTTGAAGGTGCAGTCGCCGGTCAGCTGCGGCAAGAAGGTGACGGACGCGGTGATTTGGCGGAAAATGGCGGCGATTTCGGCTTGGATCTCCTGTTCCGTCTTTTCAGGCTCGGGCGCGGGGGCAGCGGCAGCACCCGCGGCGTTCTCTTGATCGGTGGCGGCTGCGGCTGCGGCAGACTTGGATCGCTTGGGTGCGGCGGTAATGTCCACGCTGAACTGCCAGCGTTCAACGTGCTCTCCGGTATCCTTGTCTGTGATGACGATGACGAGACGCGAAATCTTGCCGCCCACCATCCACTTGTCGAGCTGGGACATGATTTTCTTGATATAAGCTTTTACTTGGTCGTCCGACGAGACTGTGAGTTGTTAGCAGAACGCGGAGCGAAGCGGAGTATGTAGCTCAGCGCACCCAACATATTGAGACCATATTTCTTGACACTATCCCTGGGTTAGCCTGCTGCTTATCCCTAGAACGACCGAGTTGTCTCTTACGCAGTAAAGTCTTCTGCTGGGTATACGCCTCGCTGGAACCTATTGCTCGTCAGCCCGGCTCGCACATTCTATCGTTGATTTCGCTCGTACAGAATCGTATGAATAGAATATTGGAACTGATAGCGGGGTTAGCAAAGGACTGTGAAGATCAGATGCGCCGTGCAATGCTCACGAATTCGGCGACGAGCCTGGCGCTGCCTTTGAGCGACAGCTTGTGCACCTTGCTCTTGTCTTTGGTTGGTTTTTCAGACACCATTATGTCGAATACTGGGGCGCGAAACCCAGATCAAGGTGCTCAGGACCTGGTTGTGAGTTTGGCACTAGGCGCGAGTAACTGGGATCCGGGAGCCTCTGCAACAACGTCTTGTGCAATTGTTGAGAGGTTGTTTACTTTCAGGGCAGATGGCAGTAGCTTATGTGGATGTCCAGCGGGGTTGAGCGGCGGCGGGGGGGAACGAAGAACAACCGTATCTGTACAAATTAAGACTCACATTAAAACACCTTTCGGCATAGTACAAATATTGATACAACTCTTACTTTAGGACTTCGCATATGACTTCTTATAACCTTTATTTCAACTATTGCGGGAAGAGCGCAAAATTTGCCCATAATCTTGTTGGACAAATACATTGCCTCTAGGGTGGTGACACTGCGGCTCTCTACTTCTGTGGCTGTACCTGTGGCTCAACGGCGCGCGGCGCCCCTCCTTTATCGATAAGAGCGAGTTTTCCCATTCTGGACAGCCATTGGCCGACCGCCAGATTTTCTCTGGCAGAAAAAGTAGATTTCGGCTTGTACATATAAGGCGGCTGGGACAGAATTGACGAAATTTTGCAGCAGGTCAGCTTGACTTTCTCCCGAACTTGTTCCTTACGCTCTACAACCCAATTCTTATTATAAATTGCATCCTTATTATTCTACGGACATGGCCGCCACCAAACACTCCATCGCCGACAGCGAGGAGGCAAGCCGCCCAGTAAAAAAGTCCAAGACCGTCCACAATGAAGGAGTTTCCGAGATGGTGCGCTTAAGGCAGGAGAGGAAAGAAAAGAAGGAACAGAAGAGGGAAAAGAAGAAGGCTCGTAAGGAAGCGAAGAAGAAGCTCAATGTGGCCAAACACGCCAAGAAACAGGCTCAAGAGGACTCCGAGCCTGTCGTTGACGAGAAAGAGGAGGAAGAGAAGGAGACGTCCGAGCCCAAGAAGGAAAAGAAGGAGAAGAAGGAGACGTCCGAGCCCAAGAAGGAAAAGAAGGAGAAGAAGGAGACGGCCGAGCCCAAGAAGGAAAAGAAGGAGAAGAAGAACAAGGCCGCGAGCGCACCGGCCCCGTCTAGTGCCAATGGCTACGAACAGACTGCTGCCCTAAACGGCGTGGCGCAAGCCGATATTGACGCTTTCCTCGAGACCGAGCAAATCACCATTACCGACCCCAAGTCGAGCGAAGCCACGCTGCGGCCCATTCTCGACTTCGCCCACCTCCCGCCGACCGACCTCTTGACTAAGAAGGGCTCGCCCTTTGCCAACTACAAGGCCCCTACACCCATCCAGGCTGCCTCTTGGCCCTTTACCCTCTCCGGGCGCGACGTTGTCGGCGTCGCAGAGACGGGCTCCGGAAAGACAATGGCCTTTGCGCTGCCTTGCGTGAAGGCCGTCGCCGCCATTGGCAAGCGCGGTACCAAGGCAGTCATTGTCTCGCCGACCCGCGAGCTCGCCATGCAGACGCACGAGCAGCTGGCTGCGCTCGCCACGCTCGCCGGTCTGAGCTGCGTGTGCCTCTACGGCGGCTCGTCCAAGGACGAGCAGCGCGCGCTGATTAACCGCGGCGCGGACATCATCGTCGCCACGCCCGGCCGTCTCAAAGACTTCATGTCGGACGATACCGTCGACCTGAGCGGCTGCCAGTTTGCAGTTCTCGACGAGGCGGACCGCATGCTCGACAAGGGATTCGAGGACGACATCAAGCAGATCCTCGGCAGCTGCCCGCCGCGCGAGAACCGCCAGACGCTCATGTTCACCGCGACCTGGCCGTTTTCCGTGCAGACGCTGGCCTCTACATTCATGGTCGAGCCCGTTAAAATCACGATTGGCTGCGGCGGCAAGGAGACGGAGAACGGCGCCGTCGAGCTGCAGGCCAACACACGCATTACGCAGCGCGTCGAGGTCCTGGACGGCAAGGACAAGGAGTTTCGTCTGCTGCAGGTGCTGAAGCAGGCGCAGCAGGGCAGCAAAAAGAATGACCGCATCTTGGTGTTTTGCCTGTACAAGAAGGAAGCTACACGCGTGGAAAACTTTCTCAGCCGCAAGGGGATCCGCGTCGGCGGCATTCACGGCGATTTGCGCCAGGAACAGCGTACCAAGGCGCTCGAGTCTTTCAAGCTGGGTCACACGCCTGTCCTGGTGGCGACTGATGTCGCTGCCCGTGGGTTGGATATCCCCGAGGTCAAGCTTGTCGTCAATGTTACTGTATGTGCAGCACGCTCACGCTCTCGAATACTAAACTCTCATCACTAACTGCTCAGTTTCCCCTGACAATCGAGGACTACGTCCACAGAATCGGCCGTACTGGCCGCGCTGGCAAGACTGGTGATGCCATTACGTTCTTCACGGCGCAAGACAAGGCCCACTCTGGCTCGTACGTGCTTTCTATTCTCACTGTAATTAGACCATAACTAACGGCTACAGGCTCGTCAATATCCTCAAAGGTGCCAATCAGCCCGTACCGGACGAACTGCTCAAATTCGGCACGACTGTCAAGAAGAAGACGCACGACATGTATGGGTCTTTCTTCAAGGACGTTGACATGAATCAGAAGGCGACCAAGATTACGTTCGACTAGGCGAGAGGTTCAGCGATGTTGTTGCCATACTTGTTTATTCTCATTTGGAGTTGTTGGGTTCCTGACTTGAATTTTATACATTATTTCTTTATGTTTTTCTTGGAGCCCTTGGCGACGTTTTTCAAAATTTCATCGGATTTTTCCTTGGGGTTGTCCTGAACACTCTCCTTTGGGTTCTCCGCCTCGCCTTCCTCTGGAGGCTCACCGAGAGAGTCTACGCATTCGACGAGGAAATCTTTCTCTATGAACAGTCTGTTGATTGTTGTGTCAGCTTATTCTATAGCATATAAAAAGTTTGGGTTTGGGATTATTCAGGGCAATGGAAAATACTCACATCAGCATCAGTAGCACCACGCCAGAGCTACCGATGATAATGGCGGCCGTGATGGGTTTCTCGTAGCTTTCCTTTTCAATGCCGGTTTGAAAGAGGCCGGCAAACGTAGAGACGGAGGCGGCAATGGCCTCGTCCGGGATAAGCTTACGCACGGAGAAGTTCTCGTTGTAGCGAGCAAAATACCTCTTGATAAACAGGAGACTCCATATGATGCGGCAAAACATGTTGACAATGTTGGCATAGACGAGACCTTGGGCCCCAAGACCCAGAAATCCCATAAATATGTACGCCGAGCCAGCAAACATGGCAGAGAAGAAGCCCATCCAGACCGACTGCCGATGGACCTCAGCCTCAGTGGCGACGCTGGCGACAAACGACTCGGTCAAGCCATTGATGGCCAAAAAAGGTACGTAGAGGCAATAAATGGCGAGGACATCGCCTGCGCCGGAGCCGTCCCAGCGGCTACCGATGATGATGCGCAGTAATGGAGGGGCCGCAAAGGGTCCAATGCCAACGATCAAGCCAGAGAGGAGTAGATATAGGCGCAGCAGTGTGTAAAGGCTCTTGCTAGCCTCGCGAACAGCCGACGGCGTCTTTTCGGGCTTTACGAGCAGTTTGGAATAGTAGCTGCGGGTCGACTCTTCAATCGGCTGGAAGAGGAGACGAGCAAGCAAACCGCCGTAGTTGTTTGCGAGGGCATACGAGCCCTGGACTACCGGTGAGGCGAGGAGGGAGATGAGGAACGTGTCGCCCTGCGTGAGAACATGCTTGACGACGCTCTGCGTCATCATACTGCCGGCGAGGCGAATAGTGGGTTTGTAGAAGCGGGAGAGGATGAAGGCGCCGGGGGTGGCGTTTGCGATGCGCCGCGGCAGCAGCGAGTAGCCGACGATGGTGCCGATGCGCCAGCCCGAGGAGACGTAGACGAGGACGAGGGCCGTCCCGTAGGCGAGCTGGCCGAGGGCCCAGGGCATGACACCAACCTCCATGCCGCGGTTGGCGGCATTGACGGCGGTGGTGAAGACGACGAAGCAGCGTATGCACGTGGCGATGGACTCGGCGGCGGCGCGCGTGCTCAGCCGCCCGACCGACTGTAGCAGCACAAAGCATGGCTCCGAAAGCAGCTCCACCATGGCCGCCAGCCCGTACACCTGCAGCGACAGCGTCATATACGGCGTTTCCAGAGTCGCCGGGTTGGCGTATGCAAGGTACATCCAGCCGAGGGCGAGGCTGGTGACGGTGCCCAGCGCAATGGACAGATAGCCGAGATTGATGAGGGCCTGGCTTTCGATTGGGTCCATTAACGTCTTTTTCGGTTCCGTATTTTTCTTATCCTTTTCCTTGTCGTTCCCATCCTTGTTGGTCTTGGTCTTTTCGGCCACAGCCGTCGCATCATCTCCCGTTGGTGCCTTTATGCCGTCGCTGATGCTGCCCTGGCGCTGGATGGCCACGCGCAGGCTCTCGCGCGCAAAAAAGAGCACGGAGAGATAGTACACCTCGAGCTGCGTCGAGAGGCCGAGTAGCGGCGCTGTGAGGTAGCGCACGAGTAGCTGGTTGGCGACAAAGGTGATGAGGCGCGAGATGAGCTGCAGGATGATGAGGATGGACGCGCCCTGGATCATGCTCGTAGGGGAGCCGGTCGCCTCGACCGCTGTGTCATTTGACGATTTGGCCTGCTTGGGTGTGGCGCCTCCCTTCCGTCCCTTTGATGCCATGGTGAAAGCTGTTGTCTTGAGACTCGCAGACAAACAGATTTGGGGGCCGTACCGCAGTAGCAAGTGCGCGGAAGGTAGATATGTGGTGGGGAGATCAAAGGAGACGAGTTTTGGCCAGATTGGGCTTGGGCGGGGCGTTTGATTGGACGTTTGTCGTATTGTAGCGCCGACGCAGAACGTGTTGCGTATGTAAAGTTGTCTATCTCATGGGGAACGGCTTTTGCAGAAGAGGAAGAAGGGCTTTTTGAAGCAAACTTTTCTTTCTTTCGCTTTTTACAGTTTGATCAAAAGGTGGCGGTGGCTGTTGCGACTGGCTGCAGAGGGAAGCCGCCAGGCTGCATGGCAGGCACATGTTAATGATACCTTCAACTTGCCATATCTTGGTCATAGATCTATATATTCTGTCTGTGCCGATCACCATTTCCGCACATGATTGATTACTATGACAAGATTCATTCACTGCCTTCTTTGTTTATATATGTCTCCCCGCTGGACCTCCTCAATTCCTAAAATGATATTCATTCTTCGAGATGTGCTATGAAAACCTTTACTATGAGTGAAATCTAACATGATTGAAGTTATCAGATTGGCAAGCGGGAAGATTTCGCGCCGCCCATCCCGAGAATTGTCTTGGGGTGTTGTTGACTGTGCTAAACTTCACTAAAAATCTCTCTATAGTTTAGACGAAAAGTAGGAAAGCTCTGTAATGTGTAATAATGATGTCTTACTTTCAGCCAGGACCCATGGCGCAACGGTAGCGCGTCAGATTCCAGTCCCCTGGAGATTCCTGAAGGTTAGGCGTTCGAATCGCCTTGGGTTCAATTCCCGCTCCTGGTTTATTTTTGCTTTTTGGATTCCTTGCAAACAGTCTGTCGTATTTCTCAGGCACATGAATTTTTTGCCCCGTGTGGTTCGTCTCTACGTTCTCGACGAATTTTCAGCATCCTCATTTAATCCACAAAAGCCTGCTTGCGACAATGCAAAGACGTCAGAGTTGTCTAGACCCTGATGAATGGCCGTTGTGGGGGCATAGCGGGTTAATACCTGACAAAAGCCTGGGACAAAAATCTGGCGAAGCGCAGCAGAGGTTAGAAATGCTGCACCGGCCACCTCGACCCTCCCCAGGACACAGCTCGCATCTTGTTAGGGGCTTAACAGTATCCATTGCGATGATTCTCCCCTTTATGAATGGCCTTGAACAAACCAAGAGCAACTATGAACGGAGTTCAGCCGCAGCCCACTTCCAGGTATCTCAAGACTTACGACTTACCTGGCCCTGCCCTGTCCTTTGATGGGCGAGACGCTGCCAATAGCTGTAATATGACTAGTGCTTAACCGGCGCCTCCTGACAATGGCCAACTCGGCAAGTCATCACAGCAGAGATGACAGCAACAGAAATAATACAGTATCCGTAATAATCGTTGATACTGTCCCAACCGGGTCGCTCGAGGGTCTCGCCACGACCATGTCGAAACATGCATGTGAGCGCGCGCTTGGAGGAGGCAGTCCAGCGCCGGGTGGTGGTGTTGGTGCTCATTGACTCTTCGAAGAATGTAGCGTTGCCGCACTAATGTGTGATTGCATGGTCGCTGTGTGACCTGTAAATGTATTACAAGGAAGCCGCTTTTCGTCGAGAGCATTTGATATGGACTTGTCTACGCAAAGACCGGGTTGGCGACCAAGGCACAATCACGCGTCTACCCACCGCATGCTTGTTCCCTCCCCAAAGAAGTGAAAAAAACTCCGACCTTTGCAAGAGGAGGTACGACGCCAACATCACTATCATGATTGTGGCACGTTTGACGCCCGGTGTGTTCGACTTGCGAGCCCCGACATGCTTAATTTGAAACGTGACGGCGTCGTCACCTCGCAAATTTTGTCTTTTGCGTACTCCTTGACGAAAAGCTGGCAGACTGATAGATGATCTTTGAAAGGCGAGTCTGGCAAGAGTGCACGAAGGTCTTCATGTTCGATTACTATTCATAACACCTACATTTAGCTCTGCTTGCTTCCAAGCTAGGGCTGACCTTTCGAGATATGTGACTGTAGAGTGACATGTGAGAATCAACGATCTCTTAGCAACAGGTGAATATCGCCATGTCGGTCACAAGTGCCCTTTTAAGCATCGTTGGAAAATGACGTTTGCCAAATCTTGATTCATATATATTTCGTCATGTCAAAAGACAAAGAGACGGCCTACTGCGGCCGCGGGTATCGCGTGCTAAAACGACCATGTGCATCCAAACCGAATTCCAACATGCAAAAGCAGCTATTGTATGTAGTGATAAAACTCCGTGAATGTATGCAAAATAATGAATAGTAGCCCCAAGCCTCCTTCTATACAGGTTGTTGTAGGGCCCGCATGCAGTGGCACATACGTTGTAGTTGCTACTTTCTAGCTTAGGCCTTCAAGGCCTTCATGCAGTGCATCGTGGTCGATGATATGTGCACTGACTTGCGCTGGCGCACCTCTTCGTTTTTGGGATGCCCAGTATTCTTGAAATCCTGGAATAGATCCAGGCTGGTTGATGCCAGGCGATCTATCCAGATCCCTGTCCTTTTCCTTCTTTTGTGGCGTAACGGGTGTCTCCGAGGTATCTTCGGTGGTAGCAGGGCCAGGACTCGATGTGCCGGCTTCTCCAGTGCCACTGCCGCCCCAGAGCCACCTAGCTGGCCAACCGCGGAGCTTTCTCTGGCTACTTGTCGTCGGCGGAGAGACGAAACGTGGGGGCTTGAGCCCAGCAAAGTTATCGCGGAGAGCGACATCACTACGCTTGTTGGAAGAGCGTGCGAGGGTGGGCTGGGCCACCACGCCAGTGACGACAGCGTCTGCGCCACCCAAAGGACGAAGAGTCATTTGGCTCGGGCGGGCTTGCAGCGTGTGGATGTCAAGGCCTCCTGACAGTGACATTATGGACTCATGCGAAGCGGTTCTGCGCAAAGTGCGTCGAGGGGACGCAATACTGCTCGGGCACGTATCAACGTCATCTGAGTAGATCATGTCTGATGACGGGTCGCCATAGCCATGATCAGACCTCGACTCATCTCCCTCGGGTATCGACAGCCGGGGCATTGGAGGTAAATCCGGTTCCGAGTCTAAGCAGGCGAGCGACTGAAAACTATGCGACGACGCTACCGAATGCTGCTTGACATGCGAGGCTAGCCAAGGCGGAGATAATGGGTCCACACTCGTAACAGGCGACGCCATGGCGGTGGGAGGAGTGGAATCAAACACGGATTTGTGGTTAGCCAGTGGCGAGCTGGGCACAGAAGATGAATAGTCCGTCTCTGATTGCAGCTGCGATAGAGCAGACCACACCGGTGGTGGCTTCGAGGTAGTCGGGGTCACTTCTTCTGGGCTGGCGTGAGACAGTAGAGCTGGAGCTGTTGGCGAAGAAGGCAGACGCCCGCCCCATTCAGATGTGGCTTGAGGTGGCGTGCCTGGTGCTGAAATCGAAGTAGGGGGGGTACATATTCCGATAGGAAGTAGACCTGTTCTGGGCCTTTTCAGCTTCTTGGAAGGCTTTGGTGTGGGCGCAGCGTGATAGTGATGGTGGATGTGCACTTCCTGAGAGAGAGCCTGGCCAATGTGATGCGGCCGGTCGTCTAACTTGCCCTCAAGTTCGGCCTTGAGAGTGGAGGCAGGGCTTGCAAACTGCTCGTCTTCGACGGGCTGCTGGTACACTAGCTGCTCTCGCAAAGCTTGAATTTCGTCGTTGGAACCCTCGAGAAGCTCTCTAAGCTCGGCGATTCCGAGTTGAAGATTGGCATTGTCCTGGAGAAGATCTCGGACGAAATGGCCAACAATCTTGTTGTTTTTGCCATCGCCCTGTAAGGAGCGAGTGGCGGCGGCGCCTTTAAGGCGACCGGCGGCGGCGTCGAGCTGTTTCTCGACATCACGCTGTCGCTCCATGCGCTTCACAGTCTCAGCATGGCGTTCGCGTTCCTGTGAGGCCTCTGCTTCCAAACGGTCGAGCTGATCTTGCATATCGATCATGCCGCGCTGGGCCTCTTTGAAACGCAAGGCGTGGGAGCGGGCATCATCCTTAGTAGAGCGAAGTTCCTCGTGCAGCCGATCCTGTTCCTGCTCGAGCAGGGCGAGGTGGCGCTCGGCATCGGCAGCTCGCGCTGCTGCAGTTTCGAGACGGCGCACGGTCGAGGTCGAGGACAGCAAATTAGTCTCGAGCAGTCTGATCTTAGAGTCGGCGTCGGAAACAGTCGTGTTGAGGGTCTCAAGCTGATCTAAAAGGGCACGATTTTCCTCGATTTTGGCAGCGTTGACTGCTTCGAGCAGACGGTTGTCCATTTCGAGGCGGGCGATGCGTGCAGTAAGTTCGAGACGATCTCGCTCGGCGTCGGCTTTGTACGCCTCGTGACGGGCGAGCAGAGCCTGTGTGCGTTACGATTAGTGGCGATTTTTCACTCCATTGTGCGGCCGAAATGCGCGACAATGGGAATCGTATATAAATGGATGGCTATCGAGTTGGACAAAGATGGTGCAGAAAAATAGGAGAGAAGAGAGACATGGAAAAGCAAAAACAAGATTGGGTGAAACAGTTGAAGACCATGTCGGGTGGCATGCAATGATCAGCCAGCCACGGCGCGAGGTCGGAAGTCGGAGAGGGAACAAGAGCCGGTTTGGTAGTGAAGCACAAAAACAACGGGGTATGTTTATTGGAAGCGCGCGCGCAGAAGCTGACTAGCAGAGGAATGGGTGCAGAAGACCAAGGATGCAACGCCAAGGAGAGCTAGCGCCGAGGAGAAGAGGGCGCGAAAGAGGGTTGCTTGAGGCCGCGCATTGGGTGGTCTTTGTCGGGCTGGAACGTGAATTATGGCGACATGAATGTGGAGGGGGAGCGAGCCGAGGCGCTGAAGCCAGGCCAGCGAGCCACAGTGGACGCGTGCCACGCGATAGGCAACAGAAAGGGAAAAGGAAAAGAAAAAGAAAAAAGAAAAAACCGTATTGGTTGTCGTACCTGACCGAGCTGAGCAGCTGTATGCGCATCTTTTTCGACAGCTTCGATAATATTTGTATTCCTTCGTAGGGCGAGACATTGGGCGCGACCACAGCAGCACTGTAGCGTGGCTGAAGGTGTCGCGGAACGACGACCGTCGGGTGCAGGAGTCAATCTGCGCGACGGCGGCGCCATATCGAGCCGTTGAGGGCAGTCGCAAACGATGGTTGGTGTCTTTGTACTCTAGGGCGGTGGCGAGAAAAAATGAAGGCGTCGTGATCGGTTATTCGGAACGAGTCATGGGTGAGAGCAGCGGCGTGACGTAGCGGACCTGGACTGTCGAGAACCACGGGACGACCATGGTACTGATAATGGACGGCGTAGTGGAAAGTGGATAGGTATGGGACGATATTTAAAAGTCGGCGACGTATAGAGGATAAGGATATTGGCAAGGGAGGGCGAGGGAATGCGGTTGATAATGTTGGTGTTTGTAGGCGGTGATGGTGGTACAGCGAAGGGATCGTTGAAGCTAGGGCGGGTGTAGGTTTGAGTGCCTGCGTCGGGGAGAAAGTAAGAAATCAGAAGAAAGAAGAGAATCCTTTCGAGAGAGCGAGAGAGTTTTCGAAAGACAGGAAGCAAAAGAAGGAGAGGCGAGAAAGCAGACGGCGTCAAACATGTTATGTTTCAGCGGCTAAAGAGAGGTTGGGCACAACGAGGTGCCTCGACACCTCGCGAACTTGGACTAACCGAACATGGGTCAAGTGCCAGTCGGGGTACTCGAGTGTACATACTCGGACCTCCAGATACGCCAGTAAACGGTTGTAATTGTCAAGTAAATGCTGCATTTGGCCCTGCAGGGTCTGGTGGGGAGGCGCGCGTGGTGGGGTATCCCGGATTTAGCGGGCATCTGAGGACTTTTCAGCGGTCTGAGGCGCTGTAACCCTGCTGTGGCTTCGCTAAATCCCGCTGCCAGTCGCTGGAGGCTGAGGCTGCCAATAAATGAGGTCGACGGTCGCGTGGGGTGCTACTGGGTTAGGTGGCTTGAGCGTAGGTGAGGCTAATCTGAAGAATAAAAATCTAGCTAGTCAAATTTAATAAATAGGAGGTGGTGACTGTAATCAGATTTTACCAATTTTTTCTTTCACCGCGTCCAGGTATCAGTATGACTGTATGACACAGTTGAAGATGGAGCTGCTGAGCGTGCTTCCTTGCAGGGAACTATTGTGGCTGTTGCAGCGACAGCTCAGCCGTTTGCAGGGACGAACCGCCTGCCACCGGGCTACTGCAAGTACCCGTATTCTGTCGCCATCTGTATGCCCGATCACCATCCATTCACCATCCATCTATCGTCTTGCATCTACACCGTACTTGATCATGCGTTCGTGCCCAATGCCTATACCAACCTCCTCTTGTCGCCCATCCAACCAGGGCAGTAAACCTTGTTTGCCCATTCGTTTTCCTCTTGGCTATCCAACCCGTGGCAGGGTTTCGATCACAAGCCGATACCTGATACCTATTTCCTCCCATCCACTCTGCGGTCCAGTCCACACCACGGGCATCCCGGCGAGGCTTGGCTGCCGCGACAGGGAAGAACTGGGAAGATGAATTCGCACAGCAGCACAGACCAAGTCGCGTATGTGAACATATCAGCCTCGTGAAACAATCCGAGCTGCTGAGACAGGCGTATGAATCAAACTTGGAGACTGTGACTTGATCCTGGCATGCCCAAGCGAGTCGAGTCCTTGTTGTCAATAGCCTGTCATCGGCCACGACAGTTACCCCAGCAGGCGTTCACCACGTTGAAATCGTGCATCGAATCAGCTACCACGAACACTCACATGCACACCATCTTGAATTACCATCTTTCTCTTTATCTTGATTAGTGTAGGCCACTGCACGCAGCTCATGTCGTCATCGTTCAGCACGTTTCACCCACTGAATCCACTGTAAATAGCACCTCTGAAGCTCCCCAGATTTTGGCTCAAGGCAGCTCCAGCGCTGTCCAATCAACTCGCCCACATTGTCATCCCCTCTCTGATGGCATCATGACTTGACACTCCCCTCTGGCACGACCACCAATGATACTCTCGGTTTTCTACTGATGCTCACTAGCTACGCCCGATGCAGAGAACACTGGTGTAGTACTGCCTGCAGTCGGTAGTCTTCCGTTATGGCCGCGACTGTATATTAGACCCCTCACCTGTAGCACACCACATGCTCTATTCATTACTGTCACCTCAATCAATAACATATGCACCGCCAATTGTTCCCTCGTGAGCGTCTAATTCGCGTCGCAATCTCTCACCCAATATTCGCCCCAGCTTCTTCAACCATTGCTGTCCCGCTCCGCCATCTAGACTCACATCGACGTCACTTTGCTCACTCCCCGACCATGGCCGCCCAAGAGTACAAGCTTAAGGGCCTTACCTCGCTCTCCATCTCGCCCGGCTCCAAGCAAGAGGTCGAGGTCGAGGGAATCGAAGATGGCAAGGTACTTCTTGTCAATGCCGGTGGCCACATCCAAGCTCTTGGCTCAAGATGCACCCATTATGGTGCTCCCTTGGTCAAGGGTGTACTGACCGGCTCAGGCCGATTGACCTGCCCATGGCACGGAGGTGAGTGCTGGAGAGGATATGTACTCCAGACAGTCAAAAGCTGACCGAACAGCCTGCTTCAATACCCGGACCGGGGATATTGAGAGCGCCCCCGCACTCGACGCCCTGCCCGCGTTCAAGCTCGCCGAACGCGACGGCGCCGTCTACGTCACCGGCGACGAAGCCACCATCAAAAACTCCCGCCGCCGACCCAACTTCAGCTGCAACGTTGGCGCCACGGCCAAACACGAGGGCCACATCGTCATCGTCGGCGGCGGCTCCGGCGCCATGGGCGCCGTCGAGGGCCTCCGCGAAAAGGGCTTCGACGCTCCTATCACCATCATCTCCAACGAGGGCTACCTGCCCATTGACCGTCCCAAGCTGAGCAAGGCCCTCATCGCCGACGCCGCCAAGCTCGCCTGGCGCGGCAAGAGCTGGTTCGACGCCGGTTCCGTCAGCTGGGTAGACGGCGAGGTGGACAACGTCGACTTTTCCGCCCGCACCGTCCGCACCAAGAGCGGCAGCTCTCACTCCTACACCAAGCTCATCCTCGCCACCGGCGGCACCCCGCGCCTACTCCCCCTGCAGGGCTTCAAAGTTCTCGGCAACATCTTTACGCTGCGCAGCGTGCACGATACGAAAAAGATCAACGCGGCCATTGGGGAGAGCAAGGGCAAAAAGATTGTCGTTGTCGGCTCCTCGTTTATCGGCATGGAGGTGGCCGGCGCCACCAGCAAGGACAACACCGTCACCGTAGTTGGCATGGAAAAGGTGCCCCTGGACCGCATCCTCGGCGAAAAAGTTGGCGCCGCCATCCAAAAGACGTTTGAAGGCAAAGGCGTCAAGTTTCATATGAATGCTGGCGTCGACAAGGCCGAGCCCTCTGGCTCCGACCCATCCAACGTTGGCGCCGTCTACCTCAAGGACGGGACCAGGATCGAGGCGGACCTCGTGATTCTCGGCGTCGGTGTCTCTCCCGCCACCGAGTACCTGCGCGACAACCCGGTCCTTCGTCTCGAGGAAGACGGCTCGCTCAAGACGGACGAGAATTTTCTGGTGCAGGGACTCAAAGACGTCTACGCCATTGGCGACATTGCAACATACCCGTACAACGGCCCCGGCGGCGACGGCAAGCACACCCGCATTGAGCACTGGAACGTGGCGCAAAACGCCGGTCGCTCGGCCGCCCAGCACATTGTCAACCCCGGCTCCCCGGCGCCGTTCTTTGTCCCCGTCTTTTGGTCCGCGCTCGGCGCGCAGCTGCGGTACTGCGGCAATTCGGGCCCGTCTGTCGGTGGATGGGATGATTTGGTTCTTCAGGGCGACCTTGAGCAGAGCAAGTTCATCGTCTACTATACCCGTGGGGACACGGTGGTGGCGGCCGCCAGCATAGGCATGGATCCCGCCGTGATGCAGACGGCAGAGTTGATGCGCGTAGGCAGGATGCCCGGCAAGGCAATGCTACAGGCTGGCCACGATGTCTTGAGTGTGAATCTCTCCGATTAAATTGACGCCCTTGAATCGGGATGACGCAAGATAGTACAATAGCTTCATTAGCGCAACATCGATTAGCTTACAGCGTGTGATGTTCATTGCTGCCAATGATGTGAACTTAAGCCTCTTGTGCAATGCAAAGAGAGGCGATATCAACTGTTTCTTGACATCAAAGGTAGACGCCAAAGAAAAGTGAGCGAATCGAAGCGCCGTGCTTACGCGTCAACTATGATTAGAAACCTGAGCATGCTGCATCGGCAACAGTCCCATTGACCAGCGACTCATCACTGGCAAATCGAGTTCGCGCCGCACGAGAACTGATTCATATGAGCAATTGCAACGTGACCCCAAAAACTTGCTAAAGTCCATAGCAAGGCCCGTTGGAGCATCCTTCATCTTGTCCAAAACCTTGACACCAATAATGATAAGATGCTAGGCATGGTGGCCTCTTTGTGGGTTGTTGCAAGCTGTCAGCACAAATGATGCTAGACCTTGAAGATTAGTACCATTGATGTAAACAGCAACAGGGACACTAATAGTAACGGGATTCCTACCAGGGCAAGCAAGCGGAAACCTGGGGCATCTAGAACAAAAATACCATTGCCAATTTTTTACAATGTATCGCCTCTGTCTAGCAACTCTACAAACTCGGCCATCTTCCTCGTCCTCGTCTCCTCCTTCTTCACCGTCTGCAGGCGCTGCAAAAACGTATACCTCGCCGCCTTGCTCATCTCGTCGTCAAACACCTTGGCCGCTCTCGGCCTCGCATCCAGCAACGCGCGAAAATCAGCCGGCACCTCCATCGTCGCCGACCCCGCATACGCCTTTTCCCAGCGCCCGTCCGCCTTGGCCGCGTCCACCTCTGCGAGGCCGGCCGGCAGCATCCGGCCGGCGACCGCAGCCAAGGCGGCGACTTTATCCACGTTGCGCTGCGACCACGTAGACCTGCGCCGCCGCGGCGTGAAGCGCTGCAAAAAGTAATACCGCGCGTCGTCGTCGTCGTTGTCGAGCGCGCGCCGCCGCTGGCCGTCGATCCAGCCGCAGCAGAGGGCTTCGTCAATGGCCTCGTCGTAGGTGACGCTGGGGATCATAGAACTCTTCTTGGCAATTTTGAGCCAGATTCCTGGAGCAGTCACGCCGACTTTAATCATGTATCGCCGGAATGCTTGGGCGTCTGCAAAGAAAAGAGTTGGAATGTCCGTGGCAATGGTTCCCGATTTCTTTGGCGACGACGTGTTGGAAGACGTTGCCGAGCGAGCTGGTCTCTTTGATGACGGCTTGGCAGTGGCCGAGGCCGGGGGGATCTGCGGTATCGCGGCTTGGGCGAGGCGTGAAGAGCGGCGCACCATGGCTGCGAGGCACGGTGGTTGAAGCACTGCCAAACGCAAAACGGCTCGAGCAATTTTTATCAACCGCATTCAATTATGTTGAGGGAAAATGAAGCAGGTTCAAAGTTTTAGCCGGATAGATTCGCACATTGTCGAGCTTTCGAGCTTTGTTGTCAGCGGAAAGATGGTTGCTCAAGATTGAAGCAAGGAATCACGCCCAAGCTCTCGTGATTCCCACCCAGCCAGTCAGCCTCCTAGCGCGTGGGCGGCGCATCGCATTGAATTCAATGCGTCGATTTCAGCCCAACACAGCAGATGGTATGTTATAAGCTGCACAAAAGAAATTTGTTCGAAAATCTTTGGATCGTACATCTTGAAAGAAGCGCGCTACATGCACATATACCTTTCCATTGGCCTTTGCCTGCATCCATAGAACTGTCTTGATCACCAATATTCAATTTATCGGGAATTCATACTATATACAATGTTGCATCTACAACAAGTACATCTTTTGCATACTGATGATTGCAAATGGTGACCTGGCCTTTCATCCTGGGGCGCACTCGGATGAGGGTAATGTTCTCCGACTTGATGGTGTCGTCGGGTTTCTCGCCAAGGTCAGCCCTCTTATTTTTTCCATTCTTGAAAACAGGTCGCAGTTGCCGCCAGGGAGCACAATGTCGCCCAGGTGACTGTAGAGAAAGATGCAGAGTTGGTCATGTCAATCACGTTACGACAATGTGTTTCTGCAGGGTCGCAGGGCTACATGGCAGAGAGATGCTTACCGGATCAAGGAACGCATATCAAACTTGAGTCGCGGCCAAAGACGTTGAGCACGCCAATCTCCAAAGCGCCAGCATCCTTGTCATGACCAAAGTCCAGCCCTTCTGGCAACTATCGTAGTGGACAGTGAAGATGGTCAAGTCTTTGGGGGTTGAGACCGTGCCAGCCAGCAGCACTCCAGTGGTGCACCGTGTGTCTTTAGTTCTTGCGCCTTGCTTCCCTCCACGCCATATATCTCTCACCTACACTCTGGTCCAACGCTGCCCATTCGTCTTCTTCGATTTGTCGCAATTTGCCAGGAAAAAACAAATTCACCATGCAGATTCCACATTTCGGATACTCCTTCTCAACCTTTAACAGAGTAGCCATGACTTTTGTTTCACAAATGACACCCTCATATATGAGCGGAATTCCTTGCATCTCTGGACGTCGATTCGCACCAGCAATGTGGGTGTTTCCCAGGATACCTAGGAAACCAATGGCAAGAATGTACCACGTATGTTGTTTGATTCCGGTGGCGGTGATGAGAAGAAAGAGCCAGAGCAAAGCTAGAACCATGACAGTGATTCGAGCTGTCAAAGAGACAGGGACGCGGCGGGGGTCGTCAAGTCCCATGGCCAGGTCTTCGAGATCGAGTCCTTTGTCATTGCCGATAATCACAATGGCATGCTGGCTACCATTTCCTTGCGTCAAAACAAAATTCTTTCTCGTGCCTTTTCTGCAGGCCCATTTCTCTCGGGACCACTGTCCCAGGCTACCAGTTGACATGGCCAACAATGTGCCAGACGCAAGGATGAGCAATATGCTCCAGTCGCCAGACACAGCCAAGGCAACGACTGCAACGATGAGCTGGATAGATATTATTCCAACACCAGACCAATATGGGGAGTCGCGGCCAGCGCCACGCCTCTGGCCGTCAGCCTTGTATATAGAGACGCACAAGCCTACCCGCGTAGGCTTGGGGATATCGAGCCCACGTTGCATGCTAGATTCCCACGATGACTGAATCGCAGAGCGCAAGCTCTCCCGGATGCGATTGTCCATCCAGAATTCAAAATCTCGCATAATACGGCCAATGACCCAGCTACAGTTAGTGGTGACCTGACGGCTGTCCGTATTGATTACCTTGCAAGCATAGTCGGGCCGCGGCATGAGCTTGATCTCGCCAACGGCGGCGCCCACAGCGATTTCGAGCATAAAGGAGACTCATTCTGGTGGACACTGTCAGTGCTTGCAGATATTCCCCCGCACCAGAGCACCCGCCAGGGAAATATTCTAAAATATATAGATATAAAAGTACGAGTTACCAAAGGAGAATGCCACGGGTGTGACCCTAGAACCGCTAATTTGCGCCAGAGCCCGGCCGACGGGATCGCTCGCGCCTCCAAGGAGCAGGAGCACTGAAAATATGTCGCTGGGATTCTTGAACTGATCCGAAAACTCGCGCGATGCTATCCCAAAGTCAAAGGTACGGCGCACCAGCTGAGAGATGAACGGGGGCATTATTCCGACCGCGATGCGTCTTGCGCTTGACTTGGTATTATTTTGTCGGGTGGCGTCAGTCGGTTGCACGAATGAATCGCAATATAACGGCAATATCAATGGTAGAACCTGTATCCTTGCTGTCCTGTCCCTCTGCTTTGCTGTTACGTAGGCATGTAGGATGGCCGCTGCTAACGTCAGATGTTCGCCTTGGTAGGATGATCAGGGACTTTAAATACTTGTTGAAAGGCAGCTGCCTCCACTGCGCTGACCTGAGACTTGCGTACGCCTCCTGCCACAATGATTCAGCAGCTATGTATATATCTAGCCTACCACGTGCACCTCTACTAAATGACAGTCTTCCTTCGTTATTGGACACGCATATTAACGAGTATGATGGCGAGCTGGGGTGAAGTTTCTCCCTTTGCACGTTCTTTTGAGGCCATTTGTACAGTTCTCTACACATGCCTTGAAATCTCTCTAAGTAAACATTTCTAGTAGTCGTCGGACTGGCCAGGCATGCGCATCGCGGTACTTTTCAACAACGCCCCGAAGAGCCAGCCGCTCATACTGATCCGTAAAATAATCACCATAGAGCTGGATGCCAATCGCTGCATTCACCAGCGCCGGAGCACATGCAGGATGGCACAGTGCTATGCCACAAAGGTCGAGCATCAGCATGCGCACCTCGTTTTCGACTTTGCGCCAGCTAGCTCGTGAAGAAGATTGCTGTCTTGGATTGGGCAAATTAGAAAATGTCCAGAGTTCGATTTCCCGTTTTCTTGTGTGGCTTCTTACTTTAGGTACGGATTTTCAGAGACCAAAACTGATCGCGCCATGAGCGACTGCTGAATGCTAGTCAGCTCAATATGCGACGTATACCAGATGGTGGGAAAGATTTCGCCCTGTCGCTTGTCTGCTGACTTTTCAAACAGCGGCTTTGTATTTGCAAGCACAACATTTTCCAGGTAACTCTGTTGGTCCATGAGGCGTACTGCGGTAGTCATGTTAAAAAAAGTGTTAATTGTTGTAGCATCAAGGTGCAGGCTTGCTTACAAAACTCGTCATCGGTGCCCCTTCCCCAATGCCATTTGGCCACCTGCACTGTATGCATGACCGTTTTGTTTACGTTTGAGGCGCCCTGCCAGTACTCGGGGGGTAGATCTAGCTGAGGAGGTTTTCGGCGGGTAAAGGAGTGGTAAATCTCCTGTCGCAGAGCGAACCAGTACGCGGCTTGTATGAGGCTCCTATGCCCAAACATGGCCTGCGATGCTGGGTCGCGTAGAACTGCATTGATAATGGGCATAAAGTTGATTTGCTTTTCGTGAAGAAGATCATCGTCTCCTGTCATGTGAAGGTCGTCGTCGGCGTCCTCATCTTCCTCATCAATCTCTTCCAATTGGCGTAAAATCACTGCTGTCGCAATGATGCTCTCGCGAAAATCGTCGTCTCTGTTTTCGTGAAATCGACGGAATGCGGGGATACATTTCAGCATATACTCAACCGCATCGTGATTTCCAAGTTTTGTGAGAAGCTGCCCTTGGTAGAAGATGCCCTGCGGTGTCTTGTACTGGGGTAGACGGCTGAGATGGCGCGCCGAGACGGCAAAAATGGCATTGAGCAAATGCGAGTGCTTTCTAGCTTTCAAAGGCACGACGAGTTGAAAGTGTCGGTTTTCATCACACAGGTCAAACTAACCAACCAGTCAGCAAAGTGACGCTGCACAATTGCACATCACTCAAGCTTACCCATTGCGAGATTTCGTCAATGAAATAACGAAGTAGACAAGCCTCTTGAGCATTCCGTAGTGGAAATTGGCGCAAGCTGGCGTCATCGTGTTGGCCCAGCAGGGGTTGCGTTGTCAGGCTAGCGATGCCTGGAAGCCCAACTGGTGGACTCAAGGCCGAATTTAAATAGGATATGGGGGGGATATTGGGCCGGTGTATTGTCGAAACATCATTTTGCGCGAGGTGTGATGTTGATGACTGAGCAGATGTATGATGCGGCGTCTGGACAGGAGTGCAATGAGATGATGAGTGATTGGAGGTCGTATCGGTTGCGTCTGCCCCTTGTCGGGGACCTGACGGCGACTCGGCATCTTTATTACTAGGAGAAGAAGTTCCTGTCGTTTGGACCCGAACTGGTGGCGGTGAGCAAGTTGGATGCTAGCTCGGCAGTGCTTCATTCTGCGTTTCTTACATTGTCGTGCAGAGCTATTGACCCATTTCTGATCTTTATCGAAACGCGCCGCGGCGCCGTGTCTGAAAATGGTCTTTTTGGTAGGCCGCGAGCAGGGCAAGTCTTTCTTTTGGCAGCGCCCGCACCTCGGCCTCTCCTCGTCGCCTGGTAATGTCAGCGATGAATCATAACGAGTGCCTCTAGTCCTCGGGCGGGGGAATATTCATCTTGGCAATGTCTACTTACATTTGACATGTTTCTCTAGCAGAGGGGTCAACCAATGCTCTTCTCGTATTCTCCAGTCACCACCACTTACCTTTGCATTGCGCGCAAGGATACTTGATTGCCGGCATTCTGATTCTCATCCGCGCAGTGTCCGCGGAACGAGCTTGCTTTGGGTCCGCTTATCCACTACTAGGGCTGGCCTCATAACAGACTCAAAAGGCACTAATAATACTAACCTCTGGCGCTGTCGAACACTCTTTGATGATGGTGGTTGTTGTTGTCAATGTTGAGTTCTGGTTGGAGTCAAAGCCGGCGGAGATTTCCCGACAAAGTAACTATTTGCTAGGGCTGGCAACTGGGTGGAACAAGGCTTGAGTCCGAGTCACCCGCTAGTTAGCTAGTTGACTAGTTAACTAGCACGCGAGTGAGCTGCGAGCTCGCCTTGAGTGGAATCTGGGGATTGCATGCAACAGACGGGACATGTCCGCACCATGGTCTCAAATTAGCAACTGACGAGTTATGATTGGTGCAGCTGCGTTATGCCTTGATGTAAAGCTGGGGTTGCCAGCCGTCGGCTTCTGAGGCACCCGGCAAATGATGCGAGTACACATGTACTCTGTGAAATTATTGAGAAGCTACGATTGCTTCTTTTTGGCGCGAGCGGCGATACAGTTGTGGCAGCTTTTGCTTTACCATCCACAACATGGCAGACTATAGTGAGAGGGACCGCATCATCCCATGCACATGTGCGCTTATTCTGAGCGGCTATAGCTGGCAATTTTCTGTTTAATCC